TCCCATGAAGCAGAGGCCAATAGCGAGCCGTCGGGCGAGAATACCACCGCCCTCACCAAGCTCGTGTGCCCCTCGAGCGTCTGCACCGCTTGACCCGTGCTCACCTTCCACAGCCTGACGGCGCCGTCGTCGGAAGCAGAGGCCAGTAGAGAGCCGTCGGGCGAGAATACCACCGCCCTCACAGAGTTCGTGTGACCCTGGAGTGTCTGCACCGCTTGACCCGTGCTCACCTTCCACAGCCTGACGGTGTGATCAATTGAAGCAGAGACCAAGAGCGAGCCATCGGGCGAGAATGCCATCGCCTTCACATAGTGCGTGTGCCCCTCGAGTGTCTGTAGCTCAGCACTCCACGTCGCTGCAGTGATCGGACATTTCAGTATCCACTTTGGGTTTGGACCACACATCTTCCTCACGAGACTGGTCTGTGGGGCGAAAGTCATCGCTGACGAATAAATCTGAAGCGGCGCGAGTTCGACGATATATCGGTTAGAAAGGACAATTCGTCGCGCATCTCCAAGAAAGGCTGATAAATGACTTGAGCCGTTTGCCTTGCATCTCTATGTCAGCGCCAGTCCGGTTTTGGAAATCCCTACCACAGAGGTCACTTACCGACAAAAGCGATGACAATACGTTAATGTGTCCAATGACTTCAGCAACCCTATTCATGAGACTGAGAGCTTCAAGCCAGTGCAGTAAGTGCTTCCGCAAAAAAGAGTGCACTTCGTCTTCATCGTGAATCCGGACCTTACTTTGCTGGGCATGGTGGACCCAGTATCGGCATGCATACTGAAATGCGGGTGATAGGCGTTCATTGATCACGGTCTGCTCGACCTCTCGCCGTGGCTGGCCTGGATAGGTAAGGTCACACAAATTTTCCCGCAGACCATTGGGGCCTGACAGCAGTTGTAGACATTTTGTCAATAGTAATCGATGCGTAACCGGGCCGTCCACTCCAAAAGACTCGTGTCGAGGTTTGTTGCTCAATAGGAACTCTCCAAAGGAAAGATGAAGAGTCCGAATCGGTGTTTCCAGATCATCAGGAACTCGCAGAACAGAATATAATGGGTTTAGGCGGAGCTTCAACGTGACTGGAGATATTTGTAGAAGGGCTGCAAGGGACTTTCTAGAAAGCGGTTCAGCAAGGGTGACAATAGATCCAACAATCATTCGGAACTCTTGGTAGAGCTTTTCCGTGTCACGTGAGCTGCTGAATAGTTGCGTAAGTTGCGTAAGCACAGGCAGATACGTCTGTTCCATCTGCTCCAACTGACCCGTCCCATGAAATTTCAAGATCGTCTCAAGTTGTTCCTTGGGATCGTAGTTAATGTCACTCACAAAACGATACACGGTCGCGGCAACGATAAACAATGGGACAGCCATGTCGACCAGAGCTTCAAGAACTTCCGCACCTGGCCAGTCAGGATCGAGTGGTGTCCCTGAAGGCGGGTCAGCATTATAATTCTTCCGAAACTTCGAAAACTCGTCTTTCAGAAAGGTTGAGATGTCATGCTGAATTGTCGTTCGGGGAACCGCATCATAGAGAACGATATCCTGATAGGCGTCCACGGACATATCCTGATAGGCGTCGATCGACATGTCCTTGAATCCTAGTCGAATAGGCAGCTCGGGTCGGCTCGTCAAAAGGAGCCTTAGACGAATAGTCGTAATCCGAGGTATTCGAGACCACAAGTCGAGAATGGTCTGAATGTCTCCTTCTTTCTCACATTCGTCCAGAGCATCAACCACTAAGACCAGAATAGGAGAATCACGGGGAGTGACGTCCACTTTGCGTAACGGTTGATACAGTAACTTGTCGAATTGCTCACCCAGTGCCTTGTCGAAAATGAGTGGATCGGAAGTAATCACGTCGGCGATAAGATCATCCAGCCCGGGGATCTTCAGCACGAGTTGGCGGGTAATGGTGGAAAAGAATCGTGAAGCAGAGCCTCGGTCGCCTTCACCTCGCTTAAAGAAAAAGCTCGCCCCGAGGTCGACGACCCCAAGGTGACTTTGACCGTCCAACCACTGTGCGATGGTCCGAGAGATAGTCGACTTACCCGTGCCCGCCATGCCCTTGAGCCAGAAGATGCCCTTACCGTCTGGTTGTTGAGCCCATTCTTGAATTTGACCAAGGAGGTCGAGCCGAGTAGCAGGGTGACAGGTAACGTGATCATCGCCATAAGAGTTGAACATTGCTCCTTCGGCATAGGGCAACTTGCCCAAGTCAATCTTGATTTCAAGTCGATCCAGCGATTCTTGAAGCTTGTGAGACTTTTTGAGCTCTTTGAGCACCCTCTCAAGATCTTGCTTCAGTTTTCCGGTGCGCTCCCGGTCTTGAGCACTCAGGGTGCGGTCGCAATTGCTCGCCTCGATTTCGACCCTTACTCCGAGCTCGTTGCACGCATCTTCAAAGTCATGGACATCGCTGTCTTTCCAAAACGCTTTAAATGCGCGTTTAACCGTCGTAGACTGGTATATCTGGATGGCTTGAGCCAGGAACTGGAGAATGCGTGCATAGAGTTCTGTCGCGGAAGTCTCAAAGTTGGTTCGTGTCAGCGTCGTAGGCAGTCCATCCAAGAAGTCCATGTACGCCTTCAGTCGGTTTATCATGTACAGAGCGGTTTCGCACCCGACGAGCAGCGAAGCCATTTGGTTCGCCTCAGACACAGCAGCCTATTGATTTAAGCACAAGACCTCTAGACTTCATTAGACGAGTCTTACCTCGAGCAGCATGCGAATGCCGGCCCATGGCAAGCCGGCGTGCACTGGGTCTACGCTGGCGGCGATATCGCCTACATCTTTAAATCGGTTTAGCCAGCTGACCACCTTGTCGGCCACCTCTTTTACTACGACTTCTCGCCCAGCAAATATAAACCTCCACCTCTTCGCAAGACAGTACCGTTGCTTCTCCTCAGCCGCAGCCAAAGACTGCTTCAGCACCAAGTCAATATCACCCGAACTCGGAAGAATATATTCTCGAAGGGTTGCTCGATCGCGATCGGAGAGTCGTTTGAGCGCATCGTTTAAGATGTTGAGGCTGGAGGGATTGGAAGTCGCCTGCTGCGATGATGAGGAGGCAGCGCTGGCGTTTGGTGAGTTAGCGGCAACCAGTCCAGCCGATGGAGGGCTCGACGATGCTAAAATCTGTATTAATGGTGAACCTGGTGACTGCTTGGTTGAGACTGGCGCTGGAGTCGGTGATGAAGCCCGGCTTCTGGACCTGAAGCGTTGACGTAGTCGCTCTCCAACACTAAGCTTTGCGGACGGAACAGGGGCCCCGCTCATGTTTGACGATGTTTAATATGGGTATACTGTACTACAATAGATTCACCCTGGGAATTGTTCGTTTCAAGTTCGAAAGGATCACAATGTCTGCATTCGTAAAGGAGAAACCGTCAAAGGGGGATTACTGTATCCCGGCAGAAGCCTCGAGGCTTCTTGCGCGAGCTGCACCGGTGCCTCAATGACAGGTGCGCCTGCTGCAGGAGTTGTCGTTTCAACACCAACTTCGGCAGCTGTGGATTTCTGCCAAGGATCCTGGCTTACGCTAAATTACATTTCCTTTACGGAACATATATCAGAAAAGCGGCCACCCCCCAGCAGATAGTTCCAGTTAGTTCATACATTCTCTTCCCGCCGCTACAACAACAAGGAAGTTCATTCCACGTAATCATTTGTCACGTGATATGCCAAGCCGGGTACACACGTGATCAGCTAATACGGTGGTCTTGGCATCGCCGCACAACGCCAAGCCGCAACCGAGCGGTTCCAAAACTTAGGGACCGCGGACAGGATAATCACGGAGCCTTAATTTAATTTTGGAATCCATCTGTATACGGCTTGGCAGGTAGCGACGTCAAGTCTTGGCGGAAATAAGAACGTCTACGCGAATCACGGAACGGATCTCGTGAGTCATCGGATCCAATCCGTGGACCATCGTTCACATCAGCCAATCCCTCGGTGAAATATGCCAAGGCGCTAGTATCTGAGAATAAAAGCGGCATTCGACACACCCCTCACTTAGCAACCAATACAATTCCACTTGTTATTTTACACCTCGGTTCATGGATCGGATCCCATGAAATACCCACCCTCATCGGATCCAATCCGTGGACCATCTGGCCGAGTGGGACCGTGGAAAGTGCGTTCGTGTTGGCATTCCCCATTGGGTTCAGCATAGTCACGTGCACCGCAGCCTTGGTGGCCATTTTGTCGCCTGCGCCTCGCTCAGTTAGATTCAATCAGTGAATCCTCTCTCAGTCCCACAGTTCATTCCTTCAGCAGCGTATGGCGCATCTTGTTGCCTCAGCATAGCCTCTCTAGCCTGATCGGATCCAGTCTATGGCCCATCTGGAGAGGGGCCGACTATGTCGTAGCCAACGGAGCCTGAGAGGCACAAAATGGTCCCGTGAACCAGAGCTGTCCGAGTCTTTCATCTGCTCTTCCAGCTCTCCACTAGAGGGATTTACTCTGGGCCCTCTGGTACGTCGTGCTGGGGTGATAGCGAATAAGGCCTTTTATCGCCGTTCGATTCACGCGGCGGTGGTCGTGTCGATATACTAGTGTTATCCCAGTTCTAGACCGAAAACCCGAAGGGGATACTGTTATAAGGTAGAAGTTGCTTCATTCTAGCATAACGCGTGATCGAAGGGTGTGTGACAAAAGAGCTAAATCCAAAACCAATTTGTCGGACCTTGGATATATAACCCTTGGCGCACACACGAATCACAGGCATGGCTACTTATGTGACTTCGTTGAGATAGGTTTGTAATTCTACGGAGGACTTGTCCTATTTTAGGAGGGCTCGAGGTTTAGGAGGAACTCTTTCAGGACGAGAACAGGCACACTTTAAAGGGAGAAAGTCAAGCATAGCTAATCAACCATAGTGAGAAGACATTCCTTGAAAACGATCGAATTTTTAGAGGTCCCTTATCGAGTTCTTTGAGTCTTTCCTACCTAATTAGTAAGGTTCGATCAGCCCTCCTCGCCCTGGGGTGTTTTGTGTTGCGGTGTTGTTGTCTCTGGGCAATTATCGGTGCTCTCCATATCGCCCCTTTACAATAGTTCTAGTTAGCTCATACATTCTCTTCCCGCCGCTATCACAACATGCCGCTGCCATTTGAAGCGACGCGCTTTGTCCTCCATCTTTGGATCATGCTGACTCCACGAAAATATCTGGGGAGTGATGAAGTGGACAAAGTAGGAGCCTCGTTCGTTAGGACCTACTGAAAAGGAACGCAGCTAGCAATACATCTAGACATTATGAATTTCTCGAAAGCAGGCTCGAACTTTCTGCCTTAGGCTTCGGAGAGGAGAGAATCTGTACCTATTTAGCTAGTGTACTCACCGGTCCATAGACGCCTGTTTTCATAATCATACTTCCATCCCCTTTAATCCATGCACAGTATTTGGTCCTACTCCGTACACCATTTCAGGCTGTACTCAACATTTCAGGTTCCTTTGGACTCCGTTCACCATTTGACCTTCCTTCACCACCTTGAGCTCCGTTCACGATTTGTGCTGCCATCATCATTTTAGACTTCCTCCACCGTTCCGGTTTCCTTCACGGTTTCGGTTTCCTTTGAGATCCCTATCGCGGATATTCTGAGATTGCCAGGGCCTTGGTTCAGAATCTGTTTGATATCCTCCTCACATCCGAGAGCGTACTCGCAGAGTCCCCACCGGTGAATTTCGTTGATCCATTGAAGCAAACTCATAACTCCAAGTTCATCCCGACACCTCCCATTATCAAGCATTCGTATAGTGCAGCCGGCCCAAGCCCCCCCATCAGTGATTTTGGGTTCAAAGAGCCATACTGTCCAAGTATCTTTCACCATCGTCGATCCGTAATGACGAACCAGTTTGAGTTGCTCCAGAGTAGGATGGCGAAAGGCGTCGACTTTCAATCGATATCGATTGAACAAGGAAATCAGGCCAGCGGCAAATACTTGATTAGCCGCAACCCGCTGATCGCCAGTTATGGCTTTGAACTCAATCGAGAAATAGGGACAAAATGCACCAAAGGACTTGCAAAGCACGACCTGGCCGGCATTCCTTCGATAATTGGGATTCAAGACCTTGTCGCAAAGCCAGAATTGACAGTCGGCGAAAATGTCGAAACCAAAGGGTTTGGAAGGAGGTTGATCCGAGAGGAGTGGAGGTGCATGCCACATACATCCAGCATAATTCTCGCGGGGCTTGAGCGACATTTCCAGACACCGTACAGCACCAAGCCGTCTTGCAACATTCTGTCCTAAGAGACGGTATGGCCCGGTGAACAGATTCTCACAAGCATATCCCTTGAACTCAGATTCCAAAACTTCTTCCTCTCCCATAATACGATACGTCGTGTACACGGACGTGATGAAGTCGGCGTCCATGGGCAGGAATATCGAACCGTCTATATCCCGGTCAGCTCTTCCTGCAAGGGCATTTTGAACGATGGATTGGTAAAATTCGCGTGATTTGGCGGCGTCCACAGGTGTCTCGGAGCCAAAATGGCCGTGAGCCCCTCCCACACGCCAACACCCGCCTCTTGTTATCTCAACCCCCCGCGGAAGTAACTGAGTATCTTCGAAGTCGGAGTCGTGGGCCGTGGCAGCTCCGGCGATTTGCGTTCTGCTAGAGCCTGTCTTAAAGGTAGATGTCGAGAAAATGCTTTTCGTGGGATCTTCTGACCGAGCCTGACTCTTGAGTCGGCTGGCCGGAGTGGCTTGCGAGTATCGAGGAGGTTTTTGTTCCATGACCTTCCGCCAAAGCAGTTTGGTTCGGTACGGATCGGTCTCTTTGATTTTGTCTGCAGAGAATTGTTGAGAGTATGCAGACGAGTAAGCTCGTCTCAAACCTCGAGATAGATTTTTATTCTTTGGCTGGGTGGACGTCCTTGCCTTGGGTTCAGATTTGGAGAGGGAAAATGGTGGGCGAACCATTAAGCGACCGGTACGGTTGCCTAGTTTAATGAGTCGCGAACACGTTCACATGGAATGGACATACCAGGTCGCAATTCACTTGCCATTGATTGCCGAATACAGGACCCCGTTTTTGTTAGAGTATCGGCCTTGTATCACCCGGCGGCCCAGACGGGGTTCGCAGAATCTTGAGGTGAGAGTTTTATGGGGGCTCATAAAGTTCATGTGTTTATATACAAGTTTTGGAATGGATTCAAAGAGTGTCGCGCTAGCCAACACGTGACTTTGTCACACTCTCTGTGATAATTGACCCTAATTATCACAGCCCAGGAAATCACATCTCGAGGGCGTTGTTTCGACACCTTTGATCCTCTGCTGGTGTGCCAACGCACTACACTCTCTTGCAAACCGGTCTCACTCAAAGTGCAACTCAAAGGTATTCTCCGCCCACTTCCCAGTCGGAGCGAGCCACTAGCTTGACACATGAAATCTAGGGCTGGTAGACCATTACAATCCGTTACACGTAACATTTCTCTCATTCTATCCAAATCCGGAACAAAGAATGGCGCGCAAAAGCAGCAACAGAATTTGTTTGTCTTTAAAATACCAGCCACAATCCAAATGTCCTAGCGCATCGTTCCGGCTTTCGTCATATTAGTTGAGCCACAACGCTACCACAGCCTAGACAGCATCAGCCTTTGGAAACCCGTGTCAGCCTGCGATTCACCGGCCCAATCAGCCTTATGATTGATCAAACCTGCAAGCTATTGCCTCTGATCATTCTACATTCTCTAATAGTGACTATGAAAATATCATCGCCCAGGTCTCTTCAAAACGGACACGTCCTCGTTACTTCTCACTGCTCTCTTGTTTGAATGTCGAAGATACCACAACTAACCCATTCGGCCTGAGGCGACCAAAGTCCGTCCCCCCAGATCCAAAACCGCCCTCTCCGAAGTGCCTCAGCTGCCCAATGATTCTTGTCCACATCGATCAAGTGGGCTAGCCAAGGAAGACTTTCCGAACCTTACTCTGGATCATCTCCGTAAAAGGGCTTTCGCACCAATTCGACCAAGATTACTCGCGAACGAAAAACCTATCCGCCAAATACGGTTCGATCCTAGAGAGTGAGTGAAGGCCGCTTTAACCTGAGCTTTAGCTGAGCCTCACTGAGCACCCCCGGGGCAACCCCTGCGCAGCATAAGCCAGGCCCCGATCTGGCTCCCCGGTGATCGGCAACACTTGCCTACTAAATTGGTCCCAAAAGACGACAGCACGCATCCAATAATAGGAAAGCATACTGCTGGAAGTCCAGGAGATGCCTGAAGCGCTAGGACTGGAACTGAAACAGGTCAAACGCCCGGGATCTACGAGCCTCTCGGACAGAGCATATACACGTTGAAGTCTGTCACTCAGACTACCCTGCAATCGCTGGTCGGATGGCACAAATTCTAGACCTCGACCCAGCATATTTCAGCAGGATCTAGGGACATGAATCACCTTCCTGTACCAGAAAATCGGCAACGCCCTTCACGTCGAGTCCTGCTTTTTGGATACTACGACATACCATTCCTCGGCCAAATTGCCGAATCCAACGACAACTTTTACGCCTACGCAGAAGCGCACAGTCTCGCAGACCGAGATGAGAAGTACACACCAAACTTGTCTAGGCTCCAGGAATTGGAGGACGCTGACATATACTTTGCCAGAGTACAAGCATGGCTTTACTTTGGACTAATCGCGGACACTTTCGGGGCCAGAACATGCGCACAGGACTTTATCGTCACCAACCCTTCCTCGAATGGGCAAATCATCAACTCGACCAAGCTGAAGCTATACATGTCGCAATGGCGTGTTCGGGTGGGTAAGATGCGAAAGGAAGCCAAAGACGAACGGATTCAGCGCGTGAAAAATTCAACCACTGCGGGTTGGAAATTCTGTGACCAACTTGATCATTATGGGGTTCCGACCACCGAGGTGCACATGCTAATCGTTTTCTCCATAAGGATTCTGATTTGTTCTCTCTGGGATATGCTATGGGCGAGCGATATGGGCGGTGCACATTTGAACGACGAATTCAAGATTTCGGTTGATATCGTCCGGTGGCCGCATTTACCGGCATCCTACCGACCTCTCGCGGTGCTTATGGTTGAGTACGACTGGTGCTTCCACGAGGTATTGAGACTGCTGGATACTTACCGTCTTACTACTGTGTGGTCAATCACATGCCTGCAGGGGAGGGATGCATCACAACTTGATCATGGTCGTTGTGCCGATGCTTCGAAATGCGTGGCGCGCGACGTCGACCCTGTCAACCATCAAGCTCAGCACTTGACACGGGAATGCACGTGCGAAGCAATAGGGCCGGATGTCGATGAGGTCAGCAAAATCCTCAAAACTGGTGGCATTCCTCTGGTCAGGTGCACAGTCCACGATGACGGCCGCGTGAGCTTAAAAGTTATTCCGGCGAAGGGCAGTAAGCGCCATATTGCATTCAGCCACGTCTGGGCTGATGGTATGGTCATTCCAATGCAAAACAAAGTCTTCCGATGTCGATTCCTTAAGCTCGCCTCCTATCTGAGGAGGGCCCGTCCACGAGTACAGGCGGAGAGACTATTTTATCTGCCTTTCGCTCCCTTTCTGGCTCGCAACGTCTTCAAGGGACCGAAGTCGTTCGACATCTGGCTTGATATATTCTGCATCCCATCGGCTGTGCGTCCGGAGTTTCGAGAGCTCCGCAAACAGGCAATGGCACGTATCTACCCTGTGTTTGCAGGCGCCGAAGCTGTTTTGGTTGTCGACAAAGCATTGACAGAAGTCAAAAATACCGACATGTCGACCACGGAAACCATGGCACGAGTCGCGTCCTCGGGCTGGATGACACGTTGTTGGACATTCTCTGAAGCATCACTGGCCCAACAGTCCATTATGCTTTTCTGCATCGGCGACAGACTCATTGAGTATAATGATTTCCAACGTTACACGAAAGTTTTCAAAAAGCTCGACCTTCCTTCCAGAAGCCTCTTGAGCGACTTGCTGCGGACCGCGTTCTATCCATTCCATATCGCATGGCTTGCTTCACAACCGGTGGTTTCAGAATACGTCGGGTTCGCCTTCGTGTGGAACGCATTGACAGCTCGGTCAACGTCGTGGCCAGACGATGCTTGGGGAATCATGGCTACTCTACTTGGATATAGCAGCAAAGAGATCATGAATCTGCCGGAGCGGGATCGACTCCCTGCGATGATGCACGATCTGCCCAAAGTCCCGGCGTCTTTCTTCTTTCGCGATCTCCCCCGATCAGCCTCAGTTCCGGCACACATGCGATGGATTCCTACCCAGATTCAAGGACAAATACGAGATGCCGACGGGACGTTTGCTTTTGCCGAAGGTGGGATCGTGTTTCCTCCGAGTCTCAAGTTCAAGTTCATCCTCGGTGTGAAAGGCCAACTTCCACATACATTTTCATTCGAACTAGCTCATGAAGACTGGCAACGAAGACAACTACCGATCAGTTTTGAGGTGACTATTCATGACCACGGTGCCCTCACAGAGCACGTGAGGGGCACGGCCCAGATCTGCATCCTCCTACCCTGGACCGAAGGTCGATCAGGCGATAGCGAAACAAAGTACATCAGCGGCAATGGCTGCTGCCTCCTTGTCCGGCACATCCGACCAGATTCAATCGTCGAAGCCGACTTCCTCTCTTCCATATCCTACAAATTCACCCAACAGAAACAGCAAAGTCACTTTCAAGCCAGCACGGCAGGCCCGATCGTGGTAATCCCCTGCAATCGCGAACAGTGGTACCAACCCAAGACGCGAAGGAAGAGACACTCATTACCACCATGGACCACCGCCAGGATTCTTTACTTCGGTGTACCTGCGGTGTTAGTCTTCATCATGGCGGCCACGATGATTCCACTGTGGGTGTGGTATAGGACGACAGGCCAATCGTCGCACACGCGAGATATCCTCGTCTTCTCAACATGCGGGTTTGCTCTTTCTATTGTTGCCGTGCAGTTTGCGGTGATTTTCCACGAGAAGATCCTGATCGGGAATTGGATTGATAGTTTTGAGGACAGGGAAGGACCGAACCCCCCGTGGTGGAGGAGGATCATGCCGCTCTTCTGATGGTTTGAGCCAGCCGAGCGGCTCTCATCTGCAAGCATGAAAGGTCGAGCATCGTGCAATACTGAATTGACTTTGGTTTGAGAGTCTGATTGCGGTGAGGTGAGCATAGTACAACTCGCAAAGTGAAAGACAGCATGAGGAGTTCCCAAACCCTATTGTTCAATTAAAATACCGAGTACACATTTTGATAGTATTCATACCTACATATTACTTGATTGTGCATTTTCCATGGCGAGCGCCAAGCTGGAAGCGACAGTGTAAGCTAACGGAGTAGATGCAGGATCAACTTGAGGTTTTGATGTTAATTGTTGGAGGGATGTTATCCTATGTTGCGAGTGCACAAGGCTGAGCCCTATGTCTCCCGAATCTGCCGATTCTGACAAAACTAATACCTTAGTAGCACAGTAGCTCTGTCGCCAACAGCAATATCCCATACCCGTACCGTCTTGTCCCATGAGCCAGATGCCATTCGAGTCCCGTCAGGCGAGAACACAACACTGCTAACCAATTGTGAATGACCTTTTAAGCGTGTATTGACACGCTTGTCTGCACATCCCACACCGAACCGTCTCATCCGCTGAGCCGGATGCCACTCAGTCTCCCCAAGGAGCGAATGCTATGTTATCTTCAAAACATCTCAAGAGCGCAGTCGAAAGCATACGATAGCAATGCGGTGCAATGGCCACAATATTCTGATTTGGTCCAGTTCTTCGTTGATGATGTCTCCCAGGAGGGAAATAATGTCATCGGTACCAATCTGGTCGGAATCAGTCTCTGCTTGGAATCTTTCGGGACCGCTAAAGCGCGATTCATGGCCAGAGTTAGCAGATGACGTGACGCAGGGAGCTGTTGCAGGGAGGAATCGAGGGAGCGAGCGAGAGGCTCAGTCTGGTTAGTTACACGTGTATAGATATATCCCACGGGAGCCCTGAAATTCCTCTTAAGGAAAAGTGATGAGATCTGGGCCTTTAGGGTCTAGAATTCGGCAGAGCCGCCTGGAGTGTTCGTCGTGGGAGAAAAAGTACTTGCACTCGAAACCCGTCATGACCAAATCATTCGAACAGAGAGATCTTTATAGAGATGGTAGAGTGAACGCAGCGACGTGTCTCGCATTCGAAAGAGAAGGATTCGACAGAGTTGCGTGATGCTTTGCTGCCGTAACGTATTCGTTACTCTCCAGTAAATGACGTGAATCATGTTCCCGCTGCTCTTTCCATTTGGGCCAGCGCTGCGGTAGATGAAAGAGTGTCAGGATGTTGACCGCCCAAGACCTGACTTTGAAGTTGCACACATTCCTCCATGAGTTTGACAGCCTCCGCATTCCTCCCCTGCACTTGCATGGTGAATGCAAGATTGTTCATGCTGGTCAGCGTGTTCGGATGCTCCACCCCGAGCACCCTTTTCCGAGTCTCCATCACTTGCACTCCCAGCGCTTCCGCCTCCTGCCATCGGCCTTGATTCGAATACGTCGACGCCAGGTTGGCCATACTGGTCAGCGTGTTAGGATGCTCCGCCCCAAGCACCCTCGAACTCGTCTCCATCACTTGCACTTCCAGCTCTTCCGCCTCCTGCCATCGACCCCCGAGCTGGTATGCCAAGCCTACCATCCCTATACTATTCAGCGTCTTCTCGTGGCCAGGACCAAATACTTTCTTCATCGCTTTCATCGCCTTTATTGACATCATCTCGGCTTCCGCCACTTGTCCTCGTCGCCATGCAAACCACGCTGCATAATACAGCAGCTCAGCCCATTCGAGTACCGAATCTTCTCTCTTCGGCTGCTGCGATACCGCTGCTTTAGCGTGCGGAAAGAGCACTTGACACTTGACCCAGTTCTCATACTCTCCCGGAGGGAATTCAGTGTAAAGATTCTTGATGTATTGTTGCTTCCATCTCTCGAGCTGTCCGTGCGCATCAAGCCATCTTCGCATCGCGAGCTGGACAAGGCCATGCATTTCGAAAGTGGTGGTATCCACGTTGACAGAGATAAATGAGTAATTGTTTAGTGTGAGAACATCCTCTTCAAAATCATCGTCTCTGCTTGAGTCTGATGCGCTGTTACCGTTTTCGTAGTCCTCGTCATCCTCGTCGTCCCCCTCAGTATTTCTCTGAGCTCGTTGGTCGCGTTTATAGTTGCTATCGGTTTGGCTTCGATTTCGAAGGAGAGCCTCGGGAATCCCTTGTCGATCAAAAAAGCTCATCAGTGACATTAAATCGGCGGCTGACGGTCTCGTGTCGCGAATATGATCGAAGGAGATTTGCCATGTGATGATAATGGAATTCTTAGCCTCTCGGTCCCGGCGAAGTTGCCCGCCCTCGTGGTTCAACAGCGTCGTCTTCCCTTTTTCACTCCTTTGGAATTTGTCGACGTACTGCCGTACTGAGCACCGTGGTCCCCTCTGAGAGATATATGCCGCTGCCTGAATAATGGCTAGTGGCATACACTCCAGCTCTCGAGCGAGCACTGCCAGATCTTGGCGATCTCTCTGGTCACCGAGCTTCTTCTCTAAGAGTGTAATGGCATCCGCCTCGTTCATTGGATTGACTGGAATGATCTCTTTTTCTTCCACGAGACTTAATGTCGCGCTTCTAGTTCGGGTTGTGATGAGGATAGACCCATTGAGGCTGGGGGGGAGATAGTCAAAGAGTCGAGCCGAATTTGTGCCTTCGCAGTCGCTTACCTGACTCTTCTGACGTAGGGGATTCGCTTCAAGAAGGAAACCTGCGTCGTCGACGTTATCGAGGATAAGCGTCCACTTGTTCTGTCTCTCATCGCGTAACCAGTCGTGGACCAGCTTAAATATGTTGGCGTGGGGATTCCTCCGCTCAGGAATCTTAACGTGATCAGCCATCTCTCGAAAACTCTGCTCGAAACGGGCCGCATTGCTCGCATGGATCCAGAAAATCCATACGTCAGGTGATTGCTCTCTGACTTGGTAGCAATATTCAATCGCCAGTTGGGATTTTCTTCCACCAAGTCAGCGATAGAATATGAGTATGGTGTTGACTTACCCGACGCCACCTAACCCAACGAGCGCAGTCCTGGACCCTTGTACTGAACATCTCTTGTGAATCTTATCGAGCAGTGCTCCGCGATCGACGAAATCGGGGTCACGACGGAAAGGGATAAGGAGCGAAGGGTGAAGAGGAATCTCAGATATATCTGTGAAGGGCAAAAAGCTGTCAGTGATACTCTCTCGATGCGGCCTCAACGGGAGCTTTCTGGTGAGTGGATGAATGTGAGTCCCGATCATGTCCACCAATGCCCTTCTTCAGTCCAGTAAACAATGCGAATGTATTCATTACCTTGAGTCGGTCTGTCGGCACTTCTCCACTCTTCCAGAAAGGCCTTCGTGCAACCTGCTGCTGTGGCCGCAGCATATTCTTGCCAGTCCTTGTTTTTGTGGCTGTCCGCATAATCGCATACGCTTTTGATCACAACCGTGGGGATGTAGTCCCACGTGCCGGCACTCTCCATCTCAAACCCAATCACTCCCTCCAGCTGGGCGATTCGGTCGCGATGCTGTCCACTCTTCATCACTTGACTGCTGCATGCAGTCCGGCCAAAGTGAATGCAGGGAATTGGATTTTCATCGGGGCCACTGCTCAGCGCTTTTTGAAGACGTTGACGTTCGATCAACTGGGTCTTGTCGCAGCCTAATTCCTCACACGACTTCTTCAGTGCCTCTTCGCACACATCGTCATCGAGGTGATGGCAACTGTCGCAAATACTGCATGAGCCTTGCCTCCAATGTTTGTGTCGGTACTTGGCTGGATACAGTTGATCTTTTTCAGGTCCCGGATAGGCTGATTTCGAAAACCCTCTCTTCGCGCATATTTGTGTAGAGTAAACATTCGTCTTTTCGTGAAGTCTTTCTGAAATAAGGCGTCCTGACACCTTTCCAATAAACGCTCGAATTGCCGGATTCGCTCGTCCAAGTGTATCCTCCCCTGACGTCTTTCTCACAAATCCGTGGGGATATTGTCGCCCAAAATCAATTTGGATTACCGACGTACTAATAATGACGTCGCCGAGGACAATCTCTGCTCCGTCCGTAGTTCGCGGGACACCACCACATATGCCCGCCACGATCGCGATTTTGATCCTTTCGAAACTCGACAGAATACTGGCTGCCACAGCGGCTGCACTAACCATGCCCATGCCAGGCATGTACGTCAGCACCACATGTTGATTCCCCAGCCGGCCTATAGTATAGGTGTTCATATCTCCAGCGGCTTTCCCGTATGAAAAGCCATTCGTCTCATACTCTTCGTCCAGAAGTGCTTCGATGGCATCACGCTCGATCGACAAGGCGCAGATAATGGCTATCTCGAAGTCGCCACGGCTTGGGGGGCGGAGAAGGCGCGCCATGAGAGGGTCTGATGTCGCGCGGGATAGGCAGGCGCTTAGTTAGCACATACTGTGTAGGTAGAAGTCAGCGGGTTCGAGATCATTTCGCGTAGAGGCAGAGGAGGATGACAATAGGAGCAAGTGGGGTAGGTTAGTTGCAGAAAGAATAATTCATGGCTCTGTGCCGGGCAGAGACAGCTTGCGCTGGTAAGGCTGGTAGCACAGGCACCAAAAAGCTGCATGGTCGTTCAGCCTCGTCGGTTGACAATCAATCAACCAGCCTTTCCTGATTAAAGCGTAGCGTTGAGCGAAGCTTAAGTCGTCGCTGATTGGTCGGAAAAAGAAAAATCACATGATCTACCAATCACGTGATGAAGAAGGCTTGGCAATCCCCGACGCTGTGAGCCCGGCGGGTTGGCGGCCAACCTCCGAAATACAGAAGCGTAGCTTTTACCCCCCGTGGAATATCCTGTCCACGGCCCCTAGTTTGCCACCATGGCAGAGTGGTGCCGCCGAACCTGGAAACACGTCACTGGCACGTGCGAGTTCGTCAAGGCCGGCCGGATTCCCCCGCCGCCCGCCGACGCTGGACAAGGCGATCAGGAAGTATGCGACGAGGGTGGTGATTTCTCCCGTCTTTGCGGTGCCGTATGTGCATGATCGCTTCATCTGAACGATAATAACAACCCCAGCGACTTGTAAGATTTCAATTTCCGCGGCTGAGGACGTTTACGTTTGCGCTCTTAGTTTCGTCCGTAGAATGCCGTCACGGGCTATTAGCCCACATATTGAAGCAGTGAATGGATGGATGTATACTTGATGCAATTAGCTTGTCAATGAATGTGACTACGTGTTGGCAGGGCTGCCGCCTCTCTTATCGGCCGTTAATGTGCAGGTAGAATGGCGGATGATGGGCAAAAATGAAGCTGCGGCATTCAGTCGTATCTTCATACGTCGTCCGTAATCCGCGAATTCATGTCACCGCCGTCGAGCGGGTGTCCGTTGCCTGTCGATCCTTTCAAGTCTGGCCCTGACTCTTTCCTCCCTCTGTATCAGTTCTCGGAATTCCTCTCCTTTCCTCCCTTCGACCTCTTCCGGCTTCTGGCCGATGGCGGCCGCCTGGGAGGTCAAGGCTCGCTTCCGCACACTAATCAAGCCCAGCTCCTGCACCGCCACGTCCGCCTCTTCAGCTAGCTCCTCAGCGTCGTCGTCATCGGCTGGCGAGGCGTTGGCAGGGATGTCCCTGTTTCTCTGCTCAGATGCCACCGCTGTCGTCCCCGGTGAGCTCGTGGTGGTGTCCCGCTGGCTGGAGTCGAAAAGGTGGTCGATAGGATGATAGCCATCTTTTCGTATGCTAGCAGTGCCTACCTCCACAATCTCACTTGAGTTTAACTCGGGGGGCATGTAGCCGTCGGGATTATGGCTCCAGGGTGCGTTGGAGCTTACTTGGCCACTGAGTTCATGACTTGACGCCTCTCGCGTCGGGTGGCCATTATCAAGCTGATGCGGTGTTGGTTTTCCAGACATTGTCCTTGTGCTAGGTAATTCGTGTTTCGGCCGGGACTTGCCCTTTATTCTCTCGTCGACTGGTCCAGCATACATCTCGGCCTTCTCGTGTGTTGCGTTTGAGGTGGACGTCGAAGCTTCTTGCCGCTTGTTTTTGCGCCAACGGTACAGGAGGAAAAGCGCAATCAGAGCGATGACAAGCCCGCCTACGCCAACTCCGACTCCGATGCCGATAGTGGCTCCTTGTGATAGGCCAGAAGACGAGCCCGAGTGTGCTGTGGTATTACCACCGGCGCCGGAGCTCGAAGCACTTGGGGCCAACGCGCTTGAGGATCCGTTTGAAGGACCTGATGATGAAGCTGGCTCTACTGTGGCCAAGTTCAGCCCGGCGATAGTCGGCAAAGGTTCACTAGGGTCTACAGTCCAGCTTGCTGTCGAAGCTGGACAAGCAGGCGTCGTTCCGCTCCACGTATAATCCGAGCTTGCAACGCCTTCGGGAGTGGCAAGAGCCCATTGGCTTTGTAGATTAGAATAGTCCGGGAGAGGCGAACGCGTCGCGGCCGACGAGGAGACCGAGTAATTCACCAGGTCATAATTGAATCCCCTGGAAGATCATGAGGGTCAGTAGGACATTCTCATGAAAGGTAAGACGATGAGCATACGCATACGCCCATCCGTTGATTATCGCTCCTGACCAGATATCCTCCATCTCGGGGCCGAAAACTGCCTGCTGGTCGGAAAAGGTTCGTGGCGATGTTTCGAAGCAGCCATCTTCAGACAGTATGATGGGGACCGGCATGCTCTTCAGGTCATCGGTGTAGAGGTTGTACCCAGATTCCAGGTAAGAGGAGTCTCCGCACCATGAAAAGAGATTCACACCGTAGAAGTCCACAGATTCGGCGGGATTGCCGCCGCAAACCAGATAGTTAGCCTGTTGTTTTCTGATATCGGCAAGGTCCGCCGCAGCGTATCCGAGAGGTATGCTTCTGTACTCCCTGGCCGCGATGTAGGCCTTCATATCTCGGACGGCAGCTTTGAGGGAACTGGCGCAGTCAAGGGAAGAGTCGTCGCTGATGTCCTCGTCGCCAATAAAAAAGCCCAGCAAATTGTCATATTTGGCGAATCTGTCGATCATAGGTGTGAAGAGGCGGTAAAGAGTATCGTCCCATGTCCTACTACCCACTGTACCGCTCTCTGCTATATTCAGCACCACGTAGATGCCGTTGTCTGCCAATGTCTGCATACAGGCATCGTGGTCCGCCCATACATCGGTGTACCTAACGCGGACTGTGTTCGCACCAAGTGATCGCATAAGAGGCGCATCGAGGGCACATTGGGCGGAGTTTGCCAACGGATCGGTGTGCGGCACGGAATTGTCAGGGGGCCCGGCATACATCACCCCTGGCGCAAATCGTCAGTACGGGGCTAAGGAGTATCACATGTCATGGAGATGGCCGGATGGGTACCTTTGATGTAGAACTGGTCGCCATTGCCTTTGAAGAATTTGGGGCCTGTGATACGGATAATGGGAAGCGCCGACTGTGCAGCAACAGGACCAAGCAATAGAACGAGCAGCAACTGAGAGAAAAGGAGCAAATGAGCCATACCGACTGACCAACCTGAGAACAAACACCAAGGCATATTTGATAATAGTCAATAAGTATTTGGTGTGTGGTAGATCTGCTGGCTGGTATTGTGCTCTGTGCTGCCTTTGCGAGGTAGGCTATTGACAGCTACGACAGCCCACGCAGCCACTTGACTGCTTAGCGCTCAGTAGTAGTGAAAAGAAACCCAGCGTCTTAGAGAATCTTTGTTACATGCGGGGTGTAAAATCTCGGATCTTCGGTCCATCTCGCTCGGGCTCTACCGGGCCGGCCGATCCACCTGTTGCAGTCTTCATGCCTAGGGCAGGTCCACAGACGATGGATAGAGGTGCGTATGGAGACGTGCGCTGAGAACGCCTATCAGCACCTAGAAGCGCTCGCTAATAGGCTCTGGCTTAAGCGATCTTTCCAACCATTGGTAGGCGTCATAGGTGCGAAATCAAAGTTCTCCGGGGGCGGTTGCTAGGAGCAACCGCAGACAAAACATGCCGTTTTGAATACCCTGTCACTTGTGACTAGCGTGGCAAGCAATTGGTGCACGTCTCCGTAGATGCGCTCACGACAGGGGACCTTTCACATTAGCCCGTGTCATAGTTTCACGTCGTCAACCTTCTACACTGACCACATAGTACATGGTGAAATAAATTCATAATCCTCAAGGATATCACCCTCTTCTCGCTCATCTTCCTAGCTAGATTAAGGGAAAATCAGGATGTCCTCATCTCTTCTCGGTCTACCGCTTGATTGCAGCAGCCCCTCCCCTACCACTCGTAGGGCCCATACATCTTCCCAAACAGCTCCCCGCATCATCGCCGCAGTTCTCTACCAACAAGATTCTCAATCGGGATCAACAATGGCTTCAATATGGAAGAGAGGAAGAGGGTTCTTATAGGGGTCAAAAGCGGCAGGGCGACCATACCCGAAGGGGCAGGGCCGCCTAAACCGAAGGCGGATTTCCCGGCCTTTCCTCACTATGCGCCACCATGCCATTCGCCCAATGATTATCGACATGGCAAATCAATTTACACCTCTACTCGGGACCCCATCGTTGGCTAAACCTTGCACTTTAAGTTCAAAAATAGAAAGGACGACAACTTGGTGATGGAAGTCAAAATTCTCACCAGAATGTGTAATCCCATTCCCATGCATGTGAAACACATGCGGATTGTCCCCAAAAGTAGCTACGTATCAGACAGTCGGGTCGTTGACGCAAACCTTGAATGGTGCGTTATTGGCGTATACCAGGCCGTTCAACGCTGAGACGTCGGCCCCTGAGTTGAGTTCAATTGATTGGCCGAGATCAAGTTTGTCATTTGAGGCTGCCAAATGGATTCATTGCCATACCCCCGTCTGGCCTGTGGCATTGGCGCAGAGTTCGAGGATGACGGCGAGGCCCCCAGAAGTTTGGCATTGGTGGGTCCGGATCCTTCGTTGACCAGCCATTTGTAGACGACACACTCACCTGGAGCGACTGCGTTGTCGGGTACGACAATAGAGTTCTGGCTAGCCACTGAATTTTTCGGATACATGGACCCCTCGTTGTCGTTACTGTAAGCAAGGCCCATGGAATGTAAGGAGGCATAATTGGCAGGAAGGCGGTTGAGGAAGAGGATTTCGCGGAGAGTCGGACCGGTCAGGCCAAGCCATGTGAAGGAGGAGTCGGTATAGCCAATGTATTTTCCCAGGTGAGACCCAGAGCCGGCGGATGTATAGTCCGCGAGGTATGCCGTTGTCGATTCATTCATCAGCACACCCATCATGCCGTCCTAACTAGTCGGAGCGTAGTTCCCTGAGACTTGTTCAGCCGCAATATAATCGCGACGGACGTTGCCTGAGAAGTGGAAGTCGGAAGGGAGAAATGCAGGAAGACAGCAATCCATGGCAGAGGCACATTGCAAGAGCGAAAGATAAATTGGTTGCTGCTGGGGCGCCATGGGTGAGAAAAACCAGCGGGAAAAGGAAGGTCAGGGCACAGGAGAAACGCGAGGGTGAGGAAGCTATGTCGATGGATTATCTAGATATATCCTGAAAGGTATAGATCTGATTGTACAATATTGAGGTGTTGGACTTACTTCGCATTTGACAATATCCCAGAATTTGTATCTCGATTTTTCTATTCATCTTCATGTGGGTGACACAAGCGACAGCGCGATGCTGAAGTGTACCCACCAGATTGCGCGAAGCGATGTTGAGTCGGATAGTCGATGTTGCGCCATATCATCGTCATCCGAATCGCCTGGGGTACATAGAGATGACGATAGTGGTGATGGCGGTACCATTGCAGTGACGTGAAATGCCCATGTGAAGTCTCACGACAGATAGGGTTCGGAGAGAGGGATAATAGTTGTATCATTGGAGCCTCACTAATAATGAAGCCATCGACCTAATCGCAGCGACCTAAGATCAACGCGGATCTCATACGAGTGACTCACTGATGAGATCTAACAAGGCTGACCAAGGGGTTCCACCTCAGAAAGATTAGCTTCCATGAGCTCTGATGATCTGAAGGTGTTTCCTGTCCAGTGTCAAGGATCATCCAGCCGATTCAGCCCTCGTACACGGCTGTGCTTCCACTGTATCATGAAAATTGATACGTCTCTTCTCTCTTCACGAACCGCATTTGGCATGGTATACGGCTACAACCCCGAACGCGGGGGTCCATCCTTGCAAAGAACTCCGGAACGTCTCAGAGTTTGTCAGGGCCCCATGACGCCTTGTGTTTTGACCACTGTGTGTAGTGAAAGTATGCGACTGTAGGTCTCGAGGAACATGGTTGGCGAAAACTCTGAGAGATCATAGGACTATGTCAACTCCACCTCGTAACAACCGTGATGGCATCTCTCTCTGACTGTCAATCCATATGGCTGGACACACATCCTGCCTCATCTAGAGTTCCTTGACTTGTACAATGCACTTCCTTCCCTTAGGGACTACGGCAAACCGATCCACCATTTCCATGTCCTCTTCGCCTCTGACTCCACCCTTTCCGACGCCCTGCATCATTTCTTGGGCGAGATCGAGTTCAACTCTTCTGAAAACCTTGTTGACCGCGATGTACAGCTCCGACCAGGCCAGATTCTGGCCGATGCAATTTCGTCGGCCAATGCTGAAAGGGGTCAGAGCTTGGTTCATCTCCTCGAGAAGAATACCTTCCTGGTTGCATGGCCGCGTTCCCTGTGACGTTTGGAGCCACCGTTCCGGGATGAAGGCATCCGGTTTGAGGAAGAGAGTGGGGTCGCGATGGTGAACGAAGTTCTGCATGCCGACAACGGTGCCAGCGGGGAGGATGTGGTTGTCGACCACCAAGCTTTCGTCCAGGATACGAGGGAGGGTCGAAATGATAGTAGGATAGAGGCGGAACGTTTCCTTGATGACGGCGTTGACGTAAGGGAGGGTTTTTATGGTGACCAGGTCTTCCGGGTCCGCGACGGTCCTCAGTTCTTCCCGTAACCGTGTTTGCATAGGTTTGTTTTCCGGAATTGAGAGCGAGTATAGAAGATACATCAACGTGGCGGAGGTGGTCCCGCTTCCAGCAAACATAATACCCATTGCTTCTTCGACGATTTCTTCATGGGTGAGCTTGCGGCCTAGGTGTGAGTCGGTCCCGGTGAGGATTGGAGTGAGGAGGAATTCGCAATTTCCGGCCATCTTGGTGGTCGCCGACGATTGCTGTGACATGAGGTGGTCGACCATTTCGCGGCTTTTGACAATCCAGTATTCGTGACCACGGTATGAATCGCCGATGAGGCCCGGTAATTTCGTTGCCAAACCAGTCTTCTTCAGCCACGGCATCGCGGTGTTAAAAAGGAGTTGGAAGGCACTTAGTTCCATGGCCTTTATGACGGCACGAGCGTCGTCATCGGCGGTACCAGTGAAGTCTTTGGCAAATCCTGCTTTGCAAATCACCTCCATGCTAAACAAGGCACAAAGCTCGAATACGTCCGCAGTTCCCGACACTGACGAGCTCGAGATCAGACGAGAGACCAAAGCGTCCGCCCTTTCGGCTACTAGGGGCTCAAGCGTTTTCATGGACGCCATCGAGTATGGGCTGGCAGTTAGTTTTCGCCGTGCTGCGTGAAGGTCTTTGTTCCTGTAAAACTTCTCAGCAGCAGCTCGAACAGCTTGTTTCTCCTGCAGAATGAAAGGCTCGCCCGACATACCTCATTTCGAATAAGTTGGGTTTTCCTATTAAAGTGGCGGAGCTGTAGAAAGCCTCATCTTTGGTTGTCGTTTTGGCATTTCCGTAGATGTGCCGGTAATATCTCCAATCTCCAACCGAGACTTCGTTCGGCCCAAGGCGAACAATAGGTCCATATTGCTTGTGGAGTTCGAGTAACCTCTGGAGATATATCGATTAGCACGGTGAAGACAGACAAAAGAAATCTACAGCATTCGAAAAGAGCATTACCTGTGCCCTTCGGCCTTGGACCGCATTGAGAGTAATGTCCATTGATGAAAATCGACTGAGAGCAGTTCCAGGTACATTCTTCAGCGGGCTAAATATTCCTTTGAACACAGCCTGTGCCACCGTGAGCAGTCAGCCGTGAAATGACCCCGAGGGCGTTCCTTCACGTAAGATGGTATTTACCTTGGTCAATTGGAAGACAACCAACACGGTCAAAAGCCCAGCAACTAACATGAGAGCGTTGGTGCTGACGGTACGAAAGTCCAGCAGGCTGTCAAGGAGACAGGCAAGACGTTCTGAAGCCATGTCACGGAACACCAACAGCTGCTTGTTTCCGAAGGTTGTGACAAATGTTGATGTGAATGTCACTGAAGTGCTCGGTCTTTCTGAACCTTTCGGAATTCGTTGTCGTGGAATAGGGTTAAATGTGACAAAGAAGAATGGAAGTATTCGGTGGTCGCACCTTTTTAAATGGGTTAGTAGACAGTCTCCGTGTTCTCTCAGGGACCTCAATCGGTAAATAGAGGTATGTGGTAGCGGACGTGGTAGGTATTGGGATCCAGGACGCAGGGCCCAACACAATCACTTCAATGTGCAAGGTATAGGATGGGGTGGAGGGGCGTCCTGTGGAAAAGACGGCGAGCTGGAAAGAAACTCCAAGGCAAGCATGTGGATCACATCGGTCAACCAATCCCAGTCTAAAATCAGCGCTCGATCCGCTTGTTTGTTGGACATTTCAAGTCTAGTCATCGGCTTGTGGACCACAACATTGTCCGAACTTTCTCGATGACAAGCATTTCACCCGTTGAACGCCATGTCGTAGGTCCTTTCGATGTTAAAACGCCGGGGACAGGCATAATCGACAGGTCAGCTCTTGTTGAGAACATGGAATGGTGTTTCTCGGTCCACAACCTTCAGTCTTCATCTTTGAGATATGAAATTTGTGGAGGCCCGACCAAAAGCCCCAAATAGGCTCATACTCGTTCGAGCTTGTGGAGCCGATCCGATCTCCTCCTGCAACTTAGCCGAGAAGGGGAAAGCTATTTGGTAGCATTGACCCCGGGCTTGGGGAACCCATGTAGAGAGAGACAAGTGGTAAAGCATAGTTTCATTGGCACGACATAATGTAGGAAAGGCTGCCCGAATTGAGAGAAATGCCTGAGGTTGGCGAACCACCAATCAGGTCTTGCATGATCGGTCGCGTATAGTCATGTGAACATTTTCTTGGCACCTCCTATTTGTATCTTCAAGTCGGTCATCACCAAGCGTTCCTCACGTAAATTTCAAAATTTTCGTGTATCGATTGGCTGCAACTTAGTGTGGTAAGCAGCTATACTAGGGCTCATCCTACAGGTTCAAGAGGAGCAGCACCATCACCCTTTTCGAAGTTCGTCGGAGACAAGAATTCCGAGACGTGCCCGATACAGTAGTGCTTCAACTCCGCTCGAAGCTCGATTATCCTTCCTTAGAGTCCTTCAGGTACCAATTCATCGATTCAGTCACCAATTCCAAGTGCCCGCCATGGTGTTTGGAAAGAGGGGCCTCCCGAATATTCTTTGGCCCCACATCCCCAGACTTTTTATATTGCTAGGAGCAGGCCCAGGTGTTCTTCTACCCCATTTATGGTTACCGCCCAGTCCCACATTCCCCCCAGGCCCCCATCCCAAACCCCAGAAGGCAGGGTTGGGTTCTTGGCTGAAATCTATGTCAAGTCGTAACAAACACCCCAAAATTTCCATATTCTAGCTGTAAATTACGCTAACGAGCCTTTCGACGCACTATCCACCACTAGTAGCGTCTAGTCCTATTAGCGTGGTCCTTTGCAAGTTGGACCAAGGATAGGGAATATCACTAAAATATACTAGTAGAACATTAAAATGGGCCCTTGAAATTTTGTGAAATTTTACGATTGAAATCAATGAGGCGTAAATTACGGTCAGGAATGTACCTAACACTGGCAGAAGGCATCCCAGTCACATCCATTTCCCGTCGTCGTTCGAGGCCCGGGTGCAAACGCCCGCCGCTCCATCAATAAGGCCATTCATTTTTCATGATGCGCCGGCCACCAATACACCTCAGAGCTAGACTTTCCCTGGGCCTTGCACAATGGTCGCTTGGGCCACTGTACAGTGCCTTGGGCTCCCAAGACCAGGCTGTATCACAAGGTATTCCCGAAGCCACGCAGGAAATCATCAGTGCTGCTAGTACTATCTTGACAGATGCGTATGGAGCCGGATTTGGAAATATATGGGTCGCGGCTCGGGACTGATCAGAGGATTGATAAGCGGTTACTGCTAGTCCGTTGAGAGGTATGCATTGATATCACGAGCTGCTTGCCACTGGAAGGTTTGACTAACACAATAGATTCGAGCCAACATGATGGGACCCATGTACAGGACGACAGGTTGCCACATGGGAGACAGCCTGCTTCGGCAACCTGCTTGGCTTGTTGTCAAACTTCTCTCATTGAAAGAGTGCTCTGACCAAATTCGGTCAGAGGGTGGCATTGAGCCTATCTCTATACCTATCTAAGGAGTGTACGTCATCATTGTTGCCTGTCAATGGTGATACAGTCTGGAGAGCGTGAACGTGCCGAGCCAGAAACCCGATCTAGGCAGCTGCACGGGAGAACGCCAAGAGAAACTGTAGCGCAATAGGCCCGTGAGGCAGAGCACTTCCTTTCTAACCTTAAGAATACCTTCGTCTTTCGCTATCTTTGATTGGGGTCATTCAATTGTCACATCTCAAAAGCTATGACTTTTACACGGGCAGACCGTGATCGTTTTGAGGATCTCCGGCGGAAGAAAAGAGTACATTTCAAAGGCAGCGTGGGAGCAGCCGAATGGCCCCCAACTCATCGACATAACTTCGCAGCTATCCGAAGTCTAGGAGATTTAAAGTACGATGAATACTCCGTCGGGGCTCACCCCGATTTGGTGAACGAACCATGGAAAAATCGAGTAAAGGAGCTCGCAGCCGAACTTACGGAGAGAGCGAGTCGATGTTGCCGCCGAAATGAAGCAAGTTGGCGTTTCGCTTGTGAACCGGTGATATTTGCTAGGATGAATGCTGATGTTACGTGGTGAGCAGTGTCAATCCCTTAACTCTCGACCACGTATTCCTGACGATTTCCTATAGCCCACAGTGCAGAGGAAGATTGTGGAGGTCAGAAATAGAAGTTTCATGGGAAGGCAACAGCCGAAGAGCAGCTGCATTGAGGAAACGGCAGGAAAGTCGTAGGCCATGCCGTTGTCCTCGTTCTACGCGGCAAAATGACCCGTTTGTTTACAACGATTGTGAACGTCTGTATGTGGCTAATTCTTTCTAGCCATGAAGCAATCGGTCTCAACCGCATATTCACTCATCGGGAGCAGGAACTTATTCTCCATTCTCGGGACCTAGCGGAAGAGCTCTCGAAAGAACAATACCCGGATCGAATATATGGCCTTCGACAGACGAGGAACTTCGAGGAAACCCTGTATAGCCATGCCAAATGTGAATCAGCACAAGACGATAAACTCGTTCGGGATCTGGTCGACGTGTCTCCACTCTCGCTGGATGGCGATCCATTGCTCTTTCCTTTCCTTATCCTTGAAGCCAAATCCGGAAAGTCAGAAGATGATTGGCATTCAATAAAACTGCAAACGACATTTCCTATTCGAACGTGTTTAGACGTTCAACATACCGTACAGCGAGCGTCCGGGAACGACTGCCGATGGCGAAGTGGACCCTTGGTCTGGTTCTTCATGAACAAAGGTGAAGACTGGCGGCTTTGTGCAGCATATATTCAAACACGCCCTTGTCCCAAAGGCCAAAAACCCAGAAATGACTACGTATGACTCCCGACCCCCCTTCCCAACTCCATACTGCAAAGGTTCAGAAAATTGTCCTATGAGCATTGATTGACTCTGACCTAATATTTGCAGTATATTATAGATTTGTGGAACGGGTCTATCATCTCAAAAGATGGGGCTCTTCAGCTTCTTCTGATTGTCGACTACATTTTTGACTGGGCCAGAGATTCATTTCGGCAAGAGATCCTCACAGAACTCCGGACCCTGTCTAGAGGGGTGGAAGAATCCACAAGCACATTTCCGGATACAGACTTGATGTCTACCAAAGAAATTGCGATCCCCAGGGCTCCTGATCACTCTGTTGGAGGTGACCAAGAGAGAGATTTAGACCTTCGTTCTGCATCCCATCCATGCGACTCCAAGTGGGGCATGGTGCGACATGCTGCTTTTGTCGAAGACAGGTTCTGTATGCTTTTCATCACTCGAGATAACGTGCAGACCCTTTTACAGTCTACAAGTCCGAATGTTGTCAAGCTCCTTGCTCGATTGATCCTAGCACAAATCTTGGCACCGGTTTTCATTCTGGACATTGAGACCTTAGATGCCCTTGAAGAGCAATGGACGGGTACTGCCAGACTTTCACGACCATTTGGTTTCACCCACATCAAGTTCTTCACGGCCTTCACATTTGGGACGTATATGGGCCTGTCTTGGGTGCAATTAAGAGAGCTTTGCGTCATCGCCGTTGCGGAAGATGCCTTTGAATCTGTTGTTGCTGGTTCAAAGTTACGACCCGGCAGAGGAAACGCTCGAAGGCCGACACCGTCTCCCGTGGAGAAAGTTGATGTAACGCTCATAGTTTCTCGTTTCCAAGCCACGACGCCCCAACAGACCCTGCTTGCCGCTATCAAGCGAATTCTACTGCGTTGTTTACCACCCCTTTTCCGAACAGATGACCTGCAGCTGACCCTGGACGACGGGACACTTCGAAACATTGTTGGTTATGTTTATAAATACTTCAAAAAGGGTGTGCTGGAGCCCTCTGAATCTTTTCTTCGTGTCAGTAGTCGCCATGTGCAGATTCAGACCGAGTCGGGAGATGAAAACTTGCATCATCACTTCAAAGATCTAGACAATGATTTGAACGAAGATTTGCTGGTCTCCAAGAGTGGGGCAGTCCTCATCTGTGGGTATGGTCCAAATGCTGGCATACAAAGGTCGAAACAGTCCGATAACTGTATCTACTTCGTGGGAAACCCTGTGGAAGCCCTGGACCAATCAGGCGTGGCGGCGGCAATCAAAGACACTTTCGAAAATTTCGATGTATATCATACGACCCGGAACAACGGAACTGACAACATCAGATCCCCGTCCAAAGGTTCCAGAGCACCCTGGAACCTTGAAAGGGTCTACGGCATTGACACGAGACCCATTGGATTCGTCAGGTGGCTGAAGTGTCTGGGCTCGGATGTGATGAGCAGGCAGGGTTCCCCCAGAGATCCCAATGGCTCTGGCAACTATCTCCTGACTAGAAACATTAGGCCGTGGCACGATCCCCGCCTCATTTGGATTCGCCAGGACTATGAGATTTTCCTCCTATACAAGTTGATGACCACAGAACTTCTGTACTGGAGAGGAGTGGCTCAAGAGCGAATGGAACAGGGAATTGTCTGCTGTCAGGCGTGCGCTGCGCAGGACTCCTTGATACAGACCTCGGAACCCTTCATGTGTAGTCGTTGCTGGCAAGAGATCCAAGCTCCAAGATTTCCCAGATGGGTTTCAGATACCTTGGCGGGAGGTAGACCAGGAAAATGGACTCGAGTTGAAGAGCAGAATTACAGCAGTCCGGACCTTATTTCAACCAAGCACCACTGGTGGAATGATTCACTAAATACCTACACTGGTGGTGACCTTCCTCCTCAAGAGCAGTGGTACAAAGACGTCAGTGAGTATCCGGATTTGGACAAAGAATTCGTGGACTTGGGCGATCTGCATAAACAGGCTCTGGGGTATGCCAAATATAAAGGAAAGAGATACGGGGTGCCATCTGCGGGGTCTCGTAAGCGGTCCAGATCCCCTTCTACAAGCGACACTGAGTGAAAATCTGAAAGAATTGGGTTTTAGCGCTTAGACTCATGGGATACTCTGAGCCGAAGCTGAGCCGATCCCGACTTGGCTTACATAAAACGGCCATGGCCGGGTATCGTGGACGGTTTTGGACAAATCTGCGCAGGTAACTGATTTTGCTGTCACGACAGGAAAAGCAGCGTCGAGTTACAAGAAGCAATCAACTCCATGTTCGTTTGGTATGAAGGAGCTAGGATTTGCTCTGGCTATGTCTCTGATATTACGGATAAAATTCAATCGATCGATCAAGCTCCGTAGCCTACGAAAGGATGGGACTCTGCAATGACTGACTGCATCGCCAAAATCTTCCCAAAACTATCCCTGATCGACCGTCCATAATCCATCAGTGTTTTTTTGGCCCGAGGTCCTGAACAATAAAAAGGACTGTTGACACGGTAAACATAGCGGTGCACATGCCCTGAGCTTCTCGACGTTAGACATCCCGGCCAGAGGACGTGGCGTACTGCCTTATGGGTCCGTTTTCCGTTCACATACTAATGCTCTACGGCGAGGGAGGTGACAGGGGCATTTTACCGACCTCAAGAAGAAATCATTAAGAGATCGTGCGGTCACACCATCTTCGCTTGGAGGGATCCCAGCTATAAAGTCTGGGCTGATCATGACATCCTCGCGAGGTACCCACTGCAGCTTGCACGTGTCACTTGCGCAGCGAACACTCTTTCTATCTATGCGATGCCATTGAGCTGCACTTTATATCATGAGAGTAATTCTTGGTCGGACGACTGGTATGTCATGCTCTTTAATCATTTCCTTGGTTTCGGTTTCTTGGGTATCATTCTTCGCCTTTGATCATCGCGAGAAAGCTTCACGGATCAATGCTCACAATTCGTTCTCCTGAAACATTGGGGGACGACCCCGATGACCTTGATCCGATTGACGAGCAAAACAAGACAAGATGATCTTTATCGACACTTGGCCTTCCAACCCTCGAAGTTCTTGCTCCCGGGTCATTTCGGCCGAAATGGAGGATACGTACACCCATTGGCCCCAGAGGTAGCGTCTCGATGTCTGATCTGCTTACGTCTCAGATACGGAATCTCGGGAGTGGAATGGAATTTGCTGGGCCGTGATGTGGAAGCCGCATTGGAGCAAACAGCTTAAGGACGGTGATTTGGGCTCTTTCTTCTTTAGGCGAGACGGCACCGCGAGGAGATTATCATAGGCCTCGCGATCAAGCAAAAGAATTCGCCATAGTGTGAGCGTGATCACGATCATGACCGCGGCTGCTGGTCATGTTTTGTTGCAAGAGGACAGGAACGTGCGGAAGAGACACATGGGAGGAAGAAGCACCGGTCAGGAGACAATATGAAAAAGACGTTTCCCGACGTAGAGAGGGTGATCAGACCATCGCGAGAAGTGTGCGATGGGCCCAAAGCGCCAAGTCAGCCACATGCAGCAATGCTTCAATTCAACGAATCAGGTATGATCAGATAGGGTCTCACAAACAAGATCTCCACGGCAGAGTATACTTATTCTGAGTGACCAGGCCCAAATGACTGAAGGTAGCGAGAAGAGCCATTGGTTCCCGTTGAGGGCCGCGCCTGGTAGCATTTCAAGATGCCCACTTCCGAAGATTGTGGTCCTTGGGAACCGTGTTCGTGTCCAAGGCAGAGGAAGAGAACGCGAACACGGAGATGATTGGATGCAACTACTCGTATGTTGTACTTTTTCTGATCATGTGACGCCGGGGGACCGACACCACGATCAATTGTGGCTCGCATGCCGATCAGCCTCGGCCAATTGTATAAGAAGGCTGTTGTCTTTCCCTGGCGACAGGAGGATCGAAGTGGGAACAAAGAGAGATCTCGGGTCCTAAGAATCTCATTCTCAGTCTCAGTTGGTAAGCGAGGTAGAACGCGCATAATCGATCTGATTGGTCTCCCGTGCTTCATCTGAATCATCACCTTCCAAAGGCGGTACCACAAAACCACTCTATCGTCTCCCCCTCACTCGCTCGCTCGTTCATTCTCGTAACAAAGATAATGATGGATCAATATCAGCCATCCTTGTCCGAACAGCAGATGCAAAGGAAAATGGTATCTTAATTCAAGACATCAACCACAAATCCCAACAAACGGAAAGTTCATCAACCTCGTACTCCCAACATGAGAAAATACATTCAGCCGGCCTTGTGTGCTTAACAACGTTCTTCATGGAGCGCGTCGAGAGACTTCATGCCTTGATGGCGGCCTTCTCGTCGATGAGAGAAAACGAGTGGGATGTCTTGGCCGAGGGTCTCTTGACTCGGAGAACGGCATCCTGGTTGGACATTCGACGTCCGAGAGCCCGGTCGACTTTGGCGCCCAAGCTCAATTTACTCAGGTCGTCTGTTTTCTTTTGACTGGGCACAAAGCGCTGTTGTTCCAAATGTTTGTTCTCCAGTCGGTCCAGACCTTGCGTCAGTTGACGGATCTCGGCCATGCCGGTCTCTGGGCCGACGGTTGCCGAAGCCAGGGTGGTGGAGCAGTGGGAGTTGGTGGTCGCGAAGCTGGGAGAGGCCGAGTATGTCGAGTAACGCTTTGACGTGCGCTTGGAGGTGACCTGTCGAGAAGAGAGGATGAGTCAATTTGTTCAGACACAAACGAGGCTGGCGACGAAATGGAGAGAGTCCCACGTACACTGGGAGCCATTATAGGTCTCTGTGATTCAAGTGACCGGCGACTCATGGCTGCGGATAGGGGGGTTTGCGGTTGCAATACGGCGTCAAAGTCCACAATAATATGGTCAATGCGTTTGTCGTGCCGGGCCGTCGGAAGAACAGGCTCAGGACTGGACAATGCACCGTGCTCGGCAAGGTTGTTCCCAATCTTTCACGACACCGAGAGGATGAGGAAATGATTTGGGAAGAAAGGCTGAGAGGAGAGGCGGTTTCGGCGTGTCGTCAAGAGCGGTGACGGTAGGAGTTTGGGCGAGGACTTTTTAGTCCGTCGTGTTGACAGTTCGGTGTGGGTAAGTTTGCATGGGCTGACACCCGGGTGATTTAACTTTGTTTCTCAGCGAACCGGTCAGGCAGAAGGCGGCGAGGCACAGGATCGACGGAGAACGGAGAGAGGAGTCAGTGATAAAGACGAAATGGAGGGTGAGGGGAGTAGTTATGGGCCGAGTGAGGGCTGATTGACTGAGGGACGTTGGGCCGATGTGGGAGGCTGGCCAGGAGGATATATGGATTAGATTGTCCGGAGAAAGAGTTGGTGCGAGGAAAAGCAGGAGGGCGAAGAAGAAGAGAAGGCATAGAGAAGGACCTTAGCGAAGTTGCTGAAACTGGTCTCGTGGTGTCGTTTTAGAACCTGGCTGTGAAAGTGGATGAAAAGTGGAGGGCAGACCCCTGGACCAGGCAGCTGGCTGGGTTGATGCCGGTCCGCACAGGAGGGCACCGAATTCAGGCAAGCTCCTGTACTAAGCTCTCTTCAAGTCTCTTCTGGGGCAGTCCCCGTTTAGCTCACAACAGCCTATAGTAGCCAATTCCTCATCATTAATGGCAAATTCGCCATTAAATTGATTCATCCGCAGGCTGCAATGGTCCCCCTCACCGTTTGACATACACAATTCCCATGTATCTTTTTTCGTCTTTGTTGATCCGACGCCTTTTTCCTCTCTTTACATTCCTGTCCGGCTCCTGCCCCCCTTCCACGTTGGGTTATTGTGGCTTGCGTTGGTGACCCAATTCTCGGCCTCTCATTCCACGTGGCCGTGGAGCTTTGCACCATAGCCACCATGGCCACAAAATCTAATTGACCATTCGCAGTTGCAGATGGCTTTCTTGTTCTCTCGGGCGCGGGTCCAGAATATGGTTGAACGGCCTCTGCATGACAATTGATTCCCAACTTCGCGTGTTCCTGGCACTTGTACGGAACGGAGTATGTCGCTCGTCCCGTTCTCTTGGAAGGGGAGGCGTCAGTTGTCATAACTGGACACTGCAGGCAGCTTGACCAATTCGGCCTCCTTGCTCTTCCAAGCGAGATCAACTGCCAACGGCGTACTCCTTCCCACTGGATTCTTCATCCGAAACTGCCATGGATCTTCACCAGAAAATCACCACCACGGGCATGGATCACCATTGCCGTGGTTCTCCTCATCCCTAGCCTCTGGCCAAAGCAAGTCATTCGTCCCCTTTGGTCACCAACACCTCTCTCCCCCCCTCTCTGGGCATGCATTGACATCTCCCAACCTGGCACCTGCATCCGTCCATCCCTGATGATCGGACATAGACTATTCTGTTCTGGTCAATCCGGCGTGTTTCACCACATCAGGTGAGTCTGGTCCCCAGCCCTAGGGTCCAGGCGAACTCGACTGTAGCTTTGTCCGCCGCCGGCGCCGTCCGTTCCATGTCCACTCACAGACCCCAAATCTCCCTTGTTGGGTCACTGTGGTCAGCCTGATTCTTTCAAAGTCGGCCTTTATCCGCCTATCACGGTGACGTTTCCATGGGGGTATTTTTAGTCCCCAATCGCAAAGAAACATGCCAAAAGACTCGAATTGATGAACTACTGAGTATAGATACCACTACGACTCCGAGCTGATGGATGAGGCTGCCGGGAGGACGTACCCAGGTACGGATTACTGCGATCATCGAACCTCGATCATGTCCAACAGCAGCACTCCCATGTCCGAGAAACCAACGCGTCTCGCCAACCCAGTCTTTGATCCCACCGCGGCCCTTCCCTCGCGCCCCATTATCACCGCACAAAAAATGCTTCTTGTAGTCCGTTCCCGATGATAAGACACCTCGCGCCATGCTCCAGCCCACAGCGAGGTAGCGCACCCCCAAGTCCAGTTTCTGAATCCTGACTCCGGTGGCGTGTGACCGTCATCGAAGATGAAATGTTGTCTTCATCACCATCACCTCAGTCATGCCCAAACCAGGTTCCGTGCCAGCCTTGCGCCCAGTCATTGATCGTAGCGGTCAAGCCCCATGTCTTCGCGAGCCAGAATGCAAGCCCACCGACCACCCCGAAACTGCCCACAATCTGCAGCGCAATCCAACCGCGAGTTCGCATGTTGTCTTGCCATCGGAGCAGTCCCAATGGGTCATGCATCTGATAGCTCGGCACCTCACCGAATCCCAGGCCCGACTTGCCTCCTTTGGGCACCAGGGCATGCGAATGGTCATGCGGCAAAATCCGGCCGTCGCGTACTTCTTCTCCCATTCTCTCCACCAACCACAGTGCTCGCTCTCCTCGTGCCAATCTCTCATACCTTTCCCTTTCACGCTGCAGGCTGAGTTGCAACTCACTCGCCCACTTGGACAACCGCACTTGGGCCAGTCGCTCTTCCCGTTGTGTGTGGTCTGCCACTTTGGCCAAGGCCCAGCTATTCGACGTGTTGAGCGACACTTCTGATCCCGCCGGTATCAACACGCCCGAGTTGCTCAGAGACGTCTGCAGCGGCGAGGCCAGAGTCGAGTTGTGCACCGAGGGAAGCGATGGGGATGGAATTGAGGTCAACTTGGGGTGCGCCGCGTGCCAGGCGACCAATTTGCGTGCTGACGTGTGCCGCAGATATGCGACCGTCTCCGGCTCGAATATTTGTTCCACCAGAAGGCCGAGTTCCGAAGGCAGGAGAGGTTGAATGTACTCGGGCGACATCAGCAAAGACGCATCCATCGTATCCAGATCCGGTCCATTCGTCGACGTCACGGTGTATGGTGCCGTGGCCATCGCTTTGGGCTCTGCTTCGGAGGAGAGAGATGTAGGCAGTCGAGGTAGAGACGTAATTCCGACATCAAGGGCCTGTTTGATTTGTTCCTGCTCCTCTGTACTCAGAAGATCGGATTTGGCCACCAGCGGAATGATGTTGCATAGTTCAGACAGATGTCGAATCCGTTCGCAGTCCTCCTTGATGTCGTCTGCAGACCAATTAGTGACGTTGCTTTCCCCTCCAGCTAAAAAAAAAAAAATTGGAATGACAACCCAAGCATACCTTTCGACATCAAATACAGTATAACGTCCACCTGCGACGATCCTCGCCCGCTGAGCAGTCCCGAGAACTCGTTGGTGAGCTGCCCTACCGAGGTCATGGCACTGATAAGCTGCTGTTCTGCATAGTGAATGATCTTCTCCAGTTTGACCGAGTCCGACGTATCCACGAAACAGATATTCCTCTCCAATACCAAGTCTCCCATACTCTTCCTCCGTCTCAGGATCCGACTTTCCTCGACATTGGACCACCAGGCCGGGTACGGTTTGGTACTGGCATAGACTTCATTGACCAGCTCCAATAATCCGGGGGAATCGCGTTGAGAAGCCCGGGCGGAATTCGATGGCACTGGGTCGACATGGACGATGTCTTCGCAGAGCTGGACAATTGACTTGATAAGCGAAGTTTTGCCCACACCTGTACCCATGAGTAAACGTGCCGTATTATATCATCACACGTGCATGCGACATACCTTTGCGCCCCGCTACCATGATCTTGAACCTTCCCAATCGCTTTCCTCGTGGTGTAAAGGGCCTTCGACTCGGCATTTTGATACTCGGCATGATAAGCTCGGGTTGACTGTCCTGAACCACAGCCGGCACATCCCCCTCGTCTTCTTCGCTTGACACCACGGCTTGGCTACCCGTTTCCTCGTTCGTGAATTCATCATCGGATTTCTGGAGGGACCTGGAAGAGACCGATTTAGGGCTGCTCGGCAGGGAAACATCACGAGAGGCGAGAGGTGACGGAGTGATTCCTCGGTCGGGCGGTGGTTGAACTGGTTCGGTACTGGCGGTCGAAGACCCTCTTCGAAATAGTTCACAGCTCCCGGGCTTGATCGTAGATCTTCGCCGACTCCCGCTTCTTACTTCCGCTGGTCGAGGCGGCGCTGTATGCTTCAGCGTCCGATCCCCCTCTTGAATGGCATCTTGCAGACTGCTCACGGCCGGTGGAGACGAGGTCGCTCCCGCACTTCGCTCAGGCGGTGATATAGAAGCATCAGGATCTCGCGAGAGAAAGAAAGTGGTAGGAGGTGCGTTGTAGCGGTCACTAGTTAACGAGGGTGACTCGGCATTTGACAACTTGCGGGGACGAGATTCTGCATTTTCAAAGCCGATTCCGGGTCTCATCGTTTGAACTGGGAAGGAATGAGTACGGGTCTAGGAGGAGGCAATAGGAAGAATCCTGAGGAACTTGGGAAGTGGTGGGCATGAAGAGAAAACGGGGTGCGCTGACAATACGAGGTACGTATCGACACCCAACCTGGAAAGTTGAAGTTGGTCCCGATCGCGGCCTGATGTTACTACCCCACCGCGGTCCACGGAGGGGGCGGAAGTCTTATCCAGCCTGATCCCATCCATCCTCCTGCCATGCCAGTAGGTATGTCTAGTGATTCATGATCCTTCATCACGTTGCTCCCCCTGCTCAGAACCTCGTAAAATCAACCGCAAATTCATCATTAGGTGGGTTCTCTCATGATGAAGGCTAATGTACAAATCACAACCCTGGACCCGGAAGAAAACCCCCTCAACAAAAAGTACATGACCTCGCTGAAAGACACGCTTCCCCTGACCATGACCTGGAGCTGGACGTACCTCTCTTTTCATCCGATGCACGAATCTGGCGTGAAGCTGAAACATTCCGATTCTCTGTTGTCCATATCAGTCCGAAGCTTGCTATGCGAAGACACTGTATCATGAGAAGATAGAAGAGGGGGAAAAAAAAAAACTTTTTCCAATGCGCCGGTGCACCAAGTTCTTAGATCGCCCCATCACTTTTGTATCGCTGGAGTAACCCATGGGAGAAAAGCAAGAAGTGATGACGACGTCGCCCATCTGTGGTGATAATGCCGCTGAATAATCGTTGTTGCGATGCCGCAGTTGCAGCCTCAAGCGGCCGGGGTCTGACCACGTCCCTTGGGAGTGACCGAACCAGATTTTCCGCCTCTCGGTTGAAGACCAGCGCCACGTCCTGCGTCCTTCGGAAAATTGGTCTGACTTCCGGTCCGGCCGCCTTGCATCCCACCACGACCGCGTCCGGTATTGCTGCTGCCACGATTGTAGTTTGTGTTACTGCCACCGTAAGCGTTGGGGCGGGGACGGCGCTCTTCAACGTAGATCTGCTCTGAGCCGATGGTATGTGGGTTGGCAGCAACAGCGGCGGTGTAGCCAGCCGGTTCAAGGAATTCCACAAAAGCACAGTTCTGAGGATTGGTCAGTGGGAGACACCCCAAAGAGGAAAATATACATACCTTCGGTCGTGACACATCAAAGTACTTGAGCTCACCAAAGCGTTCGAGGGCCTCCCGGAGGATTCTGGCATCCACTTTCTCATTCACGTTTTTAATGTAAGCGAGCGTTATGCCCTCAGATGCCGGTTTGTTCTGTGGTCGATTTCCCTTCTTGCTATGGTCGGCGGTTTGCCAGCCATTGCTCTGAGAAGTTGGAGTGCTAGCAGTGGTGTTTGCTGCGGCAGCAGGAGGCTCGGCTGATGTTTTGGGGGCTGGAGCAGGTTGTGCCGGTCTAAAGGCTTTGGGCTGAGCAACAGGGGTTGTGACAGGAAGAGCGGGAACAGCTGGTTTGGCGGCGGCGCCACCACCAACCATGCTTGCCCAAGTCCTCTTTGGTGCCTCAACAGGAGCGGGAGCGGTGGTCTCAGCGGCAGGCTCGACTTGACTGGTTGCGGGCTCTGTTGACGGCTCTGGAGCGGCGGCGTTGGCGGTCTCTCCCACCAACGCTTCTTGTGTATTGACGGCGCTCTCGGGGATCTCTGCTGTTTGCTCGCCAGGGGGTGGAATGACAGCACCGTTAACCCCTGCGCCATTTGCTGGAGCTGGTTCGGGTTTCTCGTCCTCAAGGCTCTCGTCAACCTCCTCCTCAGCAGCAGCAGCAGCCTCGGTAGTAACGGTATCAGGAGCGTGCTCCTGAGCACCAGTCAGACCATCGGCAGGAGTGGCAGGTTGCTCGGCAGGAACTTCGGCTTGAGGTTGTTCGTCTTCTACAATTTCATCTTCGTCGTCGCTGAGATAACGGAAGATGTCATTCAAAACAAAGTAGCCATTGGGCTGCTCGGCGAGAACAAAGGTCTGGACAAATTTGTGGTGCGGCTCCGACTTATTTGACATCTCGCCAATGACTTGGACAACGATATTGGAAAAGGACGACTGGGAATCAACATTGAGGACGCGCACTTTGCAGTCTTGGAAATCAAGCGCTTTGATCTTCTCGCTGATGGCCTGCGGGTTTGTTAGATTTGTTCTGGACTCGCTGACAGACATGTCGTACCTTGGTGCCCAACGCAGGAACAACCTTCTCAGCCTCAACACCCGTGACAAGCTGCGACTTCTTGGAATAAAACAAATGTATCTTTTCCGGGCTCTTGGACAGAGTGGTGTAGTATTGCTCGACAAAATACCAACCAATCTCTTGGGGATCTGCCTTCTGAGCGGCGGCAGAAGTAGTGGTACTTTGAGAAGCAGAAGCACCATGACCTGAGGCAGATGGAGTAGACGCCGCGAGTTCAGCTGGCTGACTGTACTGGTTTGTGCCGTACAGGCCGTTGACAGGAGCATTTTCGGTCGCCATGGTGCGAAATCAGGCGTCAGGTGAAGACTGCGGTTCGCGACCGATGCGAGAGTGAAAACGAGTCGTGTGTAAAGCAGGAAGGATGGAGAAGAGGATTGCTGGGTGACTTGAGGGGCAGAACGCAAAGGATTCAACCCCGTCACGGTGATTTAGTGGTGGTGAAGATCACAGAACCGTAATCTGTCACGCCGGGAAAGGACAGGAGGGTGTCCCGGGAAAAGAATGGTGCGGAAGTAAAAGAGGCGTGAAGCAAATGTAGTTATCGGAGGAGAGATGAAGGACAGGGGATCGTGAACCTGAAAGGGCGAGAATAAAATTAATGGTTTGGGTTCTCTTTTCGATGGAAAATAAAAAAGGTGGAGAGAACCTTCAAGATTTGGAGCACGATGCCAGCGGCCAGCCAGCAAAATACTTTTCCTCCGAACGGCCTTGGCGAAGCCTTGCGCGATGCACAATGTCTGCATTAGCTCTCCAGCGAATTTGAGAACATATGTCAAAGGATACGGCCAACAACATCATCGCTCAGCGACACAGGTGAATACGTAAATGGGGCACATTCAATATGGACGCCTTCCCTTCTGCGTTATGCGATGCAGTCAGTGCAGTCGGAATTATTCACCCAGATCCAGACAATACGGCCGAAGAGACAGGCTTGTTCAGTAGTGGTGATCTCGACAGACACATACAATCCGAGTCACGCCCAGAATGACGAAACCACTCATGCGGCCATGTGACCTTGGTATTCTTTGAATTATATAACCACATCTGACTGGCTAGCACCGTGGTCCGAAAACGAATCATTGGGCGATCTCCTCGGTAGGAAGAGGAGGATTTCCATCGGGTCTGTCCGACCAGGCTGACATATGCCGTCGCAAATGACGCAAGCCGACCGAAATACAACTACCTGTATAACTTACCACATAGAGGAGGTATTGATTGTGGTCAGAATGGAGGTGTAATATACAAAATCCGACGCTGGCGTCGGCATGCGGCTCGTGTTGAGAAATTTTGGGAGATCCCTGCTCTCCCCCTAAGTCTTCACACAATCTGGTAGAGCTAATTGTGCATGGGCAAGGATGCGGAAAGGGCAACTCGCGTGTCAAAGATTTCGAATAGGGAATATCGCAAATAGAGCGGAGCAGTGAAGAGATTACTGAAATTCCATCTTCTATCCACAAGGTCCAGCTGTCGCTGCGGCATCCAGTTCTAAACGGTCATGGGTTCGTGCCAGTCGGCCAAAAGATGGTGCTCAACAGTATATGCCAATACGTGGAAAGGTGACGCCCTGGCCGAAAGTAAAAGGCGCTGTACATTCTACGTTTCATTGCGAAGGGTATCTCCAAAGTCAAGCCTGGCCTGAACGGCCACGCACTTCATGACTCCGAGACTGATTCCTTGATAATCAGTTCCGAGACTATCAGAGATTATGGGCGCAAGGCGTGGGCTTTCAGCGTGCTGTTTCGCTGATCCTGTTGTGTTGATCGTCTGAGGAGTCGTCTTCTCAAAGAAGTAGTTTTCATCCTCGACAGAAATGGTGAAAAGGGCTGGCAGACTTCTGTACGAGACCGAGAAGAGATACGTCGTTCTTTTAGCCTTCCCAAGTTGCGGTTCATGCCGGAATGAACCCTGGCCAATGCGATGAGTTGCGCCAACCAATTCCAGGAGGCTTGGATGACACCACAATTTGTGCGAATGAGCATCGTGAACAGTCTCAGTAGAATCCCGGACTCGGATGGGGGTTGGGCTGCGTCGGTACGGATCCTAAGCTGATCGGTTGTATTTTGTCCATCGAATCATTCACAGGAGTTGCATCTTGCTCCTCTCTCGCCAGACGCTCCTGTTCCTCTCGACTCTTCTTCTTATTGCTCTGCCAGATCCGGTCTTCTTCCTCCAACTCTTTGAGGGCTTCTTCCCATTCCCGCTCTTGTGTTTCGTCTCCAGTCCCGAGTATCTTCTCTACATCCACCTCCTCCCCTCGCTGGAGCTTCTCCACCACCTCTCTCAGCTGCGCAACTTTGCGGTCTGCTTTCCGGATAAAAGCCGTGTATTCATTCTTGACGCCCATAATCCGCATCGCCTGCGATCCGATCAGGAGATAGATCCATATGAAATAAGTGGCAGGGTTTGGAGGCTTCTTCGTTGCAGGTTGATCAGAAGTGGAAGGCCGACTGCGCAGGGCTTTTGGAATGATCGAATGCCAGATAGAAGATTGTGCAACTCGAGGAAAGCGGTGGCCGCTGGGACTAGTATGCTGATACCGTCGAAACTGGCATGTTCTTGAGTAGTTCCGCAGTTGTCGCGTAACACTACGCGCCAGAGCTACCTCTATTCTACCGCATGGCAATGGTGGTTTCATGCCTTCTGGACTCAGTGATGGGTCAGAAGCAGACTTGACACCCGTCTGGTATTAGACACCTCGATTTACTGCAGAACAGGTCCAAATTTTTGACAGCTGCACCTTGTCTCCAAGAAATTGCTTCGGCATACTTGCCTTGAATGTTCGGCATATCTACCTTCTAGCTCCATTACTGACATGACAATGTCTTTTGTCCTTCATCAATATAACACAGACGAAAAACGGTTGAGAAGACGCGTTCAAGACCGGAGATTTGCCTATGTGCTCGTGTACAGTTTGGAAGCATTATTCCCAGAACCTACAGAGGGCGTTCCGACTGTTGGTGTTGAACAATCGGTGACCTATCGTCCGCAACAAACCGACTCATTCTGCAACACTCGCTCACTATGCCGTATCACCATGGATAGGCAACGGCGTTAGACGTAGACCGCGTAGATATATGGATGGGCTCTATCCTGCACTCATTGGGAGAGCCAGAGTGCTCCTTCAAGTTTGACACCTATATTCTCGGCATCCGGCGTAGCGGGAGAATATGCAGAGGACATGGCAATGAGAATGAGCTTTCTAACCCGAGTTTGAACTGGGAAGATTGGAATCTTTGGCAAATCTCGACGAAGGAATGCCTTGTCGTCTATGTCTCTGCAGCTGTCGGAAACTTGCTAAACGGAAACTATGCAGGCTTTCGAATATATGGTTACTTGTGGGCTGTGTCGTGTATGTCAAGGCCGGAAATACTTGCGATACAACGCACAACTACAGAACTATCCCGCTTCCTGGCCCAAAATCTCTCTGGGAGGCGCCCACGCAGATCTGGCGCGGGAAATGCTTAGGACCGAGACGGAAAGGAAGCGGTTAACGAGACGGAGAATTGTATCTCCTTTTCAGATGGAGCCTCGCACCTCTCGATAGACAACTTTCATGCCAGGAAATGGACAAGTTCGCCATTATCACCACGAGGACATATGACATTTCCCTGTGCAGTCACCGGTGTCGGCTTTTGCTTGAAACTTCATCCTGCATTTCGGGAAATCAAAGGGACCGTTTCACATCGGTGCTCAGAACAATCAGATCATTAGGTTGGCAAGACTTAGGTGCCGGTCTGCGTATATGAGGCGTAGGCGGGAGCAACTATAAGTATTATATCTGCACCTGGTAGCCTGATGTCTTCCAGTGTCCGGAATTTGATATGATTGCCTTGCATGGTTATGATGGAGACTGAGACCAATGGGTTGACAATGCAACTGCGCTGGCTGAGTAGTACAACAAGCCGCTGGTGGAGGAATGGGGTGAGGTGCCGGCGGCGAGGAAAAATAATTTGGTGTGGGATATCGATGAATTTGCAGCGCTGGGTTTGAGTTGGGTCTACCAGCAGCTTGACCGTTCAGATGCCGTAAGGATCACGTATTGGCTCCCTTCTCTCTGGTTCAACAGGATGGTCCAGATTATGACGGCTTCCCGGCAATTGCCAACAGGACCCTGAGTACGAAGTCTCGCCATGACTTTTCGAACTGTTTTCATGCATTAGGCTCGCGACTGAATGTGCAAAGTCACAATAATACTGTCTGCATTCGAGACTTGTCATCCAAAACCCTATCCTTGTGCTCAGGACAAAGTTTAATGCCTTCCGTTCTTATCCTACCGACCGAGTGCCTCTCGGCACTAATTTTGTGAGCGCGGTGGGTAAAGCGGCGCGGAATTTTATTCCGTGCCTGTGCTCGTTATTTACCTTGACGCCTATTTGGGAAATCTTTTATGACGCGCGCATGCGACGGATACACCCAAGTCTACATGGATGGCCTGATAGGCATTATCCAACATTCGCATAGGTCATTCATCCTTTCTCAAAAATGATAGCGACTGCGGACCCTCCTAAAGCTTCATCGCTCGATTCCATTCGTGCCGAGTTGAATGTGCCTGCGCCCTCAACCCAGACCCTGAGGTTTCTCCGTACAATCCTAGGTCTCGACGCCCAAGAACCATGCGAAATCTCCTGCGACTCAGCGAGAACTCCAGCAGAACCTAAGAAGGCTGCGAAGCCTCGAAACCCTGCGAAAGGTGTATCCAGACAGGGTCGCAATGGAAAGCCAACATTTCGAATCCATGAAACCGCTAACCACGAGGTCCCTCGATTATCTGCAGTCGATTGCCGCCGAATTGCCACGGAAGTCTTCAACCAGACTTTGAAGCAGCTTGGACAAGCAGCTAAAGTCGAAAGAGACGCCTCCAACTCGAAACCGGAAGGCCTTCCACCGCTCCGGCCTTCGCATGCGGACCGCGCCTTGCAGGAGCGATCGCCAAACAGGAACAAGAAAAAAGATGCCATCAAGTCAGAAGACCGTTCGCCATGCGCCGAAGTCCCGGACTGGAGAGTGGTGGCAGAATGTTCCTCCGCTGCATTGCATTATCTGCGGCAATGTGATAATCGGAAGGGGGAAACGTCCCATGAAACTGGCACGGGAATGGAGAATGCAGCTTTGATATTGTTGGACAGGACGATTACACTGAATCTGCAAGAGCAAGCAATGGCTCAGCTTTCTGTGATACACCAAAGATACTGGGGACACCAAGCCACAAAATGTCCGACACCAAAGGAGGAGCACCTGTCGAAGTTCCTCCTGGGCAGGCAGGATGCCATTGATCAAAACCAAACATTTGGCTTCACTGCGTCAATGCAAAGCCAAGTTCTTCGTTTAGCTATCTTGTCAGGACCGAACTCAATCAGCAAGGAATTCTTGGAGTCACTTAAACTGGAAACCGTGGGAAGTCCCGCTTGGGTGATTGCGCGAGGTCTTCAAAAAGGATGGCTTGATTCTGAAAAGGCAAGCTTGCAACTTCGGACCATCTCATTAGCTTTGACCAAGCTGTATACACTTGCCGTTAATTCGAGATCCGAAGCAGCCTCTTCCGTGGACGTCTTCGACCTTGCTTGTGCGGCGTTACGGATCAAATTCGAGTCATGGACACACTCGGGTCACGTCCCAGACCCAGGAAGAGAAGTCTGGCGACATCTCCACTCTGCTGTCAAAAGGTTATTCACAAATGCAACGGATGTGCAAGCAGCTTCGTTATCGGTTATTGAACGCCTCAGGTTATTCAGAAAGCTGCTCAATATTGCCAGCGTCGATGATACGATTCCGCTGGAACTGATCGAAACTCTTTCGCAAGTGACGCCAAATATTCACGACCAATCAGAAATGTTGCTGCTGATGGAAGAACAACTGCCGTGTTGCGATCCTGTCGCCTTCCTGATACTGAACTGTCGGATAACGGGTTTGAGGCTAAGGTGTATATCAACGGGCATGAAGTCGGCGATAAAACGAACACAAGATGCATTCACCAAAAAGCTGGAACTATCAAAATCAGACCTCGAACGGGTCATTCTCCCCGCCGCCCACCTTCGCAAAGTATCCTGTGAAGCGATGATGACCATTGAGAAACCACCACCGGCAACTAACGAGGACGAGAGTAACGGAGAGCTAAAGCAGGCCATCATTGGCCTGATATTTGCTTGCTCCGTGTTTTTATGCAAGCAAATCCTGTTGGGCCTTTTGCACCCGACTCAATGCCTCAGTGAGGACAGACAGCAGTCTTTTCTGACTACGCTCATCAAGAGTATAGATGCTATTCTATATGCGGAGAAACATGCTCTGTTGAGAACACCAGGACTGCATATCACCGCATGCGACGCTCTTCAATGCTGTTCGTCCACGATCGATTCCTGTCGAGCCCGGCTCCCGGAGCTCCTCGCCAACACCTCCACACAAGCCAACTTCAATCAATTGCGCGTGCGGCTTTCCCAGATATTTTGGCGTCGCTTCTTGAAGGCCGTTGAGGAAAGAAAGGGTCTGCAGGAACAAATTCAGATTTTGGATTCATCACTCAAAGGTCTCTCCCAACTGCCTGTGACGGACCAGAAAGCCGCCTACTTGGGTTTGAAATATGAGAGGCTGGCAGCTTGCTACTTGGAAGTTTCCCACTATGAGATGGCGAAATCGGCGCTCCACCAAGCCATCAGCTTCAACATCAGAGACGGGACCCTCAGTGATGTGGTAGAACTTCTTCTGGCCGGACCCTTCTCACGTGCATGGTCCAAATCGGATTCGAACTGCAAGTCCTTGGCGAGGAACCTGACCACATACGCTCAAATATCACCTTCCCTTTCCACCTCTGAAGGTAATGATGATATCTTTTATGATTGTCGATCGTTACCGGCGATACACCGGGCAGCGCTTCTGGAAAAACAGGTTTATGCCATGATGGAAAAGGGTGTGTCCGGCCATCAATTGAGTCTTTGGGGAGCGCAGGTGACGGTCGTTTGGGAACTTCTAAACCAACAGGAATATCATGTATACAGATTGAGATTTGTCAACAACCTTCTTCACTTGGCATTGAGGAGGAGGATGTCAACCATCAATTTCCCAATTGACTCTCGGCAGGTTCAGACGCTTCTAGCACCCCGCAAGAAGCAACATGGAACGATCTTTCTTCAGGAATACGAACCAGGGCTTCGCTCGTTGCTCAAGTTACAATCGGGTTTTTTCATGGGCCTTGTCACCATGGAAAGTCTGGAAGAAGAGGTTAAGCATTTGTCTGGAGTAATTCGAGCATGTGAGGTGGCGGAAAATGCTGACAAGCTTCTCGACAACCTGGGGACATGTGTTGCGACGCTCCAGCTCTCTGCTGACTACGCATCTGTCTTTGGAACTCCGAGGACTGGTCTCATGGCTCTGGAGACGATCCACCACATTACGGAACTCGGATTTACGTCTCCCGAGCTATCAAGAACCAATATTCTCATCCAGGCTGGCAGGCTCCATAATCATCTTCAGGACCTTCGTTCCGCCCAAATTTACCTCGCGGAGGCTGAGAAGACGTTGGACAGGGACGAGGCGGGCTCTCTTCTCGAGGTGGAATTCTCGCTGGCGTATTCCGAGTATCACTTCAGTGCGGGTGATTTCCCCCAATCCTTCGACTGGCTACGTCGTGCCAAGGGTGCGTGGGAAATGCAGGAGAGACCTCCCGGCGCATTATCAAGCAAAGCGCGGTTGAGAGAGCAAACGATTCTTTGTAGATCGTTTCACCTGGCATCCCAATTAGCCTACCAGCAAGGTCAACTTTTGGCGGCCACCATGTACGCAAGACAATCTGTCAAAATTGTCGCAGGCCTGTGGATGTCAATCGACAAGATATGGAGCTCTCCGGACCACGCTCTACCGGTGACTTCGCCTGCACCCGATGTGAACAATCTGGCCCTCGAGTGGTCCGGGCTTGACCGGTCACTCCAGCAGACACAACGATTGACGCCGAGTGTAGCTATCTATGGGCCGCAGATCTCACTTTACTGCTCGATTTTCAGCCATTTGGCGTTTCTCACTGCGCATTGCGGTCTTTACCAGGACGCAGTATACCTCTACGAGCAAGCACTGAAGGTCGCCAGAAATACCACGCAAACCATTGCCGCAGCAGGCATCCTAAGTCAACTAAGTCTCCTACATGCTCGTGCGGGTCAGTGGGAAAAAGCAAAACAAGGGCTCAACGAATTGCTGCCGCAGCCGGCTTATGACAACACACCCCTCAGTTCAGCCATCATGGCAATAGACCAAGCCGAAGTGCATTGTCTTTTTGGAGACCCGTCATCCGCTCGTCAACATCTAGTCAAGGCTTCCCAACGCCTTCTCAGATACAGCCAGGCGGAGGAGCCCAAAATTGGTGAGAAGCCGAAAAGCAAGAGGGTGAAGGTGTCCTCGAAAGCTCCGGCGAGGAAACCAACGGTCAAACTGCAGAACAAACATATTTCCATGTCCACTCCATCAGCAGATCCCACTTTAGCGTCTTCCGGACTTTCCGTGGAGTTACGACGTGCAAGAGAGAGACTTTCCGCTCTGGAGGTTCAACTCCAACTGCTGGACCATCATCATTCCAACACCAATGGAGCCGGTTACGCATTGAATCTGGAGAGCCGCGTCGAAAGTCCCCGCGGATCAACAGCGGAAGCCCTGTACTTGGTTCAATCGGCACTGAAATTGTTTTCTGAGGATGCGGTAAGCAATGTCCTCGCAGAAACGGCAATAGCGCTTCCTGTGAGATACAGATCCACCAGGACGAGCGGCCGGGTGTCTTTTGTACAAGAAGCGGCTCCGCGGGCCACACTGAATACGAGTACGGGGCGGAACAAGAAAGACCCTGACCACAAGTCAACCAGAAATTACAAGCACAAGGAAGGAGAAGACCTTCTCCGTAAAGCCCATCACATATTATGCAGAGTGAAGGAATCTCCGCAGAGCCGAATTCCGTGTGAAACAATGCACGCCTGTCACAAAATTCTGGTGCAGATAAGTCTCCTATCCACCGGATTGGGAACCCCATTTGTCTCCTCCTCTTCGGAGCTGGTTCGGGACGCCTTGACTCCCATGGATTCAGCACGAAGTCGAGAGCGCATCATTACTTCGAGTGAGATAGCTACCGCCAAAAGAACCAATGTCCAAGGCTGGCCAGATTTGGAAAAATGCAATGCGGCCCATCCCGCTGATTTGAACCTGTTGCTGACTGACGACATGAGCCTTTTGCCAGCTTCCTGGTCGATTGTGTCTCTCGGATTGAGCGAGGACAAGAGCGAGCTTCTTGTCGCGCGATTGACCCGCGAGAGGTCACCGTTCGTGGTCAGAATCCCGTTAGCGAGACCGGATCCGTCTGACGCGGAGAATGGAGAGCTAGATTTCGAAAGTGCCAAAGCCGAGATCCAAGACATCGTTGCGAAGGCAAATTCTAGTGCCCATGATCCTAGAGGATGCTCGGCAGACAAGTCCATCAGGAAAACCTGGTATGCGGAACGCCAGTCGTTGGACCAGCAAATGGCAACTCTTCTGGACAACATTGAGAATGTCTGGTTTGGAGGATTCCGAGGACTGATCCGGGCTTCTGACGTGGACCACGATGCACGTTTAAAATTCGGGGAACGCCTCTCGGTCACTCTGAACAGGCACCTTCCGTCCCGTCAAAAGTCATCCAAGTCTGTGGATGCCAAAATTGAACTCCACGCTCACGTCTTGGAGCTCTTTATGACGCTGGGACATCCACGAGAAGTCGACCTGGAGGACTCGATCACGGATTTGCTGTACTTTGTCGTGGACATTCTCCAATTCAATGGTGAGCGAAATGCATATGACGAGATCGACTTCGATGCTGTGATGGTTGAGGTATTGGACTCGTTATATTTATACTACGACGAGAGACTGAATGCACCAAACCCCTCGCACGTGATCCTGGTAATGGATAAAGAATTGCAGGTGTTCCCGTGGGAATCATTGCCGTGCCTGAGGGGTCAATCAGTGTCGAGGATGCCTTCGCTAGGAGCTATATGGGAAAGAATTGATTCAATCCGAAAACAAAACGGCAACAGTCAAGGTTATGTGATCCCTGCGTCGGATGGTGCGTACCTGCTCAATCCATCCTCCGATTTGACGTCGACGCAAGAAATTTTTGGCCAAATATTTCCAAGCCAGCTTCCCACATATGATGCCATCGTCAATCGGCCGCCAGAGGAAAAAGAATTCGAGACGGCGCTGCGTGACAAGTCTCTAATGCTCTATTTTGGCCACGGCGGAGGCGCTCAATACATCCGCGGCCGCACAATTCGCAAGATGGGCAGATGCGCCGTAACGTTGCTCATGGGATGCAGCAGTGCCAAAATGACGGAGTGTGGCGTATATGAGCCTTATGGGATGCCTTGGAACTATATCAATGGAGGCAGCCCGGCCGTGGTGGGAACGTTGTGGGATGTCACAGACCGAGACATTGATCGATTTGCCTTGCAGCTGATGGACGATTGGGGGTTGGTCGACGCAAAAAGTGATTTAGACACGAAATCCAACAAATCAGGCAAAGGTAGGAGTGACAAAGGCGGCAAGGCGCGAAACCCTGCAGGTTATACACGGAAGCGAGGAGTGGTGGCATTGGATCAGGCTGTGGCACAAGCTCGAGATGCCTGCATGTTGAAGTATTTGAACGGCGCAGCGCCGGTGATGTACGGGATCCCCGTATTTTTGGACTAGACCGACGACAGTATGAACAAGGGTAGAAGTATTCAGCAAACCGTGGGAGTTGGTAGCCGGACCGGGGGAGGCTGGTGAGGTTGAGATAAACCTACCAATCAAAAATCGAGGCTGTGACGCAGGCTATTTCGCCGCGAAAAGGCAACCATCTTTCATACCTCTGCTCTTCTCCCCGATCCGTTCGTCTCTATTAAACGCTGCCTACGCTCCTTTCGTGCCTTACCTCACCTTCCATGCAACTTGACTCTCATCGTCGTCAGCTGAGCATCACCATGCCCTGCCCGTGGTCCCGCCGCTGCAGAGCAGCAAACATGGCCCCAACCACCCCCCAGGTTGAGGACTGGAAGCAGATCCGGAAACGCAACCTCCGCATGATGAGGAGGCAGGTCCGCAACATTATCCTACTGATGGCACTCATGGAAGCTATGCGTGTTGGTCCCGTCGAGATCGTGTACGCCGGTCGTCATGGCTACCCAGCTCCAGCCCAGGAGGACTTTGGCGTATGTGTGACCCAACCAGCCTGATCATGAGAAGAGTAAATACACTGACATTGTCACTCACAGATTGCCTACACCGTCGGATACGTCCTCAGCTGGCTCTACGTTTGTGCTTTCATGATTGTTTTCGTGCCCCTCTTCAGCGTAAGCGGTCGCCCCCCTGCAGCCATTAATTGTAACGCACCTTGACTGAAATCACAATCATAGTGGTGGATCCCCAATACCTCGTCCGACTCCAAGACCTCCTCCATCGCCGAGAAACTTCTTGAAATCCTCAAGAAGATCAACATGGTCCTCCTCCCCGTGTCCATCGCCGTCAGCCTGCTCTGGCACATCTGCTATACCGTCCAGACCTTCATCTACGTGGAATCCCGACCCGTGGGATCCCACGCCTGGCCCAAGCACACACGCAGGAACTGGCTTGTCCGCTTCTTCATGTTGCTGGGCATCGCCATCTCAATCTCTTGTGGCTATGGTGCCCTTCAGATCCTTGCGAACTTGGATCTTGCGCACGTCAAGCCCTTGGAATACGCCGTCATCGTAATCCCGGCACAAGTCAACTTTGGCGTCTTTTTGGGATCGATCATGCAATTCAAGATGGAGAAGAGAATCGCCAGGAAAGAGACCATGAAGCTTCAGAATGCCAAGGCTGACGGGGTTGCGGCTGATGAAAAAGCTGCTCTCCTTGCGGTCTAGAAAGCAGAGAAAGGGCCTGGAGTCTCCAGGCAGCTGAATACGTCAATTTCGCCTCCGCCGCCTCCTCCCCCCAACAACACAACTTAGCTTCTCAAGTGAACAATGGGTTCAATACGATATGCCATACTGTATCGAGACAAACAATAACTGGACGGTTCAAGAGTTGGAAATCTTGATGAACCAGAGACATCAGTACAATTTCTCTGGGCTTGCCTACAATAGCCACGCTAGTCGTAGTATCTACCACACGTCGACGAGTGAAACAATTCGTTGCAAAAGCTTTTGGAGATTTTAGGGTGTTAGGCCACAGACGATCATTAACTCGCTTATATGTAGTAGTATCAGTCCCTTTACTCTGCTAGCAAGAAATATGTCACCTGATCCGGTACGCCATGTGTTGTCTCTCGGGTTAGCTTAGCGAAACTATCACCGCTTACTACTCGTCATCTGGCGTGGGCCCTTTGGTCTCTGACCATTCTGCTTCTGCCGCTCGCGCTCACGTTGTCTCTCGGCCTCCCTTTCTTTCTCGCGCCGTTTCCGCCGTGTGCGTTCCTTTTCGCGCCGCGCCTTTTCCCGCGCAGACCGTGACATCAAGTGTTCGAGGCTTGTGCCCTCGAGGGCCAGCGGTCCGCCATGGATTGAATAGCTGTACGTCGAGCCCTGGGCCAAGGGGCAGGCGTCCCAGGGGACGATATCGCTTCGGACTCTGGTGCTCCTGGTTGTCAAGACGGAGGTCGAGGTCGTCCTGGGCGAGGCCAGCGGTGTGAGTGGTTCGACAGGAAGGGGGATGGTGCTGGTGCTGGTGTGGATATGTGGTCTGATCTGTAGATGTGGACGAGGCCCCGAGGGACGGGCTGCAGGGAGTGGGAGAGGTTTGTCGGTTGTTGACGGACCCTTTTTGGATTCGGATGTTGTAACCATCGTGGTTGTGGCTGTGGGCGTTGTTGTTGCTGTTGTAGGAGGAAAGTAAACAGGATTACTACTGTCCATGTCGCGGGAGTGAGGATAAGAAATGTCAGAAGTGCTGATCTCATTGTCAACGCTGGTCTGAGTGCTCAAGTTGGACAGGTCCACTAGATTGCCGTTTGAGATTTCGGTGGTGGGACTGCTGCATCGGGCGCCCAGGGATCTTACACTCAATTCCGGATACTTGGGATCGACGTTGATCAAAGTGTTCGATGGGGGTTGAGAGTACGTATTGAACTTCCGGCGAACGGCGAGAATTCGGGGGGTCAATTGTGTAATGGGATGGCGGAGGGACGGGAGACAGGCGCAAAAGATTCCAATGTTGACCTCGATGGCGGACCATAGAGCTGTCGATGGGTTGTTTTCGTCATTGGCGGTTGCTGTGTACACCGAGACAAGACGGACGATGGATGATATGCAAACACTGTCAGGGGAGTCCAGTGAGCCTTCTACAGGAGAATGCAACGGAGGCATGGCTCCAGGGCATACGTACAAAGCTCCAAGCAGGAAAATGCTAATTAGAATGGCCATTTGCTTCCCGGGTAATTGCAAAGCTTTCAGAATTGGGATCGGGAGAACACAGACGATGATGTCGGCCGTCGAATTAAACGAAGCGTTGAACAGCCAAAATGCCATCAGGTCGATGCATTTGCCGCCTTGAACGTTATTCTTCCAGCTATAGGCGATAGGTCGACAGGAGAAGAAGCCCACCAATAAGGCCGAGATACCGTAAGAGGTGATGACTGTGCCTAATGCCCAGCATGCACGTCGATAGCCTATGTCGACTGAAAACCGAAGGTATTGTAAGAGCAGAGAATCTTTCAGCAGTAAGACAGCCAAATTATAGGTGATGCTGGATGACCATCGTTGCTGCGAAGATATTCAGAATTCGAATTATGAGGCAAGTGCCGTCGGCATGCTTACTCTCAATAACGTCGTGATGCTAGGATCATCTTCTGTGGAGCCACTAAGCGTCGAATTGTGTAATACTAGAAGTTGCAGGTGAGTAAAGGTCGGATTGCGTGGCCAGATATCAGCATACCGCGACGAGTTACTATTGCCATGGCCACTGAGGCGGCCCAGGCAAGAGCGATGAGATAGTCATCTGGACCAACATGTTTGACAAAGGCAATTCGAACCCAAAATCGAACCAAAACACAACAACCAGAGAGAACTGCTAAAGCAATAGCCGTAGCAGAGGCAGACCCGAACGAGCTCATTCTTCTGACATTGCTCGATTTGGATAATCAGAGAGCAGAAGGGACAAGGACAGCTTATCGAGGGCGATATTTGAATGAACGATAAAGCACTGAGCCAGAGATGGAAGAAGACATGACGAACCTGAGAGATATCGATGGAATGAATAACAAAACGTCCGACATTAACGGGGAAACCAGCGGAGATGGACCAGAGACAAACAGAGTTTACCTATCAGATGGTCTTTGCGGGTGCTATAGCAATATCCTGCTGGTGGAGTGTGTGAAAGAAACCATGGTGACACGCACAGATCACAGATCAGCCGGCTCGTACTCCGCGTCTTTTGCCAGGAGGCGTGATGGGTGATGATCGAGAGGTCGAGACTGCGGTAGAATCTGATTGGCAGTGAATCCTTGTGAAAACCATGGCGGCAGCAACGGGAAACCAACATTATTCTCGAAGCAAAGAGAGAGAAGAGGGATGAAGTGGAGGTGAGGAAAAAAGTTGATCCGCCCCCAAGGCTGAGGAACGGGCCAATCACAGCCGCCCATCTGGGGATTCTCCTCCCGATGTCTGAATTCATCTTGATTCATGGTCAAGAATCCCCTCCATGCGCCTCCCATCATGTGTCGACGTCTGCTTGTTGCAGGTGGACTTCGAGGGATACTCACGACGAGGGAAGAGCCTCTCTACAGACACTCTTGTTCGGCATTTCTCCGTGTAAACCAACCACGTACCACCCTCATTTTCAAGAGAGGCGTCCGTGCGGCCATACGTGCAATTGGATCAGAAAGCCCAGGTCAACTTCTGTCTCGATCATTACCACTATCGCTAGTTAGCAGAGTGGTGTGACATTCAGACTCCGAGGCCTACTCTACCATCTATTCCTCCTCGCCGTCCATGCATGCCCGGATGTTGGACCTGTGTTCCAGAAGGATCTCATCATCTTCCACCAGACGGCGTTCTGAATCAATGTCGAGGCCACCGAGCCATCCTCATTGACAAGACTTCTTCTGGCCCCTGCACACCACGAATGGGAAACTCTGCGTCTCGCCTTGTTCGGGACCCTTGGGCCCTCCCCCATCCCCAAATTCGCCCTCATACTTTTCAACGCTCTTGTCCATGCTCCACGCCCGCTCAACCCGAACGTTGACGAAACCCACCTCATTCATTAAGTGCTCCATGGTGAATGCGTGGATCCCGTGCCTTTCCACACCGGGCATTTTAGACTTGGGGTGGAATCGTTTCGCTCCTGGTCCATTGTCCTCAAAATCCGTCAGGGCCACGCTCCCGCCATCCTTCAAGCATCCAAGCATGGTGGTGAGCACTGACTTCAAGTCTGGAATATGGTGCAACACCAGGTGTGATGTGATGAGATCGAACTTGAGCCTCGGTCCGTGGGGATCCTTTTCGTCTGCCGGAGGGAGATGCTTGTCTTCCGGATCTTCCAACAAGACAGCCACCGGCAGGATATTCTGGGGCGTCTCGGGCTTTTTCAATTTCTCCCGAAGCATGTTGATCATTCCTGGGGCGGCATCCACCGCCACCACCCTCTTGGCGTACGGCGCCATAATGCAAGACAACAGCCCTGTGCCACATCCTATCTCTAGCACATCCAACCCGGCTGGTTCCGGTGGATTCTTGAGCGCTGGAAACCTGGGAAGGATAGCTGTCAGGGCCTCTTTGCTGGCTTCATGAACGAACGGATGGCTATCCCAAAGGGCGGCCTCGGCATTGAAACGTTCATTGCCCGACGCGGCTTGGAGGGACGAGGCCGCGGTAGCCATGGTTTGGAGTTTGAGAAGCTTGTCACGACCAAATCAGCACCTTCGCGTCCGATTTTATATCTCGATGGTCTCTTCGATCGTGCTGCTTCGATCGTTGAGCGGAGATTGACTCGGCTTGGCTCAATAAAGGAATCCTTTCCTCGGTCAGACCGCATCCGCCGCCTGCTTTTCGTCTGCGGAGAAAAGGGAGACTTGGTCCCTCTCCCTCTCCATCGACTGCGATTGGTTGACCTCGGAAACCATTTGCCGGTCTTCAGCCAGCCATCGACGACGTCTAAAAGCGAGGGAATTTTGACACGGTTGTCGCAGACTGCGCAAGACGTGAAGAAATGAGACAAGTAACACGGTAGTATGCGATATATACTCAATTCTGGGTCTGATAGGTTGGCCTCATACACGGGGTTTCCTCATTGGGGACCTCGGTCTATCACGCCATTTGTGCCTTGCTCCTCCTCTCTTCCCCCTCTAACTTACCGAGAACAGCAATGTCAACATGGTCAGGATCTTGAATCACCAAATGACCAACCCAAACGCTCATCTTTTCGGCCAACGCTCTCCATGGATTCTCTTACCGGCGCAAAGGTGATCGCCCAGGCTCTTCATGACCTTGGAGTTTCCGTAATCCATACCCTTGTCGGAATCCCAATCGCCGACATTGCAGAAGAAGCCATTGACTTGGGAGTACGGGTGATAGGATATCGAAATGAACAAGCCTGCAGCTACGCAGCTTCAGCTTATGGATACCTCACCGGCCGACCCGGGGTATGCATCCTTACTGGAGGACCAGGTATCCTTCACGGTATGGCCGGGGTGAGAATCTACCCTGTCAACCTTTTTTATCGTCTCTCGACTGAGTTGTTTTACAGATGGGGAACGCCTCAACCAACTCGTTTCCGCTCCTGGTTCTCGGAGGCTCCGCCGAGAGTACACTGGTCACCAAGGGTGGCTTTCAAGAGCTTGACGCCATCACTTTGTTAACTCCTCATACGAAGACGGCCATCCGACCAGCGTCCAGAGATCCTTCCGTCATCGCCGCAGCCATTCGTAATGCATACCGAACGTGTTGGTACGGTCGACCCGGTCCAGCCTTCGTTGACTTGCCAACCGACCTGATCATGGCACCGTCTCCGATCAAACGATCCACGTCCCACCCAGCGATATCGGTCTTGAGTCCCCCCAAGCCTATGGCCGATCCGATTTTAATCGCCTCCGCGGCGGATCTTGTCAAGTCCTCTTCCTCTCCGCTCGTCATCGTGGGCAAAGGCTCTGCCTACGCCCGGGCGGAAGGGCCAATACGGAGCCTCATCTCGACACACCACCTCCCCTTTCTCCCGACACCAATGGGAAAGGGCATTGTTCCAGATTCTCACCCATTGAACGCTTCCTCCGCCAGATCCACGGCCCTGAAGCATGCTGACGTGATTCTCCTTCTCGGAGCTCGATTGAACTGGATTCTCCATTTTGGTGAGTCCCCCAAATACCGCCCCGACGTGAAGATTATCCAAGTCGACATCTCGCCCGAAGAGCTCGGCCGCACAAACAGCCTGGGCCAGCCTGCCCTGAGTATCTTCGGCGACATCGGCCTCGTCGTCAACCACCTTCGGCATGAACTAGGCGAATGGAAAGCTTTCCCCACTCCGTCAATCCGTTCACCGCCATCCCAATCGGCCCCATCGTCATACCTGACCCTCCTTGCAGACAGCGCCGCAAAGAACGAACAGAAATCTCAGCGCCTCGCCCAAACCTCCACCCCACGCCCCAGAGCGCTCACATACGAGCGGGCATATCATATTATCAGAATGGTGCTCCACGCCCTTTCACCACCTGAGGACGGTGGGATCGTCTACATCTCTGAAGGCGCCAATACAATGGACATTTCACGCGGCGCGTTTCCGCTCGAACATCCACGCCAGCGCCTCGACGCCGGGACATGGGGTACAATGGGCGTGGGACTAGGCTACGCCATTGCTGCGTGGGCAGCGTACAATCTACCTGGCGCTTCGATCGATAAAGCCGACCCTTCTGGATCAGTCCTCGAGTACGATACCAATCTGCAAAAGCCGGTTTCCAAGAAGAAGAAAATTATTGCTCTGGAAGGAGACTCGGCCCTGGGCTTCTCTGGCATGGAGATCGAAACGATGGCCCGGCACAAAATGGATGTCATGGTGGTTGTCATGAATAACAGCGGCATCTACAAAGGTGATGCTCTGGATGAGCCAAGTTGGAACGCCCTCCAGCATCAGACGGTCGCAAACGACACAGCCATTCGCACCACCGCTAACTCTGGCTCAGGAGGATCGCGCCCAATGAATCAACCACGAAAAGGCCTCCGAAGCACCTCACTTCTATATGAAACCCGCTACGAGGCCCTAGCTGCCATGGTCGGTGGTGGCGGCTATTTCGTGCGCACGGAAGAAGAGCTTGCCCAAGCCTTGAAGGAGGCGTTCCTCGAGACCGCAAAAGTCTGCGTCTTGAACGTCATTATCGATCCTGGTCTCAACAGTCATGCGAGTTTTGGCTGGTTCGAACAGAAAGAGAAACATGGCAACGGCGCCGATGGCGGAAAGGAAAAGACAAGCAAGTTGTAAGCCTAATCGACATAGTGGCAAGCGAAAAGGGGAACTATGAGAAACTTACATAAGTTCTCTCTTTTTTTGCATTCCAAGGAGTTTATCTGAACTCTTCGTACCAGACATTGATGAATGCCACATCCCGAATGCATGAATCAGTATTGGTCAAGTAATTATCACATCATACAAAACGACCTGGATGCCTTCTCACTTATCAACGATGCACCTTATTAGCACTCCTTGCGGTTCCCAGCGTGCGAATCAGCACAACACGTCCTCAGCCGCAGGGTCAGCGCCGCAAATTGAGGATTGGATAGGTGGCAGAGCGCGTTCAGATGTTTCAGCCTTATCGTCTTGCAGCAGGATCACTAGACATAGCGATGTCAACCCTCACTGATCCATATAGCGGACAGGCTTGCAGGAATGGGACGTCACTGAAGACGAAATGCTGGACAAGTGAGCCAGATTCGGAACCCAGATCTTGTGTTCCTGCGGGCCGGTCCAAGCCACCCATTCGCGTCTGCAGCTTAGTTGCTGCGAAACCAGCCAGGCTGATTGATAGGACTTTCGTCATGTTGTGATGGGCCTTCAGTTGTTGGCTTACCAGAAGTCAGTAAGTCTGTAGATAGTTATCACAATTTTGTATTCTGGCTCTTATCACCGGATACCTAATAGGAGGCTCAGAGAGGTTTCGAATAGGCCAAGTTTTCCGTCAACTCTTTAGTCCTCGCGTGTTCCACCATGGCCCAGTATATTCGATCACGATTGCCGCCAGCCATTTTGAAGGAGTATCTGCCATGAATCTATGACATTGCCTGCCGAGAACCCGCTTGATGATTTGGTTTTCAACAAGTTTGATCATGGAACGCCATGGAGGTCAAGAGGAGAAAGCCGTAATCTTTATGGCTTCTTAATCGCCCCTGTAGCATATGATCCAATTGAGCCAGCCAATGGGCCAGGTATGGCATGTCTGTCCACTCTTGAACTTCCAGCCCGTCAGCTTCTCGGTCGACACGCGACTGAGTAATAGGCTTTGCACTTCGTCCGGCGTCCTCGTTCGCAGACAAGAGATGTAGCCATCATATACCCATATGAAAGGGACTATGGGCACGAGGTAAGTAAAAAAGAGGTGACCGGGAGAATGCAGGAAATAGAACGGCGTTATGAGCATGGCGAGTGGCCACAGGAGGCTGACGAGAACGAATGAGCTGAAATGGCGCGACTGGAGTTCGAAAATGCTAGACACAGGAGGTCAGAACAGGACCGCCACACGCATGAAGCTCTCTCACCAAAATCCATCTGAGGTCTCAATTGTATTTTCCAGAACTTGTGCAGCAAGATCGTCGTCGAAATGGTGGAAAGCCAGGCTAAACAGTCTCATGACCTTCTTGTTTATCCCCCCAGACACATCCCTGAGCAGTGTCTCGGCGGTGGGAGCATTGGTGGCGTCCACACTCTGTGCTATGTAGCTGATATTGGCACTCTTCTTCGCTATGGCCTCCCACGCACTAACATGCGGACTAATGTCGGTGAGGACGAACTTGACGCGTTCACCGGCGTCACGGAGTTCCTTGTTGAGATGGCTCTCGATATAGGGGGTTGGTCCACCTGCTCCAGAAGCAAAATCCACGTAGACATAGTCCGACACTCGGGGACCGAGGACAGAGGAGAGGACGCGAGAAACGAGGACGGCGGGAGAGGTGGTTTGGATAATGGGGAATCGGTTGATCCAGCCCAGGGTCAGATAGTCTTGGACTTTTTCCCTGAGATATTGTGGGAACCTGCAGAGAGACCATCAGTGTCCTGCTCCAAGGGAAACGAGGCGAGATTGGTACCATGGCTGATCGTTGACTTCAAAGTAGTGCCTTCTTGGAAACATGACTTTCCCTTTTCCTTGCTGTGCTGTCGACTCCATGGTGATACCTGCGTTGGACAACCCTCGGCTCTACTGGTCGACAATCCACAGAGTCGGCAGACTGCTTTATATTTCTCGTATTCGCGTCGAGTCTAAATAAACCTCCAGGAACATTTTCGGTTTCGGCCTTGAAGCAGACGTCATCTGCACGCGGAAATTGAGTGGAGAGGAAAGGAACCGATAGCGCGGAAGTATACTGACTGAGCAAACGGACACAGAGACCTCCCCGACTTTTATCTGAACGCTTCTGGCTTTCTTTGGATATCATGATTCTGTCGGATCTGGCGTCGACATGCTCTCATATAATCTCAGTTTCTTGATCCACATCATCATCGAGGCTCCTGCGTGCCTCCACTTCTTCATATTCCCCAGCGGACAGCTCAGCACCAACACTCCCCACGCACATGCTATTATTCGGCAATATGCCGTGCTTATATTCACCTCTGTTCTTGTGGCAATGGTTTTCGTCAGACGACCGCTGGATGATGCGTCTGGGCAGGTCGCAGGGGCGTTGGCCCTTTATCATGTGGCGCCGTCAGTCCGATCTGTGAACAGGCTGACCCGACGTGCACAATTGGGCAAACGACTCATACCTTCGGAGGCATTTCTCTATCTATTGGTACATGGACTATGTGGTGCGACCTTGCTCCATCATTTCTGGACCGCCGTATACACAGAAAGAGAATGAGAGAGATCCCGAACCGGGCCATCGAACCCAACCATCAGTCCACATCCTCCGCGACCAAGGTTTCCGTTGGACTTTCAGTCCCAGCATCCGAGCCCTGGTTGGTTCGCCGAAATACCATCATCTCAATTGCAATGCCGGGACCAAAGGCGCAACCAACCAGATGATCGGTTGTCTCTCCCTCGAGTAATCGATTCATGACGCTGAAGATGGTGGCGCTAGAACTATTGCCGTGGGTGATATAAATTTCATAACTCGCACGAAGATGCTCCGGCTTCAGATGCATGACCTTTTCCACTCCGGTGATGACGGAAGATCCACCAGGATGAAGCGCCCAGTCATAATCCGACGCTTTGAATTTTCCCAAATCAACAAGTTCGGGTATGGAGGCGACCAAATCTTCGAACATGGGTGGCACGGCGGCCGACGCGAGCTTGGGGACTCTCTGGGTCAGGACAACTTTCCAACCTGTGGTTGTGTGAACATTCGGTCTGCGATTTCTGATGTGATATCATGAGCTCCGGCTTACCAACAGGGTCGACATCAAATCCGAGATCCTTTTCGGTGTCTTCAATGATTCGGTGATCCCAACCTAACAACTCCAGGATCGGTTCTTCGTCGAAGCGATCGCTCAATCCATTACCGAGCACCACCGCTGATGCACAGTCACTAAATAAGGTCACGCCAATTCTGACCTCTTGATTTTGGTGTATCGAATCGAGCTCCGATCGAACGAGGGTACTCGAAATCTCACAGGCAAAGACCAATATTCGAGCTGGTTTTCGTCGAAAGCTGGAACCCAAGGCGATATTGGCAGCGGTTCTCAATGCTGCTAACCCGCCAGAACAGCCGACTCCATGCAGAAGGACCTTTTCGATATTGGTGTTGAGACCAAGTTCCTTGATGACATAGTGATCATAGCCCGGATTGGCTGAATTGGTGCAGGTCGTGGCCACCACATGAGTGATTTCGGACAGATCTCCTCCCCATTGCTCTAGGGCCTTGCGACAAGCTGCCGCCGACAGCTTGACTCCATAGCTGAGGAAGGTTTCGCACAATTGCGCGATGGTCGGAGGCTCCGGGGCATTAGCGAGCGGATGGTCAATGTTGCCAATGGCAGAACGAGAGTCAATGCCCGTATAGTCGTTGATCGTCAGCACCTTCTCGAGACTGCACCAAGAAAACAATTAGGATCGGGGTCTCCGGCCAAGGAGAAATGGTTCTTACGCTGGGGAGCTGGGGTAGAAACGCCTAGCGAGAGTCGCAAGTTGCTCGGGTTTGATTTCATAAGGAGGGTATTCGACTCCAATGCCATGGATATGCAGATTCGGTCTTTGATATGGAGGTGTGACCTTGCTCTGGACTGCCGAGGGCGACATTGCTCTGGGCGTGCTCAGAAGCCCCGGAATGAATGGTATGGAAGCTCTGCCCCAACAGATTGGAGAATGATGACGTCGACCGCTTGACTTGAAACACGGATGATACGGCCGGAAAGTGGTAGAGAGAGACTGCCGAAATAAGCGACCGTAAAGTAAAGAGTCGGCAGGACGAGCGACCGAGCAGGGTAGCCTGATAGAGCTTCGAACACAGGTTAAAAAGTGAGTTGTGGCGGTATAGATAAAAAGTGAGGGCAACTTGTTGATGGCCGAGAAAGGAGGCCGAGGTGATCGCGTGCAGCAGAAAGTCGTCCATGGAATGAATCCGCGAATCACCACTCAACAATACCAAAACCCTTGGCCATCATTTGGCGACATTTTGGCGATCTGAAGCAGCATCAATATAAATAGACAAGGAACCAACTGCTTCCGAGTGGTCCAGGCGCATCGAATACGAGATCTAACCGGCATTTTGACCTGCATCTCAGCCTCCTCACAAACATCTCACAAGGATCGCCGTCGGGTTCCTGGGATGATAGACTCGAACATGGTGTGAAGAGAACAAGCTCTTTGAATGTCCTCTCACCCATGGGGGCCCCAATCAGTATGATCTGGGCGACTCTGACCGTTCTGCTCCTGTGTACAGTCCTCTACCGTATCACGAGAAGAACGCCCGGGATACATCGCGATGGCCAGAAATTAAGGCAAGAACTACCCTATTCCCCCCTCCCCCCGCCGCCCATCAATGGTATTAATGGTCTATGGTTCGTCTGACACACTCAGACGGCCACCCGATACTTTGCCGATCCTAGGAAATGCCATCCACTTCCTCAAACCCCGCCACGTCCTCTTCGACTGGTTTGTGAAGTGCCAGCAGAAATTCGGCAAGGAGACCTTCGAAATCTCCGTCCCCACCTTGCCGCCGGGAGTGGTGATCAACAGTCCCGAGAACCTGGAATTCGTGTTCAAGAACGAAGGGTCCATTACCAAGGGGGAGTTCTTCAGACAACGATCATGGGATCTGTTCGGTACAGACGTCTCCTGGGCATTGCCGTTGGCCATTTTTGAGTCGATCACTGACGGGGGATGCATATGGATCAGGCTACGGCATCATCAACGCGACGGGCGACCTATGGCGAATCCAGCGCAAAGCCGGCCTGAAATTCTTCAGCGGCGCCAACCTCGACATGCTGATTGAAGAGGTCTTGCCAGAAGTCTACTCCGACATGAGGACACCGCTATTTCAGGCTGCTAAAGGCGGCTACATCGTTGATTTGCAGAAGTTCTTTCTAGACCTGACGACCACCGTGGTCGGACATACGGCTTATGATGCAAGTGCCCCTTTCTCTTCCCGCTTTGTGTTTTGCTTCTTCCATTGTGAATCTCGAAATACTCTCGAAGATCCGTGTATCTGACGCGCAGGACAAGTGAAGATGGAAATCGACGCTTCCTCACCCTTCGGCAAAGCCTTCGACCACGCCTCATCCCAAATTGGCCTTCGGTTCCAAAATCCACTGTACCGACTCACCGAACTCGTCACGGGCTCCGAGTTCCGCGCGTCACTCTTCGAAGTAAAGCGCTTTGGACGGCAGATGGTAGCGAATTCGCGAAAACGCCGCTCGCACGCTGCATTCGAGAGTCTCATCACGAACGATGACGACGACGCCTATGCCTCGCAGTTCACCACGCTGATTGATTCTCTGATCGAGGCGCTTGCGGAGCCCCAGGCTATCGCCGACGCGGCGCTCAATTTCCTCTCCGCCGGCCGCGACACCACGGCCCAGAGTTTGACTTGGACTTTCTATGCGCTCATGCGGCACCCGGAGGCCCTCGCGGCGTTGAAAGAGGAGATTGATTCGAAGTTCAAATTCAACGGCAAACCGGACGACGACGGCGCTCAGGGTGTTGAGAGTGCCGAAATCACCATGGCATCCCTCCAGCCGACCTCTATCCCCCTGACGCTCGCGACTTTCTACGAAGCACTGCGTCTATATCCTCCAGTGCCGTTCGAGATCAAACAGGCAACACATCCCGTCACGCTGCCCGATGGCACATTCCTGCCCCCTGGCGCTGTGATCGTTTGGTGCTTGCACGCGCTTAATCGGTCCACGGAGACTTGGGGGCCGGACGCGCATTGGTTCAGGCCGAGGCGCTGGTTAGGTGCGCAAGGGGGGTTTGTGGCGAGGTCGCAGGCCGAGTTCCCTGTTTTCAACGGCGGGGCCCGCGCGTGTCTGGGTAAGAAAATGGCAGAGATGATGGGCACGTGGGTCCTGGTGAGGATGCTGAGTGAGTGGGAGTTTGACGAGGCGAAGGATAGCCCAGCTGAGAGGGTCAGCGCGAATAGTTTAACGTTACCGATGGACGGGGGATTGCCTTGTCGAGTTCGCATGAGAAGACGGGAGAGGTCGTAAGGAAGGTATACAAATGAGTTGCATCAATGAAGCCGTGTATCGGAGACATCAAAATGACAGCTCGGGCGGGAGAAGAACTTCTTGCCCGTTTGAAGTTCGTGATACAGAGACATAACTTAGCACTTTCTCTAGACTCATATGGTAGGTAGACCAGCCATGTCCTGCCTGCTAGTGTCCTCATGGATTTTCCACCACCAAAAATAAAATGTTCGAATCAGTTCGGCCGTTTCAATCACGTGTCACCTCCAAAATGGTCAAGCTCGAGACCAGCACAGCTGTCTGTCTGCCCAATTGAAAAAAGAAGTCGAACGTGGATTGAAGGGGAGGCCCAATATGAGTGAGCCTAAGCGACCGAAGCACTCCAAATCATACCTCCTCATCGTCACCCGCGACACTGGTATAGGTAATTCCACCGGCACCCCTTCTCGGTCGTAGCGGGACCTCATATAAATGGGCGTAATCAATGACTTCGCCACCCAGGAATCCGCCGCCGTTATTTCGCTTGCCGAAAATCGGTGCCGGATCGCACCAGAAGTCCTTGCAATTGCCCACGATTCCACGACTGAACGGGTTGGAGTTGCGTGTTTGCAGTTTGCCGTGCGAAGCGTCTGAAGCGGTGGCGAGGAATGCGTCCAGGCCCAAAAGTTTCTTCCAACGCGTCAGGCAACTGTCAGGGCGGTGAGGCATGGGACTGATGCCCGTCGAGGCTGCGGCAGTGTCATTAAGGGAGGCTGTGGCGGCGGAAGCGCCTTGGGTGACGGGTCGGGCGTGTTGGGGTAGGAGAGGGCGGTGATCGTGTGCATGCTCGTGCCGTCTCATGTTTTCGTAGGTGGTTTGGTTTTTGGAGATCTGCACGGTTTGGACGACGATCAGCATCGTGACCCAGACGAGTTGGAGGCAGGTCCAGAATGCCAAAGCCACGGTCCACGGGTCGCGGAGCACAAAGGTGCACAGGGACGCGCTGAGGATGTGGCATTGAGAAATGGCATCGTCGGATGGGACGGGAAGGAGGGCGAGGTATGATAGCACGAGACGGACGTAGAGGATGATGCCGATCTCCAGACTCAGGATATAGATGTAGAAATGTCGGAGGTTGTTGTTGCCCACGCAATTGTGTATCCATGGGCAATGATGGTCGATTTTGGCCACGCATCGATTGCAGCGACGACAATGTTTAGATCTCAAGGGTTTGCGAATCATGCACTGCACACAGAAGTTTTCTTCGTCGAACTTCCACAGCGAAAAGAGTTCCTCGATAACGGCGCGTTGTTGATTCCGTGATGCCAATTTGGGGATCCAGCCGGGATCTTCGAGCATGGCTGTAAAGTAAAAATATGTCGTGCTGGAATAGAGCAAAATGAAGAAGATGTTGGCGACGGGATTGGTCGAGAAAGTCAGTGGTAAGACGGACACCAGATAGCTAGCACCAACCCAGAAGAGAGTACCGGCAAAGATGCCAGCCAGATACGGCGTTTTGTGGATTTGATGATATTCTGGCGGGCCCTTCATCGCAATTCGTTGAGCGATGTACTGCATGCCTAGGCATGTGACCAAAAAGACCGGTACGCCGATGAAAATGTTGAGGTGACTTATAATGTACAGGCCGACGATGATGATGAAAAAGGGGTAGAGGAAGAAGAATTTGGACATTGTCGAACGATTCCGGCAGACGGTGTGAAGATTGAGGGGAAGCGTTTTAATGTTACCCGATGAGTCGTATCCGTGGCCTGCCAAAGAACGGTGGTATGCGCGTTTCGTGTTCATCTCTTCGGCGCAGATGTTGGGTGTCTTGCCTTCGTTGGTCTTTGCAAATCGGTCCGCTCCATACTCGATGATCTTGTCCAGGCAGGGCTTGGAGCCTTTGACCAAAGCCCAATGTAAAGGAGTGTATCCATTATTGTCTGTAGCATTGACATTGGCGCCCCAGCGGAGAAGAAGATCCACACAGGCAGGCCAACCTTTGTAACCGGCCCACATCAAACATGTGTGACCTTGAGGATCGGGGATATCCACGGGTATATTTTGTTGCAGAAGCAGGGTGAGGAGAAGTGCATTTCCATCAATGGTCGCAAGATGGAGAATGTTGTATCCTTGACCATCGGTTAGGAGAGGATCCGCACCGTTGTGCAAGAGCAGATTGACGACGTAGAAATGACACCGCTGCGACGCCCACATAACTGCGGTCGCGTTGGATTCTCCTCCTTTTGCGTTGACGTCTGCACCGTGTTCGATCAAGTATTTGCACACCGCATACTGGTTGTTGATAGCCGCCCAGTGTAATGGTGTAATTCCCTCTTCATCTTTGTACTTTGCGTCGTGTTGGCCGGATTGTATCATCTTCTGGATGTGCTCGAGGGCGCCGATGCGAGCACATTGCATAATATCCTCTTCCAGAGGGAGGCTCCGCTCCGCCTGGCCATTCTGAACAGGACTAAGCTCAACATCGTCCGAAGTTACTCTGGGAGAGGCGGCCTTGGCTTTCGAAGCGGGAGAGCGGGAGAGTTTCTGGGAGCTTGGAGACGACATTGCGAGTTGGATGCTACTGTCGCGACTGTACACATAGTGGTCTGTCTGTCATCCTGGTCAGGTTCGACGGGGCACCGTGTGACTTGTGCAGAGGGGGAAGTAGAAAATGAGTTCAACCTCCTGAATCTTCTCGTTCACCTTGGTGTCTGGGGGCCTTTTTGGGCAAACGTACGCAGTCACGTGGCGCCGCCCGCCAAGCGGGCGTCCCCAGGAGAAATTCGCCAAACTAACCTCGATTGAAATCCGCGACAAGCTCCCCTTCCCTCACTTCTTCCCTCCAGTATCATTTCTCCTCTCCACTCTTGAGCCATCTCATTTCGCCTCCTACTTCTCGGAAGTCTTTCATTACAGCTTCAAGGGCAGGCACGATGATGTCGAGAAACGTTCTGCGCCAATCCGGCCGTATCGCCGGTGCCCTTTCAGCACCTCGCCGAGTTGCTGCGGTAAGCTCAAATCCTGCGCACCCCAGCTCCCAATGCTTCGAGAACGGCCTTTTCCGGTATCGTTGAGCTTCCCGAACAAGCTCCTGAAGCTTGAGATTGCCATTTCAAAGCGATCGAATCTCATTTGGTGGAACCGAAGGCTAATCAAAATCTTTCCAGTCTCGTGTCGTCACCCCTGCACCCTTCAATGCGGCTTCAAAACAGGTCCGAACGTACGCTGCCGATGCCAAAGCCTCTCCTACCGAAGTTTCTTCCATCTTGGAGCAAAGAATTCGCGGTGTACAAGAAGAAGCCGGCCTCGCTGAGACGGGCCGTGTTTTGTCCGTCGGTGACGGTATTGCTCGTGTCTATGGCATGAGCAATGTCCAGGCCGAAGAACTGGTGGAATTTGCCTCTGGCGTCAAGGGAATGTGCATGAACTTGGAAGCTGGTCAAGTCGGTGTCGTGCTTTTCGGTTCTGATCGTCTTGTCAAGGAAGGAGAAGCCGTCAAGCGTACCGGCCAGATTGTGAGAGATCACCGATCCCCATTCAATTCCTCGTCACTAACCGCTCCAGGTCGACGTACCAGTCGGCGAGGCTATACTTGGTCGTGTGGTTGACGCTCTTGGGAACCCAATTGATGGAAAGGGCCCAATCAAGACCACCGAGAGACGTCGCGCCCAATTGAAGGCTCCGGGTATCCTCCCTCGACGATCCGTCAACCAGCCTGTCCAAACCGGCCTCAAATCTGTGGACGCCATGGTGCCGATTGGCCGTGGCCAACGCGAATTGATCATCGGTGATCGTCAAACTGGAAAGACGGCCGTTGCTCTTGACGCCATGTTGAACCAAAAGAGATGGAACAACGCTGGTGATGAAACCAAGAAACTCTACTGTGTCTACGTGGCCGTGGGTCAAAAGCGATCCACTGTCGCTCAGCTCGTCAAGACTCTGGAGGAGAACGATGCCATGAAGTATTGCATTGTCGTGGCTGCCACCGCTTCCGAAGCCGCTCCCCTCCAATATATTGCTCCTTTCACGGGCTGTGCCATGGGTGAATGGTTCCGTGACAACGGCAAGCACGCTCTTATCATTTACGACGACTTGACCAAGCAGGCCGTCGCTTATCGACAAATGTCTCTTTTGCTCCGTCGTCCTCCTGGGCGTGAAGCTTATCCCGGTGATGTCTTCTACCTCCACTCCCGTCTCTTGGAGCGTGCCGCCAAGATGAACGACAAGCACGGTGGTGGCTCTTTGACTGCTCTTCCCGTCATTGAGACCCAGGGTGGTGATGTGTCTGCCTACATTCCCACCAACGTCATTTCCATCACGGATGGTCAGATCTTCTTGGAAGCCGAATTGTTTTACAAGGGTGTTCGTCCCGCCATCAACGTCGGTCTTTCCGTGTCCCGTGTCGGCTCTGCCGCTCAGCTCAAGGCCATGAAACAGGTCGCCGGTTCCCTGAAACTCTTTTTGGCTCAGTACCGAGAAGTCGCTGCCTTCGCTCAATTTGGTTCCGATCTCGATGCCGCCACCAAGCAGACCCTGAACCGTGGTGAGCGTTTGACCGAACTTTTGAAGCAAAAGCAATATTCTCCTATGGCCGTCAACGAAATGGTTCCTCTCATCTATGCTGGTGTCAACGGCCACTTGGACGGCGTGCCAGTCAACAAGATCTTGCAATGGGAGTCTGACTTCCTTGCCCACTTGAAGAGTGACCAGGCCGAGCTCCTGTCGAGAATCGACAAGGAGGGACAGTTGAGCAAGGATCTTGAGCAACAACTGAAAGAAGTTGTCATTAACTTCACCAAGAGCTTCTCATAGGTATGTGTTGTGTGACTGTCCAAATCGAGGCAACGTCGCCGACACTATATCCTGATGCAGACGTGAAGTTAAAGGCGTTTGTACAATTTCTGGCTTGGCCAAAAATGGACCCCCCTACTCGAGTTGAGACTCTAAAATGACAGCTTGCCCTCGACATTGTTGCCTGTCAGGTAAAGACGAAAAGGTCTCCTTGTAATTAGATACATACCAGCCCTCAATCAATTTTCGTTTGTTTTTGATGGGTTTTATCGTCAAGTGTCTTCCTGGTGAAAACTAACTGACATTGTCTCTCCCGGCATTGACCAGGGACACTATCAATGAACTTGTGGACCATTTCACGCGCCCTCATGGAGACTCAGAGCCGCGTTGTTGAGGCAAAGCCTTGCTAAAGCTAGAGGCAGAGCGTCTGCTTCGGGTTCAGGGGGCATTTTAGGATGCTCCGGCCGACGAGATATGTCTTTAATTCTTTATTCTAGGAGAGCCATCGCATCGCGCCTTGCTTCCCACAACTCTCTCCAGAAGCAAGTCGATCAACGCGGGACAGCGAAGTGAATAATTTTCCATGAGTTGTTTCCAACATTTACCCTCGGATCTTTTCGGGATATCAAAACCCTAATACTCGTGCAGATTCTAGCAACACAACAGCCGCTATACTCTCAGCGCCTTCATTTCCATTTCGAAATGGAACCACGCGCCAGCCCATCATGAACGCAGGAACATGGTTCGCCCTGGCTCTGGGTGTCTTGGGCATTCTGGTAGCTACAGCCCACGTACTATACGGACATATTAGTCGAGCACCAGCTTAGAAGCCTGCTTGAATGCCCACCCAAATGTCCACTGGAAGAATGCATAAAAGCTAGGGGAAAGGCAAGGAAGTGCCTTTTCATAAGAGAACGACTTCGAAATAAATTCCGGGCACGGGATATTGGACCCCAAAAACCTAGCGATTCTCTTCCGGAAACCAACCTCAAAGCTATCTCGAGTCTTTGATTAGGGGAAGTCCAAGTCGACTTTAGGCTTTTGCCAAGGCCTTAAATGTCGGACCATGCAAATTGCAACACAGTTGTATTATGAGAAATTGAAACCGCTCGATATGGGGGATGTCCTTGACGAGCAAAAGGACGGTCTATATGGCTTAGTTATGTGCGTCACTTGAGGCCTGACGAGCGATAACGTATAAACTTTGGTGGGAGCTACTATACAGTATATCCCTGGGCTCTGGAAGCGAATCATTAACAGCAAATACGAGCGCAGCTTGACTCGATTCGAGTCGTCCGCGTCGACGCTGGCATACTCCGTATATTCATTCAACATCGAAATGTACATCGCGCTTCCGACATGTTGAACTGCAAGCTCGAATCAAAGTCAAGTTGTTTCGTGGTTTGCCCTGGGGGCGAGCATCCCTATCCCGTAAGCAAGGCCCGGCTTTGCCAATCAGAGGAGTTCCTCCGTCTTGCTCTCAACCAATGTACGTGTAGATCTCTCGGCCCGAAGTACGTGGTGTAGAGCACATTGCTGGAAGGATGTCCGACAACCAGGCCTAACATGGACCGTGGAGACTCGCCGAGACACAAGATCTGTTCCTTTAATCTTCCTGTTTCTGTGTCTAATAAGCTGCTTATGTGAACCATTTCAACCAAAAAGGTGAAAGATGATCGAGTATCAACGGGATGTTTGCCACATCGTGTGTTTCGATTTTCGCCAGGGTGTTCTGTGATGATGCAAGACCATGCCGTCTATTGATACTGCAGGACAAAGATTGGGTAGAGATGGGGCGCCAAATGCGTCTGTGTAGTGTCGTTTTTGGGGGGCTGTGATGGAAGACTAAATCCTCCGTTGAAGGGGTTGATGAAGCTGGATCAGATTGTTTTCGTGTTCTACGACCTGTGCAGTCAAAAAGCCGAAGGCGCAGGATGTCCATGCATACAAAATCATGCCTCCCTTTCTGCCTCCCAAATCCGCGGACGAAAGACCGTCCGTCTCCAGATAAAAAGTCCGTTCATCCTCGGCTTTGACGTTCGCCCCTATCATGACACCATCGTATGTTCAATACCCTCGATTGATCCGGCTCCACAATTCCTCCACATCATCCTCGACTGTTTTCGTCAATGACCACAGGTTTGATCGTGGTAAACCCAAGCTTGGTTATGTCCCATCAATTGATGGGATATTCAGGCAATGAGAAAAAATATTTTCCAATCTGAAATTCATGATTCTGCTTCAACGCTGTCGTCTCAGTGAAAAGAGCGTTCTGACATCCCTCAATACCTTTTTTACATCGTCCCCCAAGATATCCCGGCGTGGCCTTGCACTCTTTCAGTCATCAACTCACACGCTTACAAATACATCCCGGACACCCCATTCCACGAAGATGAAATCAGCCCACGTCTTCAAGAAAACGGATACAGAGCTGGAGGTCCGCCTCCAAGACTTGGCTATCCCCTCCCCCGAGCCCAACCAAGTCCTAATCAAAGTCATCGTCGCCGGAACAAACCCCAAGGACTGGAAATATCCTCTCTTGATCAAGAACGCCTCAGGCCTAAACACTGGCGACGATGTGGCCGGATACATTGAGGCGGTGGGCTCCAATGTCACCGAGTTTAAGGTGGGCGACCGCGTAGCTGCCTTCCATGAAATGGGAAAACCCTACGGCGCGTTCGCCGAGTATGCGATTGCGTGGGAGAAGACGACGTTTCATCTCCCCCAAGCCACTTCGTTCGAAGAAGCCGCTACCATTCCCCTGGCCGCGATGACCAGCGTGGTTGGCCTTTTCTGCCGCCTGGGACTACCGGAGCCTTGGGTCACGGTTTCGCAGGCCCGCAACGATGCCCTGGCCGGAGGCGTGGTTGTCTATGGCGCTGCCTCAGCCGTCGGCGCTTTCGCCGTGAAACTTCTCGTCCGTTCCAAATTGCACCCGATCATTTGCATTGCAGGACGTGGCATTTCGTTTGTCGAAGGTCTGATCGACAAATCTAAAGGCGACACTGTCATTGACTATCGCCATGGACACGACAGTGTCGTCGCGGGTATTCGTGGTGCTGTCCCGAAGGGCCAGAAGCTGATGTACGCTTTTGACGCGGTCAGCGAAAAGGGGAGTTATCAGAACATTTTGAAAGTTCTCGACCCCCATGGCCATATCAGCTTGATCCTGCCGGGGAAAAAATACCAGGGCATCCCCGAAACAGTCCATCAGACCATCACCACTGTTGGTTCCGTTCACGGTGTTCCAGACGACTTGACTGATCTCGGTTATGCGTGGTTCCGGCTCTTCAGCTTGGGGCTCAAGGAGGGTTGGTTCAGTGGACATCCGCATGAGGTGGTGCCAGGTGGGTTGAATGGAGTGCAAACCGGGTTGGAAAACTTGAAGGACGGTAAGGCCAGTGCTGTCAAGTATGTCTATCGGATTGATGATACAGAGGGTGTGAATCGAAGCAAAATCTAAGCAAAATATCTGGGCGTTCTCTTCCTTACACTCGAACAATTCGTGGCTCAGAACAGAGATTGGACTAGTATATCAATGAAAGCAACACGTCAACCCACCCCACCGAAAATCCACGCAAATGGCTATAGAGACAAACCTCATCGAATCCATATACACCGAAGTCATACTCGAACCTGAACTGTGTCGTGATGGGTAGGGGCTGGTTTGGTGTTCTAGGCACCCAGTCTGCTTCTCAGGAGATTGAAGCAACGAGGAGTAGATGGAAATCTTTCCTTTTCTTTTCTTTTTGGGAGCAGCTTAACCAACTGAAGGCATTGAGCCGGATTCCTCGCTATAAATGCTGGCGCCAGATCGACGTGGCCGACGAAGCAGCGAAGTCGCTTCCGAGCCTTGAAAGAAGGGCACTCGTTTGATTATGAACTCTGAACTGTCTCAAAGACGCTAGCCAGTTCTATGTGGTACAAGATGGGCAGGCTGCGGCCATCGTTATCCGTTCAGAGCAAGGTTGTGCTACCACCTCCGGGGGGGTTCGGTTGAATTGTCAGTTGAGGATGAACCTTTGGTTATGTTGACGCTACCAATGTCAATGTTCTATTCGCGCTCTATCAAGGCCATGTGATCATCTTTCCGTCTGCTCTGCGTTGGCGACTTGTTGACCATTAGAGAATGAGTCAATGCGCGCGAATTCCCCGCCTCTGGGGTTCCAAGGAAAAACCGTGAAAGATCGCCGAAAGGGCGATAAGAAGTCCGTTCGTGGATCATCCACAGGGATCATACACTTTGGCAGCGTAGCCTTAGGGATTGTCAGGCCGCTAAACAACAAAGATCCCCATGTTCATTGGCCGTCGGCGACTAGTATGGGATAGCGTTGTTGATACAAGAGCATGAAGTTCAAACAGCTGATTTTCGCAAGGATGGCTCCCTTGTCCGGCTTTGGACGGCACTTGCGGACCGGCCGGGATCCCTTTTTCGAAAATTGCATGGGGCGAATATGCGGTGTGAGGCAAAGGGTACGGCCAGTCAAGAAAAGTAGATGCATGCATACGGGGACCAGAAAGGTAATATGTTCTGTCCATCAGGAGTTCATCAACATCCTGCCCGAACTAGGATTTTACAGGCTGCATCAACTAGGACACTATGTAGTCAGACGATAAGGTAAGCACGGATAACCAGGGAACGATGATCTCCGCAATTTGAAGGAACGTTATGCTGTGACTGGTGGGAGATGTCACATAAATTGCCAGCAAGCAAGGGCATTGTGTGTTTAGTCGTGGGCCGTCAGCAGCTCCCTTTTCCGGACAAAAGGCAGTCGGGGCCCTAGGAAGCCAAAATGGGAGGGATGGATTCTTCTCCGGGCAATCCGTCCTCGCCGCACAATATCGGCAACAAGAAGACCAGGGTTTGACTGCAGCGGCCATGATCGACGGATAGCGCAAAAGCTGTGGGAAAGAGTAGGGGGGTGGGACACCAGATCGCGAGAGCACATCATCAGGCGTTGTTTAGGCGTCGGCTACTAAGGGCTCTGTCTCCTCGGTAGGCTTGAGCCAGTGCCTCCGATGCCACTAAGAAAGGCTTGAGGCCGCCCTGTGATGCTTCAGTTGGGTATACTCTGGTCCAAAGAGTTCTGCACTCCGCTTCTTTAGTCCATCTCTTACCGATGTACGAGGTGCTGAGTCCTCCACCCTTCGCTCTCCACGTCAGGGACTCCAAGCAAAGATTAGTGGCATTTGCGGCGGATTGTTCTCGAGAGGGCTGGCTAGCGCCGCTGTTGGTCTGTGTTTCAGATTCATCCCTATCGAATAGCTGCAATCTCAGTCATGGTTTTGCATGGGTCTGGTCACTAGTCAGATGGGGGGCCCTGGATGCATCGAGAATCAATTTTATCGACATTGGTATGGACATGGGAAAAGCCCTTCGACGCGATGCAAAAAAAAGGTTTATGAGTTGTCAGATTTTCGAAGCAGTGAGTCGTAGGAATGGCATACTTGGTTCTGCCTTTGGCTTGCGCAGTAACAGATTGTGGGATGAAGTCGGGTCCCGTTTCTTGCTTGAGAATCTGAGTGCAATTGGGACGTGCTGTAGCCAGGGAGAAAAAGAGATGGAAAAAAAAAAAAAAAAAAACCTTGACGTCGAGGATCCACTGCGTTGGATTGTTGGTTGCGAGTGGTCAAAAGGATAGAGGTGAGTGGCCCCCAAGTCAATGTCAGTTGACAAGATTTTCCGCCTAGTGGGAAGACGGGTTTTTGAATTTATTTGGCCACCAGCTGCGATAGAATGACCTGGAACCACTCGTTGACCACTCTTTTCAGGTACTTTGTGGGAGTTGTAGGCTTGACGTAGCTAGAGGGCAGCTAGAGTGGTTTAAGTAGTAACTAACTACGGCAGTGATAAGTTTTAGTTAGGATCTCCCGGCTAATGGGCAGCCTGTCACTACCGAAATAGGCACGCAGCCCTTTAGGCTTGGTACTTCGGCCTGGCGCTGGACTGCACCTGCAAACTCGTTCTTGGAACTCCAAAACTTCAAGTTGCACATCCAGTTGGCATCCTCAGTCTATGCCCAAGGCTTTTCCCTCCTCCTTTCTTTTCCCCCCCGGTGTCCGCATTACCTATTAATTCGACCAATACTCCTATACTGACCGCACATTTGTCCCATCTGTCGCCTTCGACTCCCCTTCAGCTCGCCATTTCCATCCTCCCGCGGCCCCATTCCGACTTCCACTCGTCCAGTTGGCTTGCTGACCTGAAAGGAGTCAACAAGCTGACTGGATCTGACTCCGGCGACGCGAGTTCCGTCCCTTCATGCCGCGAAACCCTGCGGCGAAAAAGCATCAGCACAGCAATCGTCATGAGAACGGCCTTGTAGGTCCAGGAAAACGGGTCACCAAACAAAAATCGAATGGTCATCTCAATGGCGCCGCGAAGGGCCCTGTTCCCGCTGAGCCTGTTCCTCAAGCAAGCTCCGCCGACTCGTCTGTGACCGGACCAGCTCACGACCAATCTCCCGCTTCCGCGGCCGACTCGCATCAAGACTCCTCGAACACACCGACACCGGCACAGTTGAGGGCCGGGGACTCGGAGGGAAGTGAACCGAAAGAGAAGGAAGTCCGTAGGGAGTTGAATGGATCCGCGATGGTGCAACAACGACGAGGCGATATGGCTTCTGCCAAATCCAAGGTGACTGCGGATCTCAGCGCTGTCCAAATTGCCACAACAATCCTCAAGTCTCGACCCGCTTGCGACACCGTCTCTCTCTTGATCGTCCTTCTGGCCCTCCCTTCCATGATCTTGACTATTGTTCAAGCTCTGTTCGCTTCCTTGACCTTAATGCCAGGAGGTGGCGCCCCGGTTTCGTTTCTGTCCTTACTCGACATTTTCCAAGGGTCAGCTGGTGCTCCCAGTATCACGACTATGGCAGTGGTAGATCTCATCTGCTTTGGGCTCTGGATTTGCCTCTGGACTTGGGCGCAGAACTTTGCGCTAGATTTGGCCCAGATACAAATTGCCATCACACTGGGAAATGGGAGTTCAGGTAAAAATGGTAGCGTCAATACCTTTTGCGTTGCCGGAGTGCTTCTATTACATTTAATCCGGAGCAGGGGCGTGCGCCGTTTTCTGGTTTCCAATCTGGTGCCGGTGGATCTACTCAATCAGACTGGACTCGCTGAATATTTCAAGTACCTGCCTTCAGATGCCGATTTTGGTGAGAGTCCGGGGCCTCCGTCACAAATCCGAAGTCTGTTTGCCATCCATATCATCAGTCAGGCCGTGATGGCCTTCGTGCGACGAAGAGTGACCAGTTCCCAGTCCATCGGACCAACAAGATCCAAGCGCACGGACGCCGAGGCCTCTGCAGGCTCATGGCTGGCGTCGGATGCTTCGGGTGGGGATGGCTCTACCCCGGCGGGCATTTCATCTTCGGTTGACTATCAGCCGGCGCCGCCTTCTTCAGGACTGAAAGATGGCAAAGAAAAGGGAATAAGTGCCAAGAAACGCAGGCGGCAGGCAAATCATGTTAGAAGCCGACAACCATTTTGGGCGGCTCTCGCGAGTACCAAAGTCCATGTCCTCAGAGAGGTTGAACACAACAAGGGCGTTCCAACCGTGGCGAACAACCAAGGTACTCCGTTCGAAATACCCCATCGAGACCTCGTATGGATCACCCACGTGGACCCGTCGTCCATTTCTTTTGAAACGACCTACATGGCAATAGCTGAGCAGGGCCCCGAGTCAGCGCTTTCAGGCGAATGTCGGCCATTTTACGTGCGCATCAATGGAGCAAAGTGGCATTCGGTTTCCCTCGACGCGTCGGAAAATTCGTCGCCGTCTGATGGATCCAGTCCGCAATTTTCTGGTACGATATCTGGTCTGGCCCCGAACTGTACCTACACCTGTACTTTCATTCGCTGCGACGGCGGCGAGGAGTTTGCCTCGATTATGGTCAAAACGCCAATGCTACTCGACAAGGACCTCCCTGCTTCGATGGCACCCGTTCCAGTCCGCCAATCCACGCGACCATCCTCCCCGACGACCACGCTCAAGAACTCTATATCGACCGCCGAAGCGAAGCTGAACGAGGCTCGCAATCGCCTCACCAAAGTTCGACGTCAACATAGAACCACCCTTGCCAAGGTGGAAAAAGAAGTGGACAGCTTTAATGCTCGCCTCAAGACCACCAGCGACGACACCAAACAAAGGCAGAAACTGTTGCAGGCCGAGCGCAGTATCCGTCAAACCGAAGATGCAACCCTGGAGATTGATGCTGCTTTGGAAGGGTTGGTCTCGACGCCAGACGACGAGATTGACGATCACGCCACTTCCAAGGAATCCTATGAAGAACAGACCAAATTGCTGGCTGAAGCAAATGAGGCTCTGTCGAAGGCTCGTTCAGCGGCAAACAATGATCTCTCTTGTGCCAACAACGAACTCAATACGGTCACCAGTCGTAAAGAGCGTCTGACCGGCCGTAATACTAAACTCGCAGAGCAGCATGACCGCATCACTCAGGCCAATGCTCAAGGCCTCAACGAGAAAGAAAGAAAGGCCGCCGAATCGACCGCCAGAGGAGCCGAACAGCAGAGACGAGAAGCCGAGCTGACCAGCCAGATACGGTTCATGGAGAACGAGATGAGAAATGCAAGGACGCGTTGGGAAGCCAATCTTCGCGAACTTGACAACCTGGAGAAGCAGGACGTAGCCCAACGACATATGGTGCTCAACAGTAACGGGCCCTTGACTCCGGAGGGAGACCTCCCTGGCACTCGTCCGACGCCGCAGCACGGCCGCCCATATACTTTCGGAAGTTTCCAAGCGTTTCCCAACAGCCCCGTCATCCCTGAGGCTCAAGGATCTCCGTTCCTTGCCTATGCGAAGACTCTTCCATCGAGCGACCAACGCCGACCGCGATCCGACACAAATCGATCGGCGGGGGGGATTAGCAATTTCTCGGCCGACTTTGAGGATGCCGATCCGATCCCTCCTATGCCGTCGACGGCAGAGTATGATGTTACAGGGCGCAAAGGGAGCGGCAGCAGCAGAGGCAAGAACAATGACAGTCCGGCCGCTGGAGTCATTGGTGGTGCATTGCGCAGTCCGCAAAGAGGGAGCTATAGTCCAGGACATATTCCGGGTTCAACAACGTGGTGAATTGACAGTCGAAAGGGCGGGTTCGAATGACGCGCTGAGGCCCACTTGAGTGACGTAGAGAGATGTCTGTAGCTTGATGGCTTACTGATGAGATAGCCTCTTAAAATGGTGTTCCGATATGTTTGTTCTCGCTCGTTCTATTCCATCGTTTCCCTTCTTCCCCAAGGGGCGGGGGACCTTCGATGTTTGTCTCGGTCTTGGCAAGTTTGCGGTGTCAATGGGCGATCGGGGAACTTTTTGAACTGCAAACTTCGCTGTGACTTTCAAAGGTCAATCCTTATTTTCTACAGCCCTTTCTACCCGACTCACCCATTCTCCATACCTTGCCCCTCACCTCGCATGCGCCCTCTCTTTCGACTTTGTGTGCGTTCAAATAAACCATACCCGCTGCCGAGCTTCGCATCGGTATATCGCCCGATAGAAAATAGACCTCTGACTCGATATTGCTCGACCATGGGAAAGGACAAGGAGAAAAGACAAGAGCTGATCAAGAATCCGAAAGGCACGCGAGATTGGTCGGGCGAAGATGTTGATCTACTTGAAGACATCCTCGCTCAAATATCTCGGATCTTCCGTCGTCATGCCGGGAAGAAACTTGATACTCCAGTGTTTGAGCGTGAAGAGGTGCTGAAGGGCAAATATGGCGAGGACTCGAAATTGATCTACGACTTAAAAGACCAAGGCGGAGAGTTACTGTCGTTGCGATATGATCTGACTGTTCCCTTTGCCAGATGGCTGGCCATGAATGCAAACCTCAAGAACTATAAGAGATTTGCCATAAGCAAGGTCTACCGAAGAGATCAGCCCGCGATTGCGAAAGGCCGCATGCGGGAGTTCTACCAGTGTGACATTGACTTTGCCGGGGCCAGCGATCCGATGATGGCAGACAGCGAAATTATTGCGATCATCGTCGAGGTCTTTGAGTCGCTGGAGTGGAGTGGCAGATACACAATCAAACTCAACGACCGAAGAATCCTGGACGGCCTATTTGAAGTGTGTGGCGTGCCAGAGGAGAAGATCAGAATGATATCCAGCGCGGTGGACAAGTTGGACAAGTTGCCCTGGGAAGAGGTGAAGAGGGAGATGGTCGAGATGAAAGGGCTTGACGAAGCGGTGGCAGACAAAATTCAGACTTATGTTACAAGAAAAGGCCGAAAAGATCTGCTCGAGGAGCTGCAGAAAGATGAAACGTTAATGAGCAACGCAAAGGCAAATAAAGGCATCGGAGAAATGGAGATTCTGATGGAATATCTCTCCGCATGGGGTGCCCTGGACAAGGTCTCGTTTGACCTTTCTCTCGCCCGTGGTCTTGATTACTACACTGGTGTTATCTACGAAGTCGTCACTGAAGGCTCTGCTCCCGTCATCGCGAATGGCGCCGAGGTTGCTAAAGAAACACCAAAGCAAGGCAAGAGGGAGAAAAAGGCACTCGATGAAGACGAGGATCGCTCCAATGACCCTTCGGTCGGCATTGGCTCTGTTGCAGCCGGGGGTCGCTATGACAACCTTGTGGAACGCTTCCGACCGAATGCAGATCTTCCTTGTGTGGGTGTCAGTTTCGGGGTCGACCGCATCTTCAGCATTACCAAAGCCAGGATTGCCAAGGGCGAATCCTTCAGCTATGTTTCTTCCAATGTACCCGACGTGTATGTAATGGCCTTTGGCGGTGGTGGTTTCGACGGTATGGCCAAGCAGCGCATCGAAATTACGAAACGTTTGTTGAACGCCGGTCTGAAAGTGGAATTCACATACAAGAAGAAGCCTAAACCGCAAGTCCAATTCAAAAATGCCGAGACGGCTGGCGCACCGTTCGCAGTTATTCTCGGGGAGGATGAGCAGGCAAGAGGGGAGGCCAGAGTCAAGGAGATGGGTGTACCCGATGGCCATCCGTAAGTCCCCGAGTGTTTTCGGATTATCTATTCCCTAAAGCAATGTGATTAACTTGACATGATGAACAGTGAGAAAGAAGGCGTCCTGGTCAAGATTACTGACCTAGCGACCGAGGTTTCCAAGCGGGTTGAGATGAAGAAAATGGTCTCTAAAACGGGAGAGATGACAGCGAGTTAATCAATGGTCGAGAGAGGATCGAGTGCCCCAAGATCAGGCCCTTCCCATAGAGCTGGGTATCACTCGAGAAGATTTGTGGGAAATCTTCGAACCCTTATCGGAAAAGGTTCACATAATACAAGATACAGGGAAGGTCTGGATGAAGGAAAATTTTCGTCCTCCAGATGCTCCATCTGGAAGAGCATACCGTTCCTGTGAAGAAGAGTTCAGCCATGCTCACCGTTCTTTGCAATTCCCAAGGAAACGCATGTTAGGATATTCTTGGCCGGCATGTATCTATCCAGCTTAGACCCACGGAGGCTGGCTTCTTCCGATCATTGGGTCGGCTGAAACACCCACAACACCTCGGAGATCTAGAACGAGAAAGAGGTTGCTGTGAGATGAAGCTAGCCGTTCAAAGTATGTCGAGCTCGGAATACGGCCAGTCCGGCTCCCTCGGGGTTGAAATTTGGAAGGGATCGCCGGGATAAGAAAGCAAGATCAACAAAACCTCTCGCCTTTTACGTAGACTTCATGGTGACATGTGTAGGAGGGTGAGTCGAGAGGAGGTCGCTTGGGCGGGTGGCGGTCTCGAGAGCCTTGGTCGCTTGCAGGGGCCGGGACAGGAAGCCAGCCTCGTGGAAGGAGATTCGGCAAATCTGCCAAGGCCAGGCTGACCCCTTGAAAATTTCCGTTTCTTGAATGGACTCCATCTCCTCTGCCTCATCCAGACAACAAGATGCCAAATACGTCGGCCACTTAGCGAGATCTATGTCGCTTCCGCAGCGGCTGCGAATAGGAAAGGCCAATGCCCGCCCAGGTCGACCATGGTTGTCCCTGACTCTTCAGATCTGTCTGCGACACGCCTAGCCCTCTCCACGCCCGCAGGCGCCGTCGACTGTGAAACGCCATGCGTCTCAGCAGGCACTTCTGTCACGTTCGGCCTCGACATGATACTCTCCAGCCACAACAGGACACCAACTTCGAGACTGCGATGAAGAAGTTCACGTCGCATCTCATGTTTGAGATGTTGCTGCGGCCAATCGCGACCGCACGGCCTTACAGCGCTCCCTCTCTGGCTCATCTCGCCGCTTACACTCCCTGTTCTCTCTCAGCACTCGCTGTCTGAAGCCGCTGTCCGGATGTCCTTCGCACCGAAAAGAGCCATCTCCCTTCAATTTGGTCCCTTCTCTTGTCCCTTTTCCCGTGTGTTCAAATTGTCCATTTAGGGACACGCCTTTCGCGATTTCTCCTCAATCCAACTTTCTCTCCATCCAAGAGTCATTCGTTCTTGTTGCAGGTCACCATATAATTACTTTCCTTTTTGCGCTCCTTTCGTAACTTATTCAATCGCGATGCCGGCAGTCCGCTCCCTTTTCACTCTTTCCGTTTTGGCAACTTGCCTGGCGCAAGTATGACTTATCCCTGACCAGCGGTGTCACCGTAACCTTGCTGACGGTCTTTGTTAGGTGTTGGCTGATGGTCACATGGGCGGTGACATGGGTGACGACAAGGGAGGCGAAGGTGGCTTCGGCAGCTTTGGCGGTGGCAGCGACAAAGACATGACAGAGGGTTCGTGGGAAGGCGGGAACAGCTACGATCAATACATGACCCAAACGATGTACGAAGCATCAGTCATGACTGTCGAGATGCCCACAACCATTTTCAAAGCTGAAGATTGCCCTCCCGCAGCTACCAGCACCATTACCGAAACGGTGAGTGGAAGCGTGTAAATTTGGGGTTGCAACGCTGACTTTTGAGATTCCAGTCCACCGTCACTGCCGCTTCAGCGTGTTCCTCCGCCGTTACCGCGTACGTGACTCAGTGGATGAATGCTCCTCCTGGCTGTTGGTGCGGTGGGGGTGAGGCTCCTATGTCCGGCTGGGAGATGGGGTGGGGAGGACCCTCGCCACTCGGGGATGCCCCAGTCTTCACTTCTTTCAACGCCGCCTTTACCCAAGGTCTATCCTCTATCCCGGCGTCTGAAGCAGTTCAGACTGGAGTTACAGTTGCTGGAGCCGCTGCTGCGCCGTCCCCAACTGCCGCGGTTTCTGTAGGTGGCTTTTCCACAGAAGAATCAAGTGAGTGTCGAATCCGTCCGCCCAGCTCAGTCTCATGTTCTCTGACATACCTGAATCAGGTTCAATGACGACATCTGGTACGGAATCTTCTGGTTCAAGCAGCGTCCCATCTAACATGGCGGAGTCTACTAAAGCAGGGGAGGCTCCTGAGCCAGAAGCTTCGACCACGACGACTACCTCATCGTCATCAGCATCTATATCTACCACACTCTCAGAAACGACAACTATGATTTCTACGACATCGATTTCACTAGCATCTGCGGAAGCTGCCTCAACAACTGGCGACGGCAGTTTCCCAGTCGGTTCCTTCCAAACCCTCGATCCTGCAACGCTCACACTCAAGAACGCCTATACCTTGGGCATCGGGAAGAGAGCGCCCCAACCAACACTGCTATCACCATAGAAAAGGGGAAAGACGAAATAAGTTAAAAGACCAAGATTTGCGACATGGACGATATACCACCGTTTGAGGCTAGGCTCCGGAGTGTAGCATCCAGTTGGGACATTATTCATTTCATTTCTTTGTATACTTAAGAGAAAAGTGAACGGCCAAAGAAAATAGCTTGGTGTTTAGCTTTTCTTCGGGGACACTTTATTATTACCCCCGAGTGTCTCATGCTTGATAGGAAAATCCGAAGCAGAGGTATCCTGGGCACTAGTATGAGTGCCGTCGGGCCCTGCATTACCATTCAGTCTCGCTTTCTTCGCTCTTCTCGTTTCGCGTTTTGACTGTGGTTTGTCTTCCGTGGCCGATGTCTCATTGGTTGATGTTGCGGTGATGGAGGTGATGGAAACTTTCCGTTTCATGTCATTGGAGAGAATGGACTCTTTCTCAGTGGGCTGCTGAGAAGAGGTCTGTTTGTGTTCTCCCACAAGTTTTGTTCCAGAATGCTCCCTTCCACTCTCGACCACATCGATGACACCGCGGAAACTGGTCCTCTTGAGTTTAGCCAATTTTATGACCTTTTCAGGCTCTTCGCAAATTGCTTCCTTCCCCCTCTCCTGACCCAGTCCCCATAGGTGCGCCAAGTTGACCACGTCATGGGGTCCTCGCACTCCAAGGGCATTCTTCGCTTCACTGCTCAATACAATACCTCGGCCTCTTGTCGCGCGTATTAATGCCGTCGCTCCACTGATCAAATTTCTGCGAGCATCGCTATTTCCACCTTGAACACCCGTCGAATAACAGATCTCGAACCTGACGCCGCGCTGCAAAGCCGACGCAACGGTCTTGAATTTCAGGATGAACGGCAGACGCTGACTGAGATCGAGAGAGATGAGGTCGCATTCTAGCGAGCTGCAACAGAGTTGCAGGGCCTTTTCAGAGGTCGGGCGCAGCGCAATCAAGGAGTAGTGAGGTTGGAAAGAGGCAAGGCGGTGGTTTTGAGTCGCGTCGGATATGGTGATGGTCAGTCGCGTGAGGACGGTCGACACCGATTTCGGTATGGTAAGAGACGAGACGGGGATCGCCTGAGGTATAGCAGGTAGCTTTCCGGCAACAGATATCGAAATAGCGACGACTGAGTAGCCGAGTTCAGCGTGAAAAGCTAGAGTGTGCGACAATTCTGCATGATTCGAGGTGTAGGGAAGGTTCAGGTCATGGAAAGGCATGACAAACCATGCTGTCGCTCAAGTTCCTGATGGGATCTTCAGCATTGATCAGATTAATGCGTAACAATAGCAAGTGCGGTCCCAAAAATGTTCCAACTCCAGCGGGGAATTCACATCCGTTAGCGCGACTGTCGAGCACGGATTTCCCCTGCACCCACCGGTCGTATATCGAAAGGCTCCTCGTACTTACGAATTGCACCACATTATTTCATCCTCCCAACATCCATTTTCCAGCATCACACATCTTAGCGGGGCTTGCGCCAGCCAGCCATTTGAGGCTGCGCCCTCTTGCTGCACACCTTGAGGACAAAAGAACTCGCCAGCCTCGCGACCCCCATTTCATCCACCAGCGCATGAGACCACTCCACGATCTCCTGCTGTCACCGCAGCCATGGCGCGAGTCTACGCCGATGTCAATGCCAATATGCCGCGGTCGTATTGGGACTATGACTCGGTGGCTATCTCGTGGGGAGTCCTAGAGAACTACGAGATTGTGAAAAAGATCGGTGAGGCCCGGGTCCAGAGACAACATCGTCGGGAGACTCAGTGACTGACCAACCGTCAACCAGGACGAGGGAAATACTCTGAGGTCTTTGAAGGCATCAACGTTGCCAACTACCAGAAATGCGTCATCAAAGTCCTCAAACCCGTCAAGAAGAAGAAAATAAAGCGTGAAATCAAGATCCTCCAGAACCTTTCGGGTGGCCCAAACATTATAGCCTTGCTGGATGTCGTGCGGGATAGTCAGAGCAAGACTCCGAGCCTAATATTCGAAAACGTCGACAATACCGATTTCAGAACCTTGTATCCGCGGTTTGTCGACTACGATGTGCGATACTACATCTACGAATTGCTCAAGGCACTCGACTTCTGTCACAGCAAAGGAATCATGCATCGCGATGTCAAACCTCACAATGTGATGATTGATCATGCAAAGAGAAAGGTGCGCTTGAGACCCATTGAAAACCGGCGACCAATGCTAACAAAACTGTAGCTGCGTCTCATTGATTGGGGTCTGGCCGAATTCTATCACCAAGGAACCGAGTATAATGTTCGAGTGGCATCACGATATTTCAAAGGTCCTGAGTTGCTGGTCGATTATCAGGAATACGACTACTCTCTGGACATGTGGTCACTGGGTGCCATGTTCGCTTCTATGATCTTCCGCAAGGAGCCTTTTTTCCATGGAAACAGCAATTCGGATCAACTGGTAAAGATTGCCAAGGTTCTCGGTACGGACGAGCTCTTCGAATACCTCGATCGATACGATATCGAACTCGATGCGCAGTACGACGATATTCTCAGCCGATTCCCCAAGAAGCCGTGGCAAAGCTTTGTCAATGCTGAAAACCAGCGCTTTGTCAGCCCCGAGGCAATTGATTTCCTCGACAAGCTTCTCAGATATGATCACCAGGTATGTACCTCGACCTCAGATTGGTCCTGCTGCTAATCTTCGCTCCAGGAACGTCTCACCGCCCAGGAGGCAATGGCACATCCCTATTTTGCACCGGTGAGAACAGCGGCGCAACAGCCAAATTCACAAAACCATGTTTCGTGAATGATGGGAGAGGGACATCGACACAAAATGTCAATTCTTCTAACCAACATTAACAAACGAGGAAATGAGTGCCAGTGTCACGGCCGGGATATGATTGATGATCAATGATACCGACGCATCCTAGGGAATCGTTACTGCTCGAGGGAACAAGCCTGACGGACGGACGATGAGCACGAATTTCGCAGAACGGGGGTCAATGTGAACGTGGCAGGTCAGGATAGAGTGCATTGCGAGGAACTCGACTCCATTCTCCATGTTTGCTCCATCCGTGCCAGTACATAGAATCGCGACTCATGCTTGTGCTGAAATAGTACGAATTTGTATTGCCGGCGAGGCGTCCTGACCTCGAGAAAGCTTGAGGCTGTGATGTCAGTCTTGGCAGGATATACCGTGGACAAAAACCATGGTAATTTTTGGAGAGAGGTGCCGCATGCGGTTTTGGGGACTCATAAATTAACAGCGCCCTTGGACCACAAACACGCCATTCAATGGTGACTCATTGTCCCTCACCCCTGTTTTTCTTCTCATGTTGCCCAAAATCGCACTGTGTTGAAAAGTGACTGTGAGATATTCTCCCGCCGCAAGGCGATTTACCAAAATACATATCAGAACCTTCTTTCTGCGCCCTCCCCCTTGGAGAGGGCTACTACGTTTCAATATGACGCTGAATGCCGCAACTCACAATATTAGTATGTCAAGCACCCTTCTCGGCCAGGCCTCTATTTGAATGTTGACATTTTACCGCAGCTGGCGAGCCAACTGGCTCTGCGTCAGGACCACCTCCCCCAGTATCCTCAGACCCATTGGGTCAGAATGTGCCCGGGAAAGACCAACAGAACAACGACAAAGGCCAAACCGTGATGGGTGAAGCAGGAAAGGAGAAAACAGCCAAAGAAAGTATGCAAGATACCGCTGAAGGGCCGCATTCATACACGTCCTGTCCTCGGTCTCGTATTTCCCAAATTGGATTGTGATGCAAGAGATGACTCACCCTCGAACGAGTACCGGATCGCCAGAGACTCATGGTGTATGACTGGGAAAGTGTTTTATGATTGTCGAGCGAGATCTCGTCGTCAACTGCTCCACCGACACCGACTCATTACCCAAACTACCACACATATTACCGTGTTGAAGGACGTTCATCTCTAACCATGATGCATGTTACAGTTGAGAAAGAACGTAAGAAGGCCGAAAAACTGGCAAAGTTTCAGGAAAAACAATCCAAGAAGCAAGCAATACCGACGCCTGCCCCTACTCCCACGGCGGCGAAGAAAGAGAAAGTCAAGAAACCGACCGCCGTTGATGCCTATGAACCACAAAAGATCGAGTCTGGCCGATATGAATGGTGGGAAAGCCGAGGCTATTTCAAACCCCAATTCACCCAAGACGGCCATGTCAAGCCTGAAGGAAAATTCGTCATCCCCATTCCTCCTCCGAACGTGACAGGTTCCTTGCACATGGGTCATGCCCTTACCAATGCTTTGCAAGATACCATGATCAGACACGCGAGAATGAAAGGAAAGACCACAGCATGGATTCCTGGTTGTGATCACGCCGGTATTGCCACACAGAGTGTGGTGGAAAAAATGGTTTACAAGACAGAAGGCAAGACTCGACATGACCTCGGACGAGAAGCCCTGCTTGAAACAATATGGAGCTGGAAGAACAAGTATCATGGCAACATTACAAATCAGCTCAAACGACTGGGAGGCTCAATGGATTGGAGTCGCGAAGCTTTCACCATGGACGACAACCTCTCCCTGGCCGTGCGAAAGACGTTCATTGATTTGTATGAAGAAGGGGTCATTTACAGAGCCAACCGGTTGGTGAACTGGTGTTCTGCCCTCAGCACTTCCTTGTCCAACCTGGAAGTGGACAACAAGGAGCTCAAAGGTCGAACCAAATTGAAGGTGCCAGGCTACGACAAGATGATCGAGTTCGGTGTGCTTACCTACTTCAAATACCCGATCAGCAAAGGAGACGATCCAGCCAAATCATCCACCGCGGCAGATCGATTCAAAGGACACGACGTCATCGAAATCGCAACCACTCGTCCAGAAACGATGCTAGGCGATACCGGGATCGCGGTGCACCCCGATGATAAGAGATACAAACATCTTGTGGGCAAGTATGCCATCCATCCCTTCATTCCAGACCGGAAAATCATCGTCTTTGCCGATGAAGAGGTGGAGATGGAATTCGGTACTGGAGCTGTAAAGATTACACCGGCGCATGATCCCAACGATTTCATCAAAGGCAAAAAGCACAACCTGGAGTTCATCAATATCTTGAATGACGACGGGACATTGAATGCCAACGCCGGTCCTTTTGCCGGACAGAAGCGATTCGACGCTCGTTATGGAGTCATCGACGCTTTGAAAGAGCTCGATTTATACTCGAAACAGGAAGACAACGCCATGACGATCCCCATGTGTCAGAGAAGCAAAGATGTAATCGAGCCGGTGTTGAAGCCTCAATGGTGGATGAAAATGACCGATTTGGCCAAAGCAGCAGATGATGCTGTGCTTGATGGAAGGATCCTGATCAGACCCGAAACGGAATCACGTCGGTTCCACTTTTGGATGCAGAATATTCAAGACTGGTGCATTTCTCGGCAGCTCTGGTGGGGTCATCGAGCACCAGCCTATTTCATTCAACTCCAAGATGAACCCAGTGACGAGGCCGATGATAGATTCTGGGTGTGTGCGTTTGATGAAGATGAGGCTCATGCCAAAGCCAAAAAGAAATTCCCCGGCAAGAAATTTACGTTGCGATGGGATGAAGATGTGTTGGATACCTGGTTCTCATCCGGATTGTGGCCGTTCTCAACCCTCGGATGGCCGAAAGAGACTTCCGACATGAGGGAGCTTTATCCGACTTCCATCCTGGAAACGGGTTGGGATATTCTTTTCTTCTGGGTGGCCAGGATGGTCATGCTGGGGCTGAAATTGACAGGCGACGTGCCATTCACGGAGGTGTATTGTCACTCTCTTATTCGAGACGCTGAAGGACGAAAGATGTCCAAATCGCTCGGAAATGTGGTGGATCCGTTGGATATCATCCGGGGCATCACACTTGAAGATCTTCACAAGACCCTCTACGCCGGGAATCTCGACCCCGCGGAGATCGATCGTGCCAAGGCATATCAGAAATCGGCATTCCCAAAGGGGATTGAGGAGTGCGGCGCCGATGCTCTACGATTCACTCTGGTCAATTACACCACGGGTGGCGGTGATATCGCATTTGACATTCGAGAAATCGAAGCCAAGCGACGATTCTGCAACAAGATATACCAAGCCACCAATTTCGCTTTGGGCCGATTCGGTGAAGACTTTACTCCAGATGCTACGAACACCGATAGCCAACCGAAATCACTGGCGGAGAAGTGGATTCTCCACCGACTCAACTGTGCTGCCAAGGAGGTGAGTGAGGCCATCGAGGGCCGTGAATTTTCAGTGGCTGCCGGCACACTGTACCAATACTGGTTCACTCAGCTTTGTGACACATTCATCGAGAACTCCAAGTATATTCTCACTCCGGAGGCCCCAGAGGACGAAAGAAAGTCGGCTCAACAAACGCTGTACACCGCACTCGAAGGCGGCTTGTTGTTGATGCATCCTATCATGCCTTTTCTCACAGAGCATCTGTGGCAGAAACTTGCCCGACGCAAAGGCGATACTACAGAAAGTATCATGATCGCCAAATATCCCGAATTCAACGAGAAACTGGACGCTCCCAAGGAAGCAGAAGAGTACGAGTTCGTCATGGCCATCGCCACGGGCATTCGAAGTTTGCTTTCCCAATACGGCTTCAAAGAACCGGGCGACATCATCATCCAAACCTACTCGGAGTCTGCTTTCACGACCGTGTCGGAACAGCGAACCTCGATCAGATCTCTCGGCGGCAAGTATGCGGGTGAGATTGAGGTGCTGCCTCCAAGCACGGATTCGCTTCCACCGGCAGGCTGTGCCTTGCAGAGCATCAACGCAGATGCCGCCGTGTATTTGAAGATCGTGGGCCGGATTGATCTTGCTGAGGAACTGAAGAAGCGGAAGAAAGCGATTGAAGATGCCAAAGCACGTGTGGAGAAGAGTAGGAAGATCATGAGTGGAGCCGGGTGGGAGAAGGCGAATGCAGAGACGAAGAAGAAGGAAGAGGAGAAGCTGCAGGATGCCGAGAGTGAGGTGAAGAGGTTGGAAGATGCGATTACGGATCTGGAGAGGTTGAAGATGGAGGCATAGAGGAATAAAGGAAAACGGGATTTTTCTTCTTGAACTACTTCAATCAAGTAGGGAATCACGGACAAGGCTTTGGTCTTCCGAAAACTGTGTTAGATAACATACAAAGTTTGGGCTCTTTGAGAGACTCGTTGTCTTGTTCTCGTCCATTCATGCATATTTCAGTTGCTCTCTATTTGAGGGATCTGAGTTGTTTGTCTTGCTTGATTGTTGATCCAAGCTTGATCTTGATTCCCGATCATCTCGAACGTTGCTTGGTCGGATACTGGCAAGGCGCAACAAGGCTGAACCCTGGAGGGCATCTACATCAACTGGCCCAGTAATTAATCTGGCGAAGCCCCGACCGCCTACAACCTCGCTCATTCTCTGGGCGTTTCGGTGTTGTTTCAGCCAAGAATGCCTCAACGCAGTGAGGGTGGCTCAATAATGAGGCATTGGTGTGGATGAAATTGGACATCAAGGACAGGGGAGATTCTGATAGAGAGACGCACAAGAGGTAGGTACTACCTCGTATGCTTCATCATGTTCAGGTGGGTTTTTTCCCCTGTCTATGAGCACAAGAGTTCAGACATGCTCTTCTTTTCTTGCTCGTGCTGATATGTTAGTCAAGCGTCCTTTGGGGCATACGGAATAACCACTCATCGATATACTTACAACAGCCTTTAGTTTCTTGGGTAATGCCTCCTCTACTACTGCGCATCTTGATACTGTATATAGACCATGGCAAATCCCAGGTAATACGCCCTTCACTCATGTAACTATAATTTGCAGTTACATGCCATTAGTAGCAGCGTCGTGAACCACGAACCGTAGTAATCGGCCCCATCTCTAGTCCAGAATTGAAAGATTCTTGCGATAGCTAACCGTCTGATCGAACCAGTGAGTCTAACGTGACTTGATTGCTCCATATATAGATGTTGGCTATTACAAACCCCCTGTCATTTGCGACTTGTCCTGAGTGTGGCTCAGCGATGAAGGGCCGAGAGTACCATGTACACGGCCCACGATTGAAGCCTGAAGACAGTTACTCCGAACCTAAGAGGCTGGGCGGTGGGAACAAGGTATTGGATCTGGATTCTGCTGGACTTTGCCCACTGTCCTGACTTTGAACTTATTGGTCGGTCCTCTTGGGTAGTACGTAGGACACGGGAGCTTTTTGTCTGGGTCTTGAAGTTTCCTCCCTTATTTTCTATTCGACAGTTCCCGAACCATACTTTTTTTCCTCTACTCACTCTCGCTCTCACCCGTATAGTCAGCTGTATTCGTCTGTTGAACCCTTTTTCAACCTTCCGTGCGTTCCAGCAGCAAATCTACCTTCGTTCCCTTCTTCACTCAACTCGACTCGGTGCCAAAACAAAATCGAAAAGTGAAAGAAGGAAACAAACCAACATGTCTTCAGCCGAACCCGCCTGCTACAACGCTCTCGGCAACCAAGTCTCATATTCTTTTCCCTGTGCCACTGACGACAGTCTCACTCAATGCTGTCCTGCCAATGCGACCTGTGCCAGTAACGGCTTCTGCGTCAACGCCGGCGACGAAGCCATCACGCCGTACTTTTGGTCCGGCTGAACCGATCCCTGCTGGGAGGATCCTGGGTGTGTCTCCTTGAGAAGGATTAGAGCGTTTCGTATGGTTATTTGAAGCAAGCGTTGACCCACAAGAAAGCGGGCAGAGACTTTGTACTCCTTTATCCCCCCAGACCATTACCGGTCTGGCTCGGACCAGACACTTCAGTCGAGCGTTATTAACAACCCCTTTGATCCGCTTGAGCCGTCTGGTCAGGGGTTCAATTGCTTGTCATTCAGCCACGAAGAGCGCTGGCCCTCAAATCCTGGATGAATGTCTTATCCGCTTCGAGTGTTGCGTGGATGATTCTTGACCTTTCAAGTAGGGTTGACATTGGAGGATTGGGTCGATTCGTTGACAGCGAATTGCAGGTGCTAAGTGCCAAAGCGCCTCACTTTTTGCAGTTCAACGCAAGTTGCAGGGAAATTTCCCGCCGAATTTGGCGGTTGGTGCCGCCGCTTTTGGAAGCGTTTTCCCCAGATGCCAAGAACGCCAGCCTGGTCTGCCTCCACCCACGAGGCAGGTCCTCATTTTGATAGAAGACAGCAATAAAGAATAATCAATGCACACCCAATGATTGTTTGACAGATGACATATCCATTATTCTAACAAGGCCCTCAAAATCCCCCTTTTCTTACTTTTTCTTACAGTGGATGAAGCCTTCATTCGACGAGCATGCGTGGCTCTAGCCAGGACTCGTCCTTTGAGACCGTGCGCATTCCTGCAGCTTTAGGCGACAGAGAGAGGGGTGCGATAGAGGTTTAATCACTACCTAAGCCGACAGGCAAGGCTGTCATCTCTTATCCAGTACGAGGCTGACCAGGGAATTTAGTTCTTAATTAGCGACTCGGAGGCTTCCCTATCTCCAAGTACCGAGTATTTTGTTCGGAGTAGAGTTGCTTTGTGGGCGAAAAGGCCGTCTGGGAAGTTACATAATACGAAGCGGGAGTCTGGCGTGAAACCTTTATCCTGGCGTCGTACCGCCTGATCCGGCAAGCAGCCGTAACAGCACCTGAACGTACAGCGTAATACGGCATTTTCTAGCATTGAGACTATCAAACATGCCAAAGAGGCATTGGTGGCGTTATGAATGACGACAGCGACCCCAGGCAGGCGGTTAGGGAGTCGATAACTACTGGGAATCAGCTTGAATAGGCCGATTGACGCCCACTTGCATGTACTTACAGTAGCATAAATGGACTGCTAGTTGAGTAATCGAGTCGCCGGCATCTAGGTGCTAGCATGGGAGAGTCTTACTATGGCATTGCACTTGCACTTTTATGCCTATGCTATGATCTTCCATTTCATGTGCTAACTTTGTGCCTCGTTGGGGTCCTGTGATATTCCTCTTGTGGTCGCCACCCCTTCGCACCAAACACTGCCCTTATACCCCTATGTCTCTGAGACAGCTCCCTCATTCTGAGTTCACCATGATCCTTATGTTATTCCCCGTCTCTGCGGTGTTCTGTCGTTGTATGATCCGGCGAACAACAGATATTCATATGCAATCTACTAGCTCCTTTATGCTATGGCAATTTGGAAAACATTTGTCTTGAACTGGCCATATAATCATTGAGGACCCGACTCGGATCAGCGGCTAGGAGAGGGGTAATTCAACCGGTGGTCTAGCAGAGGAAGCATGCAGCTCGCCCGGTGTCGTTGCTGAACCGTTGTAGTCTTCGGGTTTGGGCGGAGGGTATCCATAACCATATGGTTTGGGTTCAGAGGCTGACAGGGTGTTGTTCCATCTCTTCTGACAGCCGAAAACGAACCAGCCAACACCAATGCCGACAGCAACTGCCACTGGGATACCAATTCCCAGTCCAACTTTTGCTCCAGTGCTCAGACCGCCATTGCCACCAGGAGTACTTGAGGTTGTGGCGGCGGGGGGGGCTGCTGTTCCTGAACTTAACCTGTCTGGGGCTGTCGTTGCGGTTGAAGCGGTTGTAGAAGAAGTTGTAGGGTTAGAAGGAGAGGAAGATGAGCTTGGGGGAAGAGTCGTCGTCTCGGCTCCGCTTCCACCGCTTGAGCCGCCTCCAGTGATGTTGAAATAATGGCTGGTTGCAGAAGGACTAGTGTCGCCTTCAATGAAGATCTGAAAGAAGAAAACTCTTGACTGGCTGAGATCTCGTTGTGTCGTGACAGTCCAGAGGTAGGACGAAATGTTGTCTCTGTTCTCTAATGCGAGTTGAGTCACGGTTCCGCAAGAGAGCGATAAAAGGAAGGACTCACGAAAGATATATTCAAAGCCGACATCTGGAAGTTGCTGGTATAGTACGAGCGAGATGGCCTGCTCTATGGGGGTCCATTGAATCGTGAAAGTGGATCCAAAGACATAGGTCGGGTTCAGTGAATTGTCGCCAGCTGTACCGCCAGGTCCAGGTGTAATGAATTCGAGTTCCTGGGCCACAGCCAGGAATGTCAGCAGAGGAGTGAGGAAGAGTAACCGCATTGGGGCGAGAGGTGAACTGTCAAAGAATGCAGAAAGAGTTTTATGGCGACACCTCTTAATCTGGTGCTGAGGACGAGAGCAAAATCAGATCCCGCTGCTGGTCGTTCAAGTGGCCTCCTACAGAGGGCGACCGGAAAAAGGGGCCAAGGGACGTCTGATGATTAGACAACGTTGCAGCATCTATATTACATACAGGGTCTGGTCGGCGCCTAAATGCGAACTAAAGATAAGCCTGAGGTGTCTCGAATCTGATCTTGCCGCCCCTTTCTCCTCCAATGTGAACGTGTGTTTTAGAGCTGCCAATGCCATTTTCATTGCCGCTTTGAGCTTGTTACCATAAGTGGTTGGCGCGAGGCTACACGGTAACGGCTAGCAGGGGCCTATTAAGTAGTTATGTTGCGTTTATCAACAAGCAAGGTAGCGCCAACATGTTGTCACAGGTTGGACAGATGGACTCTAGCACCCCTGCAAGTTTCATCTGTAGTGCCACATGGAATTAGCCCAGCCAGGACTTGGAATCCCGTGCCCGGCTTCGACCTTCATTCAAAACGCTACTTCCCACGCTTTGTTAAACACCCTTTCACAGAAGATTTTCACTTTAAAGGCTATTCACCTTATTGCCTCCTTTAGACTGTCAAACGCGGGTGCAACTTCGACGCAAGACCCAAATCCTGGCGGGCTAACCCTGGCTACCCTTACCCTCAGCCCTCTGGCCCCCTGCGCCTTCAGCCATGCCCATACCTTTCCACCAGCAAATATGTTATTACGACTTTTCTCCCAACGTTCACTGTTAGGCATCGTCCTTGCCATTGGCATCCTCATTCTGTTGGCTTCCTTTCGATTTCCCGAGTATCTCCATACTACCAACAGTCCCTTGCCCCTGGTGACACTGACGCCGACACCTGCACCTCCGGCACAATTGTATCCGTACTGTGATGATACCTTCTCCAATTTCGAAGATATCCTGGTAGTCGTCAAGACTGGCGCAAATGAGATCCACGACAAGCTCCCCACCCAGCTCTTGACCGGACTCCGTTGCTATCAAGACATCCTCATCTTCTCCGATCTCGAACAACGCATCGGCCCATTTGTGGTTCATGATGCATTGAAAAACGTTTCAGACACGGTCAAAACCCAGAATCCCCACTTCGATTACTATCGCACCCTGCAAGACTACAAGAAAAATGGACAAGATATTACCACTCTGAGGCAAAAGAGCGGCAAGGAAGCTTGGGATTTGGACAAGTACAAGTTCCTTCACATGCTGGAAGACGCATGGAATATGCGACCTCATCGAAAGTGGTACATCTTCATTGAGGCCGATACCTATTTAGTCCGCACAAATCTGTTACTCTGGTTACAACGTCAGGACCCATCACAACTTCTCTATCTCGGCTCTCCAACTTATGTTAACGGCGAAGGCTTTGCGCATGGAGGTAGCGGCGTGGTGCTATCCGGAGCCGCCCTGGCCAAATTTGTCAACGGTGACCCTGGGATCGCCGCGCGATATGACCAGATGTTGAAATCTGAAACATTCGGTGATTATGTCCTGATGAAGGCTCTACGCGACAAAGGAATAGTATTCAGCGGTCGCTGGCCTATGCTCCAAGCTGAGAAGCCATCAACTATCCCCTTCGGCCCCGGACCAGACAATGGAGTGAGGCATTGGTGCCAACCTATCGTCACCATGCACCACATTACCCCAGAAGAAGCATGCGATCTCTGGGAATTTGAGCAGCAGAGGAAAAACCCTAAGGTCTGTTTTTTGTTCCTATTGTCCATACCAAGGCAGCAGAAGCTAAAATGTTTTACAACAGGAACCTCTTCTCCTGAAAGAACTTTACCAGGACATGATCAAACCCAAGGTCCATGCTACGCGTGAAGATTGGTACAATCTCTCCGATGACCTCGTGTATCGACCGCCAGACGTCATTGGCGATCGACAGAAGTCCCGCGAAGATATGTCGGCGCTAGAACGTGAGGCGCACCTCTCATTTGAGCATTGTGGCCGAGCTTGTGAAGAACAGCCTCGCTGCTTTCAGTACATGTACTCGGATCGGGAATGTAGATTCTCCTACTCTTATCGATTGGGCAGGAAGCATCATCCCGAATCAGGGACGACGTTTATGTCTGGGTGGAATTTGGCCAAGATCGCTCGGGATCAAGCTGCGAACCAGTGTTCTTCTCCAGGATGGTTATGAGCAACATTATCCCATCCATTTTACTCTCTGACATCGCCATTCCTTCCTCTGCGTCCGCCCCCTCAGTGCCTGTTTTACTCGGCTTCGATAAGCTCAAGAAGCTGAAACAATTCAAATACTACGGCCCGGCCCTCCCAATCCTGGCACATAGCTGCCCACGTGACGCTGTTGCCGCCCTCGCCTAGTGGCGTCATTTCTGCGACAATTCAGGCGCCCTCACCCGTTCTAACTGCTGGTTCAGCAAAGGCCCCTCCATCCAGAACTACTGTAGCGAAAGAGTCGACATTTACGAGTAGAATGCCGCCGAGGAGGCCACCCGACCTTATCTGGCAATGGAACTGGTTGAATTTCCTTACGTTTCGGAGAAGAACTTCGCCAACGAGCTTAGGAGGAAGCTTAAGATGCTGCATTGTAATCTCGGGGTACTAAAGAAGCGCAAGGGCAACAAGATCATGATCATTAACCCGACTGAGAAGAATACTACGGCGACTACAAGATGCGCGGGAACTACAGACTGCAGAGCGAGCCACCGTTCGCGTACTTCATGTAGGACCTGTCGTATTATGGAATCAATGGGGATGTGGATGATAGAGGACGTGTTATCAGGGTGGTATTGGATACTGTATCGAAAAGTATCGCTAGCGCTAAGAAGTATCGCGATACTTTTTCGATACCGCCCCTTATAGGCATGCAGTAACTAGGGGAGTCCCGCCTAAACATTAGTTAAAGGGGTAACTTAAATATAGTAAGGTAGCCACTAAAGGGGGGGAAGAGTAAATAAAACACATCTTTAGCGAGATCCCTTAATTTTTAGTTACCCCACCAACTAAGTTTTAGGCGGGAGTCCCCTAGTTTTAGGTACCGCATACCTATAAGGCCTAGTGGAGTGGAGTATGGCGACTTTTCGATACAGTATCGAAAGCCACCCTGGCTCATCATATTCTTCTATGTCGACGATATTATGATAGTCTTTCACAAGCAGGATACGGACAAAAGCCGAGAACTTTCTCTCACACCTTACAAGGCGGTACACCTCTCAAGATCAAGGGAAGTACGAGCAGGCGGAGGAAATGAATCGACGAGCGATGAGGGGGTACGAGGAAGTCCTAGGAGCGGATCGTCCCGACACACTGACGAGTGTGAGCAATCTGGCAACGGTACTTCAAGACCGAGGGAAGTACGAGCAGGGCAAGGAAATGAATCTGTGAAAATATGCCAAGGCGCTAGTAATTCGGAATAAAAGCGGCCTTCGACACGCCCTCACGTAGTTAGCGACCAATACAATTCTACTCGTTATTTTACAAATCAACGCGCGATGAGGGGTTACGAGACTGTACGAGGGGAGGGCCTTGCCGACACATTGACGAGTGCATATGGTACTCGACAACGGCTGACTGTGAGAAATATTTTTTAATATCCACACACTCTCCGTAGTGGAAGATGTATGCTAGCTAGCACTGACCAACACTGGAAATGTACATTCATTGGTTTATTTATTCAGGGTCGACATGGAGGATCACCCGGTAAAGTAGTAGCGACTATTGATCAGGTCAAGAGAGATGCGAAGATCTAGCCATTTCTAGTTGATGGCTCGTTGGATTCATAATGTCACCATCGCAGGGCTGGTATATCAGCAACAGTCAATCAAGGCAATTGGGAGAGGTCGGTATAGCAGCTTTTTGACAAGAGCAGTCACCAGGCACTCTGGGTATGAGAAGCGTAAGCTGGGCCTGCTGACAGATGTTGGCGTCGAAGTCTCTCAAAGGGGAGTCCATTCAACTCCCTTTGAAACCTTTGATGCTCCCTCGTCAAACAGATGGATTGAGGCACTCTATCCGTCTGGTACAATCTCAGGGCCGTAAAAGCTGTGTCTATATGGACGAGTTATCGCCGTCTATTGCTTGCCAACCCCGGACTCCTACGTTTCTTAGCCATTGACTCCTGGTTGGTTGGATCATGCCAGTAACGAGCGATGTAGAGAGATGCCTTGTTTGACATCTCTTATCAATCCAACAAAGATCATCACGGGGCGTCCAAGACCTTGTTCACCAATCGAACCCCGCATCCTTTTTCCTGCTGGCGCCGGCAAGCATCACAAACGCGGGCGCTTGACCTTTTGACAACACATTCCGAGCAAGATACTTCGGCTAGTGATCTTCAAACTACTGCAGCAGTTAAGAACCCGATCCATGCCCCATCGAATCATGATATCTAATGTTCGAAAGCTATTGATCCAAAATCGAGAAGCAGGGATGACCCGACTCGCACATAGGACTGCTGAAAAGTTGTCCATGTCAGCGTCGCACAGGAAGGTCGGACGACCAAGCTTTTGTGATCTTCGGCGTTGTGCAAAGATTTCGAAGAATCTAAGTGTCATACAATTCTTCTCGCTGACCAGTTTTGTACCACATCGTGGTCTTTCCAATCATCTTGAAGCGAATTTGATCCTCTTACTCTCTACCACAGCCGGCAGACTGGCGTGTCCAGGCGATGAGCTGACTCCCGCCGAGAACGTCTCTGCGTGGTCCTCAGTGCCCCCGGTGCCTTTGGACTTCTCGCACAATTTCTTTATTAGAATCCCCCTTTGGAGTCGATGAATGAGAATGATGTGTGGTACAGTGTAATTACAGTGGACCCTTGACTACCGGAGACTTATCATGCATGATGACAATCGCTTGATCGGGAAGCAAACGAAGTCGACGAGTCGAGCATACAGAAACAGGGAAACGCATTTTCAAGGGATCTGCGTCATTGTGGAGGAGTGAAGTGTCCACAGACATCGCGTGCCTCGTTCACTCCCCGTGGAGGCCTATGGATCGCTCCCAGACCAGAGAAGTAATCATATCCATACAAATCAGCAGCGAAAAATTATTTGACTGGGGCATGCTTTCAGAAAATATCAAGGCATGATGGGTTGAAGCGCTTCAGGCCGGAAAGGAAGCGAAAATGAGAAAAACAATGCAAATTCACCAAGATATTCACCCGACTTGATCGACGCCTCTGCCGCCTTCGCCGGACAAACCGGGAACCCCGGTCCAGCTAACCGACTAGCCGACCCTCAAGCTTCGCAACGATGCGACCTTCCTGATCTTGTTCTATCTAACCTTTAGATATCCAGGTACAACCTTCTGATAAGATCGATATCTTCGCTGTTCTTACTCGCCAATTCTTCCTTTGTTGCGAAAACAAGGTTGACTTGTACCGACGGATCGATCCTATTGTGGATTCATGCCCTCCGTAGGAACAGGTTTTCGACCACTTGGATTGGCAAGCATGTTTCTTCTGTTCGCCCTTATCTTGGTCATTGGCCTCGGCTGGGTGATGGGCCATTGATGAGGGTGCAGGTATGGTGGCAACTCCCACTACACACGCGACCTGATGTGGATGAAGGTAGCATAGTTCCTCGACTATCGCATGACGGTGCCAGAGTTGCGGCCAGGGCTTCAATAGTCGCGAAGGTCATTATTATTGTAATAAAAGTTGGACAAAATATCTTGTTTGAACAAGAAAAAGATGTTTACATCTTTGACCATATCTCTTCGTGAGATTTCGAGATGCAGTTGATCTCCGCCACGTCCATACTGATTCTTCTGGCTTCGGTTTCTGCTCAATATTTCCCCGCCACTCCGAAGAATGTGACTGTTGTCAATTCGCAGATCGAAGATGGGGTTTTGATCTCATTCAAAGAGGTATGTATCTATCAGTCAATGTCATTCTCTGCTAAGGGATAACAATGTCAAAATCACAGCCGGAAATATGCGAAACGACTCCTGGGGTACGATCATATGCTGGTTACGTCCATCTACCTCCTGGCATCCTGGATGATCTCGGCGTCGGCCAGAATTACACAATCAACACATTCTTCTGGTTTTTCGAGTCTCGAAAGGATCCTGCCAATGCTCCCCTTTCTATCTGGTTGAACGGGGGGCCTGGAAGCTCGTCCATGATTGGCCTAATGCAGGAGAATGGTTCGTTAATGATCTCTCGACGGGGACGTCAACAGCTTGCGCCTAACCTGTATTTTCCCCCCTAGGACCATGCAATGTCAACCATGACTCCAACACTACAACGCTAAACCCCTGGTCATGGAACAATGAAGTCAATATGTACGATCTAGACCGATCAAATTACGGATTTCTCCCACTGACCCTATTGTCTAGGCTTTACATTGACCAGCCCAATCAGGTCGGACTATGTTATGATGTCTTGAAAAATGGCACTCAAGATCTGCTCGACCCATCCGGCGACGTGATCATCAGCAACTTCTCGGAGAGTGTCCCTGAGCAAAATAACACTTTTCTCGTCGGAACGTTTCCAAGCCAGCTTCTAAACTCCAGTGCCAACGGGACCACCAACGCAGCACGAGCCCTTTGGCATTTCGCTCAAGTGTGGTTCCAGACGTTTCCAGACTACAAACCCAACAACAACCGCGTTAGTCTTTGGACCGAAAGTTACGGTGGACACTACGGTCCCGCGTTCGTTTCCTTCTTCCAAGAGCAGAATGAGAAGATTGCCAACGGGACCTGGAGCGAGCGGGGTGAAACGTACGAGATCTATCTTGATACACTAGGAATCATCAACGGCTGCATCGACACTCTGATTCAAGAACCGAGCTATCCCCACATGGCATACAACAATACCTACGACATTCAAGCCATTAATCGCACTACCTACGACCAGGCAATGACCAGCTTCACCGAACCGGGCGGTGTGCGTGAACTCATCGAAACATGCAGAGCACTGGCCGCAGAAGGTGACCCGGAAAATCGAGGGAACAACGCTACTGTCAACGAAGCATGCTCTGCGGCCAACGATGCCACCTGGGACGTGGAGGGGCCCTATGTGGAGGTGTCTGGGCGAAACTACTACGACATTGCCGCCATAGACCCGGACCCGTTTCCACCCAATTACTATATCGGATATCTCAACCAGCCGCACGTCCAAGCCGCGCTGGGTGTCCCTGTCAATTACACCAACCCGGGCGGAAACGCACCATACTACGCGTTTCAAGATACAGGTGACTACCCACGCGGTGGCTACCTCGAAGACCTCTCCTACCTGATCGACAGTGGGATCAAGGTGGCTTTCGTCTACGGCGACCGTGACTACGCCTGCAACTGGATCGGAGGTGAAGCCGTATCCCTGGCCGTCAAATACTCGCATACCGCTGACTTCGCTGCCGCCGGCTACGCCAACATTACTGTCAACTCCAGCTACGTCGGTGGTCTCGTCCGACAATATGGCAACTTCTCTTTCTCCCGCGTCTTCCAAGCCGGCCACGAAGTACCAGCCTACCAGCCCGAAACCGCGTATGAGATCTTCCGTCGCGCGCTGTTCAACTTGGACATCGCATCCGGCACTCACAATACGGCACAGAACGACAGCTATTCAACAGTTGGTCTGTCACATTCTTGGTCCGTGAAAAACGTCCCTCCAGCCAGTGATCCGCCTGTGTGCTACTCGTACAATCCGCTCGCGACGTGTACGGACGAGCAGCTCGATAGCATCATCGATGGATCGGCGCTGATTCAAGACTATATTGTCCTGGATAAATACTCGTCGAGCCTGTTCCCCGATCTTGCCAGTGCTGCTAACGCTACGAGCGGCAATTCTACAAGTGGGAACGGAACGTCAAGTGGAGGGGACAGTGACAATGGGAACAGCTCGGGAGGAGGAAACGAGAACAGCGCTAGTTCCGAAAGACTCGAAAGAAGCCTGTGGCTTCCGATCGGTCTTACAACTTTCGTTGTGTGTTGTGTATGAGGCTAGTGAGTCTTTGTAAGTATATGTGCAATTATGCTGGGCTTTATGTAGTGAGGATTAAATTTTTTTTTTTTTTTTTTTAACTTGCTGCACCTCGTAGTGGCACGTCTTATCGGGCCATCTCATCCGGCACCCCCCCGAATCCAACAGGGAAAGGAAATTCTTTCACCACGGCTGTCCTCAATTTAAGAAATTGCAGTTCTCAGAAGGTCTCTTTCGTCACCACAGATCAGTACCGTCGAGCCTGCTAACACATTCTTCTCATGAAGACCCAACCTCCCCGTTTTCTACAGAGAAGAGGAGCGTCATGGCTTCACTGCTCCCCAGGCAACAAAGTAACAGCTTCCTCCCGACCTCACCAAGACACATTTACTCCTTGCTCCATCCTGAACGAACAAGTGGAAGACAAGAGCCTTATACCAAAGCAAGAGTACAGCATACCCCCCACCTTTTGCGAATGCCCCTTCATAGATGGCTCGATCCCGGTGGGGTTGATTTATTAGCCCAGCTCCTCGGAAAACCTAAAAGAATTCACCTTCTCATCCGGCAGACGGTCCACGAGTCCCTTCCGGTCCCCTAGAAGCCATTGCTCCAGCCCACCCATACTGCGAAAATAGTCCTTCCACAGCGACGGATCGTGCGCATAGAGTACCGATATGTGGAATCAGGCTTTCATAAACCATTCAGGATCCTTGGATCTTCTTGGCACAAAGTATGCGGACTCGTACGCTCATTCACGGTCTGAACCAGCGTCTGGATCTTCAGCAAAGAACTTCATGTACCCAAACAACAATAACCCAACATGTCCTTGGACATGCTTTGATGGAATCCAGATCAAACAGCTGACCCAAAGTATTATACCCGATGGTCAAAAAAGCAATCTTGGTGAAGCGATGTCGGAAACAGAAACTCCATTCGCGAAGGCAGATAATTCGCCCCTTTCTCAGCCTCGTCAATCTCCGAGACAAGTTTTCGATAGGTTCTCGGGGTTTTGATAAGGTAGTAAAAACAGGCTCGAAGTGAGATGGCAGTTGTGTCAGAACCAGCAAGACTGCTCGATGTTATTATGTCTTTGCATCATCCTGACATGATGGATAGCTTAACATGTTGTTAGACATGCGATTCATCATGTCCCTCCGGGTAATTTGACCATCCTTGGCTTCTTTCTCCCTAAGTTGTGCAGGGAAATCTATTCTTCCTGCCTGCTTCTTTTCATTGTCGTATCTTCGGATTTCATCCTCGGTGATCTACAATAATGTCATCACCCGCATGGTCAACGCACACTGAGTCCTTATCTGTATAAATCGATAGAGAGGATCCAGGAGTTTCGGAAACGACTTTTTCAACATCCGCACAAGCTTTTCATTCCCCAACAGCCATGGGTGGAGCTCGGGGTATTGGCCTATTATCTTGACATATTGTAGCGCACTGTCAAGATCCCCGATCATATTGTTCATGTCGCAGCGCTGTTCCATGAAACCGAAGGATGACCGGTTGACCGGCTGACCCTCCAGATCCCGCATGCTGTTGATGAAAATGGCCGAACATTCGTTGGCGTATGGTTCATAGTTTCGCATGTTAGCCATGGAGAACAGTTGGCCTACCGGCTTCTTCAGATTCTTGTGGTATGTGGGGTCACGAGTTGAGAACAAACTATCCATTCTCTGACCATCATAGAAAGGACTCATCGTGAAGGGCGTCCGTTCCAGGTCAGAAACGAAGACGTTTTCGACGAAATATTGGAACCGTCACCTGCCTTCAAAAATTTACTCCCAATCCCATAAATTAAAGGAACCATCGACGAATCTGCAATGGCGACATGATTTGGGTCCATCCGCACAATAGGTCCGTACTTTTGGTGAACCGTTCGATACTCGACAGGCGCTTGTCCTCCAGCGACGAGTGATAGACGATACAATCCAGAGAACCGAGCGATGAATGGGCCTGGAAGATTCCTAGGCCTCTTCTGAAGGCAACGCGAAGGGAAGTGATTAGATATGGGGCAACGACGGCAATGCCCGCGTAAGTCAGAGGCGAGAAGTTCACCTGCGTCGTGGCCGACGTTCTGAATTCCGGATCCATCAGTCGAACGGCAAAGCCATTCTTCTCCTGCTCATATATTACGGTTCGTCTGCACTGCAAACCGCGGAGACACGCGGCTCCAGAGAGCCGCGAAGTGGTGCCGCATTCAAGATCGTAGTCGTGGAGGGTATATTTTGATGAATTGCATGATGGGCGTTTATGGGTCGGCCTAAGGCGGGCTTCATCCTCACTGGTCCTGCCAAAAAGGTTGTATCATGAGCCGCACGATGTCAAGACCTTGGCCGGTGGTCCACTTTGACGGTGAGTGCTGGGCACGGCGTTCCTACTCAGTTGATAATCCCGCGTCTGTCTTTGCGAGGAATCGGTTGCGAATGAGACACATAGCACTTTTTTCATCGGATGCCTAGGGGCCCCACAAGATTGTCCTCGCTTCCGCCCTTCCCCGGTCTAACCCCAGATTTCTACCCCGGGATGTGGGCGGTCAGAGTATTGGCGATTCATGTTCATCTGGAACAAATGGAAATATTGGCATCCATTCGGGATTGGGACTGCCCTCTCCAAACTTCACGCTCGACATCGTGGCGGCTCAAAGCACAAGGGATACCTTGCATCAGGCGCATTGTGCTGTCATTCAACTAGAAAGATGTTGAGGTCCTCCCCGCGCCATACCGCTTGGGAACCCCGCCTGAAGTCAGAGCCTTCGTTGGAATGATGTCAAATTTGAACTTCAGCATTTCCACCAGTGGAGGGTGAGGTCTGAGCCATCTGGTAGACGTCTGGGTGTGCATGTGAGTACCATCAAAGCACGACATATACCAGGTTGGTGCGAGGGGATGAGAACTGAAGTCTTCTCCGACTTCCTATGAGGAACTTGGCTTCACCAACAAGACTGCATGTTCATTGAAGAAATCTCTCGGTCGGCCCCTTCCACGGGTGGCGACTCTTTAGAGAAGATTTTCGTAAGACACCAATTTCCAGACGTTGCAATTCTGTACGCGCGATCCTTTATGTCCTTGCCGCAATGGATTCCAAGCAAGTCGATGCGCCACGAATTGGGATCTGGAACACTCCAAACTGAAATCTGGTAAGTCACGTCCGCATTTCTTGATGTGTGTGAGGGACAAGGGTCATTTTAAACATGTCCGTCCATTCGTGCCTATGGAAATTCTTTGGTGTCTCCAAGAGATCTAGATGAGTCCCGGTGATCTCAAGGCTAGGATCAACGTATTCATGAATTGGTCTCGGAACAGCCGGCGTGTGGGTAGATCTCGATATCGCCTTCGCGGATAAGAAAATCCCGAGTTGGTCGCCTGCAATTAATCCGCAGTCATTTCATGGGGTTTTCATGAAGAATTATGGCAACAGGATTTGCTGAAGAGAATTTGAATGATGGAAGAAAACGGGGATAGGAGAAGCCCGATCGATGGTGCCCAAACACGTTAAAGTGAAAGAATAGCCGATCTGGTGCCGAACGCTATCTTCGCTATCGTCGAATAATGGGGTATGATCCCCCTACAGGGGTCCGTTGATCGGAGGACTGATAAAGTCGATTTTGAAGTGCGTAGACCTCGTTCAACCAACATGTCTCAGATGTTTGGGACTTCCAGGCAAGGAGGTCCCATTTTCTCCAAAGGAATCGTTTCATCCGAAGCCAAAGAAGGTTGGACAAGATGGGATCGATTCAACCGGCCAGTGGTCTGGGTGAAGATACAATTTTAGTCTTGGTCCCTAGAGATCCTATGAGAGAGGTCATCAATGGATTGGAAACAAAGTTCCCCGGAGTCAAAGTTCGTTGGCTAAACACCAAGGTCCCCGCCGGTTTGATGAGAACGGAGGATATGCCTCTGGAGATTTGGGACGGTGTCACGATTGTGTGCGCTTACCAGATTCCTGAGGCGTCATTGCTTCCCAAACTTCGATTTGTGCAGTTGACATCTGCGGGAGCCGATCAATGTGCCCAGAATCCGCTGTACAAAGATGAGAAAATTACGTTCTGCACCTCGAACGGTGCCCATCCGTGAGTCCCTCGCGCCGAGCCACTCCGGGAGACTAACGTAATCTTGCATTTCAAGACCTCAGATTGCCGAATGGGTAATCGGAACTTGGCTGTCTCATCAACATCAATTCGGGAAATACGGCGATTACATGAAAAAGAGTTATTGGGAACCGGCATATCAAGCCAGTTTCGAGGACTCTTCCGGTCTGCGAATGTAAGTCTTCGCCAGCGACCAGGCTCCAACGTTCTGATGGAATATCAGGGGCATCTTAGGGTACGGGGCGATTGGACGGCAATGCGCCAACCTTGCAAAATCATTGGGGATGGATGTCATAGCCTTTACCATGCGTGAGAGGCGAACCCCTGAATCCCGAAAAGATGATAGTTATTGTGTTCCAGGAACGGGTGATCCAGACGGATTGATACCGTCGAGGTGGTTTCATGGCACGACAAAGGAAGACCTCAATAATTTTCTGAGCCAGGATCTCGACCTTTTGGTAATCTGTCTCCCACTCACCTCCTCGACTCGAAACATGATTTCCAAGGAACAATTTGGTATCCTTTCCAAAAAGAAAGCCTTTCTGTCGAATGTCGGTAGAGGGGGGCATGTACATACCGCTGATTTGATTACGGCTCTCGAGCAAGGGCAGATTCGAGGCGCTGCGATCGACGTAACTGACCCAGAGCCGTTGCCGAACGACCACCCTTTATGGAAGGCTCCCAATCTGTTCATAACTCCTCACGTGAGCTGGGTATCGGGCAATTATTGGAGCCGTATCCTCAATATTCTTGAGCATAATCTTCTGGCTCTCAGTGACGGCACACCTTTCGTTAACAAGGTTAACAAAGAGCTGAATTATTAGCACTCTCCAGTGTTGGAGACAACCACCAAGTAGACTGACGGGGGAGGAGGAGGGAAAAGGAGGTACTAAAATAATAGGGAACGATCGAAATCGGAGGAACATGTGACGGGGGGGTATTATTCTGTACACCAACTTTTGTTATTCTGTACACCGGAAAACCTGCTTATTCTGTACACCATGCCTCAACTCTCCTTATTCTGTACACCACCACCTCTCTCTCGCCTTATTCTGTACACTTAACGCTCTCATCCTGTTATTCTGTACACCGCGCTAACAGAGCTTGTTGCCGTTGGCCCGGCGATGGCGAGAAAACACTAGTAAGTGGCGTAGCTGTGGAGGGGTGACGCGTTAAACTCTCCCCGTTATAGGTGGTTGCGAAGCAATAAACACATTTGATTCCCTTTTCCTTGGTAGATAAGTACCGTGCATTTTGAGCTTCTCTGTATACTTTGTAAATTATTGTGGCCTACACAGCCGGATTTGTGTAGAGATCCCCTGCACGGTCGATACCTCGTGCTGACTAAGGTAACAAACCAGCGCCCATAGGCTTGGGAGGACCGCTCATAAGCCGGAGGGGGAAACCGCCCATGAACCGGGGGGAAACCGCCCATAAGCCGGGGGGCAACTGCCCCGCTTATGGGCGGTTCCCACCCAAGCCTATGGGCGCTGGTTTGTTACCTTAGTCAGCACGAGGTATCGACCGTGCAGAGGATACCATCGTTAACCATCATTTCTGCATTCTATATAGGCAGACTTAGGTGTTGTGACATCACGTATCTTCGAACTGCGCAGATAACCGGAAAAATAAAAATCCGGACCAATCAAAAGCGGTGTACAGAATAACAAAATGTGGTGTACAGAATAACATTACCCCATGTGACGAGGCCGGGTGTCACGGGACAACAGCCACCAAAATATGCTGAGATAGAGATCACATACTCTATACACCACATACATTCTGTCACTTTGTCTCCCAAGTTTTCAGCACTTCGCTCCAACAGGTCGGCACCGTTGGACAGGCTGGCGCCTCAAGGGTCAGGCGATATCTGAGTAGGGAGGCGGTCGCAGCTGCATTGATCGATCTTCGCCACCAGGCATAGCAGACCCGCTGCCATCGTCAAACCAGCCCGTGAACGATGATCCATAACCTGCTCTCAGGCTAATCCAACATGAATCCTGAGCTGCGAAGACAAGTTATCAACGTGTATAAAGGTATGGCATCATTGTAAGGATTGTTGACGTATACGGTCTGAAACGCTGATCGATTGCCAGAGCTCCTGGAGATGGGTAAACATTATCCCTTGGGCTATGAGTATTTTCGACCTCGTCTGCATAAAGCTTTCATGTCACAAGCTCACCTGAGAGACGAAGAGCAAATTCGGCAGGGAATTAAAAGAGCCGAATTCGTGAAGAAGGAGATTGAGGCGCTCTACTTCCTCAAAAAGTACCGTTCGATGAAGGAACGATACTCTTGACGGCGTCTGCAGACCACTTGCACTTTGTTCTTGTGGCAAGACCAGTCTGTATTACAGCGCAAACGCGAGGTGTTTATGCTAGGAGGCATCAAAGCACAGAAGCAGGCTCCGTACCCCTACAGCGAACCCATGACCGGGGCTCCACAGACAGACCCGTGGTATATGTCGCCATTTTGATGCACCAGAGTGGCCACAAAATCAACGCTCCGAGAATCATGCATAATTCGAAGAAGACGGTTTCTTGGATTCAGGATATACAGCCCTGGGTCGGGGGAAGATAAACGCTTTGGGATGTGTTGGTTTGGGATTCAACCGATAGCGCACCCTTCCCATTCTCACTACTCTATTACTTTAACTCATCTATCACCGGATCTTGTATTAAAGATAGCCCGTATCCAGCAGACCATACAGAGAGATGGATGAAACTGCTGCCTCGTTTGGTTGTTGGTCGAAACCCTGCCAAGCGCTGTCATTGTTCACAACTTAGGCACGGGGCGGGTGTCCAGTGAGAGGGCTCCTCCCATCCCACTGTTCTCTTGCGCAAATCGAACTCAACTCGCAATCAGCACCTCACTCGCTCGCTCATTAACCATCTCCATTGATATCTTTGCCTATATCAGTTTTCACCTTGCAGTCGGCACTGTGTTCTGCACTTGGCCTGCCAACATTCGCATTTACCGTCTTCTTCCCGCGCCTTCAAGCTTCCCACCGCATCCCAACCTCTCGACCGCTCCTCAATCTACTGCTCACCGCGTCGACAGAACGCTGCGGCGCCAGACAGGCTCACCCGGAGCTTCACGAACCCTTCTCTCTCGGCATCGAGCTCCGCAGAGGATCTCATGTTGAAGAAACGAAGAGTTTGTCCACCCTCTACCCGAACCTTAAGTACCCACAAAGCCGTACCAGCCTCCCCGCCCCCGTCGTGTTGCGCCTCGACTGCACAAATTCGAGCAGACATTAGACAAGTCGGTCTGCCTCGTTAGATGGCAGATGGTGCATTCCAGTTCCATCAGCCTGGAGCCGGGCAGTTTTATCCTGCGCAACATACAAATCATCGGAATCCAAATCGGGCAAGCTCGCCTCCAGGGCCACGACGACCATTCAACCACGACACTCCCTCTCCTTCAAGATCCCCGGTGGGCCATTCCGTTGGTCACACCTTCAACATGTATTCGCAGAATGGATATCAGACGCAGCATGGCCTGATGAATGGAGCGCAGAATCATCAGCGGTACGGGAACATACATCTACCAAAATACCAGCCCCCGCACCATGGCCATCACAATGTCAGTCAACACCACGGACAGCACCACCACGGTGGACAGTTAGGACACCAGCATAATATCTCCTCCGGTGGTTTCCAGTCGACGACCCCTCACCTGCCCACGTATAGCCACGAACATCTACAGAACGGCAATGGGAATGGTCTCTCTCATGAAGATGTGGATGAGCCGGACAATGAACATTGGCGGGAACAGAAACAATTTTGGGAGGAGAGCAAGGACCTCAACGGACCCAATCAGCGAGCGCGGACGGTGGCGCATCACTCTAAGGGCGTTAGCTATGTACCGTTAGGAGCAGCCGCAGAAGATCTCCAGACTGAACACTCTCGAGTCGTGACGTCGAACGAGCAAACCTCCAGCAGGCAAACTTGGGATGAGCTCGATCTGGGTGGTCAAGGTCTTTGCGCACTGTCTCCCGTCCTATTCAATCCCTCATATCATTTCTTGAAGCGTCTGGATCTCGTGTACAACCAATTAGAGGCACTTCCGTCGGAGATCGGACAGCTGAAGAATCTCGAGCATCTGGACGTGTCGTTCAACCAACTCACCGAATTGCCTGAAGAGATAGGGATGCTCACAAATCTCAAACAACTTCTCCTGTTTAACAACCACATACAGACCCTTTGTTATGAACTCGGATTCTTGTACAAACTGGAAGTGCTCGGCGTTTATGGCAATCCTTTGGAGCAAGGGCAACGCGACAAAATTACCGAAGGTGGGACTAGAAAATTGATCGAGTATCTCCGTGAGAGCATGCCAGGTTTGTTTCCTCCCCCGGGCTTTTGTTTCTACAATCGGCTAACGAAGAATTGAGAACCCCCGCCTCCTCGTGAGAGAGCGTGGCACCAGCTCGAAGAAATTGCGGACAACGACCCCACGCAGGATACCGTCAAGGCCTTGAGTTACAACATCTTATGTGATCGCTACGCTACGCAGTCACAGTATGGTTATGTGGCCGAGCGCGTTCTAGGATGGGGTTTCCGCAAGACTCTGATTCTGGAAGAAATCCGCGAAATAAATGCCGACATAGTGTGCTTGCAAGAATTAGACCGGACCAGTTATGATGATTATTTCCGACCTGAACTCTCCGTTTCTGGGTACAAAGGATACTACGCGCAAAAGAGTCGTGCAGAGACCTTGGGTGATCTTGCCAAATTTGTCGACGGCTGTGGTACATTCTGGAAGGACAAGAAATATGTGGTGCTGGACACTCAACACCTTGTTCTGGGAAGGAAGGCTGTTGAGCGACCTGGTGCGAAGGCTTCTGCAGACATGCTCAACCGAGTCTGGCAGAGAGATGATATTGCCACGGTCGTCTTCTTAGAAAACCGTTTGACGGGTTCGCGGCTCATTGTTGTCAACGCCCACATCTACTGGGATCCTGCATACAAAGACGTGAAGCTCATCCAAGCCGCGGTGCTAATGGAAGAACTGTCCAAGCTTGCCGACAAATATGCGAAGATTCCTCCGGCCACGAACAAGCAAGTCTACCGATTTTCTGATGCAGAAGATGAACAACAGCCAGAACCGGGGCCGTCATTAACATACGGCTCTGGACCACAAATTCCCATGGTCATCTGCGGAGATTTCAATTCCGGAGCCGGGTCCGCTGTCTACGATTTGTTCACCAAGAAGGGAATGAATGCGGAACATGCTGACCTTGACGGCCGAGACTATGGTGCATTCTCGCGGGCCGGCATGTCACATCAATTCACATTGAAGTCTTCGTACGCCGCAATCGAAGGCGAGATGCCTTTTACGAATTACACACCTTCTTTTGCGGACGTCTTGGACTATGTCTGGTACTCCGCCAACTCTCTCCGAGTGGTTGGACTCCTTGGCGCCATTGATCCGGACTACCTGAAGCGAGTTCCCGGATTCCCAAACTTTCACTTCCCCAGTGACCATATCGCGATCGTGGCGGAGTTCAAGGTCGAGAAGCAGCGAAATGCCCAGAAGACAGTTGAAGCCGATTTCGGACCCACCACAAAGAAGTAGTCCCGTCTTTTCACAATGGATGGACGGCATGTTTTCGGTTGAAACGTTTACCTATGTCATGTTCGTGGCGTTCTTTGCAGGGAGCCGGTGTAGCACCAACCAACATTGAAAGGAAAGCATCAAAGGTGGTTTGTTCCGGGGGGGAAGGGGAATGGAAAGGGTTAGGGTTTTCAAAGATGATGGGATGGGATGGTTGTTACAGTGGATGATATTTGGGAACACACAAATTCCCTTGGATGGGGATTTTGGCCATTTAAATTCTACAGGTCATCTGTTCAATTCGCTTTCTTCCATTCCCTCGTTTCTTTGCAATTCTCCTATGCTGAATAACTTGTATGGCGTGTTTCGGTCTTTGTTATGTGTACACTGTACATGGTATGTCCTTTCTGTTTCTGATTGTTGATTAGACATGGAGAAAAGATCAAATTGTTGGTCTTTTTTTTTTTTTTTTTTTTTTTTTTTTGGAGTTTTCTATCCGCAAAGCCATGACCAGATTCAATGGCTCTGGTACTTGGCTGCAGCCTGGCCTGCTCTGCATCAGATCCAGAGAAACCTCACCGGGGAATGTCATTGAGTCTTCTGAGCAGCTCATCTGAGATGGCAGGGTGGTTTTCCTGGACGCACTCAAAGGGTGCTCATCACTGAGGGATGCGGGATTGTATCTCCATGAACGAATCTCACAGACGATTGTATGGTCTGTAGTAGGCCGTAGAGATTCTCTAGAAAACCTGGCAGACGGCGTCGGACCTCGTCGCATCTTCAACTCTCAACACCGGTTCATGGCCATTACCTGTCAATGGCTGTGGCTTCCTTTTTCCATCGTTCTTCTTCAGCCTTCCTGTGCTGACTTTCGTGTAATTCCTGGATCTGTCGTTCTAGCTGCATTTTCTGCCCGAGTAGATGGCCTCTTTTCGTCTCGAGGGTTTGAATATATTTTTCATAGTTGACTGATCCCTGCTGCAACTGTGGTTGTCGTTGTTGTGTCTGTGACTGCCGTGTCTCCTTTATGGACGGAATATATCAGTCGTGCACCACAGACGGAGAAATCTGCGCATGAGCAGATGCTAGAAGATTTTATACCTTTTCCGTATCTTCCTGGCTCATCTTCAATATCGCACCAATCAATGCCCCCGATCCAGCTATACCGGCTACTCCAAGAGCGTAGACCAGCGGTCTAATCCTACGACTGCCGGAAGCGTGATTGGCAACATTTTGGGCTGGCCCCAGAGGCTGGCTTGGGGATGGAGCAGGTCGCAAGGAAGCTGAAGGAAAAGAGGTACGAGGGGGAGGCATTATACCTCGTTATAAGCCATTGATGTGGCCTCACTCATACAAAGATTGAGATCCTTCTCCTGTATTCTCAGGCCTGTTGTCAAGTTCCCTCACGAGCTTCTTGTCGGCCTGCGATATTGGAGAAGGGACCTTGAACCGGAAGGTTACGCGAAAACGCAAGCTTAAGGCGGCAGGATGTTCAATAACGCGGATCTGTTCTCAGTTAGTCGCGGAGGTTCTTCTGATGAGTGAACGCGTTTTGTCCACGACGTCTTTTCCCTTGTCATGCTATATACCATCGTGGCATAAGAAGTTCAATATTGGCCCATAATGGCAGACGAGCCTGGCTCCCTTAATTGGCGCCTCAGTTCACATCCCATCACTCTCCTGACATATCTAGGCTTCCGAATAGGTATGTATACGCATCATTGCTCACTCGACCCCCCTTTCCCTCTATCCAGTGTCCATGTCTACTAACAATTAATCCCAGGAAGCCTATTAATGTACCTCTTCGGCGTGCTCTTTATACGCAACTTCGTCCTCGTCTTCATTCTCACCCTTCTCCTCTTGTCCGTCGATTTCTATTACTTGAAGAACATCGCCGGTCGTCGTCTTGTGGGTCTGCGATGGTGGAACGAAGTCAACCCTTCTACTGGTGACAGTCACTGGGTCTTCGAGTCTGCACCGGAGGGCAGCCGAATCGAGAACAAGACGGATAAAAGATTCTTCTGGCTGAGCATGTACATTGTGCCTGCTCTGTGGGTGGGATTGGCTATTCTTGCGATCGTGAGGTTGCAGAATCTGATTTGGCTGGTCACAGTTGGTATGTTGGAGCGTCACGTTCAAATCCATATGATCCTCTGAATGCTGGTGCCACGGGATGAAACTCTTCAGCACTTCAAACTTGCTGACCTGGCGTTCAATAGTGATCGCATTGATTCTCACCGTTACGAATACGGTGGCCTTCTCCCGCTGCGACAAATTCAGCCAGGCTTCGAGCTTCGCGGGCTCTGCGTTCGGCGGAAGACTGGCTAGTGGTTTTGCGAACAATGTCTTCGGACGCTTTTTCAAGTGAAGAGAAATACTGATTTGCCGAGTTGGTGATTTGAAAAGGAAAAACTGAGACGAATTCAATGGATCCGGGACGCCTTCATTTATACTACAGTCACGTTTCTTGAACAGCTGTCACAGGCTGCATGCTCTCTTTTGCCCCTGCAATCGGCGTATCTCGCGAAGCGAAGGAACTACTTGTGGCGAAAGGTACAAATGTGTACTGAGACTCCACCACGACGGCCATGAGCCTGTCACCCAGGAATCAAGGGACTTTGCCCGGTTCAAGTCCCTTCACACCAACAGTCTGCTTTGGGCCCGAAATGAGTCATCCATAGTCGGGAGGAAGATCTGACACGGTTGATTTCACCACAATATGATCACCACCACAGCCATATAGCGGGCATCATCACCTGGGCTCTGTCACGATCCAGGAGTTCGAACAAGACAGACCAGGTCAACATCATTGACTCATGTATGTGGCCATGGAAGGCAAATGCGTGTACCCTTGAGCCACTTCCTCCAGCGTACGCTCCAATTCATTTTACGGGCAATCGAGGTGCATAATGAATGATTCAACTGTGTCATGATTCTCTCTTGCTTCTTTTTGACGTTTTCTATTCATTTCGTTTGTTTATCCTACTATGAACTCTCCGACACAGACAGCCATTCATTTCTTCCTCGCTTCCTCCTCCAACAGGCTTTCCTCCATCATCTCAAATCCTTTCAAGGCTAATCCATACCGCTCCCAAACAGCCGGATTGTATCCGTCGGCAATTTTTTCTACGAATTCGTCCTCGCGCCACCTCTTGCCAATGAGCTCTTCAAACGTCTCATTGACACCTCGTTCGATCGCCCAGACCGCCTTATACGCGGCGCCGAGTGCACAGGCATTCTCGCCAACATCCAGTTTGAACACTCCCTCGGAACCACCGAGAACCTCACCTGCAACTTTGGCGATTGATTTGTTTCGACTGCCGCCGCCGACGAGGTAAATCCGACGTGGTTGAGGTGGTAAGCCGTTGGCCGGGGAGGAAACAAGTTCCCTAGACCGTAAGCGTAGAGAGAGAAATTGTGATTCAACAATGACTCGTGCGTCCTGTTCGGGGCTTTGGGGAACCGAATCGACGGGCGTCAGTGTCTCCGTGTGAGGGTCGTAGGAAAAGTGCCATTCGCCAACGGGGAGATTGGGTATAATTTCTGGCCGAGGAAAATACAAGCCCAGCTGCATTGGCTGGCTTGGACCTGACTGTGCCAAGGGGGGCGAGGAGAGGAGGAATTTATCGAACTCCGCCCAAGAATTTGCATCGGGAATATTGAGCTTGGAGTTGATTTTATTACGGACTTCCTCCCTCGCTAATCCACCATTCTTGTAGCATAACATGAACATATAGAGACCAGACGTGGTCGGGGAGTTGAAGAAATGTGTGGAGGGGTCCGGCTTGTACTCCGACGTGGACATTAAGAACGTTGTAGACGTACCGAGGGAGACCATTGCGTCGTTCGAGCGTAGCGGCAGGGCGAGGATCGTGGACGGATTGTCTCCTGTCGAGGCGATGATCGTGCAGTCTTTACTGAATCCGTGCCGCCGAACAAAATACGCGGAAATCGTTCCCAGATGCGCGCCGCCATCTTCTGGCACATCGCCTAATTTTTGCTTCAGTGCATCGGCGCCCGAAGGGCCTGCAGCCAGCTCGAGAAGTTTCTCATTCCATTGCCTAGCTTTGATGTCCCAGAGATTCATCCCGCACACGTCTGATATATCGAATGGCGCAAATTTACCCAGGAATATCGTCGCGATCCAAGAAGATACAAGAGTTATCCGGTATGTTTTGATGTATTTGTCGGGGTATTTGCGTTGAAACCGGAGAATTTGTGGGCCGGTGAACCGATGGTGGGCTTTACTGCCCGTGACATTCGCTAGTTGACGTTCATTGCCGAGAATGGCATCAAACTCATCGCATTCCTTTTGGGTACTTGCATCTTGCCAATTGGGACTGAAAGGGTGGGCAAAAGCGCCGCCCAACTGTGATTCAAGTGTCTGGTTTGGATCGAGCTGAGCCAGAATTTGCTCAGCATCGGCGTTCCAAAATACGCTTCCATGCTGCATTCCGGAGCCGCTGATACCTTTGATTCGTTTAAAATCAAGGCCGTCGTCCTTCAGTCTGGTGAGGAGAGTATCCATGGCCTGTAACCACATCGCCACGGGGGCAAAGACTTCACGTTCGTCTTCATTGACGAGAACTCCTTTTTCTATCTTGAATCCTTTGGCATCTGCATCGAAGTCAAACTTGGCTTCGTGAACTTTTTTCAGGCTCGAGTCGACAACCAACCCCTTTAGTTGTTGGGTGGATAAGTCGAAGCCAAGATATAAAGGACCCGAGGGCGACATGGTGATCTTTGACACAGGATGAAGCTGGCAAGGATTTGACCGAAATCGATGCTTTTCTGCCCTTACCAGACAGAGGTCGAGTATCAATCAATTGCACATGCAAGAACCTTTGCTGGTGTGATGAAAACAGGTGGAGAAATTCGCGTTCGGATGAGGTGTGAGTTTGAGTTTAGGATGCGGGAAATGCTCCGGTGGTCATCTTGGCCGTGGCTTGATGATATCAGCCTGAAATCATCACAGAAGACTTCCAACCGACGGGGACTTTTCGAATTTCTTTGCATCGCATTCTGCATTCCGACTCGTTGGTCAACCAGGGCATCCCAAAGGGGATGATTTGGTCTCAAGAATCTTTGTTCTTCCTCCTCTTCTTCCTTGGGGGTTTTGTGTGGCCGTTAGGATGGTGGTGATTATGATCATCCGGATTTTCGCTTCCATGATCGTGGCCATGGTCATGACCATTTCCATCTTCCGGTTCTGGACTGCTTCTTGGGCTGACGTCTGCGGCAATAAAATCGCCGGCAAGTGTGGAAAACGTATCCTCGGCGGGGACAAACTTGACGCGAACGCGTCGCACCCCGCGGACTTTGGATCCTGCCCTTTGGCGGACGGCATCCTCAATTGTCTCCATTTGCTGTAGGGTGAAATCTCGGGGCACAGCCAGTTCAATGTCGATGAGGTAATTTTGACCAGATTTAACTCCTTGGATGTCTCTGATCTCCGTTTCGTGGCCATACGTGACGGCTGGAATGTCCTTCGCCGCGTCACCCTTCAAGGCTTTTGTCACCGCGTTGTGGACCGAAGACTTAACCTCGTCGTCCACAGTAACATCAGCAAGTTCGAGCAATGCCGTTTTGGTATTGTTCCACCCCGCTCTTATGACCATGGCCGATATAATCAATCCTCCAACAGGATCTAACCATGAAGCGTCGGTGAAAACATGTGCTCCGCCAATGGTGGCAAGGGCGACGATGCTGGTCAAAGAATCAATGCGATGGTGGACGGCATTCGATGCTAGAACAGAAGATTTCCGCTCTCGGGCAATTCTCATGGCTAGTTTACGTTAATAATTCGAACAATCACCCGTTCGGAAAGACTTACTTGCTCGGTAAAGCCACTCCTTGACTGCGATGGAGCCGGCCGCCAGCCACGCCGCATTGAGATCTGGTAACGAAGGCCCGTGGCTGTGGCCGTGTCCAAGGAGTGACAACAGCCCATGCGAATGCTCCGCGTGCTCCTGCGCCGGACCGACAGCATCGAAGAAAAACTGTGCATAGAGAGCATCCAAACCATTGAATCCAATGCCAATTCCACCAAAGAGAAGCAGGCCACTGACACCGAGAGCACCCAAGCTTTCGACCTTGCCATAACCGCTGGGGAATCGAGAGCTTGCTGGTTTGAGGGACCAAGAGATTGTAGCGAGGGTCATGAAGTCGGAGACCAGGTCAGTTAAGGCATGGAAGCCATCTGCGATCAGTGCTTGAGAGTGAAAGAGGTACCCCCCAATCCCCTTGCCAATAGCCATCCCCAAATTGACGAACAGCCCTATCCTTGTGATTCGCACTCCCGCATCTTTTTTATTTCTTGATGTCAGATAGGTCGTGTCATGAGCGTGTCCATGGCCATGAGAGTGACCTCTCGACTGAGTTTGGGTATAGGTCTGCGTAGTCGACATCGGGAAAGGTATTAGATCGAGGGAAACGCGGGTAATCGTGGGAAGCTTGGACCCCGGACCTAGGAGGATGGCAGAGGAGTGTTTATTTAAGGACAGACGGCTTGCATGTCTGCATCCCCCTTTTCTCAACAAATTGGTGTTCGTGTACGATCGCTGGCAAAATGAGAGGTGTCGCGTTTCAGCGCGGAGGAAATGCGTCAGCGGCATTGGGGCTAACGCATAGAGAGTCAGGGAGACGGCCTCCGACACGTAGGCGAATGCGTAAGTCGTTCAAGAAAAATTTGTCCTTTCAGCCCATGCTGCTTGTCGGTCAATGGGCATGGCCAAAGAGGCCTATGGGGCTAGAGCAGCCATGATGTTGCTGAATATTGCAGAAGACCTAATTGGACGGAGAGGTTCTCTGCTAGCCTACGCGGGCTTCCAACAGCAGAACAAGCAATTGAAAGCAAAAAATAAATAAATTCTAGATCAGATCAAACGATAACGCATTTCTTATGCCCCCAGCGGAAATAAGTCACAGGGAATACTCGGACATCTACTCGCCCGAAGCGCAACACATCGCTTCTCGCCCTTCAGGCATTATCTTCACCGCCTTACAGCCCTCTCCCCTTACAGTAGGTTCCCCATGAACCCGCCAGCGATCATGCCGACGGAGACAACCGCATGTGGCGAGTAATCGCTCTGGCTAAACCCGATTTCTCGGTCGTCAATGCTAGAAAGCTATGGTCACCTGCCACCCTGTCAAATATCTTCTCGGCTCTTTCTTCGAAGATAGAATGCATACAAGGCTCACTCCATGAGACATTATTTTGGATATGGATCAAGTTGGCTGCATTCTCCAGACCAATGACGTTGGAGAAGGCAGTTCGCCGTGCTATTGTTGATGGAAGGTGTAACCGTCAACTACTTCGACCTCTCCAGAATTGATCGAATCAGGATTAAACAAGCAATCTTGAGGTAGGTGCGAGGTGAACGGGGTTCCCGAGGATAACTGGTCTTCGTCCATATCGATCTGCGAAGCTGCCCGAACCGTGATCGCTCAGACGACGGTGGGGAAGATATACCTCCTTTTGCAGTCTGGAAAGCCACATTCCTGACACTCGGCCTGCAAGTTCGACGTCGACATGACGGGTTTTGATCCTAGTCGGCGCTCAGCTCTTCTATTCGAGACGTGAGATGCTATGCAAACAGCATCCGTTGATCGCAATTTACCCAAGGCAACCTGTGCGAGAAGTTCGGGGTGCAGATATCGAGACGCTGCAAACCAGCGATGTCGAGAGACGCCTCCCTCCCGCCTCCGCCTCCCGGGCATTCCCGATTAGGCAATCTCTGATGTCTATACTAATGCACGATCCATCCAGTGTTTCATGCACAATGCCACCTCCATAGAGTCATCCGACAAAACGATTTCTGTCGTCTGTGAGGGACCTTTTTGCCTGTGAAAAGACTCGCTCCACATCCGCCAACATTGCTGGGATAGGACATGAAAAGCCCATTGACCAAGTAACAGAGTGGATGTTGAGAACGTCGACGATGAGTAGAGGTTGATTGTGAGAAACCTCAATACCTACCCCACAGCCAAGACCATAAGCGAGATTAAAGAAGGCGATGGGAGACGCCTGTCGACGAGGAGAAGGAGGCGGATGCGGAGGCGAAGAGGTAGGGAGGCGCCTCTCGACAACGCTGCTGCAAACTGTTCTCAAAATCCCTCTGTGAAATCAAAGATGGCTCTGATTCTTGGTGTGGCATCAGTTCCTCCAATCTGTCTCAGTGCGGTTTCTTTCCGGACTCTATGCTCAAAATGGTTGCCAGGGACCACGACAGAGCTTACGTGGAACATTCATGTTGGGAGAAAAGGAATCAGGAGACGTGCAAAAGGTTCAAATTAACACCTTTCTTTGCTGGGATTGGAGATTACCTGCTCGATGAGAAGATTAGGAGGCACGTTCTATCTACATATTTCTCATTCAGTTCAATGGACCTGAGTAACTCCGTCAGGTCGAATCAACGCTGGTACCTTGATGACGAGCCCTTGAAGCCTATACAATTACCTGTGTGGATACTACGCACGACGTGCGACACAAAAGACACGCGTTAGCCATAACCGGATAAGTAACCATTCCGAGCTCTTACGGCTTTTTTCCCATTTACAGCTTTACCCGAGCTTGGGCGACAGAGTTCTTCTAGAGGTAACATCATAATGCCCATGTCCAACGTATCCACTGATTGGATGCACCATTCACATGCAAGCACAATTGATTCTACCTTATGTTAATGCAGGGGCTTTGGTCCGATATTGATCCATAGTCTGCTATTTATCCTGCTGCCCGCAACGAAGGACGTTGTTCTGGGCCCGTCCTTCCATTCGACACCAATTTGCTTCCCATCTACGAGTTCTATGTCGTGCATCACAGCTATCAGCAGTCAATGACGTGAAAATAAGTACTAACGGCATGATCACAACGAGAACGATCGTTCCAAGTCTTCAGTCAGAGGAGGAAAATATATACAATTCTCCCCCGATACAAGCATTTGGTAGAGCATCTGGTCGGGGTTTTTGCTTCCTTTTGTTCAAAGCGGCAGCTCTAGCGGACTTGGCTCCTGTGCAGCTCCCAAGACTGAAATCTCCATGCCATGAACTTCCCAAGATGCAAAGGTGCGACTGGCCGATCGTCCCAAACAACGCCGCAAACAAGGTGTATCGGCGGTATTCACCCCAACACGCGTAAGATACGTGTTTGTCGCTGCGATTTACTGTCGATGCTCATCGCTCATCACCAGCAGAGGAACACTTTCGTGGACTCGGCCTCCGGGTGTTGTGCAAAGAATGGCGCAAGTCCGAGACCAGATACCATATGAATCTGTCGTTCTCAGGCTCGTCGGGTTCATGACGTTGATGAGATTAGTTGTGAATGAGCCCGCAGCCGATGAATTTGTCAGGTATTCATGTACGAGAATCGTTGAGGGAGCACCGATTCCTCGTCTTCGCCTGTTTTGCCGGTATTGCATATTCACAATATTCGCACAGATGTCATAATATTTGGACAAATCCACCCTCAAATTCAAAGTTATGCTGGGGAAACGACCTTGAATGCTGCGATGGTGCTGCACCTTGGATGTCGGTTGGAGGTCTTCGAGGCCAGTACATGTCCATGTGTAATGAAAGGAATAATGCTGCTTACCATCAGCACCCCAAAAAGACTGTCAGAGGACCCAATTCTTCTTGGGCAAGTGCATATTGCTGCTCTAGCATTCTCGTCTCGATGTGACTAAGAGCAGTTGAAGTCCTGTTTCGAATTTCTTGTGAAGGAATGCAAGATGGAAGAAAAGGCAGTAGGAGAATCAGCCATTGTTACATCATCGCAACCAATGTTTGTACGGCGCTGAAAAGCAGGATGAAATAGACCACGCTGTCTCAAAATACCAACTCGAAAAGGTGTCTACCATTGTGTCAGGGCTATCCATTTGGCATAAGAGATGATTGCTCTTATTGTCATTCGGAGAGGGGAGCGGCATTCTGGTTGAGGCCGCGGTCGTCTTCCAGAGATGTATGTATCTAGCCACCTGATTTAAGTCATGATGAAATGTTTTTAAGTGGTCCTTCTCGTAAGTACAAGCAAATGAGCGGAAAGAGTAGGATATCCACACACCATTCCGTGGCCTTCGTTGTAAGAGTCCGCTCAAACCTAGGCTTTGGTGTAGGGCCCAATGAGGCAGGTGGGCCAGTTGCTTCAGCCTCGCTCATGCTTGTCGGTGTGCGTTACATAAACGCGCAGAGATCGATATATACAGCCAACAAGACACTTGGCTCATTGCTAAATCAAATTCCTCTCAATTGCCGTACTTCTTGGTCCATCTACCGACGAGCATGGAGTATTGTTTTAGAGCGGATGCTTCCTCAAAATCCTACTAATGCTCCATTCCTGAGATCGCAATTCAATTCAAGCCAAGACCAGAGTCCATTTCGCTGAACAGTCTTCGAGTGGCCTTCAGAGCTATTCCCGAACAGATCTCTCGACTTGATTCTCGGTAATCTTCGCATTACTGGGTTTTCTGTGCGACACCTTTTGTCGGCCTGCAGGCTTTCTACCAAAACAGAATATTCGCCTCCTTTTTTTTTCTCCAGGACGCTAACAGCAGAGTCAATGAAACTGTGTGTTGAATCCGATGTAGTTTTTGAACGGACAACGGGATCGCAAGCTCTGAAGTTGCCAGTTCGGGGAAATTCTGAGATCTGGATATGATCTCAACGACAAAGCCATAAGAGATGTTTGCTTCGAAGCCCAGTATTGCCTGGTAATCTACATGTGTTTGCTCATAGCTAGACTGCTAAAGTCAGTCAAGGACAAGTTACCCACAGATGTCATCCACAGGAGAAGCTAGGGGACTATATCTGATGTTCAAAGATCGTGCGCCTACTGATGAAGTCGATTGTGACGTTCTGGTAGTTCAGAGGTCGCCATCAATTGCTCGCATTAATCGGAATATATGATTAGCGACTCTCGTCCTTGATTGAACCCGGAGAGGTAAAGTAAGGTCAAAAGGTTGGTGGTTTGGGTAATTGAATGACAAAGACCAGCGCTTTCTCGATTTGCAGTGGACACTATAATACAACACTTTCTTATCCAATTTCACCTGTTCTGCGTTTCCATGATTTTCTTCGTCGCTGCTATGCTTCAAGAACACGTCTTACACAATATGTTGTCCCATCACAATCCAACATCATCCTGGCAAATCGACGAACTTCGTTCATACATCCTCCGACATCATGGTTTCATAGCTCGGAAGCAGTGAATCGAAGAAATTCCTCATGTCGAAGCCAACCGGGATCTCTGGACTTCCTATCCAGTTGAAATTGTCATTTGGGTAATGTAGAAGATCCGACCTGTTGGGGGTGGTGATAGTTGACGAATTGGTTCTAGTAGGGTATGACTGCTGCGAAAAAGGAGATTGTTAGAATGAACTGCACTGGTAAAGGGAGAGGGGAAGACAAGAGGAACATATTATTAGGTGAAAAAAAAAAAAAAAAAAATACACCACATACTGCTGGTGAGACTTGGAATGCAGGTGCCATTCGATCATCAACTGGGCTAGTTTGAGGAATGGATGGGACATCCGGTGCTATGGTTGGCGTATCTCTTGTCGTAGATGTAGAGGTGAGCCGGATACCCGTCTGCACCTCTCGAACATATTGTCGAGCAATGTACGCGAACTCTGAGAGTTGTGAACTCGGCAACGAACCTCCTGTTGCATACTCGAGCCGGGAAAAATGTCCTGCTGCCACATCTAGCAATGCTAGATTGTTCCTCGTCTCGGTGTGCGTCGGGTTATGCACGACCAGGTCGAACAAGATAAAAAGTGCAGACAGTGGCATGACACCCAGAATCCTGGTAGGGTCATGTTAGCCTCTCGAGACTCTCAAATCACATTGGGGGGAAGGAAATCCTCGTACCAGATTTGGGTATACGCTTTAGTGTCAATATACCTTGTGAGTTCGATAACGTGGCGTGCCGCTTGCATGAGTGTATTTTTCGTCTCTTGTCGCTGTGCACAGGGTGCGTCTGCGTCGACTTGGAGCGCCAGACGAGAAACTGCAATAAGCATTGCATAGTATGAGAAGTATGTTCTCAGAGCAGCTGTCAAGCGGCAACGGTTGGACATATGCTGTGTTCGGAACGGTTCCCCTGGTCGAAATTCAAGCGGAATGGACATTCTCCACCGCTCCAAGTCGTCTATCACACTCGCAATGGCAATTCGATGCTGCTCACTCGAGTTTAGTGTCGCGCTGATGGAGAATAACTTTTCGTAGGCTTGAGATCTCAGCCTAGCAAAGCGAGCGGATGATAAAAAGTCGTCATAACCATCGAAGACAGCTTCTGGGGCCTCAGGAATAGGTGTCCCAACATCATAATCACTTATCACCTAAAGAAGAATCAAAACGTGGACGCTGGATGATTGTCTGTGAGGTCACGCAGCCTTACCGAGCTCCTCCCACATTCAAATGCAATCATCTTCTCGACAGTATAGATGACCCAGAAGGTGCGGCCTTGAAACGGATTATCTCCAGCCAGTGGAGAGGCTCTGTTATATCGTAAGGCCAGCGCCATTCTGGCGGCCTCCGATATGAGCATCTCCTCGATTTGAATACAAGACAAGCTTGTTGCGAAAATACTCTAAAACCTGGTCAGCGATGAAAGCATTGAGACGAGGGAGGATCGATAATACCCACCATTGCAGTGACAGCCTAGAACATGTCAGCCCGAATAATACTTTCCGGAGACGGCTTCCACACATACCTGAACGCCGGTCAAAGTCTCTTGAGGGATCATGAGTTCGGGTAAGAGCCCGAGCGCGATTTGGAAGTAGGTCCAGGCTTTGCCTTTCCCCGGGTCAAAGGCACCTTCCTCGCGAAATTGGCACCCAAGAGCCAAGACGCTGTGGTAAAGGGCAGAGAAAGGGGCGTTAAGTTTCAGAAACTCAGAAAGTTGGGGTTGTCGTGCCTTTTCCTCAAATTCCTTGCGATCCAGGAAGGGATATAATGGATGTACTTCGTCAAAATATGCTACTGTGAAATCAGATCCCAGGCACTTCAAGCGACGAAATTTGATGGACTACCATTGATATATTGCGCACAAGACTCTGGTGATAGCGGCGCCTGAGATGTTGGTCCTTTGAACTTGATGGTTGATCCGGTCGATCCGGTCGATCTACCATTGCGATTCATGCGGAAATTAATCTCCGTCGTGATGGTCTGGATCAGATCTTTGAGCCTGGTATGCCCTAGTCGATGAGAAACTGAAGTAATCCGACTCTCCGAGAAGATAGCCAGGTTGGTACTCGCAACTGGTAACTGTTATGAGATATGACGCTGCGAAGCAGAGAGGAGGTTGAATGTACCATAATGGTCATGCGCCTGTCATGGTGACGTTAGTGTTCGGATATCCTTACGATGATTCGGATCCGGTCTTGTCGACTTAACAAGTCTGACCTTGAACAGAGAGTTTACATCTCTTCCCCTCCCACCAGCGTGGCGATTCTCTAAGAGATGCTCTATGTACAGTTTGGAGTTCTTCAATGGGGACTCATGATGTGGTGGACCTTCCTCTAGGAGCAAGCTTCTCCAAGGCTGAGCGGGACTCACGCATGATATTGACGGTAGTCCATCAGCGAGCGGAGATGTACCTTGACAACTTAGCTTCACCGGATCACAGCTGGTTCAACATACCGTGTGTCCGCCTAAGTCGTCGCTTGTTGTGACTGAAGTGACACTGCACTCCACGTCTCTGTTTTGACCGTTTGATTAGATCACCATAATGCAGATAGCCGAGGAGAGCTTGACAAGCCGAACTCACCAGGCAATTGGTGCAAGGGGAAGGGGTGGAAGCTTCGGCTCCTAAGGTCCTCATCAACACCGTGCTGCGCTTCGGTGTGCGCCTATCATCACTTACTCACGCATCGGACTTTGCGACCTTTGCAGTCGTCACATGTTCGGGATAGCTTGGACTGCAGCTCCGAGTGTGGCTGCATTCCGGAAAAAAAGGGGGAAAGAAATGATGTTCGATCACGGGTGGTCAACCTCCTTGAATGAAAGCCATCGTCCAGGCGGGTGAGATCGAGCTGAACATCTCGGAAGTCGGACCTTTATGTCGAGGCTGAAAATCATGCGTATTCCGTATCGCATCACGCCACAGTACCAGCATTCGAAGCCCGAATATCTCGGAAGTCGGACGTCGAGCCAGCTTGGCAAAAAAAAAGTGCACCTCCAACCAGGTCCTTTGAAGAAGTTGTGATATTGTATCCCACTTTGATAGAGAGAATATGGTAGTTGTATTGAAGAAGCCAATGATTGGGACTTTCCCTTCACAGAGATTATTTCATGGCTTCACGACCCCAAAAATCTCATGGTAGAGGATGAAAAATGGGGTCGGGAATGATTCAAGTGGTCATTAATGTGGTCTTCCAGCCTGCTGGCCGAGGCTATGAATATTGGTGGCGTACTAAGCTGGCAGCAATGGTTCACTCTATCCCGGATGGACAAGGACTAGTTTCACTACTCGTTGTTCAGCTCTCTCTCGTATCGTTCCTTTAAGGAGGCCCACTGGCCTGTTCCGCACGTTGCGATCAATTCGCGACCAGCGCCAGCGTGTTCCCGATGTCTCCAGAATCGGAGCAAATATCTGCCTAACCTCGAAAGCATGTGATATGCCACCGGAACAACTTATCGGCCCTTCACTATGGTGGACTCCACCACGTCGTGGAGTAGGTCAGTTGTAGCGATGAGGGCTTTCTGACGCTTCTTAAAGATCCGTATTTGTTACACGTTACCGAGAAATATCATGCTTCAGAGCATGTGAGGGCTGTTAGCAAGTTCACCTTAGTAAGACTATGATCGGCGGGGTTTAACATAGACGAAAAAAGCGTCGTAAATTCTCATGAAAAGACTCACATCGGGAAGGATGTACAACTAGTCGCCGTCACGAAGGTGATCCGACGAATCCATCATTATCCTCCCCGTTCGCCTGGAACGATAGGTCCAAGTAGTTCGTATTTAGAAAAGAGATAGCATGACGGAGACGTCAGAGGCTCCTGGGCCCCCATTTCTGCATCAAGAGTGATGACAGAAGTTTGTCTTCATTGCCCAGTGCAATGCATGTCCCTGGAAACGAGGGCCCCTACTAGGCCAGAATGTGTCAGTTTTAGAACGTAGGTCTCCACGAGTTCTCCGATGGCCGAGAATTGGCCTTCTAATCGTGTTCGGAATGAGATTAATGGGCAGCATTTGCCCCGAAAGAAACTCACGTCATGTGTTTGTTGGCTTCACGGGAAGGACCCGCACAGCCTTTTTTAAAGATGTTTTCCCTTCGCTTGCGAGATACGGGAATTTCACTCTTCGTCCATATCTCTGCATTGCAAAGCCATCGGATTCAAACCAAGAAATGAAATCGATGCCTGCCGAAACCTCGGGGCAAAGTGATGGTCCAAGAAGTGATCCGGTTTGGTCGGAGAGTGAGCGAGAACAATTGACGCGCATTGCAACGGACCAGTCTGTGCGATCTGGTAGGGCATCTCGGAAACAAGGTTCCAACGAGAAAATCTATACGTCTCCCGAGCTGGACCCCACGAGCAACAGTTTCGACCTGGCGCTATGGATGAAAGCTCAGTTGAAAGCGTTCGAAGATGGAACCGCCAAGCCTGGGAATACCGGGGTGATCTTCAAGAACATGGCCGTCCATGGCTCCGGTGCCGCGGTCAAACTTCAGCAAACGGTCGGGTCAGTCCTATCAGCTCCACTGCGCCTCAAAGCAATTTCAGAAAGTCAGAAGACACATAAGACGATTTTGCAGAACTTTGACGGCCTCGTTAAACGAGGCGAAATGTTGCTGGTCTTGGGTCGGCCGGGAGCCGGGTGCTCAACATTTCTCAAGTCCATTGCCGCCACCACGGATGGTCTGAAGATTGATGAAGCCGCTTCGATCCATTACGACGGAATACCGCCAAAAATAATGAAAAACGAGTTCAAAGGGGAGATTCTGTACAACCAAGAAGTTGAGAAACGTAAGCGGTTGCACCAATTGATAGCCGTCGAGCTAAGAAAAGACCTCCAGATTTCCCTCATCTCACCGTCGGCCAGACTTTAGCATTCGCCGCCGCCGCGAGGACTCCGAAAAGCCGAGAACCCGGAGTCTCCAGACAAGATTTCATCACCCATGTGAGAGACGTGGTAATGGCGGTCTTTGGCCTCTCTCACACCGTCAATACCAAGGTCGGCTCAGACTATGTGCCAGGAGTCAGCGGAGGTGAAAGAAAACGAGTTTCGATTGCCGAAATGGCTCTGGCTGGCGCGCCCCTGTGCTGCTGGGATAATGCCACTCGGGGTCTCGATTCAGCTTCGGCCTTGGAATTCGTCAAAGCATTACAGCTGAGCTCCCGATTCTTTCGCGCGACACATCTCGTCGCGGCTTACCAGGCATCTCAAGCGATGTACGACAGCTTTGACAAGGTGATGGTTCTCTACGAAGGCCGAGAAATATTCTTCGGACCCGTCTCCGAAGCAAAGCCATTTTTTGAGCACATGGGCTGGCATTGTCCGCCGCGTCAGACGGCATGTGACTTTCTCACGAGCATAACAAATCCCCGCGAACGACAAGCCAAGGAAGGGTTCGAATGCCGTGTACCGCGGACGGCCGCAGAGTTCGAAAGCTATTGGAGAAGTAGTGTTGACTACAAAATTCTTCAGGCACAGCTTTCCACGTACGAAGAAGAATTTCCATGTGGAGGTCCCAGCGTCGAGGAGTTCAAAGAGAGCAAACATCAGCGACAGGCAAGACATACGAGACCGGACTCTCCATACACCATCAGCATCCCCATGCAAGTCCGACTGTGCACCACCCGCGCTTATCAGCGAATATGGAATGACAAGACGTCCACGATCACGACCGTTGGTGGAAACATCTTCATGTCCCTGATCATCGCATCTCTCTTTTACGGCACCCCTTTTGGGACGCAGGCATTCTTTGCGAAGAGCTCTCTCCTCTTCTTTGCTATCTTGCTTAATTCGCTCTTGACCGTGACGGAGATTAATGCGCTCTACAAACAACGATCAATCGTCGAGAAGCACGCTTCTTACGCCTTCTATCATCCTTTCGCGGAGGCGTTAGCCGGGGTCATCAGCGACATAACAATAAAGCTGGTTTCGGGCGTTATTTTCAACACCATCACCTACTTCCTCGGAGGATTGAGGTATGATGCTGGGGCATTCTTCATATTTTTTCTCATCAACTTTGCCGCTCTCTTGTCTATGAGTGCCATCTTCAGAACCATTGCCGCTGCTACCCGGACCATACCTCAAGCTCTCGCGATTGCCGGCGTGGTCCTGCTTGCTGTCGTTATCTACACGGGATTTGTCATTCCACGACCCAATATGCATCCATGGTTTAAATGGATTACCTGGATAAATCCTTTGGGATATGCTTACGAAGCCCTCATCGTGAACGAGTTTCACGGGAGAGACTTTCCTTGTTCTAATGTTATTCCCGCGTATCCGGGTTTCTCCACCGGGTCCAGCAATACGTTCGTCTGTGGCGAGAAGGGGGCCATACCAGGAGAGCTTTTTGTCAACGGGGACAGGTATCTAGAAGTAAGCTATGGCTACCAATACGCTCACTTGTGGCGCAATTTCGGCATTCTGCTTGCTTTTCTTTTCTTTTTCCTCATCAGTTATTTAGTAGTCACCGAACTCAACTCGCACGAGAAGTCAACGGCCGAGTCTTTGGTCTTCAGAATCGGCCATGTGCCGAAGTCGGTCCAGCAAGGAATTATGGACAAGGAAGCTAAAGCTGTGGTTTCCGATCCTACTCCTGGTGAAGGAAATGGGCTGGATGTTCTTGCAGCACAAAACGACATTTTTACGTGGCGAGATGTTTGCTATGATATTAAAATCAAGAACGAACCCCGGCGATTACTTGACGGTGTCAGTGGCTGGGTGAGGCCGGGAACCCTGACGGCGTTGATGGGGGTCTCAGGAGCAGGCAAGACTACGCTTCTTAACGTGTTGGCCCAGAGAGTGTCCGTTGGGGTGATCACCGGGGACATGTTAGTCAACGGAAGTCCTCGCGACCGGAGCTTCCAACGGAAAACTGGATATGTTCAGCAGCAAGATCTCCACTTACATACATCGACGGTACGAGAAGCCCTGAGGTTTTCGGCTTTATTGCGTCAGCCAAAGACGACAAGTACTAAGGAAAAGTATGAGTTCGTTGAGGACGGTAAGTTTATTATTATCCTATGCGATGTCTTTACTGACCCTTCCTAGTAATTCGTATGTTGAATATGTCGGATTTTGCCGAAGCTGTTGTTGGCACTCCTGGTGAAGGCCTCAACGTCGAGCAGAGGAAGTTACTGACCATCGGTGTCGAGCTCGCGGCCAAACCTGCGCTTCTCCTCTTCTTTGACGAACCCACCTCTGGTCTCGATAGCCAATCGTCGTGGTCCATTATTTCATTCCTTCGAAAGCTCGCGGATAATGGCCAGGCTGTCTTATCCACCATCCATCAACCCTCGGCGATTTTATTCGAGCAATTTGACCGCTTGTTATTCCTGGCCCAGGGTGGCCGAACCGTGTATTTTGGAGATATTGGCCCGGATTCTACGATTCTGCTAGATTACTTTCACAGGAATGGTGCTCGGAAGTGCAATGAGAGTGAAAACCCAGCAGAATATATCCTCGAACTTGCCGGCGCAGGGGCATCCAATGAAGCTAAACAGGACTGGCCAGCCATATGGCGAAATAGCCCTGAAGCTAGTACGGTGGTATCTGAGCTCAACCGTCTCCATCAGCAGCTAAGAGAAGAGCACGCACGGGATCCTCCTCAGTCCGAAAGCCAGGCTGAATTCGCCACTCCATTTTGGGATCAATTAGTTGCCGTCACTATTCGAGTTTTCCAGCAATACTGGAGGACTCCCACCTATATCTACGGCAAATACACTTTGGGCATTGCTTCAGCTCGTGAGTTTCCCCCCTTCCTCCCCTTCGTTATGTGGGCAAGCCTCGAACTTCTGTCGCTGACTGAATCTCTCTAGTCTTCGTTGGCTTCTCGTTCTACCTTCCTGGAACATCGATACAGGGCCTCCAATCCTTCATCTTTGCGATTTTCATGATCACCGCCATATTCGCCGCCCTGGTCCAACAAGTCATGCCTCAATTTATCTTCCAACGAGACTTGTACGAGGTGCGCGAACGGCCGTCAAAAACATACCACTGGGCAGCCTTTATGATAGCCAATATCCTCGTTGAAATCCCATACTCGATCTTTCTCGGCATCCTCGTCTTCGCCGCATTCAGTTATCCCGTCTTCGGTATCACTTCGTCAGAATATCAAGGTCTGGTTTTGTTGTTATGCGTCCAATTTTTTGTCTTCGGGTCGACCTTCGCCCATATGGTGGTTTCCGGTCTGCCCGACGCCGAAACCGCAGGCGAAGTCGCAACACTCTTATTCTACTTGACCCTCATCTTCAATGGCGTCTTACTTCCTCGCATCGCACTCCCCGGATTTTGGACGTTTATGTACCGCGTCAGCCCGATGACGTATATCGTCAACGTCATCGCGACCGCCGTCTCAGGCCGCCGGGTCGAATGTGCCAGTAATGAATTAAACATCTTCCAGCCCCCTCCAAACACTACGTGCGGCCAGTACATGGAGAGATATCTACAAAGTCTGTCCCAAAGCGGCGCCGCAGGAACTCTGACCAACCCCGACGCTACGAGTGATTGTGCTTACTGTTCCTTACAGGTGACGGATCAGTTCCTCCAGGCTAGAGATATTAAACCAGACCAACGATGGAGGAATTTCGGTCTCGTTTGGGTTTATATCGCGTTTAACATCTTAGCTGCTGTTTCTTTTTATTACCTCTTCCGAGTGAGGAGATGGAAGAAGCATTGAAAGAAAAGGGGGAACGGGGGAAAGGAAGATCCCCGAGAGCTGAACCTCTTCATTGAGAGGATCCGAATCGATGGCTTCTTTGTCAGATGCTGTCACCTGCGCCGGACCTAGTTCCGTGGGAAGCTGGTCTCGCGGCACTATCGGGACTGGAGAAAATTGCGACAAATATGCGGCCCATGGAAGATCGGGACACTTAGAAGCTCTTGGTCAGAACATAGGTTTCCAACTTGCCCGGATTGGTTCGAAAAGCGAGCATCCAGGCAGTGAAGAGGCCGTTAGGGGAATACAGATTACGGCGCTTCAGAAGGTCTTCCAGAAATGCACTTCCAACTCGAAGATTACCCAGACATCGGCAGCAGGGAGAGTTTCTCGTCCAAAACGTAAGGGCTATGAATCCAGAGAGAAACTGTTGTTGTTCGGAGACGCGGAATCGGCCGATGGGAAATCTAAGCATCTATCAAAAATCGACGGAGTTGATTGAGGGTCGTTATATATCTAGACGGCTGCTAGCACATTCTCTCAATCTATCCGTAGGCCAACGTTCCATGATTTGAGACCACCTAGCCAGAGGTGTTGATATTTTCATGTGGAGCTGCGGGGATCATTGCAGAGATGGTGCAGCAATTGTTTGAGGGATTTCCATCCTGGGCGTTAACGTAAGAAATCCACGCAAACAACGTTGAAGTTTCCTAACGAGGCATGTGGTACAGACCTTTCCCGCGAAATCAGTCCACGTTAATCTCTCTCGTAGACGTCATTTCAGAAAGTCTTATGAAGACCTTTGCTATTGTGGGAGCTTGTGACGCGGACTTTCTGCTATCTCCGCGTCATAGTCGTCTATGACGCGGAGATAGCAAGGTAGGAGACCCGGAGCCGATGGGGAGACCAGAACAGGACTCCAACCCCTCGACCCCGTCGGGAGCCGCCTCTCGACCAGCCCCGCAGAATAAGCCTAGTCTGGTCTTTCTAGGGACTTATGTATATACTAGTCCTTAAAGACTAGTTGAAATATATTCAAGATGGGTAGCAGGACTACCTAATTAGGAATGCCCCGGAGCCGAGAGCGTCGTCGTCGTCGTCGTCGTCTTTTGACGAACGGTGATATAAGGACACTGCTAGTATCTATTCGAGGGACTTTGTCCAGCGCTCGCCCAACAATTATCCGCACCAGCAGACAACCAACATGGCCTCCAATCCTATTGTCTTGATCACCGGTGCCAATACTGGCCTTGGCTTTGAAACAGTCAAGGCGCTGTTCCGCTCATCCAAGAAATATAACGTCTTACTCGGGGGGCGAAGCATTGACAAAGCCAATACTGCAGTCCAAGAGGTGCGAGCAGAATTCCCCCAAAGTTCCAGCGTGGTGGAGGCGGTGCAGGTTGATATCGAGGATGATGGCTCGATTTCCAAGTTCTTTGACCATGTTTCCTCCAAGTATGGACGTCTGGATGTTTTGATCAACAATGCAGGTAAGGCTCCAAAGTCCACCAAAATTTCGGGCTCATTAGTGCATAGGTGGCCAATTCGACCAGCAGTTGGCGGCCGGCAAGATGACCACGCGAGAGATGTGGAACAAATCATGGAACGTCAACACGACCAGTACATACATCCTCACCCATACACTTATGCCTCTGCTGCTAAAATCCTCGGATGCAAGACTCATCTTCATCACAAGCGGCATGTCGACAATGACCGAACACGGAAACCCGCCATCGGCGCTGAATTTGTCTCCGCCAAAGGGCTGGCCTAAGCAAGAGCCCGGCTTCCCAGCCTACCGATCCAGCAAGACCGGCATGAATATGATGATGCGAGAGTGGACCCGAATGCTGAAAGCGGACGGTGTCAAAGTCTGGTGTGTCTCGCCTGGCTTCCTGGCTACGGGGCTCGGAGGCAACCAGGAGATGAACAAGAAGATGGGCGCTCTTAATCCTTCTATCGGGGCGGATTTTGTTCGAGATGTCGTCGAGGGTGCAAGGGATCAGGATGTTGGGAAGGTCATTCGTCGCGATAATGTTCAGCCATGGTAGTTTTAGGGGATGAGTTGGTAGCTGAGAATACGAAATCTATCTGTTGTGGTGGGTCGCTTTATTTAAGACATCCTTCGTAAACGAATGTAGCCTAGCGCGGTCCAGAGTTCTTGGCAGAAATCCACACGAGGCTGCGGTCATGTGATCGTGAATATAGTTTCATGAACGGCGGGATTGAGATACACAGCAGGCCTGAGGAGTGCTGGTACAGAGTGAGTGGATGTACCGGGGCGAAAATATTACTAAGTTGATGAGCTTGTAATAAGAACGAAGTTGACTACGTCGCGGACACCCAGGTGTAGATGGCTGGTTTTCATATGATGAAGCAGGCTCCGCCTTTTGTCCACGACGAGGCTGCCAATCGCCATACTTTCCTAACTCGGATCTTTCCGCGGTTGTGTCCGGGTCGTAACATAGTCGGATGAATTTTGATGTCACTTTCTCCGAATATACAACCTTTCCCACGTCTTCTTGCTGGTCAACGTATTGATCCATGAAAGGTCACAAGTCGCATGCGCGATCGCTCTGGGAGGCGGTTTCCAGCCAACGCGGGATCGACACGACGTGAAATCTCACCATGTCGGACTTTGCGAGCTTGACGGGCAGGTTTCGAGCCTATAAGGATACTCTACGTGAACCGTCAAGGGCAAAAGTGACAAAGCGCCCCCGATAATCCCTGGTGTGCACCCAGTGCAGGAAATCGAAGCTTCGCTGTGATCGAGGTCAGCTATGCGGTAGTTGTGTGAAAAGAGACAAGGCGGCTACCTGCAGTTACCAGAAGCCGACAAATGGGCCAAGAGTTGACACCAGTGGCAGCCGCCATATCGTGGTTGAAGACAGACTGATGCACTTAGAGTCGTTTGTTAAACAGCTGATGCAAAAGCAAAATCAACCGTCGACCCAGTCCGTCAACGATGCGGTGCCGACGCTGTCGGGGTTGTCACTGGAACCAACCCCTGCCCCAATAGGAACTGTTGACCAGGCTGATCAACGTGACCAAATCGACGGGGAGCCAAGGTACGTTGGATCCACGCACTGGTCGAGTATCCTAGACGACATTCACGAGTTGAAGGCCGTTTTTGGGCCGTAGGACGGATGTCGAAGAAGAGGCAGGAGAAACCGAAAGACTACGAGAAGGTCGAGCAGAGGATCCCCTAGCGGTATCATTGTCATCAGGTGGCGAAGTTATATTTGGAGCGTCGCACAACTACTCCCTGCAACAAATCGTTTCCCACCACTTGCCTCCACGACTCGAGGTCGACCGCCTCCTCGCCATCTACTTCCAAGGCGAAACGTACATTGTCCCGTTCATCCATACATACCATTTCCAACGACAATACCGAGAGTTTTGGGCCGACACCGCCAATGTCAATCCTCTCTGGTTGTCGATGTTGTTCTCTATCTGCTGTATGGCGTCCGTGATCAGGGGAGCAACGAGCCCTTATCAAACGACTCCGAATGACTGGGTCAGCGAGAGTTCTCACTTGCATGCTGCCGCCGGACAATGCCTTGTTCTCGGGGAATACCATCGTCGACAGCAATTCGTGGTCGAGGCGCTTGCAATGTATGCCCACTGCAAGAATTTCCAGAGTCTGGATCCGTCTCGAGAAGCTGGAGCCATCCTCGGTATGGTCGTGCGCATGGCGTACGAGATGGGCTACCATCGAGATCCAGACTCGTTTGGATCCTTCACGATATTCGAAGGTGAAATGCGCCGACGATGTTGGGCCGCGTGCAAACAGATGGACCTGATGATCTCGTTCCAACTCGGCCTACCTAGCAATATTTGTCTGGAAGACTGTGACACCAAATCCCCTCGCAACCTTTCCGACGTCGACTTCAGCGCCGAGACAGAGGTGCTTCCTGCGTCTCGATCCGAAAATGAAGCTACACGACTCCTCTGGTTCATTGTCAAAGACAGGCAAATGACCAGTTTCAGCTACGTGTGCAAAGACGCTCTTTCATTCCATGAAAAGTCTGAAATAGAGATAATCCAGCTGGACGAAGAAATCCGACGCATGTACGCAATGGTGCCTGATGTTCTGCGAACTCGTCCCGTTTCCGAGTCGATCGCCGACGACCCATTCCTCATCATGACCAGACTGTACGTCGAATTCATTTATCTGAAAAGCCTCTGTGTCTTGCATCGCAAGTACATGGCTCGAGGGCACGATTTCAGTACCAAGTCCTGTGTTGAGGCTGGAAAACGACTCGTGAGTCAGTTTATTGACATGTACAAGGAATTCTCACCGGGAGGTCAACTGTGGACGGAGCGGTGGATGTTGAGCAGCTTCACCATGAATGATTTCCTTCTCGGCGTCATGGTGTTTTGCCTCGTTGTTCATTCTCGTCGCAAGAGAGGCGCCAGGCATTCCCTCATCGATTCCGCCACAGAGAGGGATGTCCTCCCCTTACTCGAGCAGTCGCACGCTATATGTGTGGAGAAATCCAAGGCCAGCAGAGGTGCTTGACGAGTCGCCCACGCCGTCCGTCTCATCTTGAACGGTGCCAAATCCTCAAACACGTCGAAGGACATAACTTCCCAAATTTCGCCGGTGGCTTCCTCTGATTTACAGCCGAGGGGTGACAACGCACAGAGCGTTGATCTCACATCGCTGTCGTTACAGTCTCAGAATGGCCACGTTCAAGGAGATGACGCATCAGTGGGAGTGCTTGACCCGTTCAGTTTCATGGGCAACGACTTTGAAAACATCGACTGGACGATGGCTGACCCGCAGATCTTGAGTCAAGATGCACCATTTATGGATGCCTTCACGCCTGTGAGAGAAACACACGGTTCAAGGTAGTGAAGCGGCTCATTGTCGCAAATGCGCATCGGGCGGTTTTTCTCAAATTCTGTGCCAAAGCAAACTTTCCTCCAGACATTCACACCATTACCTCCAGCCACAATAACCGTTCACTTTGAGGAAGTAGGCAACTCCGATCGTTTCGGCGCAGTGTCTGAATCCAATTCTAGACGCCCATCTGTCTCAGGTTGGCTGGACGAAATATACGACGCGTACTGCCACTCCGGATGACGATCTGAGGGGGACCTTTGATCCTGAGATTCATGAGGGCCGAGCCTTCCTTAGCACCAACACGTCTATCCTGTCGGCGTCGCAGGAACCAGTACCCAAGAACCACTGCCAATGTCAGTGGGACATCTAGACCGGCACCAAGACCGATGGCCAAACACAAGATGCTGCCATTGTCGGAGCTAGTAGAGGAAGAAGATGAACCAGTTGTCGTTGCTGCTGCTCCAGTGGCGGTTGAGGAGAGACTTGCTGTCGAAGTCGCGGTAGAAGGGAGACTGCCATTTGGCAGAATCGAAGCTGCAAACTGCACCGTGTCTCGTCGAAAGACACCCGGCGAGCTGGCGTTGTCGCAAGTACATCCGCTCAGGCCGTAGCAGCAGAAATACCCAGGCTCTAAATTGCTGCAGGGTGAAATACCACTGCCAACTAGAAAAGACAAGACGTGGTCAGTGGGGGAACATGACAAGAATGAACAGGACAATGCTTGATGATCGCCTGTCCCGGTGTGCACTGGGCAAGGATGATATAGAACCAAACCACTTGATTATCACGTGATCTTCTAGGCGTAAACGCCTGGGACTCAAAAGGGGTAATGCCTAAAGCAACCCAGGATTTAGGGTCCCCTGTACTGGCTAGTCGAGCCCCCCTAGGCATGTGATAGGCACCTCCTAGCTGACCGACCCCTATCAACACACCTGGGATGCTACTCTGTTTTACCTGCCAAGTCCTTCAGGTGTACTAACGAAAAATACCCTGGATTCCACAGTATGCGTGATACACTCTTGTAAACCTTGCTGTATGAATTGATGCATTATCTTCCATTAGAATACTTCTCATGAATATAACCGTACGTTCAATCTCTCTTATGCTTGCCGGGCATCGTAATAGATAGATAAGTAGGTAGGCAGGCAGGTACTGTAGCCAGCAGGAAATGCGACGCGCTAGTCGACCCGCCCGGGGGAAGCGGGAAGAGGTGGGGCCAGCCCGCACAGGATACCCCCTTGTAGCAGAATATCCGCGTCTATACTTATAGCAATACTGAGATGGACTGCACCCTGTACTCTGCGGTCTGTACTGATTCAGCTGCTTATCCTGGTTAGGACAAGGAATATGGTACTCTTCAGAATGTACCCTTATTCTCGAAAAAAAAGACGTCAATCAGAAACGCCAGCTTATCCTCTAGCAAGACAATACAATCTCTTGAGTTTCTTCACAACAGGGGTTCGAAACAGCGCCAAATGGAGAAACGCAGGCATTTCCAGCCAGTTGCCGCCCGTCGCAAAGTCTTGTAAGAGGAAGCAGCTCGCTTAGGCTGTTGCTGTTCCGGATTGGAGCCAATCTTAATCTTGAAACAGGGATTTTGATGGACTGCGGATCGGGCACCCCCCTCAGCCACTTTTCCTTATTGCTCCTCTCTTCCATTTCCATTCCTCTCTGCATTCCTCGAACTCTCATTGTTTTCCCACCGAATGGCTTTATAGATTCTTGATCCTCCGGCGAGTCGTTTTCGTTCCCTCCCCGCCTATGCACGCAAAACCAAGCGAGGGAGGACATCCATTCGCACCTTGACGGATATCCGTACATACGTTCAACGACTTCAATGTACAGCACATCACCACCAGTTCCTACGAAGATATAGTGTCCATCTGCGTTGAAGATCTGATACCTCGACGATAGAACTTGTTGTTATTTCGAGAGCTCAAGACTACGTCGGCACAGTCGCTCCTGCCGGAATCAAACCCGTGGTCCGGGCCTCTTCCACATTTGATCCGCGCAAAACTACATCGAAAGCCACGGCTACATTCAGCCGAAGAGTTTCATCAAAATCGTAAAATCATATTTGCGTATTCCTTCTCCACTCCCACGCAATGTACCTCAATCCATTCTCACCTTAATTGACCGATAATAACAGAGTCTCAGATAAAGAATATCGAACATGTCATCCGAATTGCCCGCCTGCTATAATGAGCTTGGCAATCAAGTCTCCAATGTCTTTCCCTGCTCGAAAGATGGCAGTCTCGCCCAGTGCTGTAAAGCCAACGCCACCTGTTCAACCAATGGTTTCTGTGTCAATGCCGGAACCGAGGACCTCACGCCGTATGTCTGGTCAGGCTGTACCGATCCAACGTGGGAGGATCCAGGGTGTAGCAACGAATGTTTAGATTGTATGTTGACTCTTATTCTCATTCTCGAATCCAGTCTTGTCTTGTCTAGCACCTACTAACTAAAGTCTCTTCGCTTTCTAGTTGGCGTTGGCATAAGCGTTTGCAGCGATCTTGGCCCTGGTTATTTTTGCTGCTATGGCCTGACTGGATGCAACTGCACAAGCACTAATTCACCCGGGGTCTTTCGTCGAGATGCCGTCTAATTTGCGATATCGTTGCTTCCCAACGGCAGTTTACCTTCTACCGCTGCGCCATCAGCGACTTCTCCTAGTCTCCTTCCATCGACATCCACACCTATCATCACAGCATCCCCACCGGCAACTGAATCGTCGGGTGGCTCGAGTAGTTCTATTGCTTTGGGCGTGGGAGTTGGTCTTGGCGTTGGTCTCGGATTTCCATTGACACTGGTCGTCGTATTCACATTCTAGTACAAGCGGCGTCGACAGAATCGAAAAGCCAACAAAGGCGTCGTCTTGACGAAGAGCCAAGAGCACAATGATAGTCCTCAGATTACTACTGGTCACTCCTCAGCTGGCTGGGCGTACGCTCCATATGGTCCTGCGAAGCCCGAGAGCTCCATAGATGGGAGGACAGAGTTGGCAACAGATACTGCACACCAACGGTCGGAATTGCCTAGTTCTCCAAGGTGATGGAGTGCACTCGATGCGATAAGATACTGAAGACATCCACGATGTCGCGTCTTCGACATCTTGTGCCGTACCTATCGCTTACCTCTTGACATGCCATCGGCAAAGTCGATGATAATCACCCTGACTCGATCAGAACCACAGTTCACATATATGCATGGACAACGCTGGGGTCCGAGGTGACGTGCGGGACATGATGGCCTTCAGGATGTGGTTACCTGCGGAACATGGTAGCCTCCGGGACACGGTGGCCTTCAGGACATGTCCGATGAGACTGAACTGTACGGTATGTCGCTAGAGACTGACAACATGAATTCGCCGTCCTGGTCGACTGAGAAGCCGAGAGTTGGGTCCGCTGAAGTACTGCTGCTATCCATCGTGTCGACAGTCAGGGTGACGTATCCCATGGTCGCTAACACATCGCCGTTCCAGCGTCCCCCATTATTGCTCAACAGCGCGCGTACCACAAGTCACGGTTACCCCTTTTTCACATCCTCTTGATCCGACGACGTTTGATCTGCTGTGAAGATACTTTCCGATGGCGGTGCGATATTGGCAGAGGTTTTAGAAGAGGAAGCGGAACGATTTTTTGACGGGATAAGCCTAATATTGACACAAATTAGTCAGTTCCAAGGAGGTTGGCTGAAGGCATCGATATATCTGTTCTTGACGAGGAAACGAGACCCCTCGGTCTTCATTCTCTACTTTCCATCTCTTCACCGTCGAATGAACATATTCCTTAACTTTCGTAGGGATATTGAAACGGTTTAATACGCCTGATAGACTTCCCGACTCTGAATCCAAGCACTTTGTAGTCATCAAGATGGTCGGCGCAAGGTTGTATAGACCCTTGTCGCTGTACACCGAGTAATCTTCCAAGACCGGAGATTGGATCTTCACTGGTAGGGGTTGCATTGATAACGAAATTGACCACGAAGGCTATAGAAGCGAGCGCTGGGCGTAGCCGTATTCTTCTACCGGCCTTCCCAAAGTAGTAATAGCGAATGGTATGTTGCTATGCAGATATGCTGGCATACCACCATGCCACCATGTCAAATATTTTTCTGTTTTCGGTAGTCACGTGATAGAGACCAGCCTTGCTGTGATTCAATTGGAGGACATGTCTAGATTCAGAGGGTTCTGGGGAGACGCCTGACTATATACTTTCGAAGGACTGCGTAATCTTACAGTAGGAGTACTGACCCCAGAGGGGGTCATTACATTACATTGCGAACGAGGCTGTCCTTTCCGGTTGACCTACCTCATGTGCGCCGCGGTCCCTGCCATATCGAGGTCGACCCAGTGACATTTCTAAAAGTGCCCTCTGCGAGCACGCAGGGCGCTGGCTACTAGCCAGTGGGACGATGGATTCGCACCTTCTCGCGGTGTCCGGTGTAAGTACCTGTTTCGATGGGGAAACCAAGACGAATCCAACGGCGGACGGGGACGTGCTGGCAGCTCAGGGGTTGCGCGCGTCCTGCACCACCAACACGACGACAAGCACGACAGCACAACGAAGTCAAGAGAGCTCAAAAGAGGTGGAATGGACAAAGTGATCACGAGGGCGTTTGGCAGGGCTACCGGCATAGCGGTGGCCTGCGGCTCGCTGGTCCACCGATATTATGAAGGCCAACACTCGAGGAATCGCCCACGAAGATAGTCGCCATGGGACAAGCGCCGAAAGCGTTCGGGTCACAGTTATTCTACTACAGTTCAAAGCTGGGGACCACAAGCCGTGGGAATAATGTCTCTGGGATACAATGTCAAGGGTTACACAGGAAATGGGTATGGGGATATCGTCAAGGAAAATGCTATGGTAGCGCTTAGGTCCCAATAGGCCAAGCGGCCTGCACGGGTGTAGGAATAATCAATCAATCAATCATTTCTAAAAGTGCAATTCTCAAGCATGTGTTACAATTCTGTACAATTTCAATTAACTCGTTGGCCATTCATTCATCAGTTGCTGAAAGTCGCCGATTATCGTGTCCAATTTCAGCTCCAAGTTCTTCAACCGTTGTTTGGGCGTTGTTTGTACGTATCCCCTCTGATCGACCTGTTGTGCTGGAGCATGGTTACATTTTCTCAAAGCCGTGAATAGGTCTGCCGCCTTTTTCCTTCGTTTGTCATCCCCATCGACCACTTTCCTCCAGGATATCCGGAATTCTTCTTTCTTATGAATCAGCCTCTCTTCTTTCAGCTGCCTCTGGTGGGCGGCCGCTTTGCGCTGGTCCTCTAGCATCTTGAGATAGCCTTCTGAATCGGCATCCATGATGCGTGATACTTCCCGGTCCATCTTCGATCGCAGGTCGTCTCGATCAGTTTTGCTTTCCTGCAACAGAGCTCCTGCTTCCTCCACATCTTCCCTCTTCTTGGCCAATTCATTTCTTATATCATTCTTTTCCTTGGTTTGGCCGGTGTGCGCGTCCGCGATCTTTGTCTCGAGGTTTTCAAATTCCTTTCGACAGCTCTCCAGGCTCCGTTCGTTGACTCGACGCTCTCTTTCCAGACGCGATAGGCTTTCGACAATCTCATTGACCTGGGCCCGCAAAGCTTTAATCACCACTGGGGCTCCGCCAGACATCTGCGCCACTTGCAAGGCTTCTTCTGGCTCTTGGAGCTTGGATCGAAGGTCTCCACACTCTCTATCATCGCGACTTAGCTTGGCTTCCAAATCTCTCAGAATTGTGAATTTTCTATCGCGCTCTTGCTGCCACTCTTCGATCTGGCCTGCATTTTCTCTCTCCCTCCGGCAAATCTCGCGATTCCATTCCTTCAAGTAAGTTATCCTTTCGTTTAATTGCTTTACTTCGGCATCATGCTCTTCGTACTTCCGTTCCGCCGTGGCTAGTTCCAAAGCGATATCCTTGATTTTTTTCAGGTCCGCAGCCAGATTATTTCTGGTTATTGCGTACTGCGCGGTAGCCCTTTCGCAAACTTGTTCTTGGATCTTGAATCGGATGACATCGTCTTCCAGCTGCTTAAGCTCACGTTCAAGAGCGTGGTTCATTTCGCTGAAGTTCGGAAAAGGCTGACTCCCGATCACCTCATAAATAAATCTCTAGGCTGCTACGAGAATGTTATTGCGCCTTCGATCGATTTCTGGCGCCTTTTGTTGTACGTGAGTGCCTCAGTCCGTGAAAGTTCCTAAAGTCAGCCTGACGTCGTGCATATCTTAGCAGTTCAACTGGAGGCCGTGCAGTGCGGGTTTACAACGTCAGATAAGGCTCTAGAGACAACATCGAACCATATCTATGCTTCCGAAAAGGCGGATGGTAACATTTGCTTTTGTCATCCTGGGAGCTGGAGCTGAATTGAACATCGGATACTCAGTAACCATCCCTACTCGAAAGCACTTGAACGTTGTAAGAACTCGGCATTCGTACTTCTGCATCAGGCAGACGTGTCTGATGACCATTGGAAGCTATTGGATGAACCCTGCCATTTTACGTGATACTCCCTGCTGGTTGAGGCTGAAGTGCAAGGCTGCCATTGGACACGAAAGCCCAAGAGATTCAGAGAGGGGTTCGGGAAAGGATTGAATGCAGATACAACTGGGAAAGGCGGCCGGACTGTTTAGGAGAGATGCAGATACGACAGGTGTGATTTCCAGTTGAGGTGCAGAGTACAGAAGGTTGGGAGGGTTTGCGAAAAGCATGTGATCCCCCATTGGGCTAAAGCCCGTCAATGCCCATCTTCGGCCCTGCGGATTTTATATTGACGGTTGAAGGTGTGTAACTGGCTGCGCTTGCTCTTGAAGTCCTAGATACTCCTTCCCCGGTGTCAGAATCCTATGCTTCTTTATTGCACCTTTCTCGAGTTCCGGCTCCAGACTGATATCTACTGACGTTGCCGAATTTCGCCAGCCTGGTTGCAGAAAAGGTGAACCCGCGTTCGAATTTGGCACCCATCTCTCAGCGAAACATTCTGACATTGTCGCAGCAAGAGGTTAAGCGGCTAGGTTTAAGCTCAGTGCAACAATGGCGTCTCCACTGGCGGACTTGACAAATGGGACGGCAACGTCAAATTATTCAGAGCCAAACCCTCCGAAGCCAGGCAGCCTCATCCGGGCGAGCACCGGAGATTTTCAAGTTAGCGAGAAGATAATGGAGGCCGCAGCTCGCAACCGGTACAAAGGCCTGGAAGTATTGCAGACTCTCCTCAAACACAAGGGCCACATCACCATCACAGACAGGATTATGGAGGCGGCAGCAGCAAACACACGAGAAGGCCCAGAGATAGTCACGCTTCTGTTGAAGGGCCAGTCTTTCCGTATCAGCGACGAGATTTTGAAAGCGGCTGCTCAAAATGAGTTTCTGGGTCCGGAGGTCATGGAAGCGCTTCTGGAGCATGCGCAAGACAATAAAGGCGTAAGGATAAGCGAAAGAGTCATGATCTATGCGGCAGGGAATACCGAAAAGGGTCCTGAAATTATGAAAGTGCTTTTGAAATACGGGAAAAAGGCTGGCCTGAAGCTCAATGACAGTGTCTTGGAGATTGCGGCTTCGAATGAGGACAGAGGACCGGAGTTGATTGACGTCCTGTTGGAATACATGGACGACTTGGAGGTTAAGGAATGAACACGCTCACTTTGCTTCACCTTGAATCTGGAGTGGCTGTCTAAAATTGAATTCGCGGAAGGGTAATTTATGACCCAACATTAACTCGGCTATGTTGTAAGGGTCTATAGTCGTTAATGGCGACACTGAACAATCTTCTTGCTTGCTCAGCCGAGCCGGGAAGTTCCAGTCGGCGCGGAAAAACAAATTAGCGCGTGTGATATGTGGCGACGCCAAGGCTTGTAAAGACCTTCGGAAGTGTTGTACGCTTCGTACACGCTTCGAAAGTATATAGTCTGACGGTCCCTTGGACCCCTTCGAAATAGAACAAGTCCTCCGTAAAATCACATCTGGTAGCAACGCCTTCGACAGTCCTCTACCCTGGACTGAGGTCCGAAAGGGCCTCTACGTCACTCTCGAGGAGGAGGGAGGCGTAGTCAGGCGATCTAGGAGGTCCCCGAACGACCAGACCTCCGTTCGAAGCGATATCGAAACACTGAGACGAAACCACCATCGACAACACCGCAACTCCTTCGAAGAATGTCTTTACCCTGTGAAATGGTCTCTTCTTCCGCGAGGATAGGATGCCTCCTCATCCTCCTCGGAGACCCCGACGACAGGAGAGCCCTCTGAACGACGCTGGGCGGAGAAAGAATTCTTTCGAAAAGGTCGCCACCCATGAGTCACCTCATCAGTGGATCCTGAAAACACCATCTTACCTCTCCTTCGCATCTCGAAGCTCGCCACTCTTACGAGGTCTTTGAACGTCTAGACCTCCACGGCCGAGACATGCGAAGGCCGGAATCGATCTCGACCTCGAGAACATCCGGACTAGACCGAGAAGCAACGACAGAACGCCACTGAACAGTCAGGCCTCGACCGCTCCATTACCCTGAGGAAGAATCTACACGGTTCCAGACCTTCTTGGTGTTGTCGACGACCACCAAACTCCACTTCCTCCGTGCCACGACGCCGTACCTCTTCATCCTCGGGCACTTCGAAATCATGCTGTACTCTGCGGACTGGCGGTGTATCGAAACCACCCCCAGAATCTTGCTTCACCTCACGCTTCCCAGCACCGCGTTGAGATGATGCTTGCGGATTTCGATGCACACGCTGAAGGGAACACTTCTGGCTTCGAAGGGCGCAGGTCGCGCAATGACCAGCCAACAACCATCGTGTCGAAGTACTGTGAGGATCCATGTCATCCCGCCCCCAGGGCACGTGATCCCGGAAAATGGTTAATCCGTTGAAGGTCGGGCGGTCTATAGACTGGATCCGATGGGCGACGAGAGGAGGATTTCATCGGATCCAATCCATGGATCACATCGAGTTGGGAGGGTGCCTCCCTGGGGGGTTTGGCACGTGATCCCGGAAAAAGGTTAATCCGTTGAGGGTTGAGTGGTCCATAGACTGGATCCGATGGGCGACGAGGAGAGGGCCATCCCGGGGTTATCACGTGATCCCGGAAAATAGTTACGTAATAACGCCAAGCCATGTGCTTACGTAATTGGACGGCTTGCCGCTCTTGGCGTTGCCGCACAACGCCAAGCCCTAACCAGGCGATCCCAAAATGAAAAAAATAAAAAAAAAAAACAAGTTTATATTTTATAATGCCAAAAATTGCTTCAAAATTGACACCAAATCGTGGTTGACCTATCAAGGACGTAACCGAGTGGTAAAACACTCGGCTTGCAGTCGAACCGATAGAATTGAGGGGCCTTACTAGTGTTCGATCATAGGTAAGGTAAGAGGGTTGTCCGGCCTAGCTTTCTAGGTGCCCTAGATGGGTAAACGTAATGCTCCAGCCAGTGATTGTTGATGATGTCGTCTTGTTTATACTTTGGGAGGTCACTGATTTAAACTCTTCCGTAGTTGAACTTGTCTGGCTGAAGCTTTCACTGGCTGCGGCGCCCCATCTATAAGTTCGTCAGAGATGGACTATAGGAGGGGGCTGTTTATTTTCTTAATTATTTTTTGTTTACGTATACATAAACCGTCTACCTTATACGAAGCGTATGCCAACGATCTCCGGAGTTCTCTTTACCACGACCAATGCGTCGTCCAGCCAGTCACCGGCCGCGGGGACTTTCGACAAAACGCAGGTTAGCAGACCGACCAGGATGCTAGTGAGCATAGCAGCTTCCGACTTACCATCAATCGGACAAGCTTGGCTAACATCATTCCCCGATCACCTGGTCGGACTCGAGCATCGTTCCCCCGTGGTAACGCCTTGAGACTCATTTCTGACTTCAAAATGAGTCCGAGAACTCAATGGTACCAAGACCTGGCTCGTACTTCTCACCGTCCAGAGGATCCGATTGATGAATGAGGCGATAACGTGTAGCCTCGGCGTTCTAACAACTCCTCAATTGCCTGCAGCGCAACAAATTCTTTGTCTGTCTTTGCTGATCCAGCGGACAGTTTGCCGGTGGGCCTCACTCCCCTCTTCATCAGGAGCTCAACATTGCTCGGGCTGAGAGACAGTACAGCCAGGCGAAGAGCCTCGCCTCCGACAGAAGGTATTTTACCTCTCCAGGCGGTATCCGCAGCTGGCACATCTCCGTTGCGTTGTATACAATCTGGTCCACAGAATGCCTCCATTGCAGCTATGCCACCGTCGACTCTCGCCGCCCACAGAAACTGCTCGGAGAACGATAGACGGGTTTCGTATGGCAGAATCAGTCTCAACATATGAAGGTAGCGATTCTTCGCTGCAATTCGAAAGGCTGACTCGATACTATGTGTTGCTTCAGGCTTTTCAAGGTCGCTGGGCCGGCAAGTTCTGAAGATCAACTCTACACAAGCGATGCTGTTGTGCTCTGCTGCAATGGTTAAGGCGCATCGATGAAACTGCCGACCCGTAAGGAAGGACTGCGAAGCGAAGAGGTCCACATCGCCACGTTCTAGGACAAGCGTTATCAAGTTGTGATCATTCCATCGGCAAGCGCCCCATAGCACTTCTTTTCTCATCTCACGGGATAGAAGCCCTTCTCTCTTTTCGATAAAGAGATCAACCAATTCCCTTCGTACTGATTGGTCAGGGTAGTTTGCCGCAGAAGCGATCGCGCGTTCATAGGACAAACCATTTGTCCAAAGGCGATTTCTCGGGTGGAAAAGCGTCTTGAGGTAAGCAACACGTCCTTTCTCTGTTGCAATTCGAATAGGAGGGCGACGGCAGATGGGATCGTCTGCGTTCAGGTCGAGATCAAGCTCAAGATCGAGCAGGGAATTGAAAGCTTGCTGCCAATCTTCGCGAATCGCTGCGCACAAGCATGAGAGCAGAAATGAACGTTTAGCTTCAGCTGTCAATGGTCCTAAATCAAACTCTGCGAAAGAGCTTCGGATTAGATCAAGGTCGCCAAGCTTGCACGCCGCTGTCAAGAACCAGGCCTCCTGTCCCTGGTCAATAATTTTCGAAGTCAGAGGTTGTTTGCGAGCATTTGCCATCAGTATAGGGATGTGATACAGGCTTGCGAATGCGGCGCAGAGGAAACATTGCCATCCATCTCCCAGGACATCGTCAATCGAGTTCAGAGGTAATCTTTCGCTTGGAACGATGGATCTCAGTCGAGTAATCGCTTCGGTCAAAGAAACTGATATGTTAGAACATTTAAGACTCTCCGAGACATGACGGAGTAGGAAGCCTTGTAAGTGTCTTCGTGCGAGCAGACAATCGTACTGAAAGATTTTCTCGTTGCGTCGAGGGGGATCCGCTTGCTGAGTGATGAACCAGATACGGAGAACCTCGTCGTTGAATTGGTCTTCGGATTGTCAGAAGGACTTTATGAGTGGTAGGGGTGAGTTGTACGATTCACTAGCCTCAGATATGATCCATCGCACCCTCCTTGGTTCTCTGCTCTAAGCGTGTAGGCGACTATGTCCGCCAACAGAGGCTGCAGATGGTTCGTGCATGACCTTTCATCCGAACTCATGACTCTCATTCCTCATATATCTTATCACTCTGAGCGTTCGCTGATTCAGCTGCTCACAAGCTTGCGGTCTCAAAGCAGACAAGCGATCAAAAAACGCTGGACTCGTGTGGGCGTGGCTGGTCGAGGATGGCCGACGCTTGTTGGCGCAACTCTTGAGTTTAGTAACGTTGGCGCTGTAGTCATACCACAAGAAAGCCAACGTTTCTGTCAAACTTCTTGCGCAACTTGGTTTGAAGGAGTGCTCTGTCTTTTGTCAACTAGGTGGAGAACGAGGGTCTCTATATACTTGTTATAGCCGCTGACTTTGTTGCCACTCCCATTCTATAAGCGCTTGCCATGTCGCAGACGCGGCAATGATAGAGCGGTTTCTGTCATGCCATTGGTCGTCCACTAGTCAGACCATTTGTATATACGAATCCTGTCCGACAGTTTCAAACTTCTTTAAGGCTGTGTGGCTATTAGGTCACGCCAATACCAATAAAGATAGTCCGAGTCCAATTGTCTATACTCTCAATCTGAAGAACGTGCTAAGACACTAGATAAATTATCGCGAAGCCTATTTGAGCACTCTACCAAACCAAGCTAAAATTACCCCGCACCTCATACCACCATACAATGTGTCAGACGGCTGGTACCAAGTGCCAAGAACCCCTATTCTGGCCTATATAGGGGGCCTTCCCCCCCCATCCATAGTTGCAATCTACACACGAGTTTTCACCCTTCTATCCGCATCTCGCTCTGTTCGACGCAATGCTATTGAATCTTTAGAACCTTCAAGGTGAATGACAAAAGATACAACCTGAAAGAAATCTCCATGCAGCCCAGTCTCCAGCAGCCGCTCATGTTGGAAATACGAAAATTTGGGTTCTCAGGCGGGCCCAAATTCTAGCACCAAATCAGCCAGCAACTCTTTATTTTCTGGATTCCCTGCATCAAGCCTGCCATATATTGCAGTGATTCTCTTCTTTCCCAGAGTCTGATAAGACTCGGTCAACATCCACCAAACACCGTTGACATTGTCGGAGAAGCTCAAGGCATCGAAAGCTTTCTTTTCGTCTGGATTGTCGGAGTCTGACCTGAATCTGAAGACTTGGTCTTCGTCGAGGTCCTCGACTGCACTGTCACGAGCGTAAACATTCCTGATCGCTGTCTGCAAAGTGGTCTTCGTGGCAGTATTATCGATCTGGTTACGGCCCATGGGCTGCAAGTTGGCAGTCCCCAAGCCACGCTCCTTCATCAATTCTTGATACTGCTCGACAATGAGACGGTTCCATCTGACTCTGGAGAGCTTTTGGTTACCGTCTAGGTTGACGTCGTTAAATTCAGCGACGATGATCCTTCCGTCCTCGGAGAAAGTGTTCTGCTGCATCGGCTTGGAGTCCGCAGGGGTCTTTGAGGACACAAAGTTTGTTCTGCCTGCAGGTCCTGGGTTAGATATACTTGGGTCGATGGAGTCGAAGATATTTCGAATGGTCTGTCGCCCTATCCCGCTGTCGGATTGGCTGAAAATTCCGTTTGGCAAGTCTTCGAATTTTGCAATTTTATAGTTGTCGTGATAAGAGGGAAATTTCAGATCAGGCGCATTGTTCTTTTTGCGTTTTTTTCAAAGTCTGTCCTTGCACGCTGTGAAGCTCCGGCATCAACCTTGAAATACCAATTGTTCGGATTGGGCCTCGATTCTTGTGGAACATTCGGCGGGTCGCTCCTGTCGCCACTCTCTAATGCGCTCGCATCATCAGGGTCAGGAGGCGGGCAGCGACGACCGAGACCGGAGGTGCTTCGCTTGCAAACTTCGGTCGGAGAACCACCGGCACTTGCAGTGGCCGGAGTGGCTTGCACAGGGTTAGACGCACTGGCGGAAGCATCCGGTTCATCACTTGCTGCTGCTGCAGGGGCACTAGAGAGGATGAGAGGCGCTCCGGGATTAGATGGCTGGGCAGAGTCGCTCAGAAGTAGAGGGCTGCCGGGCTGTCCAGATGCTTGAGGTGGGGGAGCAGGATTCAGAGGGTCGTTGTTTGTGCTGGGACTATTTGGACTGTTTGGACTACTGGTGTCTAGTGAGGAACTACCTGGAGACTTTGCTCGTCTAACGACGATTCTGTCGAAGGAGTCTTCTGGACTCAGCCCCTCGGGTACGTCATCGACTAGGAGGTTTGAATCTTGCGGATGTCCTGCACTCCAGGCACGAGGCTCGAACGTGAATGATGACGAGGGACAATTCTCTCCATCGCAAGCTCCTAGTACTTTGTCCGGAAGAGCTCGTCCGTGGACTTGATACGGAAGTCCTTGCAGTGCCAATGAGGCCAGAAGACCGTATAGCGAAAGATGCATGCTGTTGGTGTCGTAATAGATGAGTGTGACTAGTATGGAATTTGTGCTGCTGATGGTGTCCTATCGTCAGGGGAGGTACTTCCGAAGCTTTATTAATCTTCTCTCATCAGCTTTTCGCCCACCGAGCTACTTGATCAGTCTAACCTCAGAGGCCACTCCACGCTCATGTTCGAGACAGGTCTCTTTGAGGACACCTTAGGTCAACACCACGAAGCCATTCCATATTGAGGACATTGGCGCTGAGGATTCCGCCCAACGTTCAATGCCAAGGTCTTTCCGCCATGCCCGACAACCCCAAGGAGACAGATAAGGAGCTCGCCGATCGATCGGTGCCCGCGCTGACAGTGGTAAGGATCGATTCTCATACCCTTCAGCCTCCTGCTCTGAATTATGCCTGGCCGAGTATAGATCTAACGTAGCAGACATGGCTAGCAGCGTATCAGAGTATTCCAGCAATCGGCGCGCCGCGGCTTGGCAAATGACAGGCGCGCGGAAGCCCAGGCAAGCCTCGACCGGCCTGTTTCCCGCTGGGATGTTTCGATTATGATCAATGGCTAGTTTTGATTCTTGGCAGCTGATCCCAGACCTTCTAATTTAGCGGCTGAGGTTTCATGGCCGACATGGTTGGAGGTAATATCTGTGGGCGCTTAATCGCTAGGACTGAGCTCGTCCGGACAGCTGATGGCTGACTTGTCATCAGGATGCGGAATTCCATGCCAGGCCCACCTCTGGGAGGGGTTATGTGGCTTGACATCTCGGGGAAGCAGTGCGTACGGCTCGTACCCGGCACAATCTAGTTCTGCGCAGGACGTGTATTTACCTGCCAAAGTCAAATTTTCGGTTCGCACAGTGGTGATGGAAAAGAAGACACCGCAGAAAACAGCAAGTCGTAGCTTCTGAGAAGCCTTCCACTCAACATAGATCAGATGAAAATCATTTGAATTCTAGGAAATTGAACGACCCCGAAAATGTAACAATCTCTTGGTAAGACTTTCTCAAAGACTGATGAAAAAGATAACTCCATAAGCACTAAAACGTCATGGGCTCCCAAACTAACGCCCAACCATCAGAGATCGCAAGATGCTCAGAACTCAAGAAAGGACTCCGAAACCAGCTAGGGCGACGAAGAGGTAGAGCAGCGCTGTGGTCCTCGAAATGCCGCTTCCAAGGCCCACTACCGTTGCAGAGGTGGTGTAGTTGTTGCCCATAGGCTTGAGGCAGGTTAGATGCGCCTCAGCTGCGGAAATGCTAGGACCCTCTGACGAGGAGCCATCATCAAGAGGTGCAAACACCGTCAGGACGGGCGTTACTCCATACAGCCACTCAAAAGCCTCGCGTGAGGAAGGATGCTCGGATGAAGCACTCATGTTGGCGAGATGAGTGAGACTGTAGTCTTTCGAGAGTGCCGGATGGCAAGTAGATAATGTGGACGGGTTCGACATGTTTGTGCCGCTGAGACCTTTGCATTGTATCAGTACCGTTTACCTGTCTGAGCACATAGCCGGACGGATTAATGACTTACTCGGAGTTGAAATCTCGTCCGTGGATCCAAAGCTAGAAGGGCAGGTGGATGGCATTCGAGCATTCAGAAATTGTGCCAATGTTGCACAATTCATCAAGTTGCCACTTTGTAGCTCCGTCGTGTTGACAAGATTTTGTGCTTCACTCATCAAATCAGTCACACATTGGGTTGGGAGAGCATCTGCACAACTTCCGTTCTCGTCTTCCAGTGGATTGGCAGCCAAATTCGAGCCGAATTGAAGCGTTGCGCCGGTGAATATCAACGCACATCCCGAGACTGTGGCTATTTCCTTCAAGTTCAGTGATGAAGGCTGCCCGATGTAGATCTCCTTGTGGTAAGTCGTCAGATCGCCCGGTCCAGCGTCAGCACGAGAGATGGCGACCGTCCAGGCAAGGGGCTCTGTGTCAAGTGATGTGTTCATGCTGGCGATTCCGATCGATGAGATGAGTTTGTCATCCACTTGACATGACGCGTCTATTGACCTGCTGTCAGGTGGACATCCAACATCTGAGCAACTGAGAAGTTGTGCGACGGCTCGAGAGAAAGAGAGGAATCCTAACAAGAGGGAAGCTATGTTGCCCTTCATTGCTCAAAGTCGCAAAAGCCTGTCTTCGAAATCGCACAGCCTTTGACGAAATCCGGGCTCTCGAAATTTTGGGATGCTGCCCTAGTTGTTTGATGAGTGTGTCTTTGCAACAGCGGTGATGTTCAGTTTTGATGGTGCTTGCGCCCGATCCCACTACAGCGAACATTTCGAGAAGCGCCGGCCGTGATAGGGGCAAGCGCGAGCTGATACAATCTGTTGCCATTTAGCACACCGCATTCAGTGTCATGCTTGGCAGAGAAAAAGTCTGGTATCAGACTCTACCATGTTCGGGTTTGTTGTAGATCTCTCAGACAGGCGCCAGAGGGCGGATTGCTTGGCATTTGGGGCGCTTTCCGCCGGGTTCGCCAAGACTGTGGCTGAGTCGTTTGTGTCGGCCCGCCAGGGTCTCCAGGGGTCTTCCACTGTAAAGCTGAGTCCGCCTCTCCAGCAACATCGAATTTCTTTTGGCAGGACTATCATTGCCTTCCTCTCTTTTAACCGTCTCCGGCACCATGCACTCCTTACTCTGGACCACGGCATTTTTAACAGCATGTGCTGTCGTTCATGCTGCCAGCCTGAACGATGTCTGCACATCATCCCGTGTACAAACAACATTGCCTGCAGCAGGCTCCTTTCCAGGCATCACCATTGATCCAGACTCGGTCGTGGTTAATGCTGTGACCAATGCTGCGGTCGTGAACCAGGCGATGTTTCCAAACGCTGTCTTCGACTACTGCAACGTTTCTTTCGCATATTCGCATGATGGCAGAAACGATCAGGTGCTGCTTTGGTATTGGCTACCCACACCAGAGAATTTCCAACGTCGTTTTCTGTCAACTGGTGGCGGCGGGTACGCCATCAACTCAGGAAATGGCTCCCTTCCAGGTGGCATCATATATGGAGCGGCGGCCGGAGCGGCGGCCGGAGCTACTGACGGCGGTAAGCCCATGTTATTACCACGATCACCGACACCTTGGTTGACACCACGGCTACAGGATTCGGCGGCTTCGGCACAAACTCTGATGTAGTTATCCTGCTTGCCAATGGAACTGTTATTGCGATACCCTGTATATGTTCGGTTACGAAGCCATTCACGAGATGACGATTATCGGAAAGGAGTTCACGAAGAATTTCTTCAACATGTCCAACCCCAAGCTCTACACCTATTATCGGGGCTATTCTGAAGGTGGCCGTGACGGTTGGAGCCAGCTCCAGCGATTCGGTGACCTACTCGATGGCGCTGTTACCGGTGCGCCGGCATTTCGTTATGGTCAGCAACAAGTCCAACACCTCTACTCGGGCGTCGTGGAACAAACCCCGGATTATTACCCTCCTCCCTGCGAACTCCAAAAAATCGCCAACGAAACCATCACCGCCTGCGATCCACTGGATGGTAAGTCTGATGGAGTCGTGGCCCGGACGGACCTGTGCCAACTGCACTTTAACATCAACACCACGATTGGCATGGCTTACTATTGCCCGGCCAATGAGCTTGGAAATACATTCCCACCCGCGCCCCCCGTCGCCCGAGCAGAACGGAACAGTGACAGCTCAAGGGATGGCCGTCGCCAATGCGATCCTCGATGGCCTGCACGACTCCCAAGGCCGTCGCGCCTATTTCTCCTATCAGCCGGCGGCTACTTTCGCGGACGCACAAACGGCATACGACAATACCACAGGTTCTTGGGGTCCGTACGTCTCGTCGCTCGGCGGTGAATGGGTCGAGAAATTCCTCAACCTTCAAAACGCCGCTAATATACCCCACTCTCGAAAACGTCACCTACGACACGCTCACAACCTGGATGACTGAAGGCTGGCAACGCTACGAAGACGTCCTGCAGACGACGTGGCCAGATCTCACTCCGTTCCAGGCCGCGGGCGGCAAAATCATCAACTACCACGGCGAATCCGACGACAGCATTCCCACCGCCTCGTCTGTGCGATACTGGGAGTCAGTCCGCAATATTATGTACCCGGGTCAATCGTACAATGAGAGCGCTGCATCATTGAATGAGTGGTACCGTCTTTTCCTGGTCCCCGGAGCCGCGCACTGCTCGCCGAACACGTTGCAGCCGAACGGGCCGTTTCCGCAGACGAACTTGGCGGTTCTGATTGACTGGGTGGAGAAAGGCACTGTGCCGACTACGCTGAATGCGACGTATCTTGGGGGTGAGAACCTTGGACAGAATGCGCAGATCTGTGCTTGGCCATTGAGACCGGTTTGGACGAATAATGGGACAACGATGGAGTGTCAGTACGAACAGGCGTCGATTGATACGTGGCATTATAAGATGGACACGTATAAATTGCCGCTATACTAGGTGGCACTATAATCGAAGACGTATTGCCGCAAGACCCCCCAAATCTCCTACCATAATTCAGGTCAACCGCCCGCGGGCGAAATGTAGCGGGCGAGAAGATAGGTGAAGTTGATTGAAGCCAACTCCCTCCTACTAGTGACCACTTTAGTGACCTGGCACAAGGTTGGCGACAAGGCTGTCCGTCTGGGTGTGCGAGGATACTGGTAATGCGGCGACCTTGCAGAGATTTTGTTCCGTGTGTGTTGAGGCATCCTGACGTCAGCCCCTTGAGATCATCCCCTCACTCAGGAACTTCATCCTCAGGGCAACCAGAAGGATCTCGCTCGTAGCCGAAGTCTTGTCTATCTGTTAGCATGGCCGGTGCTAGTTTATCTTGCGGTCAACACTCTTCAGTATCTACCCACCCTATCATGCTATACCTAGATCTACGATATGATGAATTGAATTGAATGCCAAGGGGGTTGCTAGTTGTGTGCTACGTAACAGTAGAGAATGCCCATCTATCCGCAGGGTTGGCCATCACGTGTCATGGCATGAAACACGCGACTAGTTCACGTTGGGTAATGTTATTCTGTACGGAGGCGTGCTCCAAATGTTGTTTCAGTACACTAACTCCTGATGGGATCTAGTGGTGACATTTGAGCGACGACTTCAAAAGACGATTAGTTTTCCCCCTCTTTAGGTATGGTGACGCCTAGAGCGGCCTATGAACCTCAGCCCAATCCAATAATTATAGTGATGGCTTGGTGCACCTTTAGGCTCTTGTTAGGCGCCTTCTACCTAGAGCCTTTAGAAAGTCGTTTGTCTTTTGAAGTCATCGCTCGAATGTTACCACTATACTATTTCAGGCATTAGCGTACTGTAACAACATTTGGAGCACACCTCCGTACTAGGTGGTGAAAAATACTCTGTACTCCGCAGGGGCTTAAATTTATGGTATTAACCGGTCACGTAACGTAACAAATGAATTCCCTTATTAGGCTTAGTGCAAACCTAACTCTAAGGTGGTAAGGTGTAGTATTAGGCGGTTGGCCGGGGGGGTCACGAAAAAATGCCCCAACACCACAGTACACGATGGGGGATTCAAAACCGACTAGGCCGGTCAAGATGCATCGCTGCATATTCGCGCGCAACGCCGGCCAATGGGAATGCGTATGCGCCGGCTGGCTTTCGAAGTTTCTGCGGCGATCGTCTTCTGCTGCTACGGTGGTTCTCTAGTGTATGGGTCTGCAATGTGATTCGTGGCGAAAAACCATGTCGGCCAAGCCACTCCAGGACTCCGCCACGAACTGCGTCCGGCTGACAGTCCTCGGTTTGTAAGTGTATAGCGAGTCGTGCCGTCGGGGCTTTTGCACAAAATACTTCTGACGATATTAGTGTGGCTCGGAATCCTGTCCCGCTCCCCTCCTATTCCCCCAAAGCTGTCGAAGAAGTGGCATCTTCCAATCAGTTGCGGCCTCTGAGAGCCAGCCGCTTCGCCAGATCGACCTTCGATCAAGGAGCCGAAATGCTCATCCGTCTGCGAAATCTGTCACGCAATCTTTGTTTCCCGACCAGCAACCTTTCATGTCGACGAATTTGAGTCTTTCAGCCATAGACAAGTAGAGTCTTGACCGACACGAGAGAGACGGGCAAGGAAAGCATGGGGAACGATGTCTATGGCGAGCTGAGGAAGTCCCTCTGTCCGAGTGACCCGCGGTTGGAAAAATCGACCTTTTGCTCATCAGTTCCGCCTCCTGGGACATGGAGGCCGTGGTGTAGGGCCAAGGCCAGGGTTCTTGCCCTCCAGCTCCGTCTGGCCGAGCCCTTCGTTACACCCGTCGAGTTTACGGACGCCGCATCTCTGGCGGCCGACCTGAAGGAGAAGGCAGGATCGAGCGATCCGGATGTTCGCCGTATATACCTCCTCGAGGGCCTCTCTGACGACTTCGTCTCTGTTCTCGGGAACCACTTTCGGCTTCATCCGTCCCTCTTCATGGACCACGACAGGCTGCTGCTTTTGGGCAACAGGATGACCGGAGAAGGTGGCGGCCTTCCCATCCTTCCGTCCGCAACCTGCCAGAGGGATCACGTCTCGCTCAAATATCACGAGCCGTTGGTGCTTTCCGAGCGGCCGACGAGCTTCCGCATCATCTGCGACACGTCCGGACGGCACATCGCCGTGACCAGACTGATGGGAGAGTTTTCCGATGTTGGAATCTGCCGGCGAAAGTGCACCTTCTGGAGCAAGAAGACCGGAGTGGGTGGTTGGACGTGTATGTGTGCGTGCCTTTTCTATTTGCGTCGCCGTGGGACTCGAGAGACGTGGAAAGGGACTGACGACGATAGGCCTGATCATCTGCGATCCTCCGATTCGACGCATCTTGACCGACTACGATGGGCGGTCGGGAAAGGACGTCCTCACGTCGCCCTTCGCCTCGGGATATCTGGACTTCATGCCGCTCCCGAACCAGCTCAGGGCGAAGTGTGGCCCTCCTAGATCGTCGCTGTTGGACGATTTGCTGTTCTATCTGCAAACGCACTCCGACGCGGTCGACCTCGCCGACCCAAGCTCCCTGCGCATCTTCGTCGAGAAGATCGTCGCGAGCCACTTCCTCAAGCTGGCCGAGTTCCTGCAGGCCAACATCGACATCGTACAGTTCCACCTTTCGAGGAGGGCCGACCTGACGCCCTTTGCTCTTTCCACGACAGAGGAGCTCTGGAGCGACGTCCAAGCCTGGATGCGGCGAACGGCCGAGTACCAGGACGACCTTGCGGGCATCATGCTGCAGCTGGGCGTCCCGCTCGAGACCGCATCCGGCACCCGCCGCCGCCGCCGCCGCCGCCGCTGCCAGGACTGGACCGACAGCACCGCCGACTTCCGGTTCCTCATGCGCCGGTACCGCGAGATTGGACGGCGCGTGAACGCCCTGGCTGGCGCCATCTCAACGCTGGCCAGCCTTACGGGCAACCGCGTCACCTTCACGTCGGCTGATCTGTCGCTTCGCGAGGCGGAGCGAGCCGGCCGCGAGACCAGGAGCGTGAAGGCACTCACCATCCTAGGCATCGTTTTTCTCCCGCTATCCTTCTCGGCCAGCCTCTTCAGCATGGCGGACCCGTACCTGCCGGGGAGCTCCGGCTTCGGGGTCTACTTTGCCCTCTCCGTCCCGCTGGTGGGATTCGTGATCCTGGTGTACTTGGTGCTGGAGCTGGGATACACCGAGGGAGAAAGGCAGTGGTCTTTCAAGACGGCGATCGCAAGCGTGCATAAGCAGATCGTGCGAATAAGGGGGAGAAAAGTCGGACCGTCGATGGAAACGGCATGATCTCGAATCTCAGAAGAGCGGAACGAAGTATGGCATCGCACCCCACTCTTCGAATCGCCATAGTAGAACGCCGGACGCCTTTTTAGTACGACGCTTTCAATGTACCTCTCGTACAGTCGCGCCGGCTTTGTCATACTCTCTTCGTTCCAGTTATTCCTTTTCTCCAGGTAATTTTGGTAGTGCAGTCTGCAGCTCATGGCGCTACGGCCGGGAAAGTGATTGCTAATGTCTTCCCACGTCATGTTGGCTTGGCGGAGGTTGATGAGCTTTTCGTCTTCTTCTGGTGACCGTTTTGACGACTTCTTCGTAGGTGACGGAGGACTATCTTGCTGGGGACCCAACATCGACTTAACGTCCATCTTAGAGAGCTATTAGCAATATGGACGATATAGTTATTGTGGAACACGAGTGCGTTTTGTATTCGTGAAGACTGGACGAGGAGGAAGGGTAGATCGAAAGGGTTGATGAAGGGTCTTAGTATTATACCTTCATTTTCCCTCCTGACCTGTTTCAATTTCTGCGTAGCGAGTCCTTAATCTTGATACTTTGTTTAACTCCATAGGCTGCACAGCGGATCCTTCTACTACATTTGGTTGGATCTCTACATGCTTCATGATACCAATTTTGGTGTAGTTCATTATAAAAGCAAACACCCATCTTGTCCGCATGAGTAGATAACAGATATGCTGTGAAGAGAGCCAGAGTAGTGTCTTGAGACATATCGATTGCGAATCGTGCACTAATTGACCGTGTGGAGCCTTATCCTGCGATTTCGCGAGGTTTGCAATAGGAATGAAATTCAAAATAAACGAAATGTTGTTGCCAGCAAATAGGGACAAGGGTAGGCCTTGACATGGGCCGGGTCGGGCTGGGTTTTCACCCCCCTTGGCCCGTCCGAACGGGTTTTCGGGTCAACCAAGACCTGACCCAAACCCGACCCAGAAACCCATTCAATTGGGCCAGGTTAGGTCAGGCCAACCCAAAGTATAATTATTTATAGACTTTTTCCTTGTAGAGTAAGTAGATGCAAAGAGCCCTACGTATAAATTAGCTAAGCACAGTAACATATGGTATTAACCAAGCAATTTTCAAATCATTGAATTGAAGGGAATGTTCATAAAGCAATAGTCATTGTAATAGTTAACTTAGCTGGATTAATATATACCACGAGAAAGTCTTTGGCATAGTTCATGTAATAATTATTGTAATAGTTACTTGTATTGGATTACGCGCATTATGTCATCCTGTATTTAATTAAACTTTGGGCGACCCAACGGGTTTTGGGCGGGTTGGACCCTTTACCGGCCCAACCTTACAGGGTTTTGGGTCAAAAGAATAATAGCCCAAAACCCGCCGGGTCAACCCGGCCCATGTCAAGGCCTAGACAAGGGTCTTTGCCGCTCGTTGAAATCCGAGAGTGTGGAGCAGACGTATTGGTCGGCTGTCAGATCTTGCAAATGGCTAGCATTTACCCTTGTTTGCAAGTTTGTTAACGATATTAAAAAGCCCCCGTTCTTTAGTTTCCTGAGCCAGGATTTGTAGGGAGGGAGACCTTTTTGAATGTCAGCGTCAATCTTGCAAACTGGGCACAATTGTCGGCACCCACGACCCTCTTGCCAAGGCACTAATAGCCCCTGTGGGGGGTCAACATCACCGCAATACAATTAATCAAATGACCTATATAAAATTTCGGTAATTAAGTGAAATGACCCATTACTATCCATTAATATTCCATACAAGTCATCTCGACGTCAAAGCTCGTCCGTTCACGCTCAGCTACGAACCATTTCGAGCGCGATCAGTAAGAGCTCGTCTAGGTGGTCCATAGATGAAATACCGCGACTCATCGGACCCAATTCGTGGATCATGTCGATATCGACATCTATCGAGTAGGGTCCCCCTGGGCCACATGGTCCACGGATTGGGATCCGATGACGTCGCCACACAACGCCAAGCCCTAACCAGACCATTCCTTTTTTTTTTTTTTTTTTTTTAAAAAAAAAAAAACCAAGTTTATAAGTTATGGGTGGTTTCAATTTGAATTGTTGTGGTTGTTTGGGTCAACTCACCAATCATGCTTGGGGCGTAATCATTATAATACGAACCATTACGACAGTTCGGACGCTCTCTCTGTCTTGACATTTGACGCGGTCGTAAGAGCATGTCTGCTTTTGCATGCTTGCACCCATCCATCACGTTTACACTTGAAGAGGTCAAATTTATGGATTGTTGGGCAAGACGAGCTGCCGACACAGCCTCCTGCTGCTAGGCTTACTCCAGGCAACAGTCTTGGCTAACCCTAGTGGGCAAAGCCACCGGGCCTGGGGCTTTGGTTAACGCTGCCATTGAGTCCCTAGGCATAAGGTCCTCCTCGGAACCCCGAACTAGTTTCGTTGCAAGAGGAAGCACGGTTGGCAGAAGAGCGCCAACGGATTGGTTTGCAGGCAATTATTGAGCCAAGTCAATCGAAGGATAGGGAATGGATCGGGGCACCAAACTCGGCACCAAATTCAGCTCGCGCCAAATTCGGTTATTATGTAATAGCCCAAAAGCCTCCTAGGCATTCGCACCCAATATTTTGTACCTAATCTCTTGATCTCGCCACCGACCCCCTCTTACATAGGAACTCTTGGTGTTGATATTCTCAGCTTTGCCGCTCAAACTTGTGGACTTCCTGGGACTCTGCGATATCGCCTGCGGCCCTTGATTCGTGGTATTTCCTTGTATGAATTCTCTTCCTTTTCTCCCTACCCAATTTTTGGCGGTGCCGTAAAAGTAGGCAGTTCGTACGCAGAGGCAGGAAGAGGGGACTGTTCAGGAGAAGGCGTCCTAAGACGGCGAGGTCTCTCGGTAGTAGTTGGCGTTCGGATAGGTAGTGCCTGACTTGGTTCAGGCGGCGGCGACGACGTTTGAGGTGCCTCTGCGCTCTCTGACCTCTGAGGATATCGTACGAGCACAGGACACCGTGATCAACATCTGGGTCCGATTAAGGGGGTCTGGCAGACAAAGGCGCCACTCTACCCATCCCTGGTGTGCCATGGATTGGATCCGATAGAGTCAGCCAATCAGAGCACAGGATGAGGTAATCGACGGATTATAGATTTTCCGGGCTACGGCGCACTCCACGATACGATACGTACGATATTCATACACCCTGTATGGCTAAGCCCATAGGGGACTAGGTAATTGCTACGCGCTAGCTCCATTCTCCACCGGCTCATTTTAAGCCCGGCTGTGCGCACTCAACCCGTTCCTGGGTTGGCTGTGGGTTGGGTCCGATAGGTCAGCCAATCACGTGACACGAGAGGCCCGGGGGTTGGGCCGTGGACTGGATCCGATGGGGCCAGCTAATCAGAGCAAAGGATTTGGTAGTTATCGGATTATAGATTTTCCGGTTCCCGAGGGGTTTGGATTTACCTCCGTGGAATATTGTGTCCGCGCGGCCCCTAGTAGCCGAGCTGAATTTGGTGCCGAGTTTGGTGCCCCGATCCATTCCCGAAGGATACTGTAAGTTGTGGCGAGAAACCAGCAAATATTTTCATGCATGAGAGTTAAGCACAGATTATACATCGCTCTCCAGGTCCATCCTTCTTGCAAATTTACGATATAATAAAGTATGATTCTGACGATAACAGATCCGATTGTGGAGGACCCTAGTTGTCCGATTCTCGACATCAAACGACATAAGCGCACTCTAAAGTCTTGGTCCTAGAGAAATTGATCTTCTCGTTTAACTCAACGGACTTGAAAGAGACGCTGGACTATTTGAAGCACGAATCATTCCCACGCTACTTTGATCTATCCGTTGTAAAGGGGAGGCTTACTCACTGCTGGTCGAACCATCGAAACTTGTGTGTTGGATGAATCCGAGAGGCAGATTGCCGTTGGCAAATCGCCATAATGAAAAGATCTGTTCCTTGCCCATCTGGTCCTGCCAAAGCGTTCTTTATATAGATAGATACCATTGTCCTGCATGGTCTCTCCTGGGTTCCAAGAGATGGAAAGTCAAATGTGTTCAAGCCAACCACTCACAAAATTGAGGTTCAAACCTCTAGTTTCTGCGGCATTTGGTTCGGTATCGATCCAGATAAATGCCAATTCCATCAACCCAGAACAGTCTTGCTCTGTCCGGAAGTTGCATCCTTCGAAGGGCCAATGCAAGAATTTCTGTAAAGCGCAGCACTTTGTTGTTGTAGATGATTTCCATTCTCCTTGTCACATCACCCCAGACATGTGATATCCACTCATAACATGGACCGACCCAATGCGAAGACGAAGACGATTCATCTTGAAGATCTCCTCGAAAGGCTTGACAATTTGCAACGAACGCTGAAGCTGCTCCAGGTTTGTCCCAAGGAACAGATGCAGGCGAATTTGGGAGAAGCTATAGTTCAAGGGTCATCTGAAGGCATCATCAGACGATGGAGTATATGTATAACTTTCACGGTCGTCTGTTGTCGCTGGGGTTTAGATTTGCTCCCTCTACTCTCGGCTCAAACTAAGCCTACCCATGATTTGTCTTAGTCGACGCATCTTGCTGCCGTTACCGGATGAAGATGGCAGAAAATATAGGTGCTTGTGCGTATGTCGAGTATTCGCTGGCTGTATCTTAGTTTTTTGGCGTTAATGGGATTGCTTGTCCGTGCTGCCTCGGAATGGTAGTAAGGACGGGCGAGTTGGGGATGAATCTGGTGCAGTCCAAGCTGAGAGTCGGTAGACGTGCCAAATATCGTCAGGCATCTGAATGCAGAAAATGAGTCCTTTCGCCTTCAGAAGGCAATTGTTGGATCTTGTCGTCTATTTTGAGGCCCAACCCGGATTGGGTCGGAAGAGATGATCTGTCACAATCTCTTGTTGGTCGCTCCTCCAACCAAGATCCAGTGACTTCCTGATCTGCAAGCAACTGCCTCTGCCACACCATTACGAGATGTTGGGGGGATATCAAGTTTGCCTGCGCATAGGCAGGATTTTGATACTTCCTATTGAGATCTCGATCAAAAGTTGGAGATGTGCTAGTAGCATTTGCAACGGTGTGAAGGAAAGGATAGCTTTTCGTGTCAATTCCGCTCTCGGATCCGGGTGCCCAGCCTGCGCCCATACCCGAAGGGGCAGGTTCGCCTAAACCGGGGCGGATTTCCCGGCAACCAAAAATATAAGTAAAGCGACCTCCCCAGCGGATAGATCTAGTTAGCTCATACATTCTCTTCCCGCCGCTACAACAACAAGTGGTAGTAACGCGCTATTCTTTTCCTGAGCGAATTTAGCCGCATACATTCGCAAGAGACAGTGAAGCGACCGCAAGCAGCACTCTTTCTTATGGTCTATTACTGCAATTTGATCCTTTAAGGTCCTCTACAAACTAACGACGGCGGCTTCATCGGGATTTCTTGCAACAGGACGACTTGAGAACTCCCTGCCCTGCGTGCACGCCCGGCTCTATCGGCACCCTCCTGTCGTCATTGATCGCGACCGTGAATAAGTGTCCGGGACCCTTTACATCAGGAGAAGGGACTTGGGTATAACTCATTGACGAAGTATTCTGCCGTCGATGAGAATAGAATTGGCAAAGCTGACTCTGGCGGGGGAGTATTCTGATTGGCCAGAAATACTTCCATAAGGATCGGGTAGTATTACGTCACTACCATTGTCCGATCGAGATTCCTCAGTCCAGTGGTAAGACATAAGAGCGTACATCCTCTCTATATGCGTTGCGGAGAGATACACACGCTACAAGATGTCTTCTGCTACCTATGGTAGCCATAACCCTCCAATGTGGGCTATCCTCAGCGAGAGTGGTCCCCGGCAGACTTAATTGGCCCCTACAAGGGCTTACGCTCCAGTCCCAGTTCCAACTTCCAGCAGATCCATCAGTTGGGATGAATGCTACAAGAGTATGCTCGAATCAGCAAGCAAAGTCAGGACAATACGAGGTCCTCAGGCTCTAAGATTGGGAACCCCGTCCATATGACGGTGACTGTAGCAATGGTCAGCTTGACGACCATATACAGGACGTTACGAACTGGATCGACTTTACGATCGGTGAAACCACTGGACATGTAAGGGAGAGAAGGTTGAGATGGCCTCGATCTACTTGACAGGGCGTACGTATACGCTCGTTTAGCGGAACAATGCACACCGTTCCGTCATATATCGCCTGGTTGCGAGGAGCCTTCAGGGACCATAATGAGCAATCCAGGTTGAGAGACGAGTAGTACGTGTGCGTGCGAGGACGCCCTGTTATGGATTACGCACAAGAACTCGTCTATCTTCCGGTTCGGAAATACTTTTTAATCTCCTCTGCGGACTTTTGCGGTTACATACAAGCCGCAAGATGGATAAACTTAGACCGCAGGTGTTGTTGTAGCGGCGGGAAGAGAATGTATGAGCTAACTAGAACTACTTATATATACTCCGTAAATGAATGTAGTCCAGCATAAGCTAGAGTCCCTGGCGCAGGAAGCGAAGCAAAATCTGCCCCTCGACGGCGCCGCTTTTCTAGAGTGCCCGCCTCGCATTCACCTTCACACCTCACCGCACTCACCCTTCATCACGACCGTCTCAACCACGCGTGTCGCGAACCACCCTTCTAGCCGGCAGCTTAGGGCCATTAAGGAAGAGTACGCCCGGAAATGTCTGTCTCCTCCGAGTGAAGAGACAGCCCATCTCCATTCCCGAGCAGTATCGGGTCCAGTCCACTTTCATTATACACGTGCTCTAGAATCTGGCCTATTCGAGATAAAGGCTTCGTTTAGAATATTTCGACTGAGGCAGAGACTTTCCGATATTGTTCGCTTAACCCAAAGGCCTCGTTGGGCTGAAAATAACTAAGCAGTTTCGCGCTTAGTCATCGCAGCTAAGATCAGTCTGTAATGTGAACAACACAGTTCCCTTCCCCGACGAATTCAATCTTTGCTAGATCTTCTCTCCCTTTGTACGAAAGAACAAAGTCACCGATATCCCTAACTTCTCCGAACGGCCACCATCGCCATCTGAGCACCCGCCATTTCCGGCCCCATATCCACCATAAATGTTGCTTTGTCGAAGAATCTGGCATATGCATTCTTACTCTAGTCTTGGTGTCGATGAAGCTGAAACTGGATGTCTTCGTTCGGGAAACATAGTGATTCATTCGATAGACTGTGGAGTCTGATGAAGAAATGCGTTATTGTTCTAACAAGAGAGCAAGGAGAAAGGGTGCAACTTTGCCAAGCCAAGTGCCTCACGTGACTGGCCAACACATTACACTACAGCATTGATGCCTCCCTTGTGCTGAACTTGCCAAGACTTTAGGGATCCGCGTTTAGTAAAGTTCGGCTAAATAGCCTCCGGAGTAACATTTGGCCGAATCACGTGCCATTTACTCCGACAAAAATTACCCTCAACCGTGAAACAAATTCTGGTGTCCTTGGCGCTAATGTGAAACTTGGTACTCCTTCCTAAGAAGTTCCAATGATATCGTAGAATTATTGCAGCGCCAAAGGCGCTATGCTCTATTGGTCATTAATCGTTGCATTCAGCCTTCGTTTCAATACAGCAACCAAAGAAAGGTGCATCGTATTGGACAAGCAGTTCTGGGAGCAAAAGTACCGTTTTGTTCCTTACGGCGCTTTGCAAATTTATCCCCTGATTTACCTTTGTTAATACTAAAACAAGCATTCCTGGCCCTTCTGCTGAGCGGTTGAACAAGTGGCCAGTGCCTCTTTTTGGGATATAGGGGTAGGAACAGGAGAAGAAGAGGGATCAACCAGGTATGTATATATACAAGCAACCTGGCAGGACCAGCCACCTAAGAGACCCGAAGCAGTCCCAGACATAGACGTCATCTTGTCTCCACCATGGCCGAGGTCGCTACTGTTATCCAGCTTTTGCATTTCAGCGGGCAGGTACTCACCTGCTGCTACGAATATATCGAGAAGGCGAAGAACGCTCCGAAAGAGATCCAGTCCGCGATCGACGAACTCGCCAGCTTGAAGGCTCTTCTAGAAAGGTTGCAGAGTATTGCCGATGATCCAGTTGCCGATCGCTTTGAATTCCTCAAGTCTCTCAACCGCGAGAATGGGCCGTTTCAAGTCTGTTCACACTGCTTGACCGAGCTAGACCTGAAGCTCAAGGCTCTTACCGAAGTCTCAAGCGCTGCAATGCGATTACAGTGGCCTCTTCAGTCAAAAGGCGTCGAGAAAATCCGCAAGACGCTGTCGGATCAGAAAACTATCCTCTACACGGCGCTCACTGGAGACATGGCTGTTCAGGTAGAATCGATCCGTGACAATGTTGCCAAGGCCAGAGCTACAGTTGAAGAAATCCAGGCCGAAGAGCAAAAAAGCCGAATCTTGAGTTGGCTTTCGGGCCCCGATACTGCCGCCAGCCATAACCGCGCAAAGGACCAGAGGGAGCCGGGAACTTGCGAGTGGCTGCTTTGTTCCGAAGACTTCAAGGCCTGGATGGCGAAGGAAAGTCAGATAATGTGGCTCCACGCGTTTCCCGGCGCCGGGAAGACGATCCTGACCTCGGCTGTCATTGAATACCTCCATTCCGTGTCACTGAAAGAAGAGCGCATCATCCTGTCCTACTACTTCGACTTCAGAAATTCTTCGCTGCAGACTTATTCCTCCCTCCTTCGTTCGCTGTTGCGCCAGATCTGTGGCCGAAATATGGTCCCCCAACAGATAGTTTCTCTGTATGAAAAATGTCGGGGGGCCTCTCCAAGTACTGGACAGCTTGCCGATGCCCTCAGACTTATCCTGGAGCAACAGCCCAGAACCTTCATCGTCATTGACGCACTTGACGAGTGCCCGGAGACAGGAGAACCATCGATGAGAGAGGGCGTCTTGGACATGCTCAGGGTCATCAAGAAGTCTGAATTCATATCGGCAAGCACTTTTATCGCTAGCAGGCCCGAAGCGGACATTTCGGCAGCGATGAGGACACTCTGTGACATCGACATCGACATCCAAATTAGCTTCGTGGAGGACGATATTCGACGCTATGTTCGATCTTCCCTGGCCAAATATCCACGCCTCAACGGATTGCCACAAAACATTAAAGACGAGATCGAGCAGAAACTCGTGAAAGACTCCGGAGGAATGTAAGTAAATGACAAAAGCCGATTTTTACGAAAACGATTCAATTCTTTTAACTGCTAACTGTCTCAGGTTTCAATGGATTTCCTGCCAAATCGATGAAATCCGCCATTATCTCAAACCGGCCGCCATCCCAAAAGCGCTCAAGAGTCTCCCTCGCGGCTTGTATGCCACCTATTCTCGCATCCTGGAGAAGGTGCCAGATATATACGAGTCTGAGTTTCGGACGATCCTGATGCTCCTCGCCTTCTCCGACAGGCCGATGACGATTCAGGAAGTCGCTGAAGCCACTGCCGTGAACCTAGAGCAGACATCATTCTTCGAAGTTGACAGGTTTCCAAATGCTTACGACATTTTGGCATTCTGTTCTAGCCTTGTGACTCTAAGCGATGTTGATGCCAGCGGTGATTCTCCTCTGTACAGAGAGGGTCTATATCGATACCGCCCAAGGTCACCAGATGTCCGAATTATTCAATTCGCCCATTCCTCCGTTAAGGAATACCTGCTCTCGGAACGCACCCAGAAATTGATACCGGCACGGTTCCACATCGACGAAGGCCTAAGTCATAGCTGCCTTACGCAGATCGGTTTGATTTATCTGCTGGAATTTAAGCGAGGTGAAAGGGTGACCCCGCGGGATCTAGAGCACTTCCCATTCCTCCCCTACGCTGCACTCCACTGGACTACACATTTGGCCCATGTTCGAGAAGAGGACCGTGGCGCCATTGAAAAACTCCTCCTCCGTCTGTTTGACCCCCATAACAATACTCATCTTCTCAACTTCCTGAATCTCTATGACCCTCGGAGACCGTCGGTCTTTGGAAGGTCCGGCAAGGAACTCCGCTGGGGCCAACCAAGCTACAACGGTCAAGACTTCCAGCCCCCGTTATATTATGCTTCTTACTACGGGATTCTGCCGATTGTGCGATTTCTGCTGGAGAGTCTAGACGAGAACTCCCTACGACAGGACATTCTCAATGCGGCACTAAGAGGCGCTGCGCTGGGTGGCCACGCTGCGATTGTTCAAATATTGCTCAGTAAAGGGGCCGATCCCAAATCGCCCCTCTGTGGGGATCTCCTAAGCGATGCGGTATCTAGCGGCAACATCAATGTCGTTAAAATGTTCGTTGACGCAGGGAGTCCTATATGTACTGCTGACTCGTTTGACGGCGGTGCCCTCCATGCAGCATGTCGGCGAGGATTAACTGAAGCGATTCAGATGTTGATTGATTATGGATTTGACGTTCACGGTGGGTGCATCAGAAGCGGGAGACCGCTCTCCGTTGCCGTCAGGCATGGCGAGCACTCTGCGGTAGAGACGCTTATCCGGAACAATGTCGACGTCAATATTCCATCAGATGGATACTTTAACGCGTTAAATATTGCTTGCGAGCATGCCAGTGTGGAGATTGTCCGCTTGTTGCTTGACAACGGCGCCACCGAATCCCTCAAACGTCCTGGAAGCCAAGCATTGGCCAAAGCCGCAAAGCGAGGGAACACTGAGATCATGCAGCTGCTGCTCGATCACGGTGGCGACATCAATTCTTCGAGCAATGAATCTTACGGAACTCCTTTAAAGGGTGCGATTCAGTCATGGCAACCCAAAGTCCTCGAATATACTTTATCCAAGGGAGCAGACATACACTTCAGGGGCATGACAGAAAGATACCCCGTCGATCTGGCCCTTTTTTCTGGAAACATAGCAGCGGCCGAAAGGCTTCTTGACTTGGGGGCCCAATTTGGAGATAGATCCCTCGAGGAGGCATTGGACTCCCGTAGGAAAGAGTACTTGGTCAAGATCCTGCTTGACAGAGGCGCAAATCCAAACGCCGAACATAAGGAGTACGATAGCCTTAGTTTCGACGACTTGGGGAAGATTGCTGACCGATTTGTGACGAAAACAGGTACGGGAGCGTCCTCCAACTCGCTGTGGCGAAAAGCTCCCCGACCGCCATTCAATGGCTCCTCGACGCTGGTGCTGAGTTGAATGACTTTTGCGGAGGAAAATACGGAACACCATTGCAAGCCGCTGCTCGTGAGCGTGACATCAATGTTGTGCGCCTTCTTCTTGGTCAGGGGGCTCTTGTGAATCCCGAGCGCCTTTGTGGAGAATATGGAGATCCGCTCCGAGCCGCAGCACGGAATAGCGATCTTGACCTCATCCATCTGCTGCTGGATCATGGAGCGTCGTTAACTCGGCAGCACGAGGAATTTGCCACACCCCTACATTGGGTTGCCCAGCAGGGTTTGTTGCATATTGTCCGCCTGTTTGTCGAGAGAGGGGTGAACGTTAACACGTGGGGCGGGAAGTATGGAACGGCTCTACGTGCCGCAGTCGCCAACGAACACGCAGAGGTGGTAAAATTCTTGTTGGACCACGGTGCTTCTTTCACCGAGGAAACCAAGGCTAGCCATACAACTTCGAAAAACGAGGTGGTTGTCGAAAACTATGAATCTGCTCTGGAAGTGGCTGCTGCTACAAACAACACAAACCTCGTTCAGCTTCTCCTTGATCACGGACTGGACTTGAATTCATCAGCGAGATCATGTAGTCGTGCGCTCATGCGTGCGGCAGAAATGCCGGATATCACGATGCTCCAGTACCTCATCGACCAGGGGGCCGATGTCAAACGGCATGGTGGCAGGGCCGTGGCCATGACGCCTTATCGGCATTTTCCTGGCAGACTTGAAAGGATCAAGGTGCTATTGGAACATGGTGCAGACATCAACGGGAGTTCGGAAAGCTCATCGATGCCTTTGGTGACCAGTATCATTGCGGAGGAGTATGCAGTATTGGACTTGCTGCTCGACGGAGGCTGTGACGTTAATGCCTCACGAAAATCTGGTGGTCTGAGCGGGTGTGCATTGAGTGAAGCCATACATCGTGGGGCTACTAACATTGTCGAGAAGCTCCTCGCAAAGGGAGCCGATCCGAACATGAGGGCGGGAGATTGGGGAACACCGTTCATGGTGGCGATCATGCAGGGCGATGAGAAGTTATTCCACCTCCTCTTGGAGCATGGGGCCGAAGTCAACCTGGCGCCTCCTTTTGGATATTATGGGACGCCCCTGCAAACCGCGTTGACGAAGGGGTATTACGGGATTGCCCATGAATTGATCGACAGGGGCGCCGATATTAATGCGCCAGGATGTTACGCATCGCCTCTCACCGCTGCCATTGGGGCTGGCAGGGTGGGACAGATGGCTATGATTGAGCGTCTACTCTCTCTTGGAGCTGATGTGGAGGCAGAAGATCGGCCTCGTCCTGAGGATAGGCAGGGAGACACACACTACACCCCGCTCCAGAAAGCGGTGAGCTGCAGCCGCAGGGACCTCGTTCGATTACTTATTGATAAAGGAGCCGCCATCGATCCGAGCCCTCCGCGAGGGACACTTGGCAGCCCTCTTCAAACAGCAGCACTCCACCAGGACGAGGATATGGTCGAGCTGTTGTTGGATCTTGGTGCTAATGTCAACGCCGTCGGCGGCGACTGGGGCACGGCCATACAGGCTGCCGTGTCCGAAGTAGCCGACAACGTCATCACGTTATTGCTGGACGCCGGGGCAGACGTGACCTTGGAAGGCGGAAGATGGGGGTCACCGCTGCAAGCTTCAGCTCGAATGGGTATCAAGCGCTACATTCAAATGTTCCTAGATCGGGGAGCGCTGATCAACACCAACGTCGGGAAGTACGGCAACCCGTTAGCTGCAGCGTCTAAGAGAGCAAAGATTGGCATTGTCCAGATGCTGCTCGACGCCGGCGCCGACGTTAATCAAGCCGGAGGGAAGTATGGAACGCCGCTGCAGGCCGCCTGCTCCGCTAATAGTGATTCTTCTCAGTCGCACACATCGGCTATCATCGCAATGCTTCTCGATAGGGGGGCCGATGTGAACGCGACAGGCGGGAAGTACGGGACCGCGCTTCAAGCCGCATCGTATCATGACTACAAACGGGTGGAGCAGCTGCTGAATCATGGAGCCGACCCGTGCGCACGAGGCGGAAAGTTCGGCTCGCCATTGAATGCTGCCATAAGGAAGAAGCTTTTCCGCGCCGAGAAAGCCCTGCGAAAGGCCGGGGCCGTGAATGACTCTCTCCAGTATGGGACCGACCACGTCATCTAAATCCAGAGAAATAGCTCTTTATTCTAAGACGAAGGCTTACCACCGAATCGAGACACTTACCGATGTCAATGTGGAGCGGTCCTATTTCTCTTGTGCATCCACAGCAACATGATGGTGGATGAGGGTCTGGACCACCGCTCCTGAGGCGAACGCTGCAGGACCGAAATGTAATCTGTAGTCCGCTAGAATAATAATATGAAATGTTCAATAGGCAGTCGGTAGAGTTTACTCCTCCCATGCGACCAGTTCTCGGTGAAAGAGTTTAAGGAGATCCGCAAGGAGAGCAAGAAGAGCAAGAAGGGGAGCGATAGAGAGCAGCTATCCAGGCCAACCCTCAACGGACAGCCGGCTAGGGCGAGTCTGTGGTGGAAGATGCACGTGCGAACGACGAACTCTCAAACCGGCTCAAAATTGTAGGATGGGATTGATATTCCCCCATTCAGTTCATCCCCGAAAACAACACCTCGAGCAAGGCATAACGTTGCACGGCGACAAAGGCTTCAAGCAGTCGTTATCCCTCTGTTGCCAGCGAGGGCAAATGAGAAGAAGGGACGAATCCCAGAGCCACTGTGGATTCTGCCGGAGAGGAAGCAAAGAACCCTGGCCTCCCAGCGACTAATGTTGGACCGCCAGCGAGCGGTATCAAGAGTCAAGCCAATATAGCCGTTGGGGTTCCCCCCTCACCAATCGATTGGTGGAGAAGGAAATTCTTTCTTCTTTAATGGACAACGGACCTAATTCGACACCAGCCGTTGAACGGGATATCCCAAACGCAAACCAATCACGATCGATCCTTGCACTGGATGCAGGGATTCATCTAACTTCGCGATTACAAGGTATCCGAAGCTCGACTTAGGCCCCGAATCCAGTATCGAATTGGTCATGAAGCAAAGGGTCGTGGGAGAATGTCGTGCGACAAATTCGGATTGACTCCAATATCAGTGAATAAACAACCCATGACAGAATTTTTAGCCTCATAGGGCCCTCCCTATATTGGTCCCTTGAAATATGCCCTATTTAGGTCCCTTTCAACGAGGTCCCATTTCGGTCTCCTTCCGTAACGGGGACCTATGCCTCGACAATGGTGGAAGACATCTTACCGTCGTCTTCCTTTTCTGTTGATTCCACGCTCCCATAGCCGTGAACCGTTTAGGTCGGCATTCTGTGGCTCGATTGTTTCGTCTCGCTCTTGCACATAAAGTTTGAGATGCCGTACGCGACGTTCCAGTTCATCTTCTTCTAACTCAGCTGAAACCCCATGGGCGGAAAGGCTTCGCGAAAGCTTTCACGCCAGTTCGAGTGCAAAGTCCACCGCTGCGAGCAAAGAGCGCCTCAAAGTTGCCATGTAAAAGTGAAGTGTAATTCGTTGCCGCACACTGAGAGAGCAGTTTCCGCTTTGGTTCTTCGTCCTCGAAGTCTCCGCCGGCAGTTTGCGTCCGGTCGTGATGGGTGCAAGTCCGACGCACCTACCAAGTGGGGTCACTGCCGTATGCTACATGATTTGAGAATTCTTGTCAAACTGGGTGCAACTCGAGATGTATTGAATGATCTGTTGTTGTAGGGTATAGCCCAGACTGTACTTGCGCCTGCTACATCCCTGTATTGCAGCCTGCTGTGGCGTACGGCCACGCAGGCAAACATGCCGCTGCCTAAAGTAGCAGCTATGTATTTAAGTCACTCATTTATCCTTAGATAGTCTCAAGTAGGAAAGCCTCCATAGCCCAATGCGCATGCACTCCTGCATTTGTTCTCTCAACATCTGTTCTCTATCTAATTGTTGCGCTCCTGGCGTCTCTTTTATAGACGTAAGAATATCTCGTCATCACGCAGAGCAACCATTAGGAATACCGTTGTCTATGGAAACCATTTACCAGTGTTTCAGTGGTGGAGCCTATGTATGATGACCCCCCTGTTCGACAGCCTTACTCGGGGTTTCCTAGTGGTCACGTGATTATGGTTGAATTGACCAATAATATTGCAGCATGTAATCTCGGAGATTTTCTGACCAATAAAATATGAGTGCCGATGTACGGAATAGTGGCGCCCTTCTGCAGCCTCGCCAGCTACCTACAATAAGACAGCCACAACTTGATAAACATGGTACTGCGCTTAGCGTGGTGTTATCGCCAGCAGTTCTAGAGATAACTTCTGTTCCATAATCCAAACGTTGGCCACGTCTCAAGGACACGCACTATCATAGATTCATAGATCCCCTCCACTCGCCCCCCCCTCTACCTGCACTCAACAAACTTCTCAGCACCATCAATGCCATAAACCTTGAGTAGAATCTGGCGTGACTCGCTGCTCCAGCAAGCAGCCACAAGCCCGGCGGCACTCCTTCGCCCTTCTGCTCTTTCATGAATCCTCGAATATCCCCATTCTCATCCAACCCCCAGAACGGTCCCAATTTCCCTGCTATCTCCTCTCCCAATATCGGCACCACATCCTTACGATAATCCGGCTCATAGCCCGTGGCCAGCACCACCAAATCTGCCTCGATCTTCGAGCCATCACTCAGCACTATCTCCCTCGAATTTGGCGTGAAACGTTCAATGGTGACTCCCGACCTGATCCGTATGTCTCCGTCGACGATGTGCTTCGTGGTGCCGACGTCAATGTAATATCCGCCGAAGTGATTGAGCACGATTTCGTTAGGCGTACTGGTCCGATCTAACCCGAATCCGGCGTGTTCGACTTCGTCAAAATACTCGGGATGAGTGCGCATCCACCGCTCATAGCTCCGCCTCTGGACCTCGGTGCCGATCTTGATGGGCATGGCGTACACAAGCCGATCGGCCGGCTCGATTGGCTTGTCATGCTTATACATGGCGTGCTGGCCCGCGATGTACCAAGGTAGTGGATACAAGGCCGTCTTGTCGCGCTGGAGCATGGTCACGGACGAGAGTGCGTGGTCGTGCATGTCCTGCGCGATGTCGTGAGCAGCGGTGCCGGATCCGACGACCAGGCCGCGCAGGCCACGCCAGCGAGCGCTGTTCTTGAAAGATACCGTGTGCATGAGCGTTCCGGTGAAGAGGTGCTCGTTTGGGTAAGGCGGCGGCCGGCGCGGGTTGGTGAGACCTGCGCCGAGCGCGATGGCCAGGTGTAGCGAATGCAGGGTGAGGTGTTGGTTGTCGCGGGTAAGCGTGACGGTCCAACAGCCGTGGGATTCGTCAAAGCGAGCGGAAATCACCTCCGCAGACGTCCAGATGTTGATGTTGTATTTCTTGACCCAGTCACTGAAGCCACGGGCGACGGTGGGGCCGGGCAGGAAGTCAGAGTCCGAGGGGTCCCATGTGTGGCCGAAGGGAAGGTTGTTGACTTCCCGGATGGTGTGTTGGCGGACGGAGTCGTAGCGGCTTATCCATCGGTAGCCTGGGATAGCGGATCTCTCGAGGACTATGTACGATATGCCCAGGGCTTGGAGGCGGCCCCCTAGGGACAGTCCACATTGGCCTCCACCGACAATGATGACGGCGTAGTCGATGCCTTGACGTGGGAATGTTTGTTTAGGTGCTTTGAGCGGTATGTCGGGGTGGCCATAGCCTGAGTAGTTTTCGAGCACGGTCGACAGCATCCAGATTTTCCAAGAGTTGCCGTTGCTGACCCGGGGTGCCGGAACAAAGGCCAGCGTACCAGAGCAGTTGCCAACGAGGTTGTCGTCGGATATGCGAAAAGTAAAGCCGATACTTAACCAGGATGTGCCTTGCGCTAGACGTGCCACTCGAGGAGTACTGGAAACTTGAAAATCGCGTGGTCGTCGCGCAGCTGTTTGCTGCTTCCACAGATCCAATATCTGAGGTTGGCTGAAGTGCGTCCGGATGTGTGGTGTGAGAGTCATCATATCGTACCAGAGCGCATCTTCCACAAGCCATTCTTCACTGAGGTTCTCGAAAGCTTGTCGAGCCAGCGAGGAGATATGCTGAAGGTCCACATCGTGAGGAATCTGGTCAGGAGGGAGATTGCCCGGGAGATTCTTAATGGGAACACCGGGTCTCCATGGATTGCCTAAAACCTTGTCCATTTCGACAACGTCGCACCGTCGGATTCTGTGGGCGAAGAGGAACGAAGGTGCCGCTAGAGAGTGAGGAGAGACAAGAGGAGTTTATCACGATACAGGAGTTATGCTGTGCAACTTTGAAGAGCATTAGGCGCCCCATGCTGACACTCGGGACTCCATATTTACCATGTATGTACTCACCCCGTGCTTCAAGTTGACCAGCATCCTGATTGTCGAGCGCTTTGCACCCTGTAAAGTCGCAATATGCTGTAAATAGACTGAGGTTTGGTTGATTGCGATCGCCATTTCTGATTTCTAGACTATTCATCTGTCAACCTTCTTATGCAACTTGAATTGAATAAGTACTCTACCTGTTCCAATAGTGCCTGTCATATCTGGGACAAGAGGGGAAAGAAAAGGAGCAGCTGACTGAAGTAGTCGTTGTTATGGTCTATCTGTGTCTTCTTGTTCTGAGAGCTGTGCGGGGTAGCAGGAGTTGGAAGTAAACGAGTGCTCTAGTGGGCAAGTGTTGCGGAATGAGTCGGTCCATTGCGAACGATAGGTCACCAATTGTTCAATACCATCTTTGGCTTATTGACTGAAGTGGTCACTATTTCGCAAGGTAGAGACTTGTAGGGTTTAGTATGCCGGCGTTTTACCATACTAAAGTGTTAAACTGAGTCTGCTAGAAGAATGTGCTCTCCAAGTTGCTAGTATTTATACACGTTTGGTTGACCCCTTTTTTCTCCTATTCCTACTCCTATATCCTACATAGGAGTGATAAACCCTTTCCCAGTACTTGCTCCTATCCAACCGTTCAACACAAAGCTATTCACCAGCTCATCCATTTGTTGAACAGCCAGGACGGACAGGGCAGCGACATGTCTTTTCCTAAACCGTGAAGATATTGACGCCAGTTTAATATGCCTACTCTTGGCGAGCTTTCAAAGAGGAGGCGTGAGCTTGCCTCCGTCGTTGCGATTTCAAACACCACTCTATTCACCTCTCCTCACTCGCTCTCAAGACGCTTCCAGTCCAGAAAGCGTGTCTGCTCTACTTGCATTGTTAGCATCTAGTCTTATCGAGTTTGAAAGCGCAAAGGGCGCCTGTTGGCACATTCACTGCTGGTCTCATAAATATTCCCTCACTACCAGACAGCAATCGTGGGCCGTTTATTAGCCACACTCCTTGGCGTCTCGGCCAGAATCACATATGCAATGTCACACCTCAGCGCCTAGACCAGCTCATTTGTACAGTACACTGATTGGTTGATATTAGATCATCTTGGATGCTTCCGTCTTCGAGTGGGTGCAAGCAGAATCTTCCCAAGTCGTCACAAGTCTACTCGATATCATAATTTGGTTCCGTCATGATGCATAAACTTTATTCTTATTTCAATCTTCCTCGGCTCTGTGTAAGTAACCAACTTACATTCCCAACTCTCACATGGTCTACTAATAGATATAAAGAATGGTGTCAAACTTCTTGTGCAACTTGAATTGAAGGAATGCTCTGGCTCTTCCAATGAGTGCAGGATAGAACCAATCTATATATCTATCTGAACAGTGCCTTTGAGTGTTGTTGCCTGTGTTGCAGCCTAGCAGGCAACCGTCTCAGAGGTCAACAAATGGGAATCTTCGACCTCGGAATTTTCCCTTCGTTGTTTCGTTCCCGGAAAGGAGCCGTACTTCCCGACGACGAACGTGTTAATATTCTCTCCTGCCCACCCCAAGCTTTCGACAATATGGAACGACACTACCCTTGCAACGGATCAATGGTGTTTGGTTACCCGTCCACCGGCGGCATTCTGGTCCGCTCAGCTAGGCCCGTCGAGATATTACATCTCGGGCTCGATCGATTCAAGGACGTAAAGCGATCGCCGAACGCCGACGAGGAAGACGAGTTTTGTAAGCGGCTGGAGCGAATTGGAGCTCAATGGTGGGCGAAGAGAGTCGAAACCGGTTGGCCGAGCTCGAGACAGGGAGTTTGGGTTCTTGAGTACGACCGAGAGGATCGAGCTCATCACGAACTAAGAATGGGAGCGTCACTGCTCAACAATTGCCTTAATATGGATGAGAGGTGCAAGAGTATTGAAGATCTCGGAGGGACTTTCTATTGCGACCCAGCTGATTGTGAGGCTCTGCGCCCGTTGCCCCACTAGGAGAGAATTTCGGGATAAGATACTCGCACATTATTGAGCTTTTGGCCACTGATACGGCGTACGCTGTTTCACGCGCCTTTCTCATAGTCGTCAAGAGTGCCAAGAATTCCTAGTTGGAATATGCTTCAAGTAAAAATATATGTCGCGGCAGGAGGCGAACGGTTGATTTTCGGTATCGACCTAAGGCAGACTCGTAGCGAAATAGGATCGAGGAAATTAATAGTAACTAGATCGGGCGTAACGGTACTCACTTGTCAAACCATCAACAGGTGTGCATTGATTGTTGTTGAATGCTCTTTTGCTCCTGCCACGCTCGGCACGGCTATGATAGCCAATAGCGAGACAAATCAGGCGCTGAGGCCTGTCGACTGTTCAACATCACTTGCGGGCACTAGCTAGGCCGTTAGATGTTTCAGATCCTGAGATAGAAGACTCCCGCCTGCTTCAGGTTTCTTCAAAAACAAACACGCCTTTGCCCGGCCTGAACCCTGCGAGAGTTCCCTGGACGGCCTTCTTGAGAGTATCCACTTCCGTCTTCCATCCCCATCTGCATTCTTGAACCGGAATATCCATAAATCGTCCTTCTCTTGTGAGACGAAGTACGTCATCAACCGTCTGTTTCTTTTGGTCCGGATGCCGGTCACTCCATTTGCTCACCCAGAACCCATTGAAATTGATCTCTTTGAATATTAGCAGCGATGCAGGTAATATCACCGGTTGCTTGCTCATGGCCCCATACGTGACCATTGTCGCCCCGGGGCTCAAGAACTTGGCCAGAGCTGTAGCAGGCTTTCCACCAACACAGTTGAGCCCGACTTTGATTTCTTCCCGACCACCATTCGTCCATTCTTTGATTTGATCCTTGATTTCCCGACCCATCAGCTCTTCCTCGGTGATCACTTGGGTCGCACCAATATCGCGCAAATCCTGGCGGAGTTTCTGCTCTTCTTCTTTGTTCTCCCGACTTCGAATGACGTTGATGCTCTTGAAACCCCATTCCCGGCCTAATTGTATGGCAGCCCGGCCAACGCCGCTGTTGGCACCGTTCTGGATAAACCACTCATCTCCTCGGAAACCCCACTTGGCCGAGTCAAGAAGCATGCGATAGGCGGTACATGGGTTGACAGACACTGTTCCCACTTGCAGAGGAGTCAATCCCTCCTTGTTGTCGATTTTCAACAATTGACTCTCATCCACTGCCATGTGTGTTCGCCATGTCCCCATTCCTGTGCTCTTCATGATCACCCAGTCACCTCGACTTAGGCTCTTGACCCCGGATCCTGTACTGACAACCTCTCCAACTCCTTCGTTTCCGGCTACCACAGAAGCCTCCGAAGTGCCCAGGGCAGTGGTCATCTTAGGCTTTGCGGGATAGACCCCCTGGATCTGATTCACGTCCGCAGGATTGATCGGGGAGACGAGCATGCGAACGACGACACTAGTACCGGCGGCGGGAGATATGGAATGGCCATGTAAGGACAAAACGTCCTCAGGTTCACCATATTTCGAATAGACGAGGGCTTTCGCCTGCGTATAGCCATAGCTGCTGATTGTTCGTCGCCGGTCCATGGAGGTATTGGAGGGTCTCAGGCAGGTCCGACAGATAGGTCGACTCCGGGAGAATATTGTCCGTAAAGCTGTTCTGAGGGTCTGCTGGGAGTATAAAGGCGTGGCCATGTTGATTTTTCTTTGGCCCAAGAGCCGGTGTTGAGAGGTGAACTATCTACAGGAGGTTGCGCCCATGCGAAAGCATCTTTCTCCACATGCCAAACACCTCCCCGATGTCATATCGATGTCATGCAGCTTCTGTTCCGGGACACCTGCCATGTTTGGAATTGCGCAATCATATGATTCAAGACTCGGCCCGATCACGTGAAAGCTTTTCTAACCAACGGAATGGACGGTGCAGCCCTTAAAAAGTAGCCAATGCGTTAGCGCATCTGACTGTCAATCAGGGTTGTCTGTTCGATCTTGACCGGAGGAGATACGATTTTACTTTTGGTCATTTTGGGGGTATGTGACCAATATGTGTGAGATATGGTTACGATAGCGATTGAGCCCTGCGTTTTCAAGGTTAGGCTGCCAAGCCCACAAAATGGTGCGTTTGAGAGGAAATCTTCCGCCGGATTTAGCGGCTAGTGCCGCCGCTCTTGGAGAGATTCTTCCCTCGATGCCAAGAACGCTCACCTGGTTTTCTCCATTCCAGATTGACATCGTCCCCGTCTGAGGGAACCTTCAACGCCCTGAGAGAGCGGATGCCTTGACTATACAACCCCGACCATGGCGCCTCGAGACGTATAAGGAGGGCCCCTCCGGATTTATCACGCTACAACAGAGAGTACCTTCTCTAGCCTTCACGAAATAACCGTCTCTACCTAAGTGTGTGTTTAAACCGGCCACCGAAAGTCTTGTCTCTCTCCTTCCATGGGAGGTCCCCAGGCTGCTGCTCCCGCTGAACTTAACCAAGCCCTGGAGTTTCGGAATCACCCAACACAACGAATGTTGACGAGGCCCGGGTTTTGACAACCGCCTCCAACGTTGCCGTGGCTGCCGAAGAACCAACATTGTCTGAGAACCTGCTCTGGACGTGGGCATGTTAGGACCACAGTTTGGAAATGATATCGCCGTTCATCCAGAGCAAGCGCCTGAAATGCAAAGACTGATTTTCTCGGGAGCCCGAAATGAGACCCCCCAGCCTAAAGCAAACACTTTTGGGGTCCGATGAGCTCTTTAGGAGCCCAAACAGGCACATACCAGGAACCTAATGGCCTCCGGTTAGATTTTGCAGATGACTACCTTAAAAGGCTCCTCCTTGGCATTTTCGGAGTCCCACGAATGCCCACAATCGACAACCTCGTCTCCCTTCTTGCTGCAAAAGATTTCTCAAACCTAGATCACACCCATCCCTAGGTCAAATTGCGTAGGTCACATCTTTACCGGGGGTGATATCTCGCCTAGGTCCCCATCTAACCCAGGTCACATTCCTAACTAGGTCAAATCACTTAGGTGGTCTACGCTTCGGGTTCCTGGTGTCTTGAAGAAAGGGGCAGACGAGGCTTTCTGTGGGGGGAAGCGGCAGTGGAACCCAGCTTCGAGTTTTTGTTGTCTATCTACGCGTGAGGTCGGATAAGAGATTGCGGGATTACCTCGGCCGATCCCTTGCCGCGTGATCTCGCGACAGTCAGGCCAACCTCTAGAGACATCGGAACTAAGCGGGGGGCTCTATCCCTGCGCAAAATAGCACTACCATAGCGCTCTTTATTTGGCGTCTGTGCCGTTGCTCTGCCTGTCCCGGTGCCTGTGCCTATCAGACCAGCAATTAATCCAACAAAAACCTTCCCACAGCGAATTCCACCTGTGTTAGGACTACCAAGTGGAAAAGTGGTGCTTTGCCATCGAAATCCAGCAGATCCACGATGTGGCGCTATGCAAACCTCTCAATATCGTACGCCCAAAAACTCCGTTAGCCGGTGCAAGCCCTGCAAGTCACCTTCAATAGTCTCCGCTAGATCCTCGTCAACCCAACCGTCGGTCGAGCTTGCCGCCGAAATCGACAAGCCACGCATGGGCTGCGTTGTCGATCAGAACATTTTCTGGTTTCACATCTCCCCAGAAACCGTGGGACATGGGGGCGACGGGGGTTATCTGGCTCCCATTTCTCGGATATTTGCTGGAGGACATTTATTTCTCGTTTGAGCTGGTCTCCGTTACCGTGAGTTGCTGATTTGAAGACACATATTTCACCCTTTTTGGAGACTTTGAGGACTTTCATAAAGAGATGCTCAATGAACTCTATTTCAACCGAAGGAGTGAGAGCTGGGACAGATCGAGGTACGAAGTCCAACGCTAAGCGTACAGGTTCGTGCATGCTGGCGAACACGGAGATGTCGTCTATTCCGACGGCTTGCAGCTTTCCTTTCACGGTGCGTAATTGCAGATAGAAAGTCGCTGGGTGCAGAAAGTCCTCAAGAGACAGTTGCTTGCTGTTCGGCTTCTGGACTGATGCGGCAAGCGTATGCATGCAGGTCGAGATCGCAAGTTCTCTGACATCCTCCATGCACTGATCGAACACCATTTCATCAGGATCATTCTCGGCCTCCTCGATCTTCGGAAACGAGTCTGCCACAACATCGCCATCATCTCGGCTCTCTGGTTTCGTCATGACGAGGATAAATCGCTGGTGATCATAATACAGGACTATTCGACAATTATCTGGTCCTGTAAACACCTCGCCTGCTTCAAATCCATCGATTTCGACTTCTGGAGGGCCCATATCTGGGGGATTGAAGAAAAATCTCTGCGAAACTGCAATGAGCCTTGGTTCAAGAGAGTCTTATTCCACAGAATCACAATATACTCTAGGTGCTCCAAAAGACATGTCCGGCGTCCTGCTCGTCTGGTTCTTATGCGAAGACCTTGCGGAAACTTGGCGCTTCTCCTCGTCACCACACTGGATCGAGACACCTACAAATGTACAAAGTCCATTTTCACATAACCCGAGGAGCCCGAAAATCGGCTGTAAATAATTCTAGCTTAATGAAACGCATTCAGCTTCGAGTCTAGGAGCTTAGCACTTTTGTCGCGCTAGCTCAAACGCCCGCTTTCTGGCTAGCATGAGCTCGCGAATATAATAGCCACGTTCCTCTACCGCCAACTTCATACCTCGGCATAGCGCTGTAACGCTACCCGCATAAGGTACTAGGACGTGAGACTTCCATGAGGGATGCGCAGGGTAGACATATGACACTGAAACACCGCGACAGTTCAGGGGACTCAAATCCATCCCGGCTGGTGAGATGGTGGACCCGGTGAGCTTGCGAACGGAAATCGGTAAGATGCATGGTTTAGCCCTCTGCGACTCTGAAACCATCGAGCATGACAAGCGTAACACGCAAAAGTCCGGCCCAAACAGCCGTCTTTCTCCAATTTTTTTCCAATAGATGTTTGACGGATGCCAGCAAATTCCATTCTCAACCTTGCCGCGTTGACGTGCAAAGATGGGCCTCAAGCAGCTGGCGAACAAGGCGACCTCTCGTTGGATGGAGGGGTAGGTAATAGGCCGGCGTTCACAGGTGGAATTCGGTCCCGTGGGTCCTTAGCTCGTTGTGCTTGCCCTTGTGGTCTCTTCACGGGACTTTAAGCTCTAAAGCCTAGGAAGGGGTATAGCGCGCTAGAGGGGGGTCCCTCGCAAAGCAAGTAGTGGTCATTTCCATTATCAGAGTCGCGGGACGAGGAATCCATGTCGTAACCACGAATTGAGACTGTCATGGCCACACCAAAGAATCCCACGACCCTTCCTTCGCGCGGGAGAACCTCACGTTCAGAAGCTGGAAGAAGCGGGTCCAGTGTGATCGGTGCAGCGAGGTAGACTCAGGCCACCGTTCCAGTGGAAATTCTGGACGGATTCAAAGGCGGACTGCTCGGCATAAGACGTATCTGTCACGGGCAGCCAGGCAGATGCTCCGCTGACCGCGCATAAGGTATTTTCTTGATTGGGTGCGTCCAGAGCAGGCCACGACTACCGAGCATGCTTGCATCCCAGGAGAGTTGGACTGCCCTTCCACCGGCACCCTAGCGTCGTGCCTGATTGTATGCACATCAATCTCCCAAGTTGGTCCCTGGTCCGGCTGAATCAAAGACCTCCGAACCCGCGACCTTCAAGTGGGAGCTATGGCCTCATACGGTAGCGACCGAGCCATGTGTGCGACCAAGTCATTGAAGCGACCCAACCAGAAATGAGAGAATCAGAGGCCGCCGTGCAGTGCTAGCATTCGATTGCCAAACCATCGACGTCACGGGACACCGCAGAGGCTGCACATCCTCCAATGGCATGATTCCTTGGATGATGAAAAGACTGGGACAATCCTGAGGTCATCATGCAGACACGCTTGCAAGGCATGAGATGGTGGGTTCTCTCTGGTGAGCCTACGGCTGGCACATGGTCTTGACAAAAAGCGACCACTTACGCCAGTCCATGAGACTGCAGGAGTTTCGGAATCGGTAGGCAGAAATTGAGGGCTTTGGAGGGCCCAGAATGGCTCGGCTGGAGATTGAGAGCGGGGGAGAGAATCGGTGGTTGGAGGAGTGATCAGGCTGTGTAGACGGGAGCCACGAATGGAGAAGGAGCTGGTGGAAAATCGGGGACCTGGAGCGGCGTTATGCGATGCACGACGAGGGTATGGAGCTCAGGGCAACCAGGAGAACGAAGAAGGAAGAAGGTTGAAGGAGAAGGTCGAGGGATAGGGGGGAGAGAGCTCTTATAGCGAGGTCAAAAGCGGCGGAGTGCCAAGCCTCCTTCCATGCCTGAAAGGAGCAACTTTATAAACGTTATTACCGGATCTCTCAAATAGCAAACACATGGCGGAAACACGAATCCAAGTCCTGTCTGATCTTCATTTGGAGACCCCGGCCACTTACGACATTTTCACAATCCCCCCTCATTCCCCAACTCTGGCGCTGCTCGGAGATATTGGATACGTGCAAGACGCAGGATTCTTCGAATTTCTCCAGCAACAATTGTCCAATTTCCGTCTCGTCCTCTTCGTTCTTGGTAACCATGAACCATACCATAGCAACTGGACCGATGTCAAGACTAGATTAGGCCGCTTCAGCGATGATATGCAGAAGTGGTTCCTGGAGGGCAAGATAGCGGGCGAGTTCATCGTTCTCGATCAAACGCGTTACGACATATCCCCCTCCGTCACTATTCTAGGCTGCACACTCTTCTCGGGAATCACGTCAGAACAAACCCAAAGCGTCAGCTACGGGTTGAATGACTTCTACCTGATTGAAGATTGGTCGGTCGACTTACATTGCCGTGCCCATTATGCGGACTTAAGCTGGCTCAATGAACAAGTGGAATTAATCTCACGTCTTGAACCAGCTCGGAAAATTATCATTCTTACACATCATAGTCCTTGTACGAACGAGGAAACAATCGATCCCAAGCACAAAGGGAGTTCAATCTCGTCCGGATTCGCGACAGATCTCTCGAGAGAACCCTGCTGGACGAATCAAAATGTCACCGTTTGGGCGTTTGGGCACACCCATTTCAATTGTGACTTTCAAGATGCCAAAACTGGAAAAAGAGTTGTCTCGAACCAGCGTGGTTACTATTTCGCTCAGGCAGCTGGGTTTGACTCGCAAAAGGTTGTCACTGTATGAGTATAACATCACAAACACTAGCTTTCCGCCGTCGTCTGATCTTGCTTGGAAGTCTCAAGGGTCAACATAGTACCTTGTGACTTCAACACTTCCTCAAGCTCATCGAGAGCCACTTTGCGGTTTACGTCTCCGGTTTTGAGAGAATAGCAAAAAAGGCCTGAAATGCGATTCGAGATAATCTTCTCGGTGTATATCTGATCCGTCCACATATCTCATCATGTAAGTTACTAGAGCCATTCAAGCGTGGTGATAGTGGTGAAACCGATCTCGTATACGTAAGTTGGATGACAGCCTCTGTATAACGGGGAGCTGTTGGTATTCGTACGGGATCGAGGTGAAGGGGAAAGGGGGCCTGTCCCGAGTCCGAGGCAAGGATGATATCTCCATTCGATGCCTCCACATTTAAACATGATAAGCTCCAAAGGAGTTCCGACTTCTTAAACAAAGAGATGGTGAGATCTTGATTGATATGTAGGTGATATATTGGAGGCAGGAAGAGATGAAAGTCGCCTCTGAATCTGCATTCCGACATTTGTTTGCAGTCCAAAAATCCTGCTGAGAGAAGGGCTTCGAAGCCGGTTAATATTAGCAAATAAAGGAAGTTCCGTAAATTCGTCAGACCACATCAAATTGGTCACTCTCAAACTAATATCCATGACCGATGGGGACTCCGTAGATCGTTAATAGGTAATTTCCCCCACAAAACATTGGGAGTGTAGGCGTTGTCAAGGATCTGTGCAATCATGGCAACAAGCACATTATCCAGACACTTACCGGTGGCCTTCAAGGTGTTCATTTCGCGGAGGGCAGGGTCAAAAAAAGGGAGTAGATTTTGAATTCATGGGTCTCGCTGCATGACGTCGTTCTGAAGATTGATAATATTTGCAAACGGTGGGCGGAGGTCAAAGGTGTCATGGAGGAATGGGCTTCTTGAGGGGGCTCCAAAACGGGCTATGTCGAGGATGCAGGGGAGAGGCAAGGCAGATTTTAAAGGAGCCGGGAGAGAATCGAAGGGGCCCGATGCAGCAGGAGGATTCAGGCGATGTCGTGGCGGCGAGAAAGAAAAACGGTTAGAAAAAAGGAAGAGGCGCGGCGGGACCAAGCCTGTAACCATGCCCAAAGATGTAAGCCGCCTAAACCGAAGGCAGTGCAACTTGAATGGGTGCTCTAGATCTCCCAAAGAGTGTAGGATAGAGCCCATCTATATACCTATTTACACAGTATATGTCAACGCTGTTGCCTATCAATGGTGATACAGTGAGTGTTACAGAATGAGTCGGTCTGTTGCGAACGATAGGTCACAAATTGTTCAATAGTAGATTTCCTTCTCAAAGACATTACACAACAATTAGAGGACAATAGCACCTTACTTGAAATACCAATAGATGTTTTATATGGCAAATTCGTCTCAGGCAAGCAACCGCGTCTTTTCTCTACCATGGCGGGCTTTCTTCCCGACGATATCAATTTCTCTGTTGTTGACATGAGCAGGCTCGAATATTTATGTGTCCGAAATGAATTGCAGCCTCTCCAAAAAGAATCTCGTTCCTGATGAAAAGTATATCCCCTGGATTGTCTCTCGTTTCTCAACAGCGGGCGTCCATGTCGAACAATACTTTCGAATAGGAGCTTCTGAGACAAGATGCAACGCCACGATTTCCCCAGAAGCCCCCACCGAGGATGAAGATACGACATCATTTCTGCTTCCGCTCTACCTCCAACTTCTTCATCGCCACCAGTCTCTCTGCGACCCTTTTCGTCGCATATTCATTATCTTCTATGACCTGCCGTTTGGCATCCGGCCACGGTTTCCGCCTTCCCATGTCGAATAGCCGCCAAATTGAGGGAGAAAACAGTCCACTGACGCAAAGTTTGTAGAACTTTGGGTCACTCCACCAGAACCGCCACGACTTCCAGCTAAAAGTACTAAAATGCTGGAATATACCTGTACCGGCAGTCTCGTCGAGCCACCTCATTTGATCCGGTAAAGGGACAAAGACGGGGTAAAAGTTGGAGTCGAATTTCGACCTGGCGAGGACACTCTCGCGCCAGGCGAGCTGGTCCCGATGCCAGTGTTTCATCTTGTCGAGAGATGGAAGCTGGGATCTGCCAAGCCAGATTTGTGACACGGCCATGGCGCTCAGTTCAAATTGGACGAATCCGGGGAACGCAAAACCACATTGGCCTAAAAAGGCAAGGGAGTTGCGGACGGCTGGATCGGGGTGGAGTGGGAAGATGTTTCGGTAGAGTGACGGTGGGCCACCGACGACGGGATATGGATTGTACTCCTTTGGAACGAACGGCACAGAGAAGTCGTACCCCGTGCAGTAAATGATCGTGTCGACGTCGTCGAGAACCCGGCCGTCAGTCAGCTGGATAGATTTCGGCCCAACGATCTGTTTGACTGGGGAGATCGGCGTGGCAAACCCGTTTTCGAGGAAAGGATAGATGGCATCGGCGACCATCGGTGACGTCGTGGCAATCGATGGAGCGGGCGATAAGTTCCATTCTTCGGGTTGATGGGCAAAAGCCTTCTTGGACATGCGGGCGAGAATCTTGTCGATGAGCCAGTTGAACAAGTTCGGAAACCAGGTCGTCATGAATACTTGGAAAAACAAGAAGGACAGATTCTGGCCTTGGTCGAGCGCACGGCCATCTTCCGTAAAACGAGGAACCTAAGACGACAGAGTCAGCCCGGACGCAAATCCGGAAGATTTCTAGACTGACCAAGACAATCCCATTTTTGTGGGCAATGTACACTTTTTGGGCGTGTTGAGACAGTTCCACCGTCAAATCCTGGGCGGTGGCGTGAAGCCCTATCAGGAGGACATTCTGATCTTTGAAGCGAGAAGGGTGAGGGAACTCGATGGAATGCAGGATCGGGCCTTGGAACTTTTCAACATTTTGCAATTTGGGTATTCTCGGTGTAACGAAAGAGCCGCTGCATGTCAGGAGTTTGTCAAAGTATTCGATTCGACTCGATCCATCGTGCACGACTTCCAGAGCCCATTTTCCATCAACTCGAGAGAATGTGTTCACCGTGGTGTTCAGGTGAATATGAGGCCGCAGTTTGAAATGATCGCAATAGCTCTCCATGTACTGGTGGATTTGTTTAGCGGAGGGATAGTCGTCGACGCCTTCAGGAAAGGGAAAATCAGAAATGGCGCTTCGAAATCGACTGCTGTTGAAGACTGTGGTCTCTGTGACTGAAATGGAAGAGTCCGTTGACGACTTCCAAAGTCCTCCGACATAACCTCGTTTCTCGAAGCCAGTCACATCAAACCCATCCTCCATCATGTTCTTCATCGCCATCAGACCCAGAGGGCCAGCTCCTACTACAGCCACTCGCCCTAAGTTGACTCCTTTTGTTTTTTCCCCAATCTCCATCTTGGTCTTGCGCAATGTAGATATCGACCAATGGCCAGCGCCCCTTTACCTGGGAAACGGTTATCACTCCTATGCAGGATATAGGGTATGAATAGGAGTAGAAAAGGGGTCAACCAAGCATGTATATATACTAGCAATCTGGCAGGACCAGTTGCCAAGGGGACAGAGCATTCAATACATCTCAGTTTGCACCCCCAGTTTGACAGTAGATCTCTCTCTCACCGTCATCGTCGGAAACATATTTATACTCGGAGACAATTGACGTGGAATACGATCAGGCCTCCCAAATAGCAAATCGATCTCGGTATGACAGGGTGACTCTTGCATAGCTTCCAAAGTGAGCAAGCCCAAAGATGTCCTGGGGCAACCTTTTACATCAATACAAACATGGCAACCCTTCGAATCGCCCGCAAGGAGTATGCTCGCTTTTATGCCTCCTCAAAGCGTGATTAGTCGATGTTATATGGACTACTTCGCTGTCATTTAGATCATTGCCTAGCTTTGGCACCTTTAATCCATCACGATTCCACTATGAAGCGGTCTAACATTAGGCTAAAGCATACAGAAACCTTGGACTCAATTCAGGCGGCAGACGCCAGACCAACAATTGGGCGCCTGAGTGACCGTCATGGCTAGTACATACAGCTCAAGAATTGCATCTGGGCATAGGGTTACTCCAGGTGGCCTCTACAGGAGGCCCTATTGTACGAACACGTTCTGCCATTGGTTGAAATGACCAGCCGGGGTTGTCAATCTCGAAGCTGCTGATGCAAGGGCTTTGCCGCTGCATTGTCATACCCCATCTGTTTAGGAATATTTCTACTAGCAATACCAATTACCAAATATGGTACTAGTTGCATTGCTGCACCTCATTTCTGTCGGCTACATCGTCGAGACAAAGGCTATATTTTCCTCCTAGCATCTAGAGGGAAGTTTTGAGTTTGTCCAAGGCTGATGTTGACGTTTCCGGATCCTTGCGGGTCAGGTTTCATGTCAGCAAGACTCGTCAACCTGAAGGTTTTCCAGAAAGACCAGATTCATTTACAAATACATAACTTATGACGTCCAAGTGGGTATCGTCTTGCAAAGATTTTAACTTCTTATCCTGCGGTGTCTTGAGTGGATTGCCCAAGGTCGAGTTGCTGACCATCTTCATGACAGTTTTCAAAGCCTTGGGTTGGTGCATTATGGAAGCATCGGGCCCCTCAAAGATCCCGGAATTCAAAGTTGACCATATGAATCCCGCCCTTCTCGAATTTTCTTCCCCTTGGAGCCGGTCCGCTCACGTGCTTATCTTCCGTCCCCACTTTGAGACCGTCTCTTGCTCCAGTGAGAGGAAGACTCTTGGAATGGCTTTCTGTTCGGCTATCCTCGGTCACCCGGGCTCATTCGCCCCTACCCAGCAAGCGTCGGCGATAATGTCCAAGGACTGTCCGTGTATGCTCAAGGATCGCTCATTGAAATCGTGGAAGAAGGCTGTGTACCATCTCAACCTTGCCCTTGAATATCAAGTCATCCATACACTCTACGTGAATCAAATATTGGAAAATATAGGCAAGAACAGTTCCATGTCATGAAAAGATATGAAATAAGGCCTGGAATTTATGCCAACGTTCTGTTTACCTCACGATTCTGGGTTGCCGTTGGTAAAAGTCCGAAATTTCCTTCGTTAGCGCCTCCCTCACGATCGAACCACACAATTTCGCATACGGATTAGTCTTGACCGCCAGTTGTCGAGCAGTTTCATTTCCATATCGACCACCAAGAGCCAGTTCTCGGCTCGCAGTTCCTTCCAGCTCGTCTCTTGATAACCCTCTCAGACTAGGCACGTCATCCAGCATCTTGCGGGATGTTTCCGACTTGCTGGCCAAAAGGAGCAAGTAACCTCTGTGGGTGTGTGCTGAGGCAAGGACCTTCGCATCGAGTCTTGAAACGGCGTCGATCTCCTTGCTCGTTGTTGCAAGTGAAACAGCTTGAGCGATATCGTGCAAGATGTCTGCGACCGCCTTCGAGTTTGTTTTCAGCTTTTCGTCGTCGATTAACATTCGGCGTGCTTGTGCCCGGTTGTTCCAAGCAGATGCATATGAAGAATCATCGTTGATGATATTTGTCAATTCGGAAAGGGCTTTTTCAATGTGACTCGGTTCCGGTGCCTCTTGGTTGATCAATCTCAGCGCCTGTCGTTCTCGCTCTTGCAGCAGCTCTACCCTTCTTGTATCTGAGCTTTTTGGCAGATGATTGTTGACGTGGATGACTCCCGATAGGGATGACTCTGGATCGAAAAGGGCCGCCAAGACAGAGGTATCATTCTTGCTCAACTTAGAGTTCTCCATGCCACGGAAAATTGACGGGTCGCTGCGATCTCAACCACGATTGCGACAAGTTACAAGAACAGATCAGAAGAATTTCAGATAACACAAACCGCACGGCAGTAGAGATGACCCGGGTCTTAAGCATCTGGGGCCTTGACAAGACTGCCGGAAAGCGTCAAGCCTATCTCCAAACCCGGAAGCTCATATGACCCGGACCGTCCGCTTATCACCGTGTGCACGCAAACAAGCGAGCATACCCGCGTTCGGATAGTAACATCCAGTCTCTCGCATTCATATCCCTCACATCCCGATCGACTCTGAACTGATTCCTGTATCTCTTCCAAGTCTTGCATCTTCTTGAATTCATAATCTGCTGAAAGGCGGCCGAAATCCCTCCTATTTCCACTGGCTACACTATAAGACAACATCTAATTCTCGGATCGTCAAACCACAATGGCGCCGATTGCAATTGCTCCTACTCCCGTCCCGAGTCACGATCTGGCCAGTACGTTCCATAACAGTTCTCCGGAAGCACAAAAACTTCCAATGACGGCCAAGAAGATGGGAAGCTATCGAGGTTATGACAACGTCCACTGGTATGTGGGCAATGCAAAGCAAGCGGCCGCTTTCTACATTTCTCGAATGGGATTTGAGAGAATAGCGTACCGTGGACTCGAGACTGGCTCCAGAGTGCTTGCTTCTCATGTCGTCCGCAACGGAGAGGTCACCTTTGTCCTTACCTCGCCACTGCAGAGTCCAGATTCCACGGTTGGATCACTCTCCGATGAGGACAGGAGCCAGCTTACCGAGATTCATGACCATCTGAAGGCTCATGGTGACGCCGTCCGTGATGTTGCTTTTGAGGTTGATGATGTCGCTGCCGTGTACGACGCAGCCGTCGGAAGAGGTGCCCACTCAGTCCAGCCACCAAAGACTGTAAGCGACGAATTTGGGGCGGTTCAATATGCTCAGATACGGACGTACGGTGACACGATTCACACTCTGATTGAGCGTCATCAGTACAAAGGGGCCTTCATGCCTGGGTTTCGAGCTGTCACTGAAGTTGAGAGAACCGCAAAGTATCTTCCTCGGGTCGATTTGGAAGTGATCGATCATTGTGTTGGTGAGTTATGTGCCTGCCTTTCCCGTGAGACCTAAACCAACGATGCCTAGGGAATCAGGATTGGGATGAAATGGAGGCTGCCTGTGAATACTATGAAAAAGCACTTGGATTTCACCGGTTCTGGTCGGTCGACGACAAGGACATCTGCACAGACTATTCTGCATTGAAGTCGATCGTTATGGCTAGTCCCGACGAATGCATCAAGATGCCGATCAATGAACCAGCCAAGGGCCTCAAAAAATCACAGATCGAAGAATACGTTGATTTCTATAACGGCGCAGGAGTCCAACATATCGCCTTGAGAACCAACGACATCATTACCACGGTGACCAATCTTCGGGAGCGAGGGATCGAGTTCATCAGCGTACCGGACACCTACTACGAGTCAATGTCAAAGAGACTTGAAAGCGCCGGGATGAAGTTAAACGAAGACTTTGCGGCCCTCAAGGACCTCGGAATCCTCATCGACTTCGACGAGGGAGGATATCTGTTGCAATTGTTCACGAAGCATCTTATGGACAGACCCACCGTTTTCATTGAGATCATTCAACGGAATAACTTTTCGGGGTTCGGTGCTGGGAACTTCAAGTCGCTCTTTGAGGCCATTGAGAGGGAACAAATGGCTCGAGGAAATCTTTAGTATCGTCCGTCTCGAGTTTACTAGTGTCATACGTATAGCGTATCGTGTGGGAGAAAATCGCCTGTTTCCCTCAGCCTCTCATTCTTCTGCAAAGCTCTCCTTAATTCTCAACAAATTTCCCATTGATATTTCCAGGCCGGTCAAGGACATCAATCGTCCATCTAACATGATGAAACCTCGTATTAAGATTTCAACGGAAGAAGGAACCTCCGAGGAAGGCTGCATATGAGAGGCACCAAACAATCGGGCAGATTGTTCCTGTTTCGTATTCTTGCTAAACTAACGAGCACAGAGTCAACAGGATGAGTACATCCTGAGGTCTCGGGGAAAAGGAAAAACCTTTTTCCGCGGAGTCGACATTCAAAGTACCTCTTTCACTTCTCCGCTCCTCATTCCTCTTTATAAACTCGTAGCATTCGCACAAGGAAGGGCATGGAGCATGGGCAACAATTCTCCACTGCGGTCTAGAGCACGACAAGCATGTGACCCCTGCAGGTACGTCTTTCGGGCCCCGCGAAATGCATAGTGCTTCAGCTGAAAGGGGACATCTAGACGAAAGAAAACAAAATGCCCGGGCGAGAAACCTGTCTGTTCTTTCTGCAGCCGCCTCAATCAAAGATGCGCATATGCGAAGAGTCCTGATGCACCTGACCGCCGGATTCAGAATGAATCTCGTATTGGCATGTCCAAGGTTCGCCGGCGCTACCAATGTAATCCACCCAGGATATATGGCTGACATGGTTGATAGGAAAGAGATGGCTCTGGAGACCGTGTGCGCAGGCTGGAGGCACGAGTCGATCAGATCATGCAAGCTGTCAAGTGTGTGCTCCGCTCCGAGGATTGAATCAAGAGCTGAGATTGCAGTACGCTGGTCGGAAACCGGGTAGGACAGCTGTCCTCCAGGAGCACTCCGATTTCGTCGGTTCCTTTACGAGATATCTCTCCCAGCCCGCCTCGACCTCAGTTTGACGAAGATAACAGCCCACGTACTGAAGGATCTACTTTTGATGCATTTCGAAGGTTTGCTTAGAGCCAAATGTTCGATGGTCCACTCACACCATTCAGGCCGATTCCCCCTTCCGACGTACTCCAATCATTAGCGAACGTCTACATCGAGAGGATAGCCGATCAGCCTTTGCCGCTTTTCGACGTCAAGACATTACCATTCCGAGTGACGAGGTTCTCACCGGGCTTGTTGAGGAGCTTTCTGGCCTTGACAGTCAGATTTTCGAACCATGACTTTTTCAAAGATGTCAAATCCACGGCCGTGGATTTCTACAAAGCCTCTTCTCGCACAGCACTGTTCACTCAGATTGCCGAGCCTACAGGGTCTCTGGATGTGCTTCAATCTTTTTGTCTCCTTTGCCTTGGCGAGATTGCAGGTCAGTTACACTTTTTAGGACGAAGAATGGAGCTGATCAAACGAGTGAAGACGGGAAAATGGTGAGAGCCTGGATGGCGCTTGGAATTGCAGCAAGAATGGCCATATGTACGAATCTGTCCATATCCGAGACCGGAAAATCCAAGACCAGGAACTCGGACATGTCCCGATGCATCTGGAGTCTGTTCATTCTCGATCGGATCCACGGCAGCAGCTTCCGCACCGTGCCAGCTATCACAGACGAAGACATTCTCCCTGAAATGCCCCAATGTGCCGCGCAGCCAAGGAAGCTTCCATTGACTGAGATCGAGGATCTTCGCATTCTAGAAGAAAAGGACGATGGCATCAATTCCTATTCTTTGCAACTGTTATCAACCTGGGGTCGCCTGATGTCGTACCTGAAGACCATCAGACAAGGCAATCTCGAAGATGCCTGGAGAGCCAACTCAACCTATCAGCAGATCAAGTCGCAAATGTCTCAATTCGAGACGGTCTTTCCGGAAGCCCATCGATTCAGAAATGCCAGGTTCCATGAAAGAACATTTTCAGATTTGGCTCAAGATCGCGCTTACTGGGCTCCTTGGGTCTTCACGCAATGTATCTACCATACGATCCATTGCACGTTGAATCATCCTTTTCTACACGTTGTCAGAATCCACGGACGCCAAAGACTACGTTCCCCGTCATTCCTTCAACATGCAATAGACCAGACGGTCTTGCATTCGGCGTGGGTCGTTCGCATCGTGGAGCTGTGCGAGGAGAGGAATTTCGTCGTATTTGACCCTTTTGTCGGCCACCTTGCTGCCATGATTGCCACGGCGCAATTTTTCCTTCAGTTCTCAAAGGATACGTCTTTGGCGGCAAGGGCGTCGAGAGATTTCGAACGCCTTCATCGGTTCGTTGAAAATATGGCGAATGAACATACTCACCTTGCACATACTGTAAGATCTGCTATAATCCTTTATACCTGCCTGTACATCTGACATTGCCATAGGTTACGAAACTCTCCAAGCTGGCCCAATTCGCCGCGCCGTGCATAGAAGCGACACAAATAATCCAGCCACCCAAGGTCGAGACTTCGCTGCTGTGGGACTTGCTGGACTATGCGGTCTCCTCGTCACCAATGGTCAGCAGTGGCGGAACGTCCGAGGACATCGAATTGAACGTCAACACTCAATTCCTCTCGCCCGTGAATCAAGATACGCCTCGTCCGACCGAGGCCGTGGCTCTTCCACCGTGTGGCACGGCAGAAGGACCGGCGGAGAACTTCTGGGAAGATACTTCTTTCCAATTTGACATGGCAGACTTTTCGAATCTGCCGGACATGTCTACCTGGTCAATGCAACGAGAGGTCTGGTTCAGCGGTCACCTTTAAGAAAACTTCCGCGGCATCTTTTTGATGGTCTAGCCGTTCACGTGAGCGGCTCTGGGATATGCGTTACTCGGCCTCAACTTTTTATCTCAATGGATCCGAAGCAATCCCTGATCTCGACACCGGGAATGCCAGACAAGCCATGTACCATTTACGTTGTTGAGTACTGGGCACTTTCCAGGCAAACATATTGGGTTGACATTAATACCGTTTAAGCGGGAGTTGACCGAAATGGAAGTAGATGATCTTGGTCTGAGGTGAATCCCCTGAAGCGGAGGGAATGCCCTATACTCAAAACGACATATCCATTGTCCGCACGCTTTGACACTACAGCCTTGCGTCGTATAATTCATCCTTTATAACATTTAAAACTCGCCAGGGAAGCCACATAAAGCCAATTCAGCCACATCGGGTACGGTTCAATTTCTCAGCGCCCTCAGCCTGTCTCCCAGGCCCTCCTCAAGTTTCGCTCTCTCCGCCGATTCTGCCGTCGGTAGCTCATGCTCCGGCACCTTCTGCTGCATTTCCTGGGACAACTCGACACCCGCCTCATCCGCGACCCGATTCATCAAAGCGTCGACCTCCCCTTGGCCTTCGACGCCCACTTGCTGGCTCTCTACTCCTCCAGCCACACCCTCATAGTAGCCTGAAACCACGTCGAGATCCTCGAATTGTGACTCGAATTTCTCCATCACTGCTCCGATTTTCTCCAAATCCATGCTCTTGAGTGCCGCGTCCATGCCCTTTACTGTCTGTGCCATCGATCCTGTCACTGTCCGCATGGTGATGGCTGTCTGCACACGCGCGGCGACGGCATCGATCCGTGCTGCGAGCGTGAGGAGTTGAATTCTCTGCTGGGAATTGCGAACCGAGTTGGTAGCGTAGAGACGGGCGATTTGTGGTTGAGGAGGGGTTTGGGTGAGGGCTTTCTTCAGTTTGGCCTGTTCGGTGCGGGCATCTCGGTCGGCTTTTGCGGCTTGTCGGTTTAGTTGTTTAGAGGTGAACTGGGAAGAGGGGAAAGTTAGCAGATGTTTTTTTGCGGGTTGAGAATGGTTTGGTAGAGGAATAGCCGTTGGGAATGCGCCGACTCTTGTGGGATCAACGAGCAGCAAGTACCTTGAGGTTAAAAAGAGCCTTCTCAAGGCCCGACATCTTGATCGGAAGGGTAGAAAATACCCTTGGAACTCAAATCCAGTCACGCTCGTGTATAGAAAGGCCGAGGATTGATGGAAGATGAGCTGGATCTGTCGATAAGACCGGTATCAGATTATGGAAAAAGTACTGGAGGAGTAGGAGGCATCCAAGCAGAGGTGTGGTCTTCTAAAATGACAGTGGCGGTTTATCTTCACTTGATCTTAGCAGGCTGCGGGACGAGATGACGCTGGAGGTGAATGAACGAACACGTGCTCCGTTTGCTCCGCCGTATCATTTGCTCAGCCTCTCGAGTCACGTGCTGGATGGTAGCCGTACGAATGCGGCCTCCAATGCCCTCTGTCAGATGCTTCCAACTCCTGGACCTCAGTACCAACAAACCCCCAAGCGACAATTCCATGTCCCTGTTTCTCCATTACACACGCCTCTGCATCTCGCACCTTTAATCCATCTTCCGGCCGTCCCATCGCCTTCGAATCGCCTACCTTCGGCGTGCGAATCATTTCCTCCGACAAACCCTGTTCCCGATCCTATTCTGACTGCGCTTACTCCAACCCCCAATTAGCCAACCATGGCGCAAACAATCCTCGACATATTCTACTCTCTTTCCAACTGCCTCTGCTGCTTTCCGGACACTCCGCAATTAAAGATCAACAACAGAAGCTTTCGCATGTTACGACTCCTGGGCGAAGTATGAATCCCCCAACGTAAGGCGCATTCTAACGTCCGACAACTAACCTACTTCCCTCAACAGGGCGGCTTCTCCTATGTGTACTTAGTTCAAGATACCTCCGATTCAGCATTGTATGCGCTGAAAAAAATCCGCTGCCCCTTCGGACAGGAATCCGTATCACAAGCCCTAAAAGAGGTGGAAGCATACTCTCTGTTTGCTCCGCATCCGAATATAATTCACAGTATTGATCATGCTGTCCAAAATGACTCGACTACGAAAGTGTCCGGCATCGGGGCGGAGACTGGCTCTGCAAGCAAGACGGTCTACATTTTACTGCCTTACTACCGACGAGGAAATTTACAAGATATGATTAATGCGAATCTGGTCAACCATACTCGGTTCGGGGAGAGACGGCTGATGCAACTGATGCTCGGAGTATGCAAAGGCCTCAAAGCCATGCATCAATATCGAGTTCGCAATACTCCATCCCGGTCCGCGGCGAAAGCGATCCGTGACGAAGCTGCAAACGAAGACGCCGACGCCGCTCGTCGGAAAGCTCGCGCCCAGAAACGATCCATGACCGCCGAACAGACACATCAAGAGGAACTCGCCGAGGAGCAAGAACAACCCCTGATGCCTGATGGCGAAGTGACTCGTGCCCAAGAAGGAAAACAGCCAGGAGAAAGCAGCGCCTATGCTCACCGAGATATCAAGCCGGGGAACATCATGATCGACGACGACGGACGTACACCCATCTTAATGGACCTGGGAAGTCTTGCCCCGAGCCCTACACCCATCACGAGCCGAAGTCTTGCGATTGCCGTCCAGGACACGGCCGCCGAACACTCCACCATGCCATACCGGGCTCCCGAATTATTCGACGTCAAGACCGGTAGCGTAATTGATACAAAAGTGGACATTTGGTCCCTAGGCTGCACGATGTATGCGTGCCTGGTGGGTAAATCACCGTTTGAAGCCCGCTCTGACGAGACGGGTGGTTCACTCTCAATATGCGTTCTGGGTGGCGACTGGCGGTGGCCTGGCGAAGGCAATGCCACCAAAGGGAAGGACAAAATGCATCCACCTCAGAGATCCGGATCTCAATCTCAGTCAGCGAATGGCGACGTCAACGTCTCCGCAGGAAAGCCTGCCACCGGAGAGAGGATCTATCCGCATCCAGCGGCCAGGGAGGTTGTGAGACGCTGTCTCCAGGTGGAACCATCGGAACGTCCTGACGTGGACGAACTGATGACCCTCGTCGATACGTGTCTCTCTGAGTTACCGGAAGATGATGAGGGAGGGGATGTTGAGGCAGATGGAGACCTGTAGGTACAGGCGTGCATGCTGGGCAAAGCGAAAGGCAAAGCAATGCTTGAGTGATTTCACACAGCATTGGATAGGCTGGCCATATGTGGATGGCGGTTCACTGGGACCAAACGGTTTCTAATCAAAGCTGAAGCTGAAGCCGAAGCAGCAGGAACTGAAAACGCCATGCGCAACCGCGTGGAGTATCCTCAAAATATCCAGTCCCATACACCCCTCCACACATCCATTTTCCTATGGCCTCTGCGGCCAATAGCCCATTACGACGAGCCCCCCAACCCCCAAAACTTTCATTTCTCTTCAACGTACTTATACATACACCTTAATCGTCATACTCTAAATTAAGCTGGCGATGAGAGCGGACGTCCGAATAGTCGGAGCAAAGGCGTCATGTGAGGTTAGCGGATAGCAGAATGGCTTTTTCGCACGTTAGGAAAAAGGGAATCAATATCATAACAAATGCCATCCAAATATAGGACTGAGGACCCCGTTGGTCTTTGGATATAGGCAGGTATGCCAGTGAACGAGACCCCATGCCTACATAGGACTTTCCCTTGGGCCAACTACAACCTTGTCAAGTCGACAATCTCTGCCGATTGCAAGTAGAAAAGATCGACTTCAACAGCTCTGCTATGAGCTGATCTCTTTCTTTCTAAGATGGCTAGACTTGCATTTTCCGATGGCCCAAAAAAATATAAGATAGTTGAAATGAAGCCGGGACTTTGGGAAGGAACCGGGTGGTCAAGGATGTTTTACACAAGCGATATTTCATTGGCTGGGCATCCACGTCGAACGATGTCTTCAGTCTCATTGAATTCAGTTTTGTTCACCGACTCCAGAAGCTTGACTTTGGATGTCGCCTGTTCATTTTGGTCGCTAGGGCCAGTGGCTAGTGCATTGTGCAGCCGGGGGGTGTTTGGAGGCTATTGGCTAGGAGAGCGCTGCCACAGAAGCATTCGAGGCTGTGTTCGAGACCGGCGAGGGGGAGGGATTAAGGGCAAGATATTCAGACACGCGGTGATGATGAGGGGGAAGTTTGTCGTTGAGGAAGACGTGAGGCGGCCTGAGGAAAGTTCAGGGGTGCAACCAATATAGATATTACAAAGACAGTGGATGAAGGAGTGGGTGAAGAGGTGGGGGATATTGTTGTTGTTGAAGTTGTTCCAGTGATGGCAGGGGTTGGTGGCGGGGGTTGCGACTGTGGCACGAGTCGGGATTGATGCTGATGATGAAGTAGAAGATAAGGAGGAGGCCGAAGATGTGAGAGATGAGGTAGAGAAGATGCTAGTGCTTGAGGCGGATTGTGATAAAAAGCTCGTAGTGAAGCCGATGCTGATTGTCGCGATGGTCGACGTTGACCCGATCATCGATGTGCTACTTGTGTTTGGTACGGATGGTGTCGACCGTGAGCGCGACGGGGTGTTAGTGCCCTCATACCATTTCGCTAAAGAAAGTCCTCAGCCTTGGGCGTGACAAGGCTAAGGATCAGGACTACGGTCCGGCAATGTGAACTTCACCGTAAAGCAATCTGCTTTTCCGTATTTTTGGTGCACCACTTCAACAACAAATCATTTGCAGCAACGCAATATGCAGACTTGATCGGAACGCAGTCCGATCATTGCATTCATCCGCGTCGATGCTGCATGGTCCTTCTCAACTGAAACATATTTGCGTAATATGTCAGCGATCCAGTATCACGCTGAGACTGCGGCGCAACCTCCTCACCCTGGCGATTGAATCTTCCTGTGATGACACTTGCGTGTCAATCTTGTCAAAAACAAATGGGCCACAGCTTGCAAGAGCGAGGCAGTACTTCAATGAGAAGATCACTGTCAAGAACACCGGCAAAGGCGGCATCTTCCCACCCGAAGCTCTGGACAGCCACCAAACCAATCTCTCGAACCTGATCGAGAAGTCTCTACCCTTTCTCCCAGACGCGGACGAAGCTCTCCCCGAGTCCAGCAGAGTCTGGCTTCGAGATGGAACAATCAAACAAAAGCCCGATTTGATATCGGTGACTCGAGGGCCAGGAATGTCTAGCAACCTGGGCGTTGGATTAAGCACAGCCAAAGGGCTCGCGACGGCATGGCAAATCCCCATGGTCGGAGTGCACCATATGCAAGCACATGCTTTGACACCGAGACTTGTTGATGCTCTGAAAAGAGACCAATATGGCACGTCGAACCCTCTCAACCCCGCGTTTCCATTCTTGACCCTGTTGATCAGCGGCGGTCATACAATGCTCCTCTACTCGAAAGGGCTGGTGGAACATTCGGTCTTAGCTACAACAACAGATACAGCCATTGGGGATGAGTTGGACAAGTGCGGACGTGTCATATTACCAAAAGACCTGCAACGAGGGACACCAGACACTGCATACGGGAAATATCTCTCTGAGTATGCTTTTCAGACACCCGAAGAGTTCACCATGTGGAATGTGCCTCGGAGTCGCCAGGAAGAATGCAACAAGCCTCTCAACAGGTTTGGGTGGACGATCAGAACGCCTTTGGCCCTGACAAGAGACCTGGCCTTTAGTTTCTCAGGCATTGGGAGCCAGGTTCAGGAGCTCGTGCGGCGTAATGGGAAAAGTTTGATGGACGAGGAGGAGCGGATACTATTGGCTCGGGCAACTCTGGGTGCCGCGTTCGAGCATCTGGGCTCGCGAACGATCATTGCATTGGAGCAGCTCCGAGGTCATGGAGTGGAGATTCCTACCCTCGTGGTGAGTGGAGGAGTGGCAGCCAATACTTTTTTACGGTATTATCTACGCCAAATGCTCGATCTGCGATCATTTGAGCAAGTGAGGTTGGTTTTCCCGCCGGTCGAGCTCTGCACGGACAATGCGGCAATGATCGGGTGGGCTGGCATGGAGATGTTCCAAGCTGGATATAGAACAGATCTCGGGTGCGACCCCAGGAGAAAATGGAGCATGGATTCTCAAAGCGACGAGGGAGGCATTTTGGGGATTGGAGGGTGGATTTTTGGCAGATGATCCAAATGTAGCATAATGACCACAAGTTCCAATGCAGGCACAGAGCTCCAGACGCTCCTCCCATGCATGATCTTCATATCTTCACGTGAGTGCAACACATAAATGGCCCGTCCTCCAAGTCCCAAGCCACGATCATCTGCGGGGATCATGTGAACACCGTGCAGTGATTGGGCAGCAGCCCGGACAGGAGGCTGACTGTGGAAGAATGACGGAAGCTGATTGGCTACGAATACGAGGCAAGGCATTTTTGGCTTCCACGGCTTACCGAGCACAGCCATGACTCAATCCACCAAACAGGAAAAGCCTCACCCGCAGCAGCAGAGGCATCCTGAGGAACGAGCAGCCGAACGTGGGTCAAACGAACGGTCGGTCTTTGGGATCCGCCTATCAAGTGGCTGTGGGTAGTGCAAAAAGATGTCAAGCTTTTGCACGGAACGCCAATAGGCGATTCCGGATTCAGAAAATATCGCGACGCGACAGGACTTGGGAGTTCCGTGGACCACTGAAATTTCAACAGACGGGGCAGTCATCGTGGATTTGTCTTGTGAATTCGCCACTCTGGCATTTTTCGACTGATTGAGATCCACTCCTCCGTGAACAAGACTCAGAAGGATGTGACGGAAGCATGGGAAATAGTTGACCGGTGTATGCAAGGTTGGTCTTGGTAGAAACTCTGCGGTTGGCTGATAGTCGATTGCAAGAAACTTCAGGCGTTCCATGTTCCCATGACGCATCTCGGGCGAAATGGCACGGGGCCTGTTTTCTAACATGTTTGAAGCGATTCAGCGTCAGCATATGGAAAGAAGATGGACTTGTCCTGAAACCATTTTGGTATTCTCGCTGCAGCGATCAGGATATCGGACCAAAAATGATCTTCGAGTTTGGAACGGGGGGTCTTTGACCCGGGAGCCGCGGCACGTGACCAGGACACCATAAGGCCTAGTCTGGATGGGGCATAGGACAGGCGCTTTGTAAGGCTTGAGTTTTCTTGCGTTTCCACCTCCTCGTGGGGTCTTGTATTATTTGGTAAGCAGTAGTCTGAGGCCTTGGGAATGTGTCAACAGCGCCGGACTGGGAATCTTTTGTCGGTCTTTTGCAGGATTGGGGGCAATGGGTGCTGCAGGATGAATCCTCTACGCGAAGAGTCTCATCATGCAGCGTCAGGGGTGAGGTCTCCTTTGGATGCCAAAAACAAGAAATAGACACCTGAGAACGGTGGTGGTACTGTAGCAGCACGGGAGTCCGAAGAGTTACGGCCGATGGCAGAAGGGTAAAGACCGAGAGAGCCAGGGGATGAGAGATACCCATCTACTACCGGTGTGGGTATCTTTGGGGATCTCTTTTTTTTTTCAACACCCCGTACATACAGACACATATTATAGTACCACTTGCTTTGCACCGCCCGCGCCATAACCGGGAGGGAAGCGCAGAGAAAGCCAAAAGACCGACTGGTACAGCGCAGGGCGTCGCGCATCCCTGTCCGCCTAACACCTCCCGGGACAAGTGCCTTGGCAGAAATAGGCACCAGGTTGACACAAGTGCCCATCATCAGCACCGCGACTCACCCAAATCACCATTCACTCTTTCGACTCATTCTTCCTCCTCTTCCCACCACCATCTTCAATCCTCGACCTTACACGGTCACGACCACTTCTCCTTCCGGACTGCTCGCCTCCTCCAGACAATTGTACGCCTGGGTTGTCGCCACGCTGGCCTCAGGTGTATCTCGTCCATCCGTATCCTCATCCTGCTCTATCTCAACTTCAACCTCACCTCTACCCGCAACCCACTTCAAATTGTGTTACACCTCTGTTCACTCGCCTACCGAACAACTGTGCACTCCTCGAAACAGCCCACCCTATCACCTTCTGTCCGCGGGGTATATACTTTCCGACCCACTGGCACTGCCCGGAGATCCTACTCAGCACGTTCCCCCGGGCTACAGTTTCCCCTTCGACCACCGTTCATGATATCTTGTGGAATATCATCCTGCGCCCGATACCAAGCGAACCTTTCAGGACTGCAATAAACTCCACGGGCTGCATTAGCACGGCGTTCTCGAACGGAATTCCTCAATACCAGACCATAACAGGTATCAGCACGATAATTTGTGAGTAAAAGTCGAACTTCGCTTCATAAAATCTTTAAAGTCTGTTCGGTTCATATCCATTGGCACGGGTGAGTCATAAGCCACTGGAAACTGCCCAAAATCAACCAATAGGCCGCATGCTAAAGTCTAAGCTAGCACCTTGCGTGTCATCTGCAACTTTCCCCTGGCTTGTGTGAGACTCTCATATACCAACCATGTCTTCCTCTTCTATGCCACCTCCTCCTACTCCCTTTGCTCACCGTCGAACCCCTCGACTCATCACCAAGAACCTATCTCTGTCACCACCCGCTTCGCCGGCGTCATCAGAATGTCTTCTTCGTAGGATGTCCAAGGGCGCCACGTTCCACTACTCATCCTCGCCGTCCACGGTCGATGATCCAGTCCTGAGCATTCCTCACCTGACTCGTCGATCCCCAACATGCTCTCAGTCCACTCTCACTAGCTGGCTGTCGGAGAAAGAGGACGTCGCCAAGTCCATCGCCGATTTCGAGCAAACATTCTCCGGCGCACGTGGGAAGAAGTCCTCCAGTCGCCGAACTTCCGCCCAGAACTTTGAGCAGCAAGTGAAGGCTTGTCGCGGTTCGCTCCCGTCGGATGAAGGATTGGGATCATCGATCAGTCCGGCCAGTGACAAGGGTCTCGCCAAGTCATTCGAAAGAGCTTTGGATTTGTTGTCGAACAGAGATAGCGGGCTGGGTACTTCCGTTAGTGACTCAGTCGAGAAGGTTGTGGGAGACACCTCCGAAGAAGACGGTCTTGTCAAAGACTTGATTCAAGGTTGGATTGCCCGCTGCGTCTTGATGTGTGAAGACATTGTTAACCATCCCACCACAGAAGCTGACTCGCCAGAATCGACATCTCGCCGCGCCAGGCCACGAGAAGGTCACCCCTCATCTAGGACTTCCACCACCGCTATCACACGAAGCATCGCCCCTCCAACTTCCCGGACGGCTGCTCGTCATCCTCCTCTGAGCCCCTGGGCCCGAAACAAGATCAAGGAATATATCATCACCCCCATCCTCCGGGAGGATCGATTTGAGATCCTTCATCCTCTTGTTACTGCCCTCGGTTGCAAGGCCAACAAGGCCATCCGATGCTTGCGTGATCTCGAACAGAGCCTAATCTTCCAGCCATTGGTAAGCACCTTCGCGTCCCAACGTCTACCAGAGTCTGACATCCTGCGCCAGACACTTGCCATCTCACGGCCACTCTACCGGGTCTTTGGTGAATTTACGGTTCAGCTCGTCGTTGATACTTACCAACATCTCCCGGAATCGGATCAACGACGTGCCGCTGATCGTCCTTACGACAACGGATACTTCCTTGATCTCGTCCAACAGGTCAATCGACTAGCTTCTCATATCGGTTCCTCCAATCGCGCTCAGCAGGCCGGTCCTGCTGAAGACGACGAAATGGCCTACTCTATCGACGACGAGGTCACCCTTGAGGGTGGTCTCGGTGAGACCGGCAATGAAGCTGAACTCGTTCGCTGGAAGAACGGCAAAGGAATTTCCCTCCGAACTGGCCTGCCTTATGTCCCCACACCGGGCATTAAGCGATCCAGCAGCGACGCTTTGGACGAAGACGTCGCCAGATCCATGGCCCGAAGGAAGAAGGGCTATATTCCCGAGATCGTCGAGATGAAATGCCACGACAAGTCATGCGACAAGATATTCACCAGAAAATGCGATTTGGCCAAGCACGAGAAGACTCATTCTCGTCCCTTCAAATGTCCCGAGGAGAGCTGCAAATATCACGAACTGGGTCTTCCCACCGAGAAGGAGCGTGAACGTCACTACAACGACAAGCACGCGAAAGACCCTCTCTTCTACAAGTGTGAATTCTGCGAGTTCCGAACCAAGCGTGAGAGCAATTGCAAACAGCACCAGGAGAAGAAGCACGGCTGGCATTACGAGCGCGCCAAGGGCAAGGACAAGGCGACTTCCACCACCAAGATGACACCGGCCCAGACTCCTCGCACTCCAAGCATGGACTACTCTCCAAGTCCTGCCGTTTCCATCAGAACCTGGGACGACGGAAGCTCCATCGCAGGCAGCATCGCCGGGAGCGCTTCTATGACACCTTTCGAGCAGCCACTGAACAACTTCGATAACTATCAGTCCGCTCCGGTCACTTACTCGAACCCGATCTTCCCTCGTACGACTCCATCCGTGTCGTACAATCAGACGGACGATTTCGACTTCAATGCCACTCCATTCAACCAGAACTATCAACCTGCTCAGGCATACATTTCTCCTACCAACACCACTCCCATCACCCCTCACAACATGATGTCCACGCCGATCACACCGGCTTATAGCAACATCACGGAGCCATCTCCTTACGACAATTCGATGGATATTACCATGGATTGCAATCCTCCAACCACTTGGAATTCTGGCCTGCCCACTCCGGGTTCCTTCCTTCAACCTCATTCTCGCAACCCCTCCATCTCCGACCAATCTCCTATGATAGCTGTCCCATCTGGGCAATCTTTCGGTGATGCCCCTCTCCTGGTCCAGGAGCCGGACTTCCCTTCAGGGGATTTCTCATTATTTGGAGGCGAAGGTAGCAATGCCTTTTCGAACCCAGCTGCTGCCACGGCAACTCTGTTCCCTGGTGGGCCTGAGATATTTGCTTCACTTGACAATGATCCAATGCTTGATCCCGCCTGGAATGACAGCGACTTTATTGACTACGAATGAACCACTAGAAAGCATTAGATTGGCAACAAGAATTCTTTCAGGATTGACATTTTTTACGCGGATTGGGAATTGAAAATTGCACCACCCTGCCGCCATGTACATTTGAGCGTGTTTTGCGGGTTTTTGTCTTTTATTTTCATTTGCACTACTCCACCCGTCTTCAGTCACCAAAAAAAAAAAAAAAAAAAAAAAAGATGGAGGTGTCGAGAATCAGAGAGAAGGGAGGATTGATGAATGAAAACTTTTATGACGAAGTGATGAATATTTTTGATTGTCCTCTCAATTCTTGAGTGTGTGCAAGGAAGACCGAGGAGAACAGCTTGACACTATAGGAGACGAAGGGAGATGAGATTCCCCCCCCTTTTTTTTTGGGACACCAAATCAAGGGGACACTGCGAGTTGATTTTCTAGGTGACTGGAAAGGATGTAATTACGTTGACGGGACATGGAGAAGAGGATCACTCATCTAGCATGTCTGCTCGTCGTTGTCCTCTTTATCAGTATCAATTGCTGTCGGCTACAAGGGTCTGTTCTATCGGGTACTGTGGTAAAGATACAAATCAAATCATCTCTTCACAATCATATAACACTCCACCTTTTCCTCTTGCTGATCGCCCTGCTGAGAGAGAATGGTCATTGACTCATCCCGTTGCTGTTGCTCTCACACCTCCTTACCTTCTCATCAACGTAGCCCATATGCAGGTGGTCTGATTGATGACTGTCCTCAGCCTGACTGCGACAATGACTCCGACAAGATCGGACTGTTTTGTTGAGCTCATTAGTTATCCAGATCCGTAGATGTCTATGACTCACCGTTGCGGTGCTGTGCCGTGATCCCGGTCCTGGTTTCCTCCACTGTACATTCCATCCGTTTCCTCCTCTCTCTTCACATCCGACTTCCTCTTGCCAGTCAGTCTATCCTATGATCAATGATCCATGGCGATATCGGTGAGCAGTGTCCAGAAAGAACAGAGTTGGATTTAGATCAAACAGGCGAAACCCAGAGGCGGATAGAGAGTTTACGAAGGTCTACTACGAAGCTAGAGGCAGTCCAGTTCGACATATAGTTTAGTGCTCGCAGGAGAGCATTCCTAGTGGTCAAATGGTAGAAAAATAACGGCTCGGGTCCTATTATTATTATTATTATTATTATTATTATTATTATTATTATTATTATTATTATTATTATTCGTGGTATGCAAACTTCTCAAAGGCAAAGATCTCAAAGCGCTGTCGACATGAACTTGTAAACGTCTCATCTAATTTAAGAGCACATGGAAGAATGTTGTCCTCGTGTAGAGGCGATGCCAAGGACCGGGGCTAGAATCTCTTGCTGCCCTCCAGTCCCCCACGCACGCCGAGCGTTCATTGGTTGCCATTGGCTCATCAGCATTGAATAACCTTTACGTAACGTCAGCCTTGCAATAGTATGTTTGAGTTTGGATTCGCGAATGAGAGATGCTCCCATGAAGCGAAAATTTATATGTAAGGCTCAGCCTTGGTGAAGGGGAAGGGACAAAGGACGCAGCCTTCAGAAAGCATCAAAGTTATGTCGTGTAGAAAAGCGTATAGAAGAGAAAGCTGGGGTGAGAGGCGTAGAGTACTGTGGGCAGGATTGAATTTCTGGTGGACTACAGCCCTTATTTTCATTCTACTAACAGGAACCAAGGTATGCCCGGTCGGTGTACCCAACTGTATTCACGTTCTGCCCTCGCCAGGATCACTTGCCAGAGCTCGCTGGGGGATTAAATTACAAGGTTAAGGTGGAGACGGACCAGGGGGAAGGTACCGCACGTTGGGACGACATGGAAGAATTCCCGGGTCGAGAAAAAGCAATTCCAAGGCTGACGAGACAGAGGCGGAGGTTGTGGACTTTTTATTTTGAGCGTCAATCCGCCCCAGGCCATCCCATGTTGCATTGCGTGACGCTTGTGCGCCCCATATTGCTCCAGCAATCTAGAATAGAGGCTGAGTCGCGCCCTTTCTTTGCTTCTGGTGTGCTTACCCTTGCCCTTGAACAAGAACTGGGCCTTGTAGGTCGTCGTTTCACGTGTTCCAATATCACGGAATCGAATGCGTATATCGTACCCCGAACACAATCCACCACCCATGGGTTGTTCAAAGGTCGTCGCCGTTGCAGAACGAAGAGAACATCTCCATCGGACCAATATCCAAATCACGTAACAGATCACGAAACAGGTCACGCTCGCCTTTACTCGAACCTTCTCATCGCATACCGATCCAATTCGACTTCTACTCGGCTCCTAAGATTTTCATACCACTCTATTCCTTTGAATCCGTGGTCTTCTTTTCGAACTCTCCACCCTTTACGTCCTAATCTCTCGATTCTCTCTTTTTTTGTTTTGACTTGGGGATCTTCGTTGTCCCCCAGGCCACAACCCCGGCCATGCTGCTGTGTCTCTGTAAACTTGGATTTTGACGCAGAAGCGACGTGTTCGAATGACCAATAACTCGCAAGGCGAGTCTTGGAGAGTGTCTTGGCTGCAGCATGCTCGCCCCGTGCTTTCCGCACACGACACATTTCCTCATCCAGGTAAGTGATGTGCTTGCGAAATTGGGTCCGGAAATCCACCAGTGACGTATTGTATGTGGTTACACCGACCGAGGAGAGGTAGCCTTCTAGATGCTCATTGTGGAGACTCGGACTGAATGCGTCACGGACGAGCTTGAAGCGTGGGGTTCCTGGTGACATTGAAAATGTCTCGGTGTCTGCGTGGGATGTCCAGGGTAGCGGTTGTAACAGTGGAGACGGAGGAAAAGGCAGAAAGCCTTCAGATTTGGCAATGAGGGTTTGAACAGCAGTCTGGCGCATAGGGGAAGGAATCTGGACGAGTCGGGCACCTTGAATTTTGAAGCTTGGTTTATGATTAAATGGCAGGGGAGGAAGTTGACGAAGAGTGGGACTGCTGTCCGAAGACTCTGTATCCAGGCAAAGCTGCTCCGTCCCGCCCGGCATACGATCCCCAAGAGATTGTCCGCTCACTCGAAAGGGTGTCCCTCCATCAGAGAGCGTTTGAGCCGTCAGCTGAGTGGTTCGGGCTCGTTTGGGCTTTCGGCTGAATAAAGGGGATGGGACGAGTTCTTCCGCCAGGACATGTGTGGAGCTTAGGCTTTGAATGAGTCGCGATTTGTGCGTCGTGGGCGTACATGGTGTTGTTGTGGAATAGTTGCATTTTGAGCTTTCCTTTTGCGCCATGTGGGTTCGAGGTGTGAACGTCGCTTGCAGATTTTCTGCCAGGGGCTCGTCAGAATCGACAGCGGTACAAGACTCCGAGATGGCGTTTTCGGTCGAGTAGATGCTTCCGCTTGAGATTGACTGTGCAATTTCTGCAGGGCGCAGGCTTGGGGAAGCCACATCTCCGACTTCTGCCGGCATCCGTTGTACGCATGGAGTCGCAAATACCAGGGACAGAGGAGAGTGGTCTGGTTGTTCGTACCGTCCTCCTTCCGCGGACACATATGGCAATGGTAGACTCTGTAGGGCCAAAATGAAACTCTCCTTGGCTGAACCTAGAAACTGGAGCTTTTTGCTCGAAAAGTCATGTGCCATCAGACCGATGGATTCGTAGCAGATAGCATGGTAGAACCAGAGAAAAGCCTGATGGAGCGGGTGAATCTGGTAAGACGATCAGCTTCTTCCATATCCTGGTGACCGCCAAGTAGCTTGAGAATGGCCCTACATCTGACTTTTGCAGTTGTTCGCACAATCCGATGCACTGCTTGAATCGACGATCGAGATAGAGGCTCTGAACCTTGACAAGCTCATCTTTGTAAGAGGAGATTCTTCGACCTGGGCCACGAATATGCTTGATATGTACTGGCGTCGGGACCATACTGATGACTGGCGAAACTGATAAGTCGAAGTGAAAATAAGAGCATAAATGCGACGGTGGAGTAGGCAGGAGTTTTCTGTCCGTGTCTGGAATACTGCTACACTCGCACTTCTGGTCAGAGCCAGGCTCCTTCACCTGCTTGTCGCGAGCCAAGTGCGTACGTACATCTTATCGACAGTGAATGTCAGGATCGTCACACATCCTCGAAATGTCCGATTTTGGTTGAGAGGTCACATCGAAGTCGTCTATATTGATATCACTGAACGTCAGGCGTGGGCAATATGAGTCCATCATCAACCATATCTTCGATTTGCGATTTCGCCCAGTCACCGCCTCTTCCCCAGTCGTGTTCAGCAGTAGCGAAAATTGGATTCTTTCCAGCCAGCAAAGCCTGAGAGACGACAGCCCTGAGCTGAGAAACGGCCTTTTGCTCATTGTCTTGGTACAGCTTAGTGGCATTGCGGTAGAAGATGTCCGCATTCTTCAGTAGTTGGGTCGCATTTCCCATTGATGGTTGGTACGATACTGGGGGCTGACCTAGTTGATATTGCAAAAGTGAGCAATTCCCACGAATAAAGTGAGTTTCAGCGATGTCCTCGGGGACCGGACCCGAGATCTTAGAAGCGGCGGCCATATTGGCTATCGCTGCAGATAAAGCATTCCATCTTTGAGATGCCAGAGACACAGCATTGGACGAATCATCGTCCGCAAGAGCAGCATTGAATGACATAAGACTATTCGCGTTAGCGACCAAGGCGGCAAAGTTCTTCTCCAGGTCCAGTTCGGGAACCCGAAATGCTTCGTCTCGTTCTCGCTTATAGGTGTTCGGGTTTATGGACCCCAACCGGTAACCTGCTTCAAGCAAAGCCGAGACAAAAATGGCCCGTGTTAATACGACTTCCTGAATTCTCTCTGCTTCTGCATCTTCGAGAAGAACTGGCAACTTGGTGTTGATCAATGTTGAAGAAAATTCTTCGATCCAACCCAGGCTCGATGACGGAGCTGAGGCGGTTGAAGATCCCAAAACACTACAGAGGGTTGTCAGAGTTGCAAGCGCGGCTAGGATAGTCTCAATAAGAGTGTCCTTTGTCACTGGTTCGACAATTGAAACCCATTGATCTTCAGTGTCGCTCGCTGAAGGGTGATGGTTCTCATCAGACTTCGTAGGTACAGGTTCGGAAGGCTCTGAGTTCAAGTTGGCTGAGGCTATCTGAGCGGCCGCCTCGTTACGCCGCTGGACGAACTCCTCCAGGTTGAGCTCTTGGATAGCCAAGCACCGATTTTGAAGCTCCAAAGCCTCTTCAAGGGGCTGCAAGGCATCTTGGTCCGCTCGATTAGGGTCTTTGGCATAAGCTTCGGCAATGGCTGTCAAGACCTGGGCAGTGTTGAAAAGAGTGTCTGGATTCTCCTGGTCGAGACTGAGGGCATAGCGATGCGAATCTAGGGCCTGTTGCAGCACATCCAGGAGTGGGATTTGCAATTGATTCGCGAGAATTGGGTCGGTTCCCATTTCGAGAAGAACTCTTGCTCTGGAAAATGTCAGTTCGTCCCCAAATAACCAGCAAAGGAGCGATGGATGGTGGACACCGGAGACCGACTTGTTGTATGCAAGGTCAAGACTACTGGGGAACTTTGTCAACCCCTGATCATATACCTCAATCGCCCTAGAGAAGAACCGCATCGATTTGACAGCATCCCCCGCTCTCCATTTTCCGGCCGCTTCTTCGAAGTCCACTCCAGCTGAAAAGAGATGTAAGTGATTATGCTCTCAAAGAACGACGTGTTTTCGCGGGGACGGACCGGCCTGGAAGTCATCGGCTGTCTCCAAGACCTGGGTGATTCATCAGTATTTCCCGGATCCCAGCGCCAGGCTGTGTTGAGCTCAGCCTCACCTGCTCTGCTTTCTTCTTCGCCTTGGATTGCTTGAGGAAGGCTTTGGGCTTAGGCATAATGACCAGAACCGGGAACGGCTCAGACAATTGTGAAGCTGGGCACCGTGCGAAGGCTGATTCAAAAAGTTACTGACTAGTACGAAAATGGCCTAAGGAAACTCTGTGAAAGGAAAAATCTGGATCTCCGAGAAGTTTCCGGTCTCGAGCCAATGATAGTCTCCGGACAGCGTTGGGCCTTGGGGGAGGAACAATGATAAGTCACAAAAATTTTTCTGACTTGGTGGATTGCGGTTAGGTGAGGGTGCCAATGGATGGAGATTGATGCATGCCATCGACTAGTCGGACGCAAACAACGCAGAGGGCGATTGTACTCGCAAAGCAATTCGTCGACGTGTCTCAGAGTCTCACTGGCCCCTAGGCGCCCGCCTCTGATGGACAATGAAAATACTGGACGACTCAGAATGATTCTCCGAGAGCAGGCACAAGCGCGGGCGCACCGCTGGTCGAGGAAATGAGCCAATGCTTGGGATTTGACCGCAACTGACCTAAGCCCGTTAGAGGCGTGGTGGGCGAGATCCCAGGACCATGCCCTTGAACCTCCCCCCTCGCAAGTCGCAAGTCGCACCTCTTCGCCCAAGAACCCCCCCCGGCGGGGGCTTCGACGCGATCTCGAAGGGCTGGTATGGAGTTCAGAAATCAGGATCTGCTTCCTCCACCGAACGTAACGAGTCATCACATCTCTATTCTCGAGCGGCATGACTACGTTCCCTTGTACCAGCCGACATCCCCTCCATCTAACTTCAAGTTCGGCCCTCAAATTATCGACCCTCCACCATTACCTCAGGCATCTAACCTCCTTTACCCTCGCTCTCACCAAGAAGAGCTTGCTCACAGGGTCAACATCTTCAACACATGATCCCCACCTTCTCTCATGACATCTTACTCCCCCCTGTCCCACGCCTGACTTGCGGCCGATTTCTCCCACCCACCCCAGGCAAAGAGCAAGTTGGCCGGCCGAAATCCTTCATACTGTGGCCCTCCACCAGAAGAAGTATGACCCTGGTCTCAGCCCACGCCATTGTCCGCCTACTGCAAGTCTAACTGAGAACCGACCGTCCCAGCTGCCCACGCCAACCCCGAAGCGCAAAACCCCGCTAGTGGAGCCCAAACCTCGACGCTTCGAACGACCATCATCTGCCAGAACTGCCACCACCGCCGACCTCGAATTTTGCCCTTTTCTGCAGAGCACCACGGTCTCCCGCTTCTTCCATTCGTCACCCAGCGAGGCTGCGTGTCGTCGCTCACGGCCTATATCGAAAGCTTGCTCACCAACTTGGGCTGCCATCAGCCTTTTTGCTCCTGCTCAACTTCCGCGAGCCGTCTTCCTGTCGCCGCTGAAGAAATGAACCCTCGTTGATCGTCGTGTTTGCGTCTAACACCCTCCCGCAGCCCACCTGCGGGCGCAACCCATCTCCATCCAACATCAAGACCGAAGGATGACCCAAGAGCGCGAGCAGAATGTGGTATGGCCTCAGGATATGCAAGATGACACCATCGTGGCCGGGGTCGGCGACGACGACTTCACCAAGTTCCTCGACCTCGACAGCGAATTCCAACATTTTACACCCATGAACAATGGCCATTCCGGTCTCGATACGCCCATGGGCCGTTTGGGGTTTGGGAATAGTGCGCCCGACCTGTCCTACGCCGGATCCGAACAGATGAACATGAACGTGCCCCCGACGACCGATTCCGTCAGCTATCGGAATCACATTCCCTCGAGCCAGCCGTATGGACAATATCCGCAGTATCAACGAATGCCCATGCCGCCCCAGTATCGAGTCCCCCCAACGCCTGTGAGCGCCGAAATGCACGCGGGGAAATATGCACACACAGTGGGAAACAATGGACAAATAATCTTTGACCACCAGCAGGTACGTGAGTGGGAGGGAAAAAGCGTTGAGCGATACTGATGTCTTTCAGGTCTCCTTTACCCCACTGGTCTCCCCTGCGCAAACTCCCATGGACGGTGGATTTGCGATGTCTGACTATGGTCTGGGCGACGAATTCTTCAGTCCTTTGACATCGCCGGCGATTGAGGCCCAGGCGACCTTCAGTTCAACCGGCACCACGGCCTCGCCCGTTGATTTAAATGCTGATCCTGGAGCTACCAACAAATCCACCACAGCTGGGACCAAACGCCCTCGACGCAAGGGCAGCAATGCCGCCCGGACGCCGGCTCGGAGCGTGAAGCAGTCGCCCGCCATGAAGCCTCAACCCCGGCGTCGAGTTCCTTCACTGACTTCACTCCCTTTGGACAAGGTTGGGGGCATGCTTCCCCAAGGTGTTCAGGGCTCGAACCTACAACCATCGGCTCCGAACAGCGCTGCCCTTCAGCCCAGCGATGATTCGGTGTCGCCCGAACCGCTTTCGGAAGCGGCGATGAGACCGCCTCCTGTTCCTCAGGCCGGCAAATCACCGCAGCAATTGGCGGCTTCTCAAGGTGCGGCGTCCGCCAACCCCGTCACGCCTGCCACGTTGATGAGGATGCCAAGCAACCAATCAATGTCCGCGAAGCAAATGGAGCAACATGGCTCTGCCCAATCCGCAAATGAGCCAATGGAGGACATTATGTTACCAGACGCCGCGGCTCCAGGAACGCAACCCATATTGGCATCCATTGACACCGGCAAAACGGGCAACGACAGCGAAAGCACTCCGACGCTTTCGGCCAAATCGGCCAAATTGAGTGCCGCCAGTACCCCGAGAAGTGGATTGGCGAGGGCAACGTCACAAGAGACGTTTGCAAAGCCCGGAAAAATCGAGACCCGGGGCGGCCGTGCAAGCAAAAAGCGGCAAAGCACTTCTTCGGCCACGATTTCACCCGCTTTGCGACCGAAGATCTCACCAAGCATCAGCCCATTGGCGCCGGCGACTGGTAAGTGAGCATGGAGACTTTAATCGATATGTTTTGGCTGACATGGATAGGCCCGGGAATGTCGCATCTTTCCGCCGAAACCAGTGCCCTATATCTTGCGTCCAAGTCGAATTATCAGAATATTCTGGAGGGCACTCATCTGCCGGGCGTTTCATACCCCGAAACATTGGCGGAAAATCTGACCTCAAAACGAACATCTCACAAAATCGCCGAGCAGGGACGGCGGAATCGGATTAATCTTGCATTGAAGGAGATCGAGGCTCTTTTGCCTCCATCTATTTTGGCCACTAATGGGAAGAATCACCGATCAGGCTCTCACGACAACGACGAGGCAGAGCATAAACCACCTCCGCCTGGCCAAGGTGCCAGCAAGGCAAGCACGGTTGAAATGGCGATTGTCTACATTAAGAGCTTGCAAACTGAACTGAAGGAAACGAAGGACAAACTTGAGGCGGTAGAAAAGAAGCTCGCGGAAGGGACGAGCAAGGCGGAGAGCCAGGCCTCGGATGGATAAACAGAGTTGGGTCCGCGCTTGGATAGTCCACTTTTGGATATAATGGCTTTACGGCGTGATGGTTGATGAGTTTCAGACCGCAACGAGAGTATACCAGATGCACGGAAGGGCGGAGTCGACTGAATATAGATAACTGCGTTTGAAATCTGCGTTATAGTCAACTTGCCATGGTTGGTGACCGAGCAAGTTTCCGTGCGCGGTATAGCACGTGTGATCAAAAGCATACATGTTCAAAGTTGGGTGGTATTGTGCAAGGCTATTTGGTCTGGGAACCCACTGTAGCATGTGCAAGCACTATCTAAAACATTCTATCAGGTACCATATCTGAGAGCTCGCTCAAAACAGAATTTTTATTGGACCCAGATGGTAACCTGTGCTCACCAACCAACCTCCCCCGTCGACGTTGTCGCTGTCTTCGCCCCAAGGCAACCAGACTTCTTAAATCAGGCAAGTTAGGCGAGGTTCCCCAATCTTCTTCGCAGTTCTTCAGAGGTCTACGCTCCGCCTGTACCTCGCCCAAGAATTTTCGATTCTGCTGGTCTACATAAACAACTGCGAATCTCTCCCACTCATCACCTCTACACAACCGCGCAAAAACCCAATTTGCTTCCCTGTCTCACATAGTCACACGTTCTCTTGCCTGTAAGTATATTGGCTCTGGTCGCAAAGCTCCAAGTCAGCCTGCCTCCCTCATTCTCCAAGTTTTGACTTGAGGCAGTGTTGGACAGCCTGCAACCTCAGCGCACAAACATCCCATCTGGCACCAAATTATTGTCGACTCGGTTGTACTGACCTCTACCCTTCTCCAGATCTAATCCTCTTCACATCAGCATCACAATGGCCTCGGAGACCTTTGAATTTCAGGCTGAGATCTCTCAACTCCTCTCCCTCATTATCAACACCGTCTACTCCAACAAAGAGATCTTCTTGCGAGAGATAATCTCCAACGCCTCCGATGCATTAGACAAGATTCGATATGAAGCTCTCTCCGACCCGAGCAAACTGGATTCCGGTAAGGACCTGAGAATCGACATCATCCCCGACAAAGAGAGCAAAACCCTCACCATCCGTGATACCGGTATTGGCATGACCAAAGCTGTAAGCCCTTTTCCTGACCTGCCAGAAGTAAGACTGAGCTCACATTTTGATAGGATCTCGTCAACAACCTCGGTACCATTGCTCGCTCGGGCACCAAGCAGTTCATGGAAGCATTGACTGCTGGCGCTGACATTTCCATGATCGGTCAATTCGGTGTCGGTTTCTACTCGGCCTACTTGGTCGCCGACAAGGTCACCGTCGTCTCCAAGCACAACGATGACGAACAATACATCTGGGAGTCTAGCGCCGGCGGCACCTTCACTCTGACTCACGACACGGAAGGCGAGCAGCTGGGCCGCGGGACCAAGATCGTCCTCCACCTCAAGGACGAGCAGATCGACTACCTGAACGAGTCCAAGATCAAGGAAGTCGTCAAGAAGCACTCTGAATTCATCTCCTACCCCATCTACCTCCACGTCCTCAAGGAGACCGAGAAGGAAGTCCCGGATGAGGATGCTGCTGAAGAGGCCGAAGAAGATGAAGAAAAGAAAGCCAAGATCGAAGAGGTCGATGACGATGAGGAGAAAGAGAAGAAGCCCAAGACCAAGAAGGTCAAGGAGTCCAAGATTGAGGAGGAAGAGCTGAACAAGACCAAGCCCATCTGGACGCGCAACCCCTCCGACATTACCCAAGAAGAGTATGCTTCCTTCTACAAGTCCTTGTCCAACGACTGGGAGGATCATTTGGCTGTCAAGCACTTCTCCGTCGAGGGTCAGCTTGAATTCCGAGCCATCCTCTTTGTTCCCAAGCGTGCTCCCTTCGACCTCTTCGAGACCAAGAAGACCAAGAACAACATCAAGCTCTACGTCCGACGTGTTTTCATCACCGATGATGCGACGGACCTGATCCCTGAGTGGCTTGGCTTCATCAAGGGCGTGGTCGACTCGGAGGATCTTCCTCTCAACCTGTCTCGGGAGACCCTTCAACAGAACAAGATCATGAAGGTCATCAAGAAGAACATCGTCAAGAAGTGCCTCGAGCTCTTCAACGAAATCGCCGAGGACCGTGACCAATTCGACAAATTCTACTCTGCCTTCAGCAAGAACATCAAGCTTGGTATCCATGAGGACTCTCAGAACCGCCAGGCTCTTGCCAAGCTCCTTCGGTTCAACTCGACCAAGTCCGGCGAGGAGGCCACGTCTCTGACGGACTACGTCACCCGCATGCAAGAGCACCAGAAGCAAATCTACTACATCACTGGTGAATCTCTCAAGGCCGTTCAGAAGTCTCCCTTCCTCGACTCCCTCAAGGAGAAGAACTTTGAAGTCTTGTTCTTGGTCGATCCTATTGACGAGTATGCCATGACTCAACTCAAGGAGTTCGACGGCAAGAAGCTTGTCGACATCACCAAGGACTTTGAGCTGGAGGAGACCGACGAGGAGAAGAAAGAACGTGAGAAGGAAGAGAAGGAGTTCGAGGGTCTTGCCAAGAGCCTCAAGAATGTCCTTGGCGACAAGGTCGAGAAGGTTGTCGTCTCTCACAAGCTCATCGGCTCTCCTTGCGCCATTCGAACTGGCCAATTCGGCTGGTCTGCCAACATGGAACGTATCATGAAGGCCCAGGCTCTCCGTGACACTTCCATGTCCTCCTATATGTCCTCCAAGAAGACTTTCGAGATCTCTCCCAAGTCTCCCATCATCCGTGAACTGAAGAAGAAGGTTGAAACTGATGGCGAGAACGACCGCACCGTCAAGTCGATCACTCAACTCCTCTTCGAAACTTCACTCCTTGTGTCTGGCTTCACCATCGAGGAACCCGCCGGCTTCGCCGAGCGCATCCACAAGCTCGTGTCGCTGGGCTTGAATGTCGATGAGGAGGCCGAGACTTCCGAGGAGAAGGCCGAGGAAGAAGCCCCTGCTGCTGAGGCCACTGGTGAGAGCACCATGGAAGAAGTTGACTAAATTTCTTCTCAGATGCTTCATTGGCATTTCCCATTCTGGGGTTGTCATTGTACCATCCCTTTGGCGTCTGGTGTCATTGATAGGTTAATTCACCTGCTTCAGCGATATCCCGGCAATCAATGAATGGTTTGAAAGAAGGGCGGAGACGCAAGGACAAAATGCTACAGAAAAATGGATACAGAAAGCAAGCAGCTTTATCGGTGGACGGTAGCTCCCTGTAATCCCTCGGTCGATTCATAGCATGATTCAATAAAGAAATTTCCATGAGCCTTTTCTCCCGATTCCGTGTGAGCCACCTCTTCCCAGCAACGTAGATCAAGCATCGAAACAGGGCATCCCTAAGCTCTCAGCTCTCTTCCCTTCGATTCGTTTCCGTCATTGGATCGGAGATTCTTGGCATATGTGGCCCCACATCACTGGCGATCTTCAAGGTACGTTGCTCTCATCTCTGAAAGAAACAACCCCGAGTCACGCCGGGAGAGAGCCATAATCTTTGGTGTTTTTGCTCTACGTCGTCCACCATGAGCCTTCCGGGGGCGAACATGTATGCCCCAGGAGGCACAAACAAGGAGATTTGTCTCCAAACCCTGATGGTTTGGGTCGACAGAGTACAGACGCGGCCTACTCCCCGGACTTGAAATAGCCATCTTCCCTTTCAAAAACTAGGATCTTTCTACGCAGTTTGACCCGTACTCAAGTCCTTCTAGATCTGCCCCAAAGGCCAGGCGCACACAATACAAGGTCTGGAAGAGGAGAATGAGTATTTCCTTGCTTTGATAATGGCGGCTTCGACAAGACTAGGTGAGTGTTCCCAATCACCTCTGATCAAATCGGCGATCACTTATGTATGCTGGGCACATGCATCGCTTTCAGCCCGGGTGAAGGGTTTGCCCACACTCCAAAAGACGTCCTCGCAGAGAACTTTGGAGTCAACGCATCAGTCCTCCACTCTATTCCGACTACAGATCCCTACATAACAAACGGCACGGTGTCCACCAATCTCAATGTCACGGGTCCCAACGGTGCGCCCCCAGAGAACTCCATTGGCATGTAGAGTTGACAAAGGGTGAAGGCAGAGGAATGGCTCTACTTTAACAAAGGCCAGGCAAAGCACACCGTCTCCATGGGGAGTGACAATGTCGGGACGTTCGATTCGGCGCGGGGAGACACAGTCGTCGGTCCGGTTAACAGCAGTATGCTGTGTTCTATCGTCGTGCCTGACACTCTGGGAAGACTTCCTAATGTTTCCATTTACCCGCAGGCCACTACATAGAAAATATTTCCGATACAGAGGACTTGGTTTGGATTGAGCTGCACAAGAGCGATAGGTCGCTGATATCCCTTTGACTTGGTGGATTGCGCTGACTCCGGCCCATATTGTGGCTGACGTGCTTACAATTCCGATTGGCGTTGTTGAGAATCTGAAAGAAAGAGAAGCAGATACTAATTGCTGGGTCGGAAACCTTAAGGAACCGTCTTCGGACCTCCCCAGTCTTGAGGTGGTCCTAGTTGTGAAGAGATTTCTGCTTTGATCAACTGGCGAGGCGACAAGACGTAGAGCGATGCTTACTTCTCAGATCTAACGGATTTCGGTAACGGTATATTTCTCGTGTGATGATTGCTCAGCCTGTTCGGATAGTATGTACGCGAAATGGAGTTGACCGGTGCGCTGTTGGAATATATCTGACTATGTGGCGAAAAGGCCAAGCACAGGTGCCCCTTTAAATTCTCCGAGAAGCATTCGATCTTTGGAACATGCTGTCCACTATTATTTTGTTCCAAGACCACCGAACTCAACTGACCATGTCGCATTCACTTCCCATGCCGTCTTTTCTCGGGTTATAGGATTTGCGCTCTCAGGATCTTTCATTTTTGGGCACAGCTGGCCGGCGGCGAACTTGCGCTTTTGCGCACGTGTGTAACCACCCTCTCCGACACCCACCATGCCTGTTAAATCACGATTCACCAGGCTGGACGCCTTCACCAAGACGGTCGAAGATGCCCGCGTGCGGACCACCTCCGGTGGCATTGTGACGATTGCTTCGATTCTGATTATAATTTATTTGATACTAGGGGAATGGTCGGATTACAGGAAAATCCTCGTGCAGCCGGAGCTGATCGTGGACAAAGGGAGAGGTAAATGCGCTGGAAGCCACATCATGGAAGTTTCCCAGTTGCGCTGACGGTTCCTCTACAGGCGAGAAGATGGAGATACACCTCAACATCACCTTTCCTCGAATACCTTGCGAACTCCTCACCCTCGACGTCATGGATGTGTCCGGCGAGCAACAGACCGGGGTGGTGCACGGTGTCAACAAAGTGAGACTGTCGTCTGTGGTCGAGGGCTCGCAGATCATCGACATACAGACGTTACAGCTGCATCAGCAGGATACGGCGACACATCTGGACCCTGATTACTGCGGCTCATGTTACTCAGCCCCCCCGCCGGCGAATGCCTCGAAACCGGGATGCTGTAATACTTGCGATGAAGTACGTGAAGCGTACGCATCCAACAGCTGGGCCTTTGGACGGGGAGAAGGGGTCGAACAGTGCGAACGAGAGGGATACGGTGAGAAACTGGATGCGCAGAGGCACGAAGGATGTCGAATCGAAGGAGTCGTCAGAGTCAACAAGGTGGTGGGCAACTTCCACATCGCTCCTGGTCGAAGTTTCAGCAACGGGAACATGCACGTACATGATTTGAATAACTACTTCGATACTCCCGTCGAAGGCGGGCACACATTCACGCACGAGATCCATTCTCTCCGTTTCGGGCCGCAGCTGTCGGATGAGACAACGGCCAAGTGGAGCGATCATCATCATTCAAATCCCTTGGACGGACACCGACAAGAGACAGACGAGGCAGGCTTCAATTTCATGTACTTCATCAAGGTGGTCTCAACTTCCTATTTGCCATTGGGATGGGATGAGGAGCGGTCCATGAAACAACATTCGAGTCTCAGTGATATCATCCCCTTGGGCATGCAAGGCAAGGGCGCCGGGAGCCAGGGGTCTATCGAGACACACCAGTATTCGGTGACATCGCACAAGAGGTCGCTCGGCGGTGGCACGGACGCAGCAGAGGGTCACAAAGAACGACTCCATGCACACGGAGGTATCCCCGGTGTTTTCTTCTCCTACGACATCAGCCCGATGAAAGTGATCAACCGCGAAGCCAGACCCAAGACATTCGCCAATTTCTTAACCGGTGTATGTGCCGTTATCGGTGGTACCTTGACAGTCGCGGCGGCTATTGATCGGGGGCTTTATGAGGGAAGCACGCGGCTGAAGAAGCTCCATGAGGGATGATGATTCAGCGATGATGCTGATTCGCCAGGTTGGTGGGGAATTTTTGGACGGATGCATCTAGCATTGGAGTTCTGGGTAACTGTTCAAGTAGATATTGTAACCTTATGCAATGAAAAAGGTAATGGATGAAAGTGTGAGAGCACGAGTTCCGATCCGTGATTGCTTCTTCGTGAAGTCTCTGACAATGCATTCCTTCCTAGAACTTTCAGAATTGTCAGTCAACTCGCCCACGATGCTTGACTTCACGAAAATTGAAAGCAAAGAGATGGGGAAATAGTGATATATCAGAAGAACCCTTCTAAGCAGCGAGGCCAGGAGACTTTTTTTTGGGTGACCAGAACACGGCATTTGACGATGCCATGCTCCCTCATGTCCTTTCACTGGCATCCTTTTCCGGCTCTTCCTAATGCCGTACGGTTCCTTGAATTCATCATATCGAGAGACGTGAAGCAGGAATTTGCTAAGAGAAGAGGGTAGTAGGTGTGTACATACCCTTGCATCTGTTGTGGGATCGCATGTGCAATGACTCGAAAACGGCGTGATGTGACTGATTGGTGAACAATATATTAGCAGATCGTCGTTGCACGATGTTTCACTGTGCCGAGAGGATGCTTCCATTGATGAACGAGTACGTCGAGTCGAAGAACTAATGAAAGTTCTGCAGAAATTCGAAGATAACAAGCCTTGCCATTTCGGGCTAGAGGCTTACTCCTTACCGTCTTTGGTAAGGATTTTCTAACCTGACCTAACCCAAATATCTTCTTCCACATCAACTATGAACCTCCAGACATTAGCGCTTATATGGCATGGCCAGTGAACACAATAGAGAATATTTTTCTTCCAGGAAGACTCAAGGCTCCAAGTTCTTTCTTCACTCTGATTGTTTCGTAAGGCACTCGCTTACCTCTTGGCAACAACCTCTCAGAAGCACTTTTTCCGCCGCCCAAGGCTCTTGAAAGTCACTAAATTGGAGACAGTTGCATTGACTTGTCACAATTTGGATGTGCATCAGCATCCAACTTTCAGAACTTCCAGAAATATTCAGTTGCTATGAGGGCCACCTTCCGAGAAAAGCATCCTCAGGTGAGGCTCCGGGCATCAATGTCAGACACAGACCATCATTCCAGTTGTCCTTCATTGGTCGAATTCAGATACTATGCCTTAAGGCGTAGGTATTGAATACACACCCGAGCTGAATCAACGCGGTGCGGAGGATAAGAAGGCCTGACGGAGACAGGGTTCATTGTACCAAGGTCCATGCACTGAAAGACATGCCAAGTCGATGGGTCGTTGAGAATTTGGACCCGACGCGCGAAATAGACTCACCCACACGTGCTCTGCAGTGATTTTAAGTATATGTTCCTCTGTCACCAAACCGAGGCCGACGACCAATGCTTTGTCAATCGTCGTGGTGAATTTGCCGACTATCGAGCAACAGTATTTGCTATAATATTCGGTCGTCTGTTCCGTCAGGTTTCGCCCTGTCGACCTCTTTTCACTCTCAACGTCCAGGCCTACCTCACTGGTTCAATTAATGTGATTTTGACTCGATCACATTCTCTCCTCATGTCTCAGCTGCTCGACGCATCGACTTTGAAGGACAAGTCGGTTATCATCACAGGTACGTGGCGACCACTCCACCGACCCACATCAAGCCATGGATAACCAACAGACACAGGAGGAGCCTCGGGCATCGGCCTCGCCACAGCGACTCACTTCGCTAAGGCGGGAGCCTATGTGACTATTGCAGATGTGCAGGACGCCGCCGGGGAGAGCATCGCCGCGGATCTGGTTTCCCAAGGCGGGAATGTGTCCTTTGTCCATTGTGACACCTCCGATTGGGAGCAAAGCGTCGCTGCATTCAAGCATGCAGCTGCATTTGCGCCGAGCAAAACCTTGGACGTCGCTCTTCTATCCGCTGGGATTGAAGGCGACGAATTCAGTGTAACGGAGCAGGCACTTGCGGCTCCGGAGCCATCTTTGAGCGACAACACCATCCCCAATGAGCCACCAATGCGCGCAGTGCAGGTGAATTTGTGTGGAGTGTACAAGAATGCCTGGTTGGCACTCTACTACATGCGCCTGCCTTCGCAGGTTGAAACCACCAATCCGCCGTCGAAATCGCTCATCTTCATCTCATCATTTGCCGGTTATGCGGACATGCCTAGCAATACCGATTACAATACCTCAAAATGTGAGTTCCCGCTCTCATCATGGTGCTCTGGATCCCCAACTTGCGTTGTGGTGGGATGTTTGAAGTGATATTTCCGCATTCCCACAGCGGAAACGCTTTCAGAAATGGAGATAGTTCCCCAAGTGCTCTATCACCTTAGGATGCTGCGTAATCTCACCTCTTAATTCGGATTCGGGGATGGGCTGAAAAAGATCTTACTGACTCGAGATGCAGTTGGCGTTCGGGGTATCTTCCGCGGTCTGCGACACACTACTACCAGCATGAATGTGCGCACCAACCTTATCGCCCCTCTCTGGATCAACACGCCAATTTTGCAACCGAAGCTGGCCCAGCTGGCTGCATTGGGAGTGAAACCAGGAGCGGGATTGACGTTTGCCAGCATCGACCATGTCGTCAATGCGGTAACGAAGTCCGCAACGGACGAAACAGTTAGTAAGCGCGTTTTCTTCGTGGTGCCGGAAGGATTTATCGATGCTGGTGACGACGAGGCCGGTGGCTGGGCGGCAGACTGCATGAGGGAACAGTGGAAAGTCAGACGAAGCAAAGGGGATATTATGCCTTGAGGCGAAAATGCCCATTAGAGGTCGAATGATAAGTATTAGCGGTGTCAAGTATGGGAAATGAAGTTTCCTGACGCCGTTATAAACAGTACTACTCAAAGGAGTAAAAACTGTAGGCCAAATTATCCGCCAAGGCGGATAAAGCGGCGGGTCTGCTCTCGACTTCGGCAAGGTGAGCAAGTTCGGCCTGCGCGTCTGATCTGGCATGCGACCTCGACTAAATACAGTGTCAAGGTGCTCCAGTGTATTCTCTTCACGTGCATATTGCCTCTGTTGGATTGTGGTATTCGGCTCAGAGGCCATGAACTCTTGTGCTTCCCTTTCTAAAGACTCGTGTCGTCCTAGACCCTTTTCACGCAGTCCATATGCCTCTCAATGGCATTCAACAAGAGGTGAATCTGCTCGACTCCGGTAATCCCGACCTCTATTGTACAAGGCTGGCTTTCTCTGATGATAGCAGGCGATTATGACCCTATAGAACACCTCAACCTGATCTTTTCCCATCCCTCCACTCTTTCATCTGTCAGTCAGACGTACGAAATACTCCAAGCCTATCAGGATGACCTCGAGAACGAGATCGATGCGCTTGAGGACGAGCAGATCCGATCCCACGCCGAATGCCTCCAGCGGATGGAAACAGCCAAGGCCGAATTGGCCGAACTTTTCCAGCGGATCGAGCACGTCCGCGAGCGAGCCTTACAGACGCAACGCAACATCACCGAAATGACGGCCGATATCAAGCAGCTGGACAATACCAAAAGGAACCTGACCCTTTCCATGACGGCCTTGAAAAGATTGCAGATGTTGACAACCGCCTACGAACAGTTGCGGGCTTTGAGCAAGACCAGGCAATACCGAGAATGTGCCCAACTTCTTCAGGCGGTGATCCAGTTCATGGGGCATTTCAAGTCGTACCGTTCAATCGATCAGATTGCGACGCTAAGCAGAAACGTGGCTGATCTGCAGAGGGAGCTTCTGGAACAAGTTTGCGAGGATTTCGAAATCACTTTTACCAAAGAAGAGGTGGGACCGAATCGAGGCTTGCTCCATGAGGCCTGCATGGTGGTAGACGCCCTGGGGGACTCTGCCCGGTCGAGACTCATCACTTGGTACTGTAATACCCAACTCCGCCAGTATCGACACATCTTCAAGGGAGATCAGGAGGCCGGCTCCCTGGACAACATCGATCGAAGGTACGCTTGGTTCAAAAAAACGCTGAAACTGTACGATGAGGAGCATGCGGCGATTTTCCCCTCCCATTGGCGGGTCAATGAAATTTTAGCCAACGTCTTTGCCGAAGGGACACGGGATGACTATAAGGGCATCTTGTCCCGAACTGTTCGGAACGGACAGACGATTGATGTCAAGCTCCTGCTCTCCTGCCTTCAGCAGACTCTGGACTTCGAGCACAGTCTCGAAAGAAGATTCAATCAGACGCCGAGGACGTCAATAGACACCGTGGCCTCGGCGAGCGATTCTCCGGCTTTGGCCCAGCCGATATCTGATGCCTTTGAGCCGTATTTAAGTTTATGGGTGGAAGCACAGGACAAAGAATTGGCCGGCTTGATCCCGCAGTACAAGCAGCGGCCTCCCAAACTGGCGGACGAGGATTTCTCATCGCAGCAGGTGATAGCGTCGTCAACGGAGCTGTTCAACTTCTATCGACTTGCCCTCGCGCAATGCGCGAAACTGTCAACAGGGCAGCCTTTGCTCGACTTGTCCAAAGTATTTGGTCGCTACCTTGATCAATACGCTCAACAGGTCCTTTTGTTCTACATTTCAGAACACCCATCGGCCGGCACGCCTTCGCGAGTTCCGACCGTCGAAGATGTGATCCTGGTCCTCAACACGGCCGATTATTGTTTCAACACGTCCAATTCACTGGAGGAGAAGATCAAGAGCCGCATAGACGACGGTTTGAAGAAGAGGGTCGATCTACAGAGTCCGGCCGATGCTTTCATGGGTATAGCAAGTGCTGCTGTCCGAGGGCTGGTGCGGCAGGTCGAAGTAGATCTCGAGCCCAGTTGGAGAGAGATGCGCAACATCGGTTGGTCCAAGATCGAGAGTTGCGAGAACCAAAGCCCCTTCATCACCGGGCTCCAGCATCGCATCAAAGACCGATCGAGCCAAATCTTGGGGATGCTCCACAAACAGCAATACGCTCGAGCCTTTGCCGATAATCTCGTGGAGCTCCTTGCATCGACATATCTCTCGAATATTGCGCAATGTAAGCCTATTTCAGAGGGTGGTGCAGAACAGATGTTACTCGACACTCACGAAATCCGAAATACCATCAGCAATATACTTCCAGGCACGCCACCACCACCCTTATTGTTGAAACGGGTCACAGCGGCATTCAACAAAATCGAGCCTCTTCTAAAGACTCTGCAGGTCCGACCATCTCCGCCCGAAGCTCTTGTGCAGGCGTATTTGATTCACATTGCGGATCTGTCAGAAGCCAATTTCCGCAAAGTTTTGGAGCTCAAAGGTGTTCGGACTAAATCGGACCAGGGTCACCTGGTGGAACTGTTTCAAATGCACAAGTTCAGTCCCCGCTATAAGGACTCCCTTGTGGAAAAATCCCCTCTTCTCACTCCATTAAATCTTTCCTCCTCGACGTCGGCGACTGGTCCAGCATCCACTCCCGCAAATGCCTTGCACAATCTATCGGTGTTGGGAAATTCAGCGGCCGCGTCCCTCAGCACGGCCAACCTCCCCGCCAACATGAAGTTTGACGCCTCGGGGTTGGGCAACGCGATTATCGATCGATTCAGCAACCCTAGCCTCGGTGGGATGGGAACTCCGAGAGATGGAGCACAGAGTCCGCCTCCTGGTGGGTCGGTAGCAGGCAACGCTGCTGGCGATGGGGTGTTCCCGGGCGCAGAAGCTGGTGCCAAGTTGAATGAGAACCTGAAAAATATCGGCAAGTTCTTCAAACGCGACCTGGGAGGATTTGGAGGCATCGGGCGGTTTGGTAGCAAGACGACGAGTCCTGCGCCACCTGAAGATCGTACTAACGGTCGATAGAAGTTCAATGGTAGACAAAAGATAGGAACCCGGTGCTCATATCCAGTGATCTGATGAATGTGTAACAACAGAATACGAACCCTGAGCCAGTAGCCAATCAGAGCTCAGGCCGGTCACAAATAAAGGCCAAGACTGGCTGATGCGCCTTTCCAATTTTGGCCTAGCTTAGGAATCAGGCGCCACCACAAAACTTGTTGTCTCGCTGCCCATTTTTCCATACAATCACATCAAGCAAATCGTCCCACCACTCACCATCTTGCCACCAAATCCCTCTCAATCGCTCGACTGCCTCTGCCGACACTTCAATCAACTCATGCAATATCACCGGTCCCTGAGTGGCTTCGCTCGAAAACCTTCTCCGGTCAGATTTCGTCACTCGGGCTTTTGCCCAGCGCCATAGCACAAACTGAGACAAAAATTCCAAGACAGAATCTGAACGAATTTTAATTCACGACATCTGCGGACTTCTTCCCCATGGCTTTTGCCAGACCAAGCAATTCCAACCTCGACAACAATGCCAGACCAACCATACAACTGGCCATCAAAGGCTGGACCACAAGCAAGCTGGCATCTACCAAGGACCAGGGCCTGGAATCACTACTTGGATTCCTGGAAAAAAGGTCCAGTCGCCCCATACTATCGTCTCGAATGGCAGGACGAACCGTCCTCCTCATCACCATCTACGAAAATGACAAAGATCGATTCTATCACCTGAACGGATTCACATGGGCCGGGGCAGTCCTGGTCGTGGAAGACTCCAGACCTCCGAGAAATCAATCTCAAAATCAACCTCACCAACATCCGAACCAGCATTTTAACCAGTCCCTTGAATCCCGAACTTCTCAGCCATCTAGATATCATTTTCAGAACGGCTCATCACATCCTCCTAATGCACCTCGCGGTCAAGGCCACGGTGCACGGGACCACCGCGGTGGAAATAGTACTGTGACATCCGAAATCGAAAATGTTATCATATCGGTCATTCGCAAACGCTATCATGCCGGCGACAAACATCTCATCCTCAACACTCTGGTAGCCGATCCCGAGATTCTAAGTTCAGGCCTGTCAGATCAGGACGCCGGCAAAGTTTACAAGGCTATTTTTGCCATCTGTGAGAACAAGATCTGGGAGACGGAATCTAAACGGACCGAATCTGTCGTCAGTGTTAGTTTACGCGACAACGGCATCAAAACGGTACAGGATATTATATCACTCGCCAGCGTTTTCCCACATCTCCACAATCTCGACCTTGCAAACAACAATCTCGAAGATATGGGTGCCTTGAAATTTTGGAAGAACCAGTTCCGAGAGCTACAACATCTCATCCTCACGGGCAATCCTGTCGCCGCAAAACCAGACACCCTCAGCACGTTACTCAAGTGGTATCCCAAACTGAAAATGTACAACAACGAACCGGTCACCAACACCAACATCAATCTTCAACAAGTCCCTCCGCTACCACCGGCATCACTCACACCTCAACCTCAACCTCAACCTCCACAAGCCGAACCCACAAGACTACACCCGGAATTCCCACCGGGTTCCTCGTTCGGCCTACCACAGGCGGACAAGCCGGCCGAGGTCTTGCTCCGCGAGCAAATGGGTCTGCAATTCAGCTTTGAAACGAAACTCAAAATGCAGTGGGTAGAGAACTGCCTGTCAGCGAACAACTGGGACTATGCAACAGCGTTGGCGAATTTCAACAACTTGCAGAACCAAGGCCAGATTCCACCCGACGCATACATCGAGGGAGTTTAGGAAACTCAACCTTCTACTGGTGGACGTCAGGGATTAGATTTGGATTTGGGCACGCAGATGGATATATGTGTTATGTGCATATCGTCGATTCTCTTGAGCATGGAGTTTGGGTATGGAGCGTGCCATGTTGTGCTAGTGTGATATCAATCGTTGGGACTTGACAGACTCCAAGGAGCAAATACAAAAGAAAAGGAAATGCGTCCGGGACGACGCGCGCCCAATAAAGGGGCTTGAGTGGAAATATAAATCATGTTATTAGCTGCACATCACTTCCATTTCCGTGTTCTTTGTTCTTAGCTCGTACATCCACGGCTATTCGAGTCCTTTTTGGAGGCGGTAGGGTAGGAATGGCGGGTGCTTCATATCAGATTCTGGAAATCCTCCCTGTGTGAGTTGACGCTGAGAATGATGGACGTGAGGTCTATGCCAGTAATAAGAAGAGATCATTCTTTTATTAATATTGGGGCTCCCTCCTTCCATGAATTTCTAACCAGGGCGAGGGGTCGACGGTTCATGCTATTATCACAGCGATCCCTTTTCATAGATGAGTGTGCCGGGCTCTGACAGAGAGGAAACCCTAGGGACTGATCGATTGATGATTACGCCTCCGACAGGGCCTGTAAGAATCTGCTGATGTCAGTATCGAAGAACTCATTCCCAAAGATCGATGTAGCTGATCATGTCAAATGGGTCTTGAGTTGGCACCAATTACCTCGGGTAAGAGAAGGGGGAGGGTGTGGCTAAGTAGGGCTGTCCATTGTCGAATCCACGGACGGCTTGCCGACAGGATGTCCCCTTGGTTGTCATCCCTGTCTTCAAGTCCCTCGGGCGTGAATGGTGAACACGTCAGAGAAAAGGGCACACCTCTAAATCAGTCACTCACACTCCAATCGGACACAAGAACGTGGCCTGATGGACTTAAAAGGATGCACTTAAAGAATCGAGATGTACTCTATTGGGTCGGCGGCTTGTTGGGTCGAATGGTTGGTCCCCCACCGAATGACATGTGCAAAGGGTCTCTCTCAACAGCTTGATCAGCACATTGGGTACTTGTCCCACATGTACCGCGTTTCTTCGTTGTGCCTACTGAGTCTCTGCCTCTCTCACACTCTCCTTCTTGACAAACCAACTTTTCATTGGCATACGCCTCTAATGCCAGGAACCCGACGCGTACCTGCATGCGTCCCAACTCATTTTCGTCTCTGCTCGTCCTCGTTTCCTTGCCACACACACATACTCTCTCGTCTTCATGGAGCGCGACGTGAAGTCGTTATTTGTTCTACTGCAGCCCCTCACACCGCTTTCTCGACCCTATACCTCACACTTGCGCAATGCTTTGGAATCCAACAGCTAAAGAGAACGAAACTGAGCAACAAGAAGACAAGAATGACATTTCTGTTGGGGAATCCTCCGCGTCCTTCCGGAATGATCAAAATGAGCTTGTCCTCGCCGAATCTCGACAGGGAAGAACCCTTCTGCCTGGGCCTGCTGCCGCCATCGTGAGCGGTATTACCGGCATCACTTCGTTCTATGTTCGTGCTGGGACAAAAGTTGGAGAATGGGGATTGTATGCCGGCAGAGAAGCGACCTTGAAAACTCTGTCCGTTACCAGGAGTGCCTTGGAAGCAGTTCTCATCGCCGCCGGAAGAGATGTATCCGCTCGAAGTCATGGGGAACTTGGCAGGGCGGAGGCGGAGACCCTATTGGAAAGAAGCGTAGGTGATAGACCTCCTGAAATGACCGGTGGCCGGCTGATCCGTTCACAGATATCTGCATTATACTCGACCATCTCAACTCTCTCGTTTGTGGCATCTACCGGATTCTACTTGACCGAGGCTTCCATGAACTCAATATCCGGCCTTTCCATACAAGGACTTTCCACTCTCAATGCGATCCTGGGATCGACAGAGTCGTCCCGCGCCGTCGCGGCAATCATCACCTTGATCAAGGATGAGCTCAACAAACCCGAGGCCGGGAGTAAAGGGGAGGTTGTCTCGTATCTGGATCTCATCATAGGCACTATTGGATTTGTTATGTTACAGAGATGGGGCAGGCGGAAAACAGAACTTGACTTTCGAGACGCTGGTGGTGAAGAAACCATTTGGGACGAAGTCATCGACGATCACGGATTCAAAGCCAATGTGGTGGGTACAAGAAGGAAAGGGATGATCAGCATCCATGCTCACGCTAGGGGACCGACGATGACGTTTGCCTCCCCCGAGGGCGAAGATGAATTCGAAGCTGTCGAACGAGGGACGTTGTTCGACGTCCAATCAGTCGCCTTGTCGCCTGAAGACCCAACCAAATTGACCGACGAGGAAATTCGAGAACGGATCATGAGCCAATTACCCACTGGAGCTCGAGCGGTCATCACATCGGAGACCGTCACAGCAAAGACCATCAAAGTGGACATCTATGATGCCCAGACGACCAATATTGAACCCCCGCCAGGGACTGTCATGGTCGCCGAAAGGCTGAATCATGGAGATTCGACAAATGGAACACCAGGTGGACCTCAACAAACCGTCATCTTCCGGACCGCTTTGAAGAGATCGAGCAGTAGAGATATTCCATCGGCAGCCGACCAGCTACGATTGACCAGTAACGGTGAGGCCGCAGTCGAGCAACATGATCCTGATGAGCTTTTCATGACGAATACCACTCCGAAACGGATCTCGATCGTCGACGAACCTGTCCAAATCGAGGATTCGGCCTTTCCTCCTTCTGACCACGAAGAGGAGATTGTTGAATCATCTTCACCTCCAGACCCGCCCCCGAAAACAACAAATCCAGTTGCTAACCAGAAAAAGAGTCGACGACCAGTGCTTCCTCACGGCAGATCGCCACCCAATACGCACATCGCGAGTCGTATACCTCTTGTCAAGCACAAGAAAGATAAATCCCCACCGGGGAGCAAGAATGACAAACCTGGGGTTATCAAGAAAGCATTGAAAACTCTGAGTCCCAGTCAGTCCTCAGCGGCAATAAAGGATATCCACAAGACGCTGCCTCAGCGAAAGCCGCCCACATCCATTCCACCTCCGGAGTCTAGAATCCGAGACGGTTCTGTACCACGGGGAGATGTCACACCAAGGAAGAATTTCGCTTCTTTAAGCCACGGTCATACCCCTCTGACAAGTCCAAGTCTACATCGAGCCACTCATCAAGAATCTTCGTCTAGCTATTTCGCACTACGCGACAGAAGGAGGGATTCAACCGTGTCGCAGACGACCGAGACGTATTCGGTACATTCCGTCGAGAGTCGACCGGGATCACCCACCTTTACCAGGACTCACACTCGAGTGGTCAGCGGTTCCACCCAGGCCAAATCGGAATTGGGGCTGGCATTGAATGAAACGGAATCCAGACTGGACTTAGCCAGTGGCACCGCTCACCATCGACGATCTCGATCTTTCGTGCCTAGTCTGTATTCGATGGCAACTAGGGATTCAAAGGAGGCCATCATCTTGGCCCCCAAAACACCACTACCTCGAAAGTCAATCTACGAAGATCACAATATGTTGAATGCTCTCATCACCAATGGCAAAGTTCCGGGAATCTTTCCTGATCGCCACTTGGCCAGGACGATTCGAAGATTTGCCAGGTTCGCATCGGCTTCATATGGGTCCAACTTCCTTCGCGTAATGGGCCTCACGTCGGCTGAGGATCAGCTTAGCAAAGCGACAGAGCTTATGACCTTGAACGTACATCATGAGCACAGTTCGTTCTCAAGCCATACAGGTCTCCCTCCCGATACGATCCTATTGTCGTCCTTCTATGATCCAAAAGGCGTCACAGGTAATACAGACTGGTCACCCTCAGCGATCTCGCCATTAATCCATTTCATCTCGATTGATGACGACTCGAAAGCGGTCGTCTTGACTTGTCGTGGCACACTCGGCTTTGAGGATGTGCTGACGGACATGACCTGCGATTACGATGACTTGCTCTGGCAAGGTCAACGGTATAAAGTGCACAAGGGTATCCACGCTTCAGCCAGGCGATTACTGGGCGGCAGTGGAAGCCGCATAATGGCCACCATCCGAGCCACTCTTGAACAATACCCCGACTATGGCCTCGTTCTTTGTGGACATTCTCTCGGCGGTGCCGTCGCCGCCATTCTCGCCATCTTGATCTCCGAGCCTTCCTACGATGATTCCAAAACTTCATTCGTCACGGGCGATAAACCGAAGCTTCTCACTCACCAATCCACCAACGGATCCTTCGCTTCCGATGTTCCACCAATAAGCCTACCTGCAGGTCGTTCAATTCACGTCTACGCATACGGCACACCAGCATGCATGTCTGAACTCCTTCGCGTCGCCACTCGCGGACTCATTACCACGATCGTCAATCACGCCGATATCGTCCCGTGCCTCTCTCTTGGGATCCTCCACGACTTCCGCACCGTGGCATTACATCTCAAGACCGACACGACTGATGCCCTAGGCGCCTTGAGAACGCGTGTCTGGAACCGTCTCGTCAACGCGGTCAAGCGCTCATTCTACAACAACCCCAAAGGCCCACCTCCGCCCGAGAACATGGCCGGTGACGGCCTCGGCGAGGATGCCTGGGCCTGGTCCGCCCTCAAAACCTTGCGGGCTGCAATGGTCAACGACAAACTCGTCCCGCCAGGCGAAGTGTTTGTGGTTGAAACCACTCGTGTCTTCGACCGCTTGGATCCCGATGTCACACGCGAAGCAATCTTTGGCCCGGACGACAGCAAAGATAATAGAACAGAAAAGCTCTATCGCGCGCTCGGTCGCCCCGCGACAAGGGTGCAGTTTAAACTGGTCCGTAACGTCGAGACGAGATTTGGCGAGTTGAGATTCGGTCGAGATATGTTTGGTGATCATTCACCGGGAAGATATGAAGCTGCTTTGGCCGCGTTGGAGAAGGGGATTTGTGAGGATTGAGGGTTGAAAAAGAATTTTTGGTTTGTCCTTGCTTTCAGGACATGATGTGACTGACTGCCTGGCGCGTTTCTTTCCTCCTCGACTGGCGTTTATTCGGACGGTTCTTTTTCCAAGCAGGCTGGATACGGCAATATATATTTTCGATCGTTGGAAGTGGGGATCCCCGATTTGAGATCGGATTGACCAGACAAAGCGACTCGACTCGAATACAATACAAGCACAGACTTGTGGAGTATAGCGTTTGAATCGGAAGAAAAGGAAAAGGATTACAGTTGAATTTCCAAAGAGTGGAGCTACCTTTTCATCAAATTGACAAGACTGATGCTATGAAAGAGAGAAAAATGGAAGTGGGACTACAATTTCTGTACGATAATGATAAGCCACGAGGGGATGAAGAATGAGGAAAAACCATCAATGGCATAGTTATACTACTACAATTGAAAAGATCCCGAAAGAATCACACCTCGTTTAGTCAGAGGCACTGAGATTGTCATTCCCTTACTAAAGAATTGGATCTGCTCAAAATGAAACCCTGAGTCCTGAATCCATTGGTATGGATGGGCTCAGGTTTATCTAGTTTCTAGATGCACGTCTGCAGGCATGCGCTGAAAATTTTCCAATTCAGGAGCGTAACTGGCGAGGAGGCTTTTCATTGTTTGACATGAGCTCGTCCCATGGATGGCCGGTTTGCATGTTTCGTCGATTGTCAATCCGTGCTCGGAAAGCTCTTACTACGTGCAAGGGAACCTGAGATATAAAGTGTTGCAGATGAAGCAGAAAGTTAAGAGACACAATCTTGGAATCCTCCTCGTACAAGGTAGCGGCGGTCGGCGACAGACCCAATGTTGATACCAGTAATAATAGGTAATTTTCTTATCATCGTCTGAGGTGAGTCGGGACATTCTCCCTGTGGAAGTCTCCAGGTCGGGGAGAACAGGCTGAAGGTTCGTGCTATCATCGTGATACATGATACCTTGTCCACATTCTATACAGGGCGTCATTTGCCATCCTTCACTAGTGTCAACATCGATCCTCGGCCTCTCGACGAGGTGGGAATTTCGTTTTGCTCACATCGAGCACCATGACGTGAAGGTTTGTCCGGCCAGTGGTATTCAGAACAAAAGTCACTCGGCAATGGGTCCACTCACTGCTCACCCCCAGGACAGAAGCAGCATTCACAATCTGAGATCGGATGGTGTTCTGCTGCCTCGTATTCATTAGTAACCGCCTGGTGAAGATCTCTAGTTACGAAATGGGTAGTATAGGAGTGTATAAAGGCGATAAAGGAGAACTGTATCGTGCCCTTGACACAACCAAATCTGGTCTTGTGGACGACATCCTTGTGAAGGGAGATCTCCCTGGTTGGTGTAGAAGGCAGCGAGTGTGCTCAACGCTCCCATATAAATACGTCTTCGGGATTGTAGGTGTTGCTCCGGTCTGCTTTTCTATTCAACAACTGGTACACCAAACAGAAATTATATTCCTTCTCCACCAACGGTACACCTACCTGCTATGCAAAGCTATAACACTACTCGCTGTAACAACCAAAACAAGCTCGAGAGTCTGGAAATCCTGGCAATTTTCTCAAATGCCATCAAAATTGTAAGTGAAAGACCTGTTGCTTGAGGAAGAGACGAGGCCCTAGTATTGACATTGTCTGAAACAATTTATCTTTTATCAGCTCAACCGGACCATCATCACCATGGGTTTACTGTCAGGGTTCAAGTTGGCTGCTTTCATGGTCGCCATGTTTGGTTTCAGCCAGGTCAGCCTCGTCGCTACCCGAACTGAAGTCGTCTATACTTGCCTATATGCGGCATGTGTGCTGCGGTTGCTGGCTACAAACCAGACGACAAAACTTCAGAAGATCAGCGTCCACCAGTCAACCAGCCAGCTGGGGAAGTCATTGTCGACTTTTTTCGCCTCTCAGTCTGTCGATACTGGCAACGGCATTGATGTGCACTCGCGATCCTTCGGCAGGTAAGCCATTAGTCACACAATTGGAGTATACTTGGAGATCAGATTTGGAAAGGATATACTTGGACGTCAGTCATGTGGAAGGAGCTCTGTTTGTTAACGGGGGATTGAGAATAGATATCAAGGATCCAGAGAATCCTAACTTGACTGGCGACTGTCATTGTGCGGTGTGTTCTCCTGGTGGCCAGAATTGTAATCAGGTGTATAACCATGGGACGACGATTTCCAGGGCATAAGAACTTGTTCGGACCAAAGTGGTGATGTGATTGAATTTGTAGCCTCGATGATTGTCCACTTCGACGTCTGGTTCCAAACGAACAACGTAGCTCTGCCCAGAGATATGGAACGGATTCAAAGCAGGCTTTGGAGAAGACAAGTAATCGAGTATTCCTTTTTCAGTGGGAGCAGACGCGATCCAGACTCAGAACTGGACTCGCAGCATGATGACACGAAGAAATTTCATGCCAATTGTATGGGTATCTTCCAACACATCAACTATTCTTCTCTTCGCTCGGCCTATTCAGCCAGCAGTAGGACCACAACGATCGCCAATTTGATCATTCTTGACATCATCACGCCGCTGCATGGAGTCTCGGGGAATACTGTAGATGGCTTGAAGTTGGGCGGTGGCTAGTCACTGCGGCAATAGTGGCCTCTCGCGATGCGGCGGAGGCAAGGTTTGGGATTGAGAAAGGCAAGGAGGCGAAGTTCAGCTAGATCCGGAGCGAAGATGCCCAATCTGGGTGTCACTCGCCGTTTGGTTGACTCATGAATGATTCACACCTGGAAAACGCCTTTGCTCCTTTCGTTCTTCGGTCAAGAGTCTCTGGATGTCTAGAACGAGCTGATGACACCTGTAAGAAGACAGTAAAGGATAAAAAGCAGACTACCGAATCACCTTGTGGCAGCTCAGACTGCATTCTCTTCCCCCACACAAAACTGCGTCTGTCAGTCTCCTCCCTCAGCAAGCAATTTTACCTTCCGCCCTCAATTTATACAACAACTCCCGAGACACATAAAGGAACCCGTCGCCTGCTCAATCATGGCTGTACGAGCACAGGTAAAATGTCTTTCGCTTCATAAAATTAAGAATTCGCCCAACTAACTTGGTACCGCCCAGTTTGAGAACTCCAACGAAGTCGGAGTTTTTGCAACCCTCACCAACAGTTACTGCCTCGTGGCCATCGGTGCCTCCGAGAACTTCTATTCCATCTTTGAATCCGAGCTCGCAGACCTCATCCCCATTGCACACTGTACCATTGCGGGCACTCGCATTGTCGGTCGTTTGACGGCGGGGAACAAAAATGGCTTGCTAGTCCCGACTTCTACCACCGACCAGGAACTACAACACCTGCGCAATACCTTACCGGACAGCGTGAAAATAGAACGAATTGAGGAACGATTATCGGCCCTTGGAAACTGCATAGTTTCCAATGATCACGTTGCTCTCGTCCACCCAGATCTCGAACGAGAAACTGAAGAAATCATCGCAGATGTCCTCGGTGTCGAAGTATTCCGACAAACCATTGCTGGAAACGTTTTGACCGGCTCTTACATGTCTCTCACCAATCAGGGCGGCATCGTCCATCCTAAAACGAGCATTCAAGATCAAGACGAACTCAGTTCTCTATTACAAGTGCCCCTGGTGGCAGGGAGTGTGAACCGGGGAAGCCCCGTTGTGGGAGCCGGAATGGTGGTTAATGACTGGCTCGCGGTCACGGGCATGGATACAACCGCGACGGAATTGAGTGTCATTGAAAGTGTCTTCAGGCTCGGTGAGGGTGGACCTGGTGGTTTGGATGCCAGAATGAACGCCAATAAGGAGAGCATTGTGGAAAGCTTCTACTGAGAGGCCCGAAGCAATATCTTACAACGATACCAAGGAGTTATTCTCCAAGATAACGATCGATACGAGATGTGACGGGAACGGCCAGCCTTACCTCTGGCCGCATTGAGCGAAGGAGGCCTCGGACGATGCTATGAATTTGGATTCACAAACCATGCAATCAATCACGGCCTCCTATTTCCATGCTGCCCTACCATCATCACAGCTGTTTTGCTCCAGACGCAGCTGCCGACACTGCTTTCTCGGCAAGGGGACCCTTCGTCCCTAATCATAACCCTTGCAACTGAGTGGCTGGCTTGGAGAAAAGCTCTCTCGGCATGGAGAGGCAGATCCGAGGGTCACCGCCGTACCGTCCCTACAGTACCACCTCCGCAGATCACGAATACCGAGATCGAGAACTCAAGATTAGAGTTTTGGTTGGATGGATCAAGATCTTTTGATAATGGTTTGACAACGGCTGTGTTCAATAGTGATAGAGATTGAGGAAGAAGATTCTGAAGGAGGGTTGTTGGAAAAACCAACCCATCGTGTATTATTGTGATGCTTCATCCATCAATGAGTCTAAGTGATAACCTGCCTAAGACGACCGAGCTAGAATGGATTGGAATTTTCTGATCCGGACATCACAGAATGTTCCTGTAGTCTCTTCTTGTTGGGTTGGCAGTTTTCCGAAAATTTTGCCTTCGAGTCTACGCAGACCTATCAAGATTGACGAGGTCATGCCAGTGGTACATATATACAGATATCAAATTGCAGTTGACTGCAGTGCGGTGCGAAATGCAAGTTCTGAGTCGCCATCGCCGATAAAGCGAAGAGCTCCTTTCAGCCCCGTCCAGTGGCCAGCTCGTGATGTAAAACTGCGGAGGAGCGATCCCACTCTTATTCCTGTACCTGTTCATGGTGTGCTTCCTGGATTCGGAGTCCAGAGAGAAAATAAAAAATGTGGTATTGTGTCGCTCCTGGAGAACGCCTGCACACAACATGCCAAATCCATGCCAAAGCATTCCAGACATATCCCATTGCAATACAGTCCGGCTCCAAATAAATCTGTGTCGCTGATTGGAGCTCTCTTTCGTTCATCCTTCCAAAGTGGACTCTGCTCGCTTGTTGAAGTCATTGAAGACGGTGTCACCCTGCTTGCTCCTCCATAATAGGCTCAGGATTCCCAATCCCCCCATTCATCACCACATCTCCCTCCCCATCACCCTCATCTTCTTGTTGAGCGTGCGCCAAAACATCCGCCATACTCTTACCCTTGAAACTGGTGTCACCATATATGTCCGTCTCCATCTCTGCGTCTCCTTCGCTATCTCGAGGCGTACTACACGGTGGCGTCTCTACCGGAGGCGCAGGAGGCGGTGGCGGCGGCGGCGGGGTATCAATTTCCATATTCACTCTCTTTAACGGCGATCCTGGCGGCTCTTGATCGTTTCCCTCCTTTATGACTGTTGAATCCTCTCCGTCAGACCGCTTGCGTTTCAGCGTCGCGGCGCCATTCCGATCCGATGGTGATTGTGCGCTGGGTGTCGCTTCATTGTCCACGTCTTCATCTTCTGACATCTTGACGCCTTCCTCGTCATTCTCTAGCGAGATATCCCCCGTAGGAGGCAATCCAGCTGGCGAGGCAACGACCACCCCATCAACTGCGGTTGGTTGCTTCCCTTTTTCCCTAGCAGCTTTCTCCATCTCATGTTTCTTGTGCTTCTGATAGGCCTTCTCGAAGAATTGCTTGCAAAACTCCTTGACTTTCTTTTGCTGTCGCTCGTCAATTTTGGTCGGATCTTTTACCCTTCCAGCTTTGAAATCCGACGCCACCAGCTTTTTGGCGATCTCTTTCGCAAACCGTTTCAGATCGTCCCGCGGAATTTTGTGCTTGTATTTGTTCATGACCCGGGAGATGTGAGGGAAGAGCTCGGAATAATGTCAACCGGGAAACCAAAGGGCGCTGGACTTCATTCAATACTTACGGTATTTTCATACAGCTTCTTCTGCTTCTCTTCGTCGTACGATTTCCATTTCTCTTCCTTCTTTACTTTGGCCGGCTCGGGCGTATCGGGCGTCGTATTCTTGGCTTCCCGTTCTCGAGCAGTGACGATGTTGTCAATGATGCTCTTGAGCACGTCTTGTTCGGAAGGTTGTTTGAGTGGCGGCGGGGGTTGATCGGCTGGTTGTGTCGGTCGGGACCATGTTGTTTGACCAGTCGCTGAATAATAATATGTTCTTCCTTTGTCTTGGGCGGCAAACCAGCCTCGTGGTAACGGAGGCGGAGCTCGATGAAACGGACGTTGTGGATGAAAGCCGCCAGGTCGCTGCAGTGATCGTGGACCAGAAGGCGCGGAAAGATTTGCCGGGCCTCGTGGAGGACTACGTGACCGAGACCTGGATTTGGATCTCTTCCGTTCTTGGGCCGATTCTCGTCTTTCAAACGGCGTTGATTCGGTCTTGATGGGAGTCGACGCGTCATCTCTCTTCTTCCGTGGTATTCGGTAGGCCAATTCGAGTTTCGACCAGGCGTCGAGTAGTGCTGAGGCTTGAGACGATACTCTCTCGTCGGCGTGGCCGGTCAGAGGTTGTAAGGTTTTGTCAATCTTCGCGTCCACAATTTTGTTTCTGGTCAACCGAGGTAATCGATCGAGGATGTCCAGAATCTGGAGTATGATATTTTCGTCCTCACGCCACGCAGAAAGTTGAGAGTTGAGGATCTGATAGCCGTGGAATCTGACGACTCTGTGCCATGCCTGATCGTCATCACACCGCTGGATCCGCTGCAGAAGTTTGACAGCAATCCACTTTTCTTTACACTGCATGAGTGCAGCCATGACTTTGGTCACGCCCTCAGCACCCAGAGATTTCGCTTCAATGCTGTCCACGTATTCTTCATCATCTTCGGTTTGCTTTTTCTTCCGGGGACGTTTGGCCACCACGGTGTCCCATGAATCAGCATCTTCAATGCCTAGTGCTTCGATCATGGTGAGAGAAAGTTTGGTGGCTCTTTCAGTCTGGGTCTTGCCGCCGATGAAGCCCGTGCAGTTAGATTCGCCGCAGTAACAAGGTTGTGGGTTGGCGCCATAGCGATCGACATTGTAGTTGAAGACCAATTCTTCTCCAGCCTTGATATCGCGCTCGGCGAAGATGCCCATGCGAAGTTTGTCGCCCACCACCCATTTATCCACGTAGCAATTCGGATTACAGGAGTGGTTGCAGAATCGACCAAGATTGCCTTTCTTGGTGGCATCGATAAACTCACCCTTGCTCAGGGACATGAAGTAGAAGTGTTTGATGCCTTCCCCATCGTACTGAAGCATGCGTTTGCGAAAAGTGCCTTCCGGAATCGTTTCGCCAATATACTCGAAAATGAAATCATGTGGGCGAAGATTGACATTGGTTCGAAGGCCATAACCTTTCTTCTCGGTTTTGATGACCGACACATCCGCATACAGGCGCCGAAGAAATCTCTGGTTCTGGCATGATGTACCACAACCACAGTCATTGACACATTCCATCTTACAAGCGCGATTGATGCAGTCGGAATCCTCGCCGCATGCGAGGTTTCGCTGAGTGGTCGCGTCTGTATACGATGTGAGACGGTGTAAAGTACATATGGGAGGGGAAAAAAAAATGAAGACTCACCCCATTCTTCGGAGCAATCACAGTCGAGTGCATGTTCACTGAAGCCCAGATATTTATTTTGATAGGTGCAGGCATCGATGAGTGTGAATGTAGAGGTGGCTTCGGCCGTGGCGTCGGGAAGATGATCAAAGAGAGGAGCGACGCGCGGAGGCAGCTTGGACGCAGCTGTTCGGGGGGGGGCCTTCGCGGGCTTCGAGAGTTCCTTGGGCTCAGGCTTGCCAGGCGAGGTTGGGTTTGAGGTGGAGGTGTGAGTGTGACGGTGGCCATTCGAGTCCGACTCCTTCGCTTCGCTCTTGGCAGTCGCCGATGCCGTGTCCCGATCTGAGGTCAGAGGTCGGCGTGAGGACGCCGTCGAGGTGGACGGCGAGCGAGATTCTTTGCGTTGCGCGGCGGCGAGAGAGGGTGAATCTGGGGGGCTCGCCGCATTTTCCTGCTTGACTGCGGCCACGCGGGCGTTGCTCAGGTCGTCTGCAACCTCACTATCGACGGACTCCTCGCGCTTGACCTCAACCATAGTCTCCTCATCTGCATACTCCTGTCTGGAGGGGTTTCTGCTTAGACGACTCATTTTGACGGTGAACGGGACGATGTTCGAAGCCTGCGCGGGTGTTCTGGCCCCAAGGTGTCCGTCCAGGTGAGGTGGTGGAAAATTTCACGAGCCCCGTGTGCATCTAGGAGATACGAACCAGACAACCATTAAGTCCAAATCCAGGTCGATCTGTAGTCGGGATGATTCAAATCGGCATGGAAGATGGCTGCAAATACCCTGGCGGTGATGGTAGATGAGTACCAGTTCACTGAGGCCAGAAGGCGGATGAGATCGCCCGGCAACAGTGTCGGTCAATCAGCCAACGGCGGGGGAGTTTTGATTTTCCACTCAGCACTCGCGATACGCCTGCTGGCGGAGGCCTTTAGATAGAGAATGACAGTAGTGGCAGACGAGTCCACAGGAACGGACAAAAGAAAGGTGACGGAGCGAGAGCGACGAGAGCAGCAGCGGTGAAGAGGGGGCATTCAAACAAGGAGCATGAAGATGTGAAGAGAGTGTGTCTCTGGCGCTCTAGCTCCGCCCCTCACGACTGTCCCATGCACAGTCAAGAGTAGCATACAGGTAGCAAAGAAACAAAATCAGGCTCTTGCTGCGCAGGGAGAGGTTCAAGATTGTGCTGTCTAGGAGTCGTGATGACCAGGCGAGTGAAAAGGCTGAGCTGGGGATGAGAAGAATATTCATTGCGGCAGAGTTCCAACGTTTTGCCTTCGACAAGCCGCGCGCCAAGCCCCGGTGAGGCCCCGATGCCACTGCTATTCATGATCGTTGTTCATGTTCAAACATCCACATCCCTTTTTATTCTTATTTCTTCGGATTCTCATGCTCCCTGTCACTGTCAACTGTCGCTGTGTCGCTGTCGCATCCTCTCTATCTCCTCACCACCGCCCTTTTCATGGTCAATCCCAGTTCTGCCTAAATCTATTATATCCTCAAGCTTCCCTTTTGCACTCGGTCCGAGTGGTGATGTATTGGCAGCAGCAGCAGCAGCAGCAGCAGCATCAATCCTGCCGGTTAATGTCAGAGTCGGCTCGTCTAGGCACCATCTTAGCCTATTCGTTTGTTGGCTTGGTCCAATTTCTCTTGCTTTCTGCTGCTGTCATTTCGGGTGGTGAGGGTCCGCCCGAAAACGTCAGATACCGGGTCAGCTTTCTTCTTCATCTTTGGATCTGGTTCGGCTTTTGTTCTTAACCATGTCTACCAGACCCAGAATCGAACTTTTCGCTTGTCGTCCTTTGTCTACAGCCTTACCTTTCCACAATGATGATGTCTTGCCTGGTGATTGCGGACTGCTGATCGTGGGGTCTTCTGCTTGACCCCACGTCGATTGGGGAGAGGCCGTCATGGGTGATGCAGTGTGTTTCTGGGCATCCTCCCTATGTTTTGCCCGTTCTGCCTTCTCCGCGGCAATTAATTCTCGCCGTTCCTGTTTCCGCCTTTCGTATTCCTCTCGCGCAGCTTGCCGAAGCGCCCGGCTCACCTCGGTCACTCGGGCTTTGCGGGTGGAGAATTGTGTATAGTCTTTGATTTGATTTTTCGCCTCCTCTCCCATGGCCGCCCATTTTCCCGCCAGTCCGCTGATGGCCATCAACTTGGCATCTACTCGCCGCGTCAAATACACTTGCGGTTCCTTGTTCTGTTCCTTGGCTCGAGCCATGATTCGTTCAATCTCATCCCGGTATGCGGTTTCATATATATCCACGTCCGCCGCTCCGGGGCTTTCACTGACCACCGGTACCGTGTCCTCCTCTCCCTGGACGAACGTCCCGTCGTCGTCCGTTTGAGAACTGAGTCCGGAAAAAGTCGACGGTCCAATATACAGGTACAGCTGGTCTTCCAGAGGATCATGTGCGTGTCCTCGATGGCCGATCTCATCAGCAGTGTTTGCATGCGGCTTCCATGAGCGGAATGGCGGTAGCTTTTGTGGGTCGAGACTGTCCATCTCTCCTCCCGTTTGGATCCGCGAAATCGAGTCGTCCGTGTCGGTGCTTGTTTCGCTCAGCAAAGCCGCCGAATTGTGATCAATCTTCGGATTTGGGGCCTCCTTTTCCGTAACAGTAGTATCATCGATGCTCAAAGTAGGTACCGGTCGTACATGTGAGTTACTCATTTGCCGCCGAAGTCCTCCCGCTTCCCATTCTTCTTCTGGGCGCGCTCTACCGGGGGTGTTGAAACTGTGTGATTGGGGGGGACGATGGCCCCGTTCTTTTTGCATCGTTCCTGGAGGCTGGGAGAAGTGTGAACCTCCTTGTTCTCCCAAAATCGAATTCATGGGAGCTGGCTGATCCTTGTCCAAGAGAGACTTGAACTTGTTGACTGCTTTCACCTGTGACGCTATTAATCAATTTCTGGAGAGCCTTCTTTGAACAAACTTACCACTGTGATGAGATTTCTCATATTGTCCGTAATTGCGGCATTCATTTCAGCTTCGGTCGGCGGTTCCACCAAATCAGACGTGTTCTCCTCCTCCGATAGTAACTTGTCCGTCCCCCGTTTCGTGACCCATGGATGATCCTTGACACTATCAGCGCCGCTTGATCGTTAGATACCGAGACTTACCCTGAGCTCGGGCATCTTGATGCGTTTCTGGGGGTCTTTTTCCAGAATCCTCGACATCAGATCTCGAAAATCTTCGTCTCGTTCCGAGCCCAAATCAGGCTCCTCGGTCTTAATCGCTTCGTAGAGTTCGAAAATGCCGGTTCTCTCAAAGGGAATCCGGCCGTACTTCAAACAGTACAAGGTGACCCCCATGGACCAGATGTCTGCTGCCCGCCCCGACACATCCCCGTGTCGGGCCACACACAATTCGGGTGGGAGAAACGCGGGACTGCCCGCCGACTTTGCAGTAAGCATTTCCGAATCTTTGGCGAACATTTCCGAGACCCCAAAGTCAACAACTTTGAGTACGTCGTCTTCCGTGATCAGGCAATTGTCCGGTTTAATGTCACGATGAACCACTCCTTGAGCATGCAAGTATTCAATGCCCAAAATAAGATCTCGAAACCAATACCGGCAAACGTGGTCGGGATATGGATCTGCTCTTTCTTCCAGCCCCACCCTCATCACCACCCCCTTCTTGCACATCTCCATCACCATGTAGAGGGAGTCTTCGGTAGGATCATCCAACACCTCGATGAGCGACACCAGGTTTGGATGGTTCAGCTTTTTCATGATGGCAATTTCTTCTTTAATCAGGTCTATCGAATTGAGCGGTGATTCGCCATCCTTGCCCACGTTTCTATGCAAAGGTGAGTTAAAGCCTTGCAAAGCACCCCGACGTCTTTGGCCCAACGGTTTTCGAAGTATATGTGATTGTGCTCGTTTCCGGAGCCGGGCCTTGGAGAACTCTTTCACTGCCTGTAGCCCAGGGTTCAGCGTTATTCGGACAGGCGTGAAGGAGGACTCACATATTCCGTGCCATACTGATCAACCGCTAGATGAACAGCTCCAAAAGAACCGCGCCCAATCTCTTGCTTGATAATGTACTGATTAATGCGATGTTCCGCGACACCATCGTCCTGGCTCGTGATGTATTCAGAACGGGCATTAAGTGATTCCTGGACGGAGTGTGGTCAATAAATAGGTCGATATGGGGGTAATCGAAGCGAGATAACCTTGACATGCTTAGGGGCTGACGGAGTCCGGCGATGATGGCGAAGAGGACTATTGTGTTCCGGGCTGGACCTGTAGCGAGGTTAGACGATGCAAATAGCCAAAGCTCTACCAAAAAACTTACAGATGTTTGACAACTGTTGGCTTGCTGAGGGTGGATGGGTGGTCAGTGCCCTTGTCGAGGGGATCATGTGAAGGCAAACGCCCGCGGGGCTCAGGATTTAAGGCGGTGGGAAAGCGCACAACTTCCTCCGCCGACGTGGACGTAGGGGATGCAACGATATCCATGAGGCATTCGACATTGGTTTGGTGCCTCTGCAATAGTCAACCCAAAAAAAAAAAAAGGGTAGAAGAAGGCCCTTAGGAAGCCCAGGAGTTCAAGCGGTTAAGCAGAAAGTGGAGGGGTGTTGAATGACATGACACGAGGAATAAAGATATCCGCCGCACTTGCCGTTCTGGACTTTTACCGAAGTCGATCCAACGGGGCGTGTCTGATTGTTAGGACACCAGCGATTATTCCTACAGACATCGCGTACAATGTTTACTGGCATCTGAAAATTGTTTCGGAAAAAGTCGATTGGGTTGCATAGCACACTTCGCAGTCCCCCCGGCGTCGTCGTCTCTGGAAGCGACTCACGTCTTCCCGGTGGCAGACACGCGAGGCCTTCTGCAATGGTTGTCTACTCTTTTTACATATTTGATCGGCACGGTAAGAGGGCGAAGTTTGAGTGCAGAGTCTTTGTTGGGCTAACGGCTGCAGCCGAATGCATCTATAAGAAACGCTGGCTGCCTTCCTCGATTTCATCGTCTGGCAAATCCTCGAGACCGTCTTCGCAAGCATACGTCAACGGCGGCCCTCAAGCCCGTTCTATCCTGAGCGCAGATGACGATGCCAAACTCATCTTTGGAACAATCTTCTCTCTGCGGAATATGGTGCGCAAGCTAGGAGGAGAGGACGACAGGTCGGTGAGCTGCACCAAGTGTTGGACGGCCGGCTGATGGAGTGCGCAAGCTTTCTTTCCTACCGAACTTCACAATACAAACTTCATTACTACGAGACTCCAACAAATACCAAATTTGTGATGCTCACCGACACGAAATCGGGATCAATGCGAATCGCGTTGCAGCAAATATACGTCAACTGCTATGTGGAATATGTGGTCAAGAACCCACTCTCCCCAGTCGAACATCCGGGAGGCGTCGGTGTCAATAATGAGCTCTTCGAGGCCAGCCTGGAGCAATTTGTGGTATGTGAAATCTGTGCGAACCCCTTAGGATAGATTTCATGCTGATAAGATAATTTAGGATCGTGTCTTGAATGCAGCCTGATTCGGGTGAACGTTCTGGGAATCGTCCAGAACCTTGAATTCCTGCCACTCGATCCAAGTTCCAATCCATGCTCGACATGATGGACCTCCTTGGATCGGCTGACGAAGTATTGTCTTCCAATTCCCCGGAACGGAACGGTGGTCAGCTGGTAATTCGGCCCGGAGCGATCGTATATCCCAGAGTGTGGTCCAACTGGATGATACTGATGCCTCACGCCACTTCCGCAAGCAGGACGAGAAAAGAATCACTCCAGCCCCCACATCCCCCAAAATCAGTCGTGCAGACAATAATCAACATCGGTTACTCACGGTCGAAGCGAGGCTCGGCCTATCACGGCTGATCATAAAGGAAAGATCGTGCTTCCCTGGATTAGGATAACGATTTTGGTAGATTGTGGAACATGACGAAACAGATGCCCGTGATACATCGTCTAGCCCCTCACCCCCCAGGAGTCTCATGGCTGCGGCTCCCGTATCTAGAGGGGGTTGTGGGCTGCTCTGTTACTCACAGACCGGGGTTTGATGAAATTGGTCGTTGTAGTGCAAAGAACCAATGTGAGCTCAAAATCGGATATATGTTGTATGATTGGGTAGAGGGCGAAAATCCTGAACGCAAAGCTAGAGGAGGCCTGCATGGAAGTTGGACAAATCACAAAATTCAATGGGGAAAATGGCCAAAAAGCGCAGAAAATGCTGACCAGTGAGAGAGCGAGCTGCGTGTCGGAAAAAGAAAGACGTATTTTAGTTCAGCATTTTGAAGGACATTTGTGTTTTAATTTTTCAGCGCCGAGATACGAGCAGGATCATCATGATCAGCTCTCTCGGATGGCAATTGGCGAGAATGACGGCAACCGACGGGCCATCCCTGCTTCCACGTTCCCAGCCAGGCTGTCTCGTATTCGGGCGGAATTTGGACATTTGAGCTGGGATATTGCCCGGGGTTGAGTTGAAGTCGGTGTGGTTGATGCGGTCGGTGCGGTATATCCATGTTGGCCAGTCACGTGACGCGTTGCCTTGGCAGCGTCACGTGAGGCTGTTTGGCTTGGCAACTTGCGCCCTTCTGAGATAGAACAACAACACATTCCTTCTCTAGACTCCACAGTCTATCAATCCAGACCATGATAATGGGGAACTGGTGTCAATATCTGTATTTGTAAACTCCATCCCCACCTGCTTGCGGCCACTCTTTACGTTTGGTTACTGGGTCGACTCAACCAGCTGCCAGGCTAATGGGGCGGATATTGCGGCAAGATGCAGAACACTTTATCCGTAGACAGAGATCAAGTGCTAGCAAGGTAGACCCTCGCGACGGTGACGTGCACGAGACAACCAATGACAGATTGATGCTACATGAAGAGAGCACGGTGATCTCAACTCGTATACTGGAGGCGATACACAGGTGAAACCTTGCATGTCTTCGAGGAGCAGTGGTGAAAGAGAATGGGTGAGACCGAGTGGCTAGTTCCGTGCTCCCTTTGCTTTCAATATTTCGTGCTGATAAATTATTTACTGGGTTCCGGTTGGAGGTGGAAAGGGAATTGGAATGCTTCATCGATTCACATTGGCCCCCAAACACAAATTCGGTGCTATAAGTGGTGTACGGGAGGCAGCTGAAGACAGGCTTTGTCAAGCCGCCATGGCAAACTGCCGTACGGAGTATTGTACACAGGTCAATAGCTTCATAGGTCAACTATCAATGACGCTGGTACGGGGACATAGCCGCATGGCTGGCCCAACTGACAGGCTGAATAATGCCAATGTACTGTGATGGACCGACGGCAGATGTCATTGCGGGGTCCGGGGTTGACAGGAGATAGACAGGGTCTTGCATTGCTGAGACAAGCGCACGAAAGAGAAGATAGAGAACGAGAGTCGGAAGGAGGGAATTTGTGAGTACGAGCGAGGACAAGACGAGGCAGAGACAGTGGCAGGAACAGAGTCAGTCGTATTCTTATTGATTATGATTCCTTCTCGGAGGGGAATTTCTCTAAGACAGCTGCCAGCAAAGCTGAGCCCTGGGTCGCCGCTGGCGTGAGGTTCTATGTTTCTCGGGAGGGGCCGCCTTGGCATAGCAAGAAGATTCTTCTCGGGGAGAGGAGGGAGAAGCTCACGAGGGTACCGGTGCAGGTACCGAATCCTCACGAAAGTTAACGGGCGCAGGCTGAAAAGAGAAATTTTTAGAGTTCAGCTCCACTTGTTGTTGATTTCTCCATTCGTCTTGGGTCCATCACTCATCCGAACTTTACAGAGCACGAACCCCATCTTCGATCGGGCAAATTGCTGCAAGTTAAAACCGCTTACCCTTGACGGAGGAAAAAAAAAAAATTGGGTCGAGACAGACCAGTCCAACATCTCGCTCGGCGTCTTCCTTCTCCTGTCTCCAGGGGCCCTGGAGGCTCAGAACTCTAAATCCTGAAGAAAAACGAATCCTTGTCGTTGCATTACCCCTGTCTCCGACCCTAGTCAACCACGCTTGCCTAGTCCCAGAAAACGCATTCGGTGTCGTCGAAAGGTCGCATTCTCCATCCAATCCTACTCAGAATCTCCTGCTTCTCGTATGCAATTTGCTCCCACTCCTACCTTCAGGCTCCTTTTCCTGCTCATTCAACCCGTGTCCGTGGCCCACGGTCCATGGGGCCTGCCCGCGGTTCAGCGTTTAGCTCTTTCCCCCAGCTAACGAGGCAGGATGGGCAGTTCCCTATATTCCGTTGATTGGCGAAGAGCAAAAACACATGGCGGGGAGGATGCTGCAGAAAACGCATTGCGCCACCGACATTTGGCGAGTTGAACCTCATTGCCGCACCTTTCGTGCCTCTCTCCAAGGCTCCTAGGCTCCTGCCTCTCTCGGCTCAGCATCTGAGACTGGTGATTGGGCTGTGGTGGGTTTCGACGGCATCAATCCATACAAACTGGAGTTACAACTGGTCCAACCATGGCACAATCTAAGGTTGTGGCGTGCCTGACAGCAATCCCTACCATTATCCATCTACCCGCGCACACCAAGGGCATCGAATCCCTCGGTCCCCACTTGCCACAAGCGACGACCGATGAGATGCTTATGGTGCCCGTTGTACGGAATTACCTTTCGCTCACACTCACGTCCAGGGATTCATTGATGGTCAGCTGCAGGTCCCAGAACCTTCAGGAACCCGTCCTACCAACTTCCCCCAGTCTTGAAGTGACGAGACCCATCCGTTGTCGACATCCACCGTTCCGAATTCCATCAGGCCAAACCACCTGCCACTGAATCCTCTTCATATTGTGCGACATGGGTGAGCCCTGACACACCCTTTCCTCCTCTAGACCAAAAGGACTCTGCCCTTTTGCGCGTTCTCAAAATTCCTTCCCCATCATCCTTTTTTTCCTTCGCCCTCCTTAATGCGAACAACATCTCACACTGAGGATCTGGTCCGTCATATGGTCTTCGTCCCCCCTACCCTCCATTACATTACCCTCCCCGCACCGACCCGTGGTACATCACTTCTACCCTCCATCACGCGACTTGATCTGGACCTCAATTCCCCTCGACCTTGACCATTCTCGACCATTCAAACCGTCGTCATGAGAATATAGAGTCATCCTGTCTGGCGCACTGCCTCGCGAACAACAGCTAGCAATGTCCGCGTCGAATTTGAGAGGCTTCTGCCCGCCTCCCTTCTTACAAGAAACCCTCTTCCCAGACACCGGTGGATGTACGTACCCGTCTCACGCGAGCACCGAACGAATTCATCACTCACCATATCTAGTTATAAGCGGACGGTTTTGTATGCCAATAGCCCAACTTCAGAACCTGACTTGTTGCTTGCCTTGCCCAACCACCGACTGGACATATTCCGATGGTATGTATATCATCCAAGAGCAATCTGAACTCGCATGCTGAGGGTGGGCAGGATTTGAACGCCGGACGGAAATTGCCAACTGGGTCAATTTGGCAGCTTTTCTGCTGTCCGTGTATCTTCTGGTTTCCTTCGTCGTTCTTCCAGTCAAGTATACTCACAGACATTATCTGAGTGTCTGCGTTACCTTGGGGGTGGTCTTTATGGAGGTTTGTCGGCCTTGCATGTTGTCGTCAGGAACTCGATTTAACGCAATGTTTGCAGCTTGCCTTCATTGTTCCATTAGCCGCGAGGCCCGACCAATGTTTCAACGAAATCACTCCAAATGATATGAAGTCCAGCGGTTCTTGCGCAATCAGCGGTGCATTCTTGCTGTTTGGGGGCTGGGCTGTTGTCATTTGGGTATTCTGCCGAGCGCTTGCTCTTCATCTCCAAATTTGCTGGGAAGTGGTACCAGGAGACAAGTTCTTCTATTCCTCACTGGCATTTGGGTGGCTCATTCCCATCATTGGCCTGGCTCTTACTCTGAGCTTGACCGGCGTCTCGTTCCGATTCGGAGATGTCTGCCATATCAATCACAAAGATGCTCTGGAGGATTTTTGGGGGCCTCTCCTCGCCTTTGCGGCTTTGGGCTTGGTCCTTCAGTTCGTCACCGTCGGTTACTGCATCCATGTCTACATCAAGAGCCTTCTCGATGACAAGAATACCACCAATACCAGTTCTCAGGCTCCGACTTATTCAGGCAGCTTGAGGACGATATCTGCCAGACAAACCTACCGCCGAGTGAAAAGAGTCGTAGAGCTGCAATGGCGTGGTGCAGCCATTGTGCTCGTCCTTATTGCCGAAGTCGTCTTCTTCTCGGTGGTGTTTGTGTCCATGGACAACAGCTCTCAGGTCAACGCAGAGCTTTTGGCGAAGGCCACAAATTGGCTCGAATGCCTCGTCAACACTCAAGGCGACAAAAACAAATGTCTACCATTGGCCAGTGGTCTGGTGCAATCAGAAGGCATTGTCCTGGCAGTGCTCATCGTTCTTGGGGTGAGCTGAACATCTTCCCTTTTTTCCTGGATATGCTTCTAATAGACATCCTAGTTGAGCGGTTTTTGGTGTTTGGTATTTTTTGGCCGATGGTCCATGACTCATGGGTGGAGGGAATTTTTCCAGACAAAATTCCGACGAAACAATGAATTCGTCTCGGCTGATGCCAGACGATTATCGAACGACCCTCGTACGTACGAAATGCTGAGCGGAACAGCGCCTCAACTGAACATCAAATCGCCAGATCGAGTATTGACCAGCCCCAATCCACGGCCAGCCTTTTCCCCCGGCCCAGACTCAAAGCAGGATTATTTTGGCTCTGCTCGTGCCTATGTCAATCCAGTATCGAGTTATTCCTACCCAAGAGTTCCCAGCCAAAATAGAGACTGGGATCCGAAATCCACACACGCGAGATCAGCAGAAGTATCCGGAACTGGATATGACATGAAAACTTTTCCGGGATGAACAACGCCCTCGACACCCTCGCTATTCTCCTCCCTATGTTAATGCAAATAGTCATACTGCACGTTTCAGCGTAAGGCGCCAAAGGATTGATTATGGGCTCGCACAGTTATCTGCGCCCCTTGCGGTTTGGATGGGGAATGGCTGTTTGAACACACACACACTCACACACACATATATATATATGTATATTACAGCAGTGTGCCCATGTATGGTGAGTTGTATGAAGTTTTATATGTTGTTAAGATCGACCGTCGGAAGAGAGAAATATATTTTGTATAGCTCAGCTCGACATCCTATCGGTTGGAAAAAGGCATAAACTGGTGAGAATCAGTGTCTCATTGAGCTAGAAAGACGGGAAATGTCCCCCGTGCGTCCGATTTTGAGGCTTTTGTTTTGAGTCAATATTTGGCACCTCATCTTTGTCGATACAGCAGAGCATCGCTTCACAGCGGGAAAAAGCGCGCAAGCAATCGATGTCGGAGACGAATTATCGGGTTATGAGAGCGCCTTGTTATCACTGGAAAAAGAAGCAAAGAAATGCGAAATACCCTTGTCATTGTTTGAGGCAGGGGGGACTGGTTCCTGAATTGCCATTTGATTTAAGAGAGGAATGAATGGATGAGGGAAAGGAAAGTCACGGAACTGACACTGGATGGAAGGTCGGATAGATGAGAATGAACAGAAGAGAAGGAAAAGACACTTGAGATCATGATAGAAGTGATGTTGATATAGTCCAAAGACGTGGGAGGCGTCAATATCATCCTGACAGGAGTGAGGATGTTGTAGAGCACTGAGGAGATGAAAATACTGAAATCAAATCGAAATCGAAATCGACACTATGTATCTATCTGTTTCAGCACATAATTCTTCATGGATTTGATTTTTGTTGTAAGCCGTAGTCACCCGTTTGAAAATCGAAACCTTGCTGATCAGACTCAAGTCTTGTGTAGGTAACAATGCGTGCCACTTTCGTTGACTTGGACGGAAAGTAATCAAATACAAGCAATTAGAATCTCTCCGAGCGCGTCAAGAGTTGCAGGAAATCTCCCCCCCGGTTAGTGCCTCCGCTTTTGGAGGTGTTTTCTCGATGCTAAGAACGATAACCCGGTCCGCACCCCAATCCAGATTGACTTTCCATTCATATTAGCATCATACGGACTAGAACAGTCCACCTTAGAAACAGCCAGGAGACCGTCAATTCCCTGAAAGAATGGATACCTTCGACCGCACCGTTCCGAACAGGCCGCGTCGGGGGCATGTAGGGAGGGTCCCTCCGGATTCTTCCCTCACAATGCCTCAGAGAGAAGGGCCTTCTCTGACTTTCACGAAATCGTCTTGCACCACGTCCCATCTCCCATCTTCCATCTCCTTTTATGCATTCGACCGACCCTGCCAAGTTTTACGTTTAAACCGACCGCCGAGAATATTGTTTCTCTCTCTCTTCCATGAGGAATTCCTCCCCTGATCATGCTATCCTACAGCCAAATTACTACTTCACATCATCTACTACCACTGGGAGGGGGAAGGGGAAGGAGTTGGAGAGAAAAGGGCTTTCGTGGAGGCGGTGGGGCTGTGCAACATCTCAATCAGAGGCCAACGGCCCAATACTCCCCTGAGCATTATCGACGACATCGACAACAACTTCGTTGAGAAGGGTACCATAAAGAAACAGCATGCGGACTCGAACAAAAAAAATATTTAAGGAGTGATGATGAAATGGACAAGGTAAGGACATACGTCCTATAAGACATACAGAGAAGTCGGTTTCCGGCAAGCCGAGCCCACATCCGCGGGCATTCAATCGTCACCCGCGAAAGCGTTACGTTACCACTCCTACCTCTACTATTTTCAGCGATTAGGCCGCTAGGTAGGATTAATGCAAATCCTGGGAGGCTATGTCATCCGGAGGGAAGCTGCTGAGTCTATTGAAGGTGTGTGATACCCACCCGATACGAGCCAATCGAACTGATACTGACATCCTATAGTTGTTGCAACTCAACCTCGGCTTCAACAAGCTATGTGCCATGGGGACGCAGGTATCTATCAGGCGGTCATCCATCAACGCGTCCCATGCGACGTACAAGCTGCCTTCCTTGGCCAACCTTCGCCCAGAGTTCTGTTTGAAGCAGTCACACATGTGAGTCGCTATGCTCACCCGCGAACGCCGACAGGGTTTACTTCGGATAAAGTGAACGCTCTCAAGGCGGACCCGGTGATTGACCAAAAGCTACCCGACAGCAGTTCTTTGACACCATTGGCACAATTGAGATAAATAATCAACCTGGCCTCTTTATGCTTGATCTCGACAAGGGAGACTGGGAGCCCAAAAGGGAAGAGCACTACTTGGAAGAACGGCGAGTTTGTTGCAGACCTTATTTGCAAGGATCTCTGTGAGCTTGGCGACGAGGACAAGTTCTATCACAGGCGTATGCCTCCGTCGCCTGGTGCCAAAGGAAAGACATTCCGCTGCGGCACAAACCGGATCTTACATAGGGAATTCAACATAACGGCGGATCGCTAGACCGTCTGCTGTTTCCCAAGGGCCCCACAACTTCTTCACGGTATACAAAACTCGGAATCATGCCGAACCCCATCTCAAACAATTCAGAGAAATGATGGCATCCCCTGCCAGGACCCAGAATGTCAAGCTTCCACTGCCCTTCATGGGGGCATATGCACTTCAAGTACCGTGAAGTACGTCTGCACAATTACGATATCTTTCGGAAACGCAGCTAATCACCACGCTCTAACAATCCGGTGTATTTTTTAGACGAACATGAAGCCATGGGTTCCTAGTCATTGAGACGGCCTGCACTGCCCTTGTCCTGCCGGCGGAATGGGAACGGATGTTCCTTTATTAACGCAACCAGTGTCTTTTGGCAGTCGCTTCTCCGACAACTGCCTGCTTCAGAGGCTTCTCAAGGATCTTTTGGAGGCAACTCCTCTGGTTGACTACCCTATATGTCGAGGTCAATGCAAGTGAAGGGCGATGGTGGATGAGGGGAAGCCCACGTCACCTGCTTGTTCTCGCCATGGCCGAGTGCCCTGATGAACCGGAAGCCATGTGCCTGATCACTCTTTGTCCTTCATTCGCTCTTGAAACCATTTTCGTATTCTAATGCGGTTCCGTTCTGAGACCCCGGGGAAGCCTCATGGGGCTCCAGCGTGGCAGCTGCAGAGACTGTTGGAATGTAAGTGCGTGACCAAATGATGTCAATAACGCAAGATCACTGTCTGAACATCTGACTATTTCTACATATAGAGACGAATCACAGACCGACCTGAGGCTTTTATCGGAAAGTTCTGATCCTTCTCAGTAGAAGTCTCAAGACATCTGAGGGTGCATGAGGCTCCTGACTTGTCGCAGTGGCAGAGTAACTTGGCGTTTAGGGATCAATTTCTATGCTCCAGACTCGCTACTCCGCCACGTCACGGGGGTCCAAAGGAAACCTTTCGATCGAACAAAAATGAAGCCCTAGGGTCTTGGTCGGCGCTAGCTCGTTTTGACATTGCTTGCGATGCTTATAACTGACGAGACGATGGCCTAGCATCGACGCAATGACCTTCTCTTCCTCCCGGCTTCGCTTTTAGCAATCTGTGTCTATGTTTAGATGAATGGGCCATGTAGAGAAGAGCAAGGCCAAGAACGACGCCGTATGGCAAGCGAAGATCCAGTGTCGAGGCTTTGTATAAACAGAAGACTGCCACTCCGGATATATTTATATATATATATGTATGAAACTCACGTCCTGCTTGTGAAATCAACAAGTTTTCCATTCAGTCTATATTTCCTTACTGTTGAAGACACGATCCTTTGCAGCAATAATCTTCCCAGAGAATCAAAACCTACCATCACATTTTTGTTGTTCAAGCTTCCATCGACCACCAGCAAAAAATGAAGGCCACAACCATCTTCGTTGGACTCTCTGCTGTCCTCAGTACCGTCATGGCTCTTCCTCAACCTCCTCCAAACGCCGTGGATACAGGGATAGCCGTTCAGGGAGAAGATTGCACCACGAGCGCCGAGTGTCCTGACGGTACTATATGCGTACGCGACCCGAGGAGGTCGGCTGGTGTTTGTTCTGGACGCCTGGCACCAGGCAACCCATGCAGAAACGACTTTGTGAGAATTCGGTCATCTGCTTTTTCCCGGCATTGTTGCTGACTTGCGAGCTCGGGACTGTGCTAGCTTCCAGTGCCTCTTTGGCCAAAACCCCCCCGTATGCGCGTGAAAACATCCACAGCCCACAATAAAATTGGGAGGCTTGCAAGGTTGCACAGAGGCGTGCAGACCCAGAATGGTAGGACACATCTAAGCTGAATTTCCGGAGAACATTGCGACGGTCCTTACTTGTGAGAGATATTTGCGCTTGTTAGCCATTGCTTCAGTTCTACAACTCACCAATACAGTCATTGACCAAGTCTTGAACCATCTCCAAGGACTGGAATTGGAAAGCAGGAGGAACCATCGTAGACATCTTGGCCTCTTGTCAAATACAGTCCCAGCACGAATAACAAATCTCTCCAGATACATACCTAAAGCCCAGGGCTCTCCTGCCTCTGGTGCTTCGGATTGCTCAGCGATAAGCTATAGCCCCGTCGACGGCATTAAACATCCCACAGCAGAGGATTTCGAAGAAGGCCGCCGACTTCACAAATTTTCCTGCGAGATTTGGAAAGACAACTACAACAGCTCGGACTGCCCCGATATGTTTTGGCACGTCCTCCACAGGGGCTTCAAACCAAACAAAGCTTCGAGGCGTAGTACAGATGTGGGGGACACTAGCAGCGACCGTAAGTACTTTCCATGACAAATCTATGTTTTGAAGCTGATTTATCTGACGTGAGGTAATGGCACTGCGCATCAACGACACTCTGTGGGATAGAGCAATCCTGTCATATCTGGGACAAGAGGGGAAAGAAAAGGAGCAAGGGAATACCGCAATGGCAAATGCTGACTGAAGTAGTCGTTGTTATGGTCTATCTGTGTCTTGTTGTTCTGAGGGTTGTGTGGGAGAGCAGGAGTGGAAGGAGTAAACGAGTGCTCTAGTGGGCTAGTCCCAACTAGGCCTAGCGTGACACGTGACAAATCTGAATTTTCTGGTATATTGTCATTCATTGCGAATTGTCCTGGACTTTGAGCTTCAGCATATGCTGATCTCCTGAAATTTCTTCGCTTCCCTAACGTCTGATCTCGTTAGCACGCCCAACCAGTTCGATATCACTCGATGTTGGTGTATGTTTGTAATTATGTCATGTGGCGCGCATCACACCCAGCTTTGAGGGCGGCCTCTTTTCCATGTTCCCATTTCCCCTCAAAGCAGAAGTGATTGAGATTGCAGGAGCAGCCGATGCCAAATCTTCCGAGGGTGGAGTTATGTTTATTTCAGGGACAGCCATCGTATGAGGAGCCATTGGGAGGATCATGTGTGGATCTTGCGGAGGAATCAACCAGCTGACTTGCTGATCTTGCTGACTGCTTGCCTCTTGGTGTTTCATTGCTTTGATTTTCAATTTCAAGCGAGCCAAATGTCTGCCGATTGACCGAAATTCGCTTCCCGGGAAGAAGTATCTCGGTTACGTTGGTAGTCACATGGAATACTTGGGGAATGGGTTCTTTATTCCAATCACTGCCTTTGAGGATAGGTTACCCGACAAAGCCTCTTAGGAAAACACCGCGCAGCCGTCGTTGAATGTCTAACAAAGCATCTCACAGCCATAAAGAGTTCCTCGCGGGTACAATCAAGCATGCAAGGACAGCTCGATCAGATATTCAGCCTCAATCCGTGAGTGTCAACGATGGAAGCAACTGAAACATTCTATGTCTTTTTGGCTCCACATATCGGCAATCTATAGCTTGGAGTCCGACCGAATTTGTACGTCGTGTCTGTTAAGTTCCTTCAGACTCTTCTTGCCGACTTGACCCAACATGTTGTCCATGTCAGCCAGGAGACATCTGAGAATATGTTCCACACCTTCCTGCCCATGAATGGCAAGACCATACATATATGGTCGACCAATACAAACAGCTTTTGCACCCAAGGCCAACGCCTTTATAACATCGCTGCCGGTGCGAATGCCACTGTCAAAGATGAGAGTCAATGTAGATCTCTGGATCCTTTCATCAGCGGCAATTTCAGCAAGGGCATCCAGTGAGGCGATGGCGCCATCGCACTGTCGGCCCCCGTGGTTTGACACAATGATGCCATCCATGCCATGGTCGATAGCTCTGTGGGCATCATCAACCGTCTGAATGCCTTTCAGGACAATTGGACCGTCCCATAGCTTGCGCAAAATCTCCAGGTGTTTCCATTCACGGTACGTTCCCGAGTTCATAACATCTAGCCATGCCTTTGACTTTTGCAAGAGCTGGATGTTCGAAAGGACCCGAGCTGCGCCAGAAACTGATCCGGGACTTTTCATGGTCGCCCATAGTTCAGCCAACTTTTCTCCGTAACCCCTTTTATCCATTTTCTGAACTTCTTCATATCTTTGATTGAAGACGGGGTCTGAATGTCCAATCTGACAGCCATCGCCCCAAATAAAGGGCAGGTAGGCCGTGTCGAGATCGACTGGTCTCCAGGCAAGGTTGAAAGTGTCTAAAGTGACCACAAGGACCTTGTAGCCGTTCGCTTTGGCCCGGTTGAGCAGGCTCACAGTAACATCTTCCCATTGGGGCCTGGGCCAATAAAGCTGATACCAACGATCCCCATCGCCATTGGCTTCGGCAACCTGCTCAATGGTTCTCGTGGCAGCGGAGGACAGAATCATGGGGACACCGAGTTTACGGCAGGCTTTTGCCGTGGCTTCTTCGGCGTCTCGATGCATGATATTTTGGACGCCGACTGGTGCAACCAAGAGCGGGCTCTTGTATTTGGTCCCAAACAGTTCTACACTCGTATCTCGCTGAGTGGCATTGACCAGCATGTGTGGTCGGAGACGGTATCGATCAAAGGCTGCAATGTTGGCGGCATGGGTCTGTCCACTGCTGGCTGAGCCAGAGACATAGCCGAAGTTGGGAGCAGGGACTTTAGAACGAGCCAATGCTTCCCATTCAGCCGGCTTGGTGGAGAAGATTGGAGCCCGGAGCGAGGAGTAGATCTCTCGCTGGTACGCAGAGTGACTGTGTGGATCGGGCTCTGTATACGGCTGATTCCATTGGGACTCAGTCTTGTTGGCCATGGTGGAGATGGTGTGAAAGCAGAAACTGGTACTAGTCAATAGAAAGGGAGAGATTCAAGCGTTGAGCTGCGGGGAGTAAGCTTGAATATAGGAACGGAGGTGAGATGAAATCCCAGAGCATTTGATACCGAGGTTGAAAATACGAGGTACGCGGATAATACAATGTTATGATTGGTCGATTAGCGATGCACACCCAGTCGGGACTAGCGAATTTGGTAAGGAGATCTCTGCCGATCATTAGCCGTATTAGTACTAGAACACTTGCTAACTGCTGTTGGGTCTGTGCTGAGCCAAATGACGTACGATGAGCTTCACTTCTGGCAGGCGCTCAGCTGCACTCTTTCATATTCCAAAGTTTCTCTTCAGCTGATGGCTGTGATGCAGGAATATTGCCTCTGGCGTTGATTATAATTCTCCGGGACGCTGCCTACTGAAAAGAGCATCACATCTTCTGGCCCTTTTATCTCTCCCTTCCTCATTATCCCTTAACCTATCGACCATCATGGCCTCCAAGGAGGTTCAGAATAATTTCGACGTTGACTATGCCATTAGCTTCAGAGTCCCTAACGACGGTAGAATTCCTTGTCCTTTCTCCTCCACGTCGGACTCTAACAGTTCATAGACAAGGAATCTGGAGTTGCTCAATTCAAAAAACTCATTCGAGTCCTTGCCGAGACTGGTTTGACTACCGAAGTACGACGAGGCGATGAAACATCCTTACTGGTCTTCGTAAAGGCTGCCGATGAAAAAGTCTTGGCCGATGTTGTGTACAGATCTAGAATCAGGGATTGGCTGCATGGCATTCGACAGATTCAACCTAGCAATGACCCTGCCCAAATCCTGACTGCGGAGCCATTGACCAACGCCGAAAGACATCGTCAAATCCACCACATGATATGCTGTCCACGTGAAGAAGGCGGAGCTGGTATAACACCCAAGCATGGTGAATGGGAAGCTGTGGAGGCGGTATTTCCCTTACACGATCGTGTCAAGAACAAGAAGTGGTTGTCTGAATTCTCTCGAAAGACCTTTCTAACACCGGACGACCTGGATGAGATCAGGAATACGGTGGGCGAAAAGGTTCGTTGCCCGCTCGTACACCATCGGCTCCAATGAACGAGACTGATCCCTGCAGATTGGCTACTACTACGCGTTCCTTCAATCCTATTTCTCCTTCATGATCTTCCCGGCAGTCTTTGGCTTTTCATGCTGGGTCCTGTTCGGTAACTTCTCAGCAATCTATGCGATTGTCAACGGTCTTTGGTGTGTCGTATTCGTCGAGTACTGGAAACGTCAAGAGCAGGAACTCGCTATTCGATGGAATGTGAAGAACGTGTCTGCTATTGAAGATCGGAGAAAGGAGTTTGTGCCTGAAGAGATTGCAACAGACTCCGTCACCGGCGAAGAGGTTGCTTTCTTCCCCGCCAAGAAGCGAATCCAGAGACAACTCCTACAAATCCCCCTCGCATTTCTCTGTGTTGTGGCGCTCGGGGCAGTCATCTGCTCTTCCTATGCCGTTGAAATCTTCATCTCCGAGGTCTACGATGGTCCCTTGAAATCGATCCTTGTCTTCCTGCCTACGATCATTCTCACCCTAGCGGTACCTACGATCAGCACCTTTCTCACACAGTTTGCGGAACGGCTCACCCTCTACGAAAATTACGAAACTCAAGAGTCACACGACAAAGCCATGATCTCGAAAGTCTTTGTCATCAACTTCATCACCTCATACACTGCGATATTCTTGACCTCATTTGTGTACGTTCCATTCGCGTCGATCCTGGTCCCTTACCTCGACATTTTCAGCCTGACCGTCAAGCCATTCGCCGAGAATGAGAAGCACCGGGAAACCATTCCTCCGGGCGCGTTCAGCATCAATCCTAACCGTCTAAGGAACCAAATGATCTACTTTGCGGTGACCGCACAAGTGGTCAACTTTGCCATGGAGACTCTGATGCCGCTTGTCACTCAGAAAGGGACAAAGAAGTACAAAGAAATGCAATCATCTCGAGCCGAGAAGAACGGCGGAGCAACGCCATCCATTTCTGCAAACGACCCGCCCGAGGAGAAGGAATTCCTCGCCCAAGTGCGCGAAGAAGTCGCCCTCCCCGAATACGATGTCACATCTGACCTCCGGGAAATGTGTATCCAATTCGGCTACTTGTCCTTGTTTTCCGTGATCTGGCCTCTGACTCCAGTCTCCTACTTTATCAACAACTGGATCGAATTACGCGGCGACACATTCAAGCTCACTGTGGAATCCCGCCGGCCCAATCCATCGCGAGTCGACAGCATTGGGCCTTGGCTCAACAGTCTCGAGTTCCTTGCTTGGCTCGGCAGCCTAACATCCGCGGCGCTCGTCTACATGTTTAGCGGTGGCGACGGGCCCGATGGGAAGCCACACGCAATTAAGCTCTGGGCTCTGCTCCTTTGCGTCTTCCTGTCTGAGCACATCTTCCTTGTTGTCCGACTCCTGGTGCGCTCGGCCATAAGCAAGCTCGACAGCGCTGCGATGCGCAAGGACCGAAGCCAGCGCTTCATGGTCCGCAAGAAGTACCTGGAAGACGCCGGGCTCGCAGATGCAATTAAGCCACTGTCTTCACCACCAAATGGTCCGCTCAAGACCGAGCCAGGTGTGAACATGTTCGCAGAGATCACGAAGCAGAGTCTTGAGGAGGACGCTAGGAACGACAGTCTCAAGTCTTCCAGCCCCGCGGAGCGCTTTTGGAATCGTCAGCGCAGCTGGGTTGAAACGGAGAAGGTTGGCATCGGTATGATTGACGTGATGGATCTCAAGGGAAGCAGGGAGGAGAAGAAGAAGCAGTAATAGTGAGTCGCTGACCGACGAGGGGGAAGGAAGATGGAGTTTATGTGTTACTTTCTGGATTGGGGCGGTATTCTCTTCAGTGTACGTGGTGTTTGAGACCTGATGTGTTCATGAGTGAAATGTGGTGGACGGCACGAGTAATCATCATCATGCCTGATTAAGCGAACTCTGCTGAGCTTCGTTTTAGGTTTGACTTGGTCGGGATCCTGGCGTCGCCTAGCAATCCTTGCACTCCGAATGAGAAACGATCGGGGTAAATAACGTTAGGCATTAGGTCATATTATGGCGTGACAGGACAGAACAAATAACAGTGCCCAAAGGAATATAAAATTGAAGAAATCCAATACTAGGAATGGTATAGTAAGTGAAGAATACTTCAAAGTCCAAGAGTCCATTCCTTGCGCCAGCGCCACTTGAGTTGAAAAGCCAGAGCTAGTAAGAAAATAAAAACCTCGCTTTGCCATGCTCACCCGTCGCCTGATTGAAACTGAAGAACCCTGTCGAGATTGAATAGAACGCCGTTCATATGGTCGAACGAGACTAGAAATCGAGGATTAGAAGAGAGGATAAGGGTGAAGCCGTGGTCGAGAATGGGAGTGGAAATAATCGAGGTGTCAAGGAGGTGCCTGTCGGCTGAGAGTCGATGAAGGACCGATTCAGAGGTTCAGAGATGGGAGGATCTGCGAGGCGAGGCTTAATGAAGACGCAAAGATATTCGGATTGCCGCTAGTCGGAGTAGAGTAAGAAGAGTTTGAGTGCTGAGTGGCGAGTCGTCATTTGATGCTTGACAGTAGTTGAAAAGTTGGAATTGATTTGACGGTCGTGGTAGCGCCAAATTAGTCCCCTGATGGACTTCCTGGCTTTTGAGGAGGTTGCGTGGTCGAATGATGAGAAGGATATTTTATGAAAATGTCGTTTCAAGCGTTTGATGAGGTGTTTACGGGCCGAGAAAAGATGGAATTCTTTTTGATATCACAACGTTGTGTAAATTCGGAGTAGGAAGGCATTTTGAGAGAATTATGGCTTCCTCATTGGTATAAGATGTTTCCTGGTTCTTAATAAAGTTCCCGGGTCCGTCTTGCGCAGCTGAACATACACCAATCACACTAGGGATCAATGATCGTCAGTTCCGGACATCTTTTCACTTTCTCCTAGGTTCCCTGTGAGAAAATGGAAGACAGTGCAACGTACAGTTTTCTCATCACAACCTGTATTATGAAGCACGCAATAGCTGCTCTTGCATCTCTTGCAAATCCGAGCTGATAGGGGCGCACAAAGCTTGCACACACGACCACATTCGAAACAGTCTCGGGTCACAGCGGCTTCGCCGGGAAGGAGTGGGAGTTGCAAATCGTGATGAGGTTGAAGATGCTGCTGCTGCAGGAGAAAAATGATGGTGAGTGTCAGTCTGCCTATTTGGAGGGACAGTGGAGAAAAAGTGAAGGAGAGGACGACAACAGGCAAAATGGAGTGGGCAGGTGATGATTGTGAGAGGCAGTGTCAGCATCAGTAGCGGTCGGCTCGCTCGATGGCGGTGGGTAGTGAAGAAGCAGATGTTCCATCTTGGACTGTCGAGAAGCTGCTCCCTTCTTATTGAACTTCTTCAGCGATTCTTTTTTCTTTTCCGAACGACGTTGAGAATCATCCCCACATACCGCCACCGCCGGCCCCGGTCATCCATTCGCCAACAAGACAGTTCTGAACGCAAAGCCGATTAAATACCTTGATGTGGTCGCCACCATCTGCATCCGTGGCCCCGTTCTCAATTTCCTCCCTGGAGGGGAAGTAGGAAAGTCCTGCCCGACTCAGCCTTTCCAGGTCACTGAGTTTCTTCGACGTTTTCGGATTGTAGCAATCGGCGCACCACCATCGGTGACAACTTTCACAGTATCGATTCGTCAGACACCAAGTACAGGAAACGATCAATCGTTGAGGGAGGATTCTCCCGTCTTCGGTCGTCCGGAGTGGAGGTCGAACGGCATCAACGAGTTTCCCTGTCGTGGGAGGGGGCCAGAGCAGAGGGAATTCACGGAAGTCGCTTTTGCCCCAGACAGGCGCGCCATGTGGGTTTCGGCCGCAGCCTGCACATCCCCCGGGGCCGAGAGACACGGTGGCCATAGGGGGTATGCCAGGTTTGTTCTCCATCAAATAATCTCGAGAGGCAGCGTGCAGAACCGGAGCCATGTCGACGTGCATGTGAGTACATAACACAGCATCGAAGCTGATTATCCCATGACAGGTCTGGAGAGTTTCTTCCCATGCGCATCGTTGAGCATGACCTTGGGAAATAACCTGACCGCTGGGTGCATACCATGGTTCAAGTTCATTCGAGACAGCCTTCCCATCGGCGGTGACCATCCCCGCACCAAGCGGCGCGCCTTGCGAGATTGTTACCCCTAAGGTGACGAAATTGTAGTCGTATGCGTGTTGATTGAGCGAAACAGGGTTTGTGAACACGTAGAGACCCTGCAAGCGTGGAGTGCCTTCTGGTCTGCTCGGTCGGCAGAGGTGGCGGAGAAGCTGTTGTAGCTTTGACTGATTGACATTCAGACATCGACGAATGCTAAGTAACCGCACATTATACTCCGGAGCAAGAACAATATCGCTGACCAGATCATGAGTAACGGAAGCCAGCTCATCGAGCACCAAAGTTTGCACATGTTGCAATACTTTCATGCGGCGTAATTTCCACAGGACACCACGGAGTGGTCCGGCATAGAACTCGTCTTCGGTCAGATTCTCGTCCATCCGTTCGGCACGCCAGGAATGACCGCCGGAATCTATTCTCGTCAATAAATTCGGGGGCACATATGCACCGCGACATTGCGAAAGGTCCACGTAGCGGAAGACGCTAGCTGTCTGGAAGAGCAGATCGCGAAAAGCGTGGGATGTCCTGGAAAGCGAGAAGATGGTTGATAGAGGTAGGTATGGAAGGGTGGTGTCAAGAATGACCGTATTGGATAGGAGGTCGAGAAGGGATGGCGGTAAGAGATATGGTGATATTGATCCCTCCAGGGACATGGTTAGAGAGAGGACAAGAGCACCCCCGCTCCTTGACCCGATGGTCGAACGAGTTTGAGTCGCAGGACTTCAGCTTGAGATGAGCCAGGCACAAAAAAGGAGGAAAGAGGAATGAAAGGCAGGACGAGGAAGAGAGTCGGTCAGGTGTGATGAGAAAGGGACGATGGCGCGACAGTTGGCGAGATGGGCTGATGAGTCTGGAGTCTGGAGGCACAAGACCAACGCAAACCAGCGAAGCCGACGAAGCCAACGCAATGCCAAACGGTGAGGCGATGACCCCCTAGTCCCGATTGGGCCTCTTCTTGTTGAGCCGCCATACCGCATACAGTTTAGTCCCATACTCCAAAACTAACCCCGTTCTAATGGGTCATGCGATGTATCACAGAGTATCAGGAACAGAAGGCCAGGTACTGCAATGTATGGCATGTCAAGTACCAGTTACGCATGAACTACTATTCAAACAATCTTTTCCCCCATCTCCGTGGGACATTGTGAAGCTAGAAATGTCGGCCATTGATGCCCTCTTGTATAAACTACAAGTAATCTGTACTGCTGCCTGCACCTTCACACCCTCTCTACTTTCCCAGGTATTTTCCGATGTTGCCCAAGGTCCAGTCCTTCCCCTGGCTTCCCAGAACTTCGTTGTAAACGCCTCGCTCGATGCCTTGTAGTTGAATTGTTCAAGAGCTGATTGCACCATTTGGAACGACCGTCAAAAATAAAATCCTTCACAACTCCCTTCCGCCCACAACTGGGGTAGTGCCAACGGTTCTAAGGCCACTCTGCTGCCACGCCATGCTTGGCATGATGGCCAAGGTGTCATTTAGATTTCCTCCCATACTGCTCATCGTGGTGAATCCGCTGAAGTAGAAGCCCATAATGACCACAAGATAGGTCATCACCAGAATACTACCTTTGAAGTAGTTGCTCTTCCCCTCGCCATACATGTAGCTCAGAAGGAACACGCATAAGATGATGGTGACCATGTCCCATTGCGGGAAGATGAGATTGAAGGTGTGATCAATGAGGTCAGTCGGATCATAAAATCGCCCTGAAACCGCCGAAAAGAGGACCAAGGCTGGGATCTGAAGCAAGCACACTTGCAACGCGTAGGCTGATCCAATCTCCATGCTCAGTGCAATGTTGCCGTTCATGGCAAACGATATCGCATTCAGGAACTCCGTCGTGTTTGGTACCAATGCAAACAATGTGATCCCGAGGAACTTCTCGTCAATGTCAATCGAATTTAGCACAACATCCACCGTGTTGACCAGAATCTCAGCAACAACGGCGTATGCCACTGTCGCCGTCAACAGGATAACGTACGACTTTGTCCGCGACCAATTCGGGGCGTTATGCCCCCCGCCTTCGCCACTAGCATGGACAGCCTGCTCCGCTGCGGGATTCACGTATGATTCCTCCATGGTAGTGTCCCGGCGGGTCACCGACGGTCTGCTGGTTTTGTCGGGTTTGTCGCCTTTGTACGCATGTGTTGCCTGGTACGATGCCGTACGAGGGTGATTGACCGCATCTCTCGCCGCGACCGTCGCCGCCGTGGCGGCCATCTCAGCAACTTGTCGAACAAGATTGTTGTTGTCTTCCTCCGACAAGCCGGGTACGACAGGCCACAGGACCGGACTGCGGACGGTTTCCGATCCGTGACTGGATTTCGGTGGCACGACGTGAGGTAAATCGCCTTTTGTTGGATGGTCAACCGCGTGAAGATGCCCATCTGCCTTGGCTGCATTTGATGCCTCTCGATCAGGACCATCAACGTCTGCGAGTCCGGCCGACCGCAGAGACTGTCCTAGGATCCGTCTATACAGCTGCGACTCCCTGATCGCAGATCTGGGGACATAAGACCCATTCGGGCTCGCGTTTTGCAGAGTCTGCGAGTTGACCACACTCTGTTGTCGAGTATCCATCGGACTGACGTCAGCGGTTTGTCCTTGCTGAGGCTTTTTCTCGTCGCTGTCAGTACTCCAGATAATGGCAGCATGCGTTCGCAGCGTGAAGAGCAATCCAATGATGTAGGATGAGAAAAGAAGAACTGCTGCGAACCAGCAATATGGCCGGACGGCCTGGACGAAAAAGTCGTCGCTAACGGCTGGGACCTGGCGAAAGTAACAATGACGGCAGTCTCTTGGATTGTCCTCATCTGCAGTCGTACATGATTTGCAGATCAATTCATGGCTTCCGTAAATTTTGTAAAACAAGGTGGGACCGAAAGCCGCAATCACAGCAAAGAGTAACATGGTGGAGGTTGCGCCGGCGGATTTGACATTGAATCGTTGAGTCTTTCGTTTGATGGCCCCAGAACACATCGACAATCCGGGGAGGAGAAGAATACCCGCAAATATACTGCCGATGATGCTTCCTTCCACCAAAGGGGCTTTACCCTCGTTCAGAGCAATACAGTACAGATACACTTCGACGATGGTCGAGAAAAAGGCGTTGACCGCAGCTCCCATGCCCATGGACGACTGTGCCGAAATAGACGCCACCGCCTGGCCAATGAAATAGGCCAAGGGAATAATGGAGATGAGTGCCAGTGTGAACATGAGTGCGGGACTCGTGAGCCAAATGTTGAGACCAAGGCCTTCCTTCAGGACAAAGTAGTCCAGAATGACGAAGACGACGATCGCCAGGAAGTTGATGAGGAAGATATTGGTGCCATCAACCGTGTATTTCCAATACTTCGTTCCGACCGCCCGGTAGGTGCAAAGGATGATCGACGATGGTTTGGTGGAGTTTCGAGCGTGTGAAACATCACGATGGAAGGTCAACGACAGAGGACGTTTTCGCAGGTGGTAGAAGAGAATGAGTGTGACCCGACCCATGGGGATCCAGAAAACCATCAGCCAACATATCATGGAAACCAGGAGCATCAGAGGTGCCACGTTGAAGTAGAAGAAAACGAAGAAGATGACCCGGCCCAAAGTCCATTGACCGCGTCCGAAAAGTCGACGTTTCGTTTTGGTGCTGACGCCGGTGTCTGCTCTGTCTGTTCTCCCACTTCGAGCGAGAAGGCTGTCGTTCTCGTTGGCCGAGTCGATACTGTTCCTGTGTCGCCCCACGATGGAACCGCTATGGGTGAGAGTTGGTCCGAACATCAGTCGACCATATTCAAGATCACCGCTCTGCCATCTTTCATACTCGCTAATGCTCCGGCCTTCGCCTTCATCTTCTTCGACATAATTCTCATCCTGTTCAAGTTTGACGAATTTGCCAAACGGCCAGAAAAGGTAACCGGAGAGGCCCAAAAAGACTCGGCCATATGCAGCCGCACTGGGGTCAAAGGCAAATAAATAGCAAGCGAGCGCACCAATGGTCGCCGCGGCGGCCAGCCACCAGCCAAAAAGGACCGTCCATAGACAGTTAAATGCCCACAACCACTTGCTCACGATTTGGCTGGGGGAGGAGTGGATATCTTCCTCGGCTCCTTTCTCGACCGATCTATTCTTTTTGTACAAGGCCGGCTTCCAGATCCGGATACCAAACGGGTGGGTTTGGTTGATGGCCAGCTGTCGGTCTTTCAAAGTAAAACTCTCGGCATCGCTTAGATCTTGTTCCTCCGATTCTTCCAATCCCGCATCTTCCCCATCCGCTGTATTCTCTTCTGACTGGTCCAGGACAGGTCCCTCTTGATTCATTTCCTCGGCCTCTTCCTCGGCCGAATCAACACGCGGTAGCTGAGGCTGAGCGGCAACGTTTCGTCGACGAACTGTGGATTGCTGTCGAGTGAGGGTGGGAAAAGGTTGTAGGCTAGGTGTGAGGGGAGTTCGATCTTCCTCCACCTCGGAAGGATCGTCGTCGACGGAAAACTGTTCTCCTCGGTGTGGCAGTTGTTTCCGTGTAGAAGCTCTCCTCATCGGCGCGGGCTTCTTGGGCTTCGTGTTTTGCGGCGACAGAGGTGTCATACCTGAAGATCCGTCTGCACCATCATCGGAGCGGTAGGAACTGCGTGGTTTTTGACTGCTGGAAGCTGGAACATTGCTAAGGGTGCCTATTACTCAATCAGAATGTAATCTCAACTTGGTTGTGCCATTGTTTACCATAATCACGTCGAATCGTCGTATCTTGACCAGAGCTCTCGTCGATTCGTTCGAGATTCTCGGGGACAGATCTCGAGATAAATTGTGAATCCTGAGCCGGTTTGATGCCGGGACTCTTCTGAGAAGTATCACCGGGCGACATACTGATCGCGGAGCTGGCTTGTTCTTTATTTTCCCCACCCGTAGAGAGGAAGACGGGTGCACTGCCGAGTTATGGTTGTGATGGAATTGTCAGAGTGCTGGACAGCCAGGCAAAGTGATGCCTGGAACAGGCTCGCCGACGCATCAGATGGACATAGAATATCGGTCGAGTCAGATGATTGTCGATAGAGATACAGGTGGGGATAATGAAGCTGCTCGGCTGAGGGAGTGGTGCAGTGCTCGTGCACGGGTCGTGCACGGTCCTGCAGGTTTGTGCTCCGTGTGTGCCAGACAACACGTCAATTGATACACGTGCGACTGGCAGTCCAGAGAAAGAACTGATGAGGTAAAGGATGGCGTCCAAGTCTTAGCAACAGCGCACACAACAACCTTGGAGGTTTGACAGGGAAACAGGCCAAGTGGATAAACAGACGGATTATGGGGCAGGATGTGTAATAAAAGCCAGCTGGAGGTACCAGTATCTAGCATCTAGGCATCCCCCAAGGCGCTTCCAGGCGAGACCCCTTAGCCGAAAATCCCGAGCAATCAGCGCCAAAACAAAGTAAATTCAAATTTGATTTGACCCTCGCCTGGTTCTGGGCAATCCCTCGGCCCATTGATGTCAAATGCTCCGCCGTTTGCCGCTAGCCGCGTCGGACGCCCAACCAATCAAAAGTGAACCGCAGGTGGCCACTTTACAATTGCCCGGAGGCTGCTATCAGAAGGCGCGTCAGCCTCTCTTCAGACGCCTTTGCTCGTCCATCACTTTCCATTAACAGCTTTCCCCCTGCCTTGATCGTCTCATTCCTACTCTGAGAGCGCTCTACTCCTCAATCCTTCCCTCATGCACCATGGCGCTCGATAACTTCTATCACAACAAGATCGAATCCCTCAAGCTTGAGATCATCCAAGGCCAGGCAGTCCTACGGCGGTTAGAAGCACAACGAAATGACTACAACTCAAGAGTGCGACTGTTACGGGAAGAGCTGGGTCTACTACAGCAGCCGGGGTCTTATGTCGGCGAAGTAGTCAAGGTGATGAGTACCAAGAAGGTTCTGGTCAAAGTACATCCCGAAGGCAAATATGGTCAGTTTGTCGGAGATTATTTGGACGGTGAAATCGTACTGACAGAAATACAGTTGTCGATATTGCAGACAGTGTTGACATTGCCAAATTGACCGTCGGCAAGCGAGTGTCCCTTCTCTCCGATTCCTACAAACTGGAGAAAATATTGCCTTCATCAGTCGATCCTTTGGTTTCTCTCATGATGGTCGAGAAGGTCCCTGACAGCACATATGACATGATCGGTGGACTAGATCAACAGATCAAGGAAATCAAAGAAGTCATCGAACTCGGACTGAATCATCCCGAACTTTTCGAATCACTAGGCATCGCTCAACCCAAAGGAGTTCTTCTCTACGGCCCGCCTGGAACTGGAAAAACACTACTGGCTCGAGCCGTCGCCCATCATGCCGACTGCAAATTTATCCGAGTTTCAGGGTCAGAGTTGGTCCAGAAATACATTGGTGAAGGCAGCAGAATGGTTCGAGAGCTTTTCGTCATGGCAAGAGAGCACGCCCCGAGCATTATCTTCATGGACGAGATCGACAGTATAGGTTCTAGCCGTGTGGAAGGAAGCAGTGGCGGAGATTCCGAAGTGCAGCGCACGATGTTGGAGCTCCTGAATCAGCTGGATGGTTTCGAACCCACCAAGAACATCAAGGTTATCATGGCCACGAATCGTCTCGACATCTTGGACCCGGCTCTTTTAAGACCGGGCCGCATCGACCGCAAAATCGAATTCCCGCCCCCGACCCTGGAAGCACGAGCTGATATTCTGAGAATTCACTCCCGAAGTATGAATCTGACCAGAGGAATCGACTTGAAGAAGATCGCCGAGAAGATGAACGGCTGTTCTGGAGCAGAACTGAAGGGTGTATGCACGGAAGCTGGTATGTTTGCACTGCGGGAGAGGAGAGTTCACGTCACCCAAGAAGATTTTGATCTGGCCACAGCCAAAGTCCTGAACAAACATGACGACAAGGAGGTGTCGCTGGGCAAATTATGGAAGTAGGCTTTTGGTGCCTTCTAGTCACAATTTTTGTTTCTGCATGGCGCCGTATGTAATACTATCAAAGTCCAGAGGGAAAAGGGATAAAAGATTGATACAGCCATAGGGGGATGCAACGTGAGATATTCATCCCTTTCATATAAACGGAATACCGGAAGAAATCATTGTCATTATTGTTACATCCCCTTTTATCAAGCCTGTCTATCTGTTCGATTTGTCTATGATCTATATTCTATCTATTACACGGTAGTCAATTCTAACTGGGATGTATCAGTTTAAATCCATATATCCTCCTTTGAAGTGAGTCTGACAACCCGAAATGATCTTTTCTTTTATGGTCGAACTTGTAGCCACGTCATCATTTCTTCGCCCCTTCCCGTCCACGGTCTTTTCTTTTCGTCAATGCTCATACACCATGGCCCCTTCAACGTGGGACCAAAACTCCTCGGCCAGTTCCTTCTGCCCGCTCGTCGCACCCTTGATGGCAAGATATTTGCGATGATCAACGGGAATATCCCAGGTTCCCGGGTTGCCGTCGACAATAATTCCGCCCGCCTCGCTAAGGATAACCCATCCAGCGCAGACGTCCCACGCCCAACATCCTCCTTCCCAGTATACGTCGAGTGTACCCTCAGCGATGGCGCACAGATTCAGAGCCGCACTCCCCAGGGCGCGCGCGCTGTGCACCATGGCGCCGCCCTCTTCCTTGCTCCGCCCCAGCCTCGCCCACGTGTCGCATTTGGTCTTCCAGTTTGCGCCGGACCGGTCGGAGCCAAACTCAATGACCACGACGCAGCCATCGAGACCCTCAAGTGCTTCGGGTTCCTTGAGAGGTAATCGTTGCGGATGAGACTGGATCTCTGGACCGCCATAAGGTCCCGTCTCGTGCAGAAAACTGCCCTGGCCCCGGATCCCACTGTACAATTTGCGCGTAAAGGGGTTGTAGACAACGCCGACTGTAGGGATGCGGTCAACGGTAAAGCCCAGGCTGACACTGACGTAGGGGTGGCGGTGGACGAAGTTGGTGGTGCCGTCGATCGGGTCGACGACAAATGTTGGTTCGGGCCCTAGCTTCATGCCTGGTACGTATGTCTCTTCGCCCATGAATTGGAAGGTTGGATACATCGTCTTCAGCTCGGATGAGATGAAGTGTTCTACCGCTTGGTCCGTTTCCGTTACCAGGTCTGCCGAGTTCTTCTTCGTCCCGGACGACGTGGCGCTGGGGTTTGCACTGGCGATCATATCCCCGGCTTTTAGCGCAATGGCGACGAGGTTATCGCGCAGTTTGGGAAGATCGATATTTGTGGATGCCATCTTATGCCTGGGTTTTGAAATTCCCACTCTGTGGTAAGGAATCAAATTGAAGTGACACCGTTAAGAAGCCGAGTTTCGTTCTGATATTCTCTTTTGTTGATAAGTTTGGGAGTATCAAAAGCACAGAAGAGCTCAAAATTGGCCTCGTTCTGCAGTGTGAGGGGCGTGGGGTCGCTGCTAGGCTGAGATTCAACCCTTTTCTTCTCTCCTAGCAACCAAATCACCAGATTGATGATTCTCCCTTTGCCGTTATACAAGATGTATCCTGCGTATCCGGTCAAATCATCAGAGGTCCAAATATCTTGATTCCAGTGCCAAATCCGGTTGGTATGTGTACACCAAAAATGATCTAACATATTTTACATGGAAGAGTGTATGCGCAGAAGAGATCTCTCGCTTGCTCGTTCGCTCAAAAAATTCATCAAAGAGAAAAGATCACGAAACAAGCCCTTCACATTAGGTTGGGTCTGAACGGGCATCTTCGTATCTCACATCATCACTCTCTTCAGAACTATCACTGCCCATTCTCCTATGCTCGCCCATGGGCACCGCCATTCCAATGGCAGATATTCGCTGCGAGCCTATTCTCGAAGCATCCCAATTTAAAGGTTTTCGTTTGATCCCCTGCCGCTGAGGCTTGCTGAAGCCAAATGAAAGAGGACGCATTAATTGTTCGACATCGCCGAGTCCCAGACCCTTTTCTCGCGTACCGAACGATAGCACAGGATCGTCCAATGCTCTGCGGTACGCACGAGTCTCTAGCCTCTGCTGGCGCCAATCTTCATATCTTCGTCGCACCGGGGTACAGAAACGAAAGAGGAAGAAAATTATTCCAATGAAGGCAAGTACAGGTACAACCACGGCGGCGGCGATCTCTCCTGCGGAGAGACCATTTGCCCCATCTGAATCGGCCGACGACGATGAACCCGATCCAGAGCCCGAACCTGAGCCTGAGCCTGAACCCGAGCCCGAGCCGGAGTCTGAGCCTGATCCTGAGCCTGAGCCTGAATTTGATCCCGACCCTGACCCCGACCCCGACGAATCGCCGCCTCCAGTTGTCGTAGGTACTACCGAATTCGCTGTTCCACTAGAGACTGAGGTGGTGAAAAAGGTAGCTGGAACTGTGGTGGTAGTGTCAATGAGGCTGGAAGATGAAGCACCGGCCGAAACACCGCCTGTGGACAACTGAGTGGCCGTGCCTGTGACAGTTATGCTTTCTACCCCACCCGTGCCTGTAACTGACGATCCATCCGACAATGATGTGCTCTCTGCATCACTCGTCTGAGCTGTAGCCGTACCTGAAGAAGATGATGGTGATGCGGTAACTGGAGAGGGAGCGATGATCGTCGCTGGGTCTGGGGGGGAGGGTAGTCCATTTGCTGCAGTAGTTATGCCCAATAACTCGCTTGCCACGCTTTTTAACGGGTTTAAAGGATCGATGATGTTTCGCGGACGAAAGGGAATGGCGTGCACGGAGTGCGCGGTGAAGTAAAGGAATAAAAAGACATCCAGGTGACGCATCGTCCGCGTCTGTTGCTGGATCTTGGACGAGTATTTATTGATATGTCGAGGCTAAACCCAGCTATCGTGGGGGCCGAAAAGGGGTAGACAAGACAGAACTTTCAAATTTGCCGTGGACGCATCAGAGAAATAAAGAAACAAATGGGCCGTTCACGCCGTGAAGAAGAGTACCTAAGGAGATGTCGATAGAAACATTTCTCAATCGCAGGGCATGTCAGGCCGTACATATTCCAACCAGAGGGTCAAGAATTCCCCGATAACTGCATTAGGCTTACCAGTGGCTTGTATGCGCGAGCGAATCCATCCTGGGGCTGAGTAGCCGCGACACCAAAGCGCATCAAACGCTATTCGTTTCAGGTATTTAGAGCGAGGCAGAACACGTTCGTTGTGCAGGGTCGTAGGGCGAAATAAGACTAGGATTGCGCCCTGGGAGAGTTTGGTGGGGGACATTTGCTCTGCTCATTCTCTGCAACCATTGGTTTCCCAAGGACGGCGCTCAATCTTCTTCGAAGTTTGTAGGACATTGTGAGATGAAACGCGCAAAAACATTCTGCAACGAGGATGTACCAGAACGGAGTGAGGGATGAGTCGCGGTACAGCTGAAGAGGATTAAGCGGCTTGTTCTCGTGGAGTGGCCCGGGTGAAAAGGCAATCATCAACCATGAAGAGTGAGATTTGTCAAAGCAAACACGATGGAAGGAGGATGGAGATAGGAGCATTTCAGGGGGTTGATCCATTGGTGTCCCCGGCTTGCGGAGGCGTAATAAGGCGGCCGCTGACCGATCCCTGTTTCGGAAGAGTCTGATGCCGCTCTGTACTCTCGCACGCGCTCATGAGCATCGGCCAGTTTCCTTCCCATCCACCTCGACGACGCTTTCCCCTCCTTTACCACGCAGCCACGACGAATCGCCCTCTACTTCCACAAATTCCCTACAATAGCTGTAATGCCACCCCGGGACACCGTGCTCCAGCATGAGAGCCTCTACAGAGCTGGCAATTGGTTTTTCCCCAGTATAGCGATGCTCGATCGGAATGTGGGACGGAGTCTTAAATTCCCAGCATGGTATCTGGTATTCCATCTACTGTCAAGCTTACCCTAGACAACCAATCAACCCGTGCGGATCTCCCATCCTCATCGCCTGTGTATCAAAGAATTACGCCATCGGAGTGCTGTGCTCTGACCGACGGACTCCACATTAATACCCTCCACATGTCGCTTTGTTGAGCGCTAGGAATCTAGGCATATAAATCTTCGCCTCCAGATGTGTGACCAGGCGTTCACAGAGAGATAGATATCCAGAGATGGAAACAGAGATGTGAAGATTTTGGTGACTGAAAATGGCTGCAAACACTATCATCCGGGAGCACTCGCTCTTGAGGTCCCCAAAGAAAAGCGTCCACAGAATGTCGTGTGAGAATCCGTATGTATTGGGCCTTGCCTTTGTACGTCGAAAGAGAATGACAAGTGGTCACTGGTACTGATAGCATTTAGTTCGCATCTATAGGAGATTTTCTATTTAGCTACGACCCTGGAGTGGTCTCTGGAACCCTCACCATGGAGACTATTCCCCCGAATCCACTCAAATAGCGGATTCAGGGTCGGTTCGTGTCGATTCTTTAAGTATATAACCACGCTCGGTCCAGAACTTGGCGGGAGAATAAATCGCAGCTATTTGGCTTGGATCGCACCTCAGCGGTGCGGTCGTATTCATTCTATGCTCGGCTACTCAAGCCGGAACGGTATCCGTCAACATGATGTTCGCAGGCGTGTATACCGACATTGGCGCGATCTGTAATTAACTATTCTCCAGGTCGTAATATTGTCGGGCTGTCGGTGGGCATGTTGACCATGACTGTCCCATATACGTGTCAGGTCTCGGGGCCTGGTATTCGTGGTGCTTTGGTAGTTCTTCAGCAGTGTAGGTAGAGTGTGTTGTTTTTTTTACCGCGCAGCTGAGTCGTGACGGCGATGTCGAGAAGGTTGTTACCAAACAAGAAGTGGCATCGGCTCTGCGGACAGACCCCTCGTATTTGTATAAAGCAGCCTCGCTCTAAGATATATTCAGTTAGCTCATTAGTGTTTCCCCCGCTGCTACAAGATCCATTGTTTCTTCAGGCCCGATGGTGCAGGTCGGTTGATCATGCCCTCCTTCGTCATCTTCACGATGCTCAATGCAGAGCCTCTGCGCTGTCGTCAACAATGCTGCCTGTCCTCCGCCATAGTCATCTTTGCATCCGACCTGCACTGGACAATCTACGAAACTTGAAGCCCGCAGCACCGAATGGTCGCAATCCCCTCCTCACCTCGTCGTGTGTTCGCTACATGTTCCTCTCCTCATCCTCAACCGATCCTATCACCATATCTCGGGACCGTCAGAACGTCACAATCCGCCTGCAAGATGAAAGCTTCATCACGCGGAAAATCTCGCTCACGCCCAAAGTGAGCACAGAGAAGATTGCCGAATCTTTGGTTCCATTACTTTCGCCCCCAAAACGGTCGAATTCGATAGCGTCAGGCTGGCCACTAGCTGGACCGCAATCCTTCGGCTCTCTCGAATGGGAACTCGATCCCTTGGGCGATGCCATTCACCGGCATCTAGCTCTATCATCCGCGGAGGAATGCGACAGAGTCATCCAGCTGATTATGGATGAAGCCGACAAATTAAATCACCATCCGCATATTGCTCGGGGGAGTTGGAATCAAGATCCAGATAATTGTATCACAGTCACGTGCACGACGCATAGTCCTCGAGGGCTTAGTGCTCGGGATACGAGGCTGGCCATGAGAATAAACGAACTACTGGCGGGACAGCAAGTGACGGAACCAGCCCGAGGGACAAATCAGGATGCAACAGTGGAACAGATCACGCGGCAACGTGATCGTATGATAGGAACCAATCGACAGAGGATAATGGAAGCCCTAGAAAGTTGCAGCTGCAGCTCGGACAAGACTTAGCTGATCCTCCTGCTGGTCGGGAACAGCCTTGTCTGCCCATCTGCCCAACAATCTACACCAAAGTTCCATCTTGGCGGACAGTCTTTCCGACTTTTATTTGGCAACTTGCCATGAAGTCGTACACTCCGCCAAAAGCTTGGATAAACCGGAAAGCACAGTGGCAGTGGCATCAATACTTGATCTCATTGTTTAATAATAATCAGGCATCCGAATCTATTCATTACCGCACCTCGAACCAATGGCCATGTCTATCTGCTTGCAAAACTAGAACCACTAGCGCACCACTCCATGCTCCATCACTGGACAACCTTTCGCTTATTGGTCGAATCGACCGAATATGTACAGAGTTGATCGAGATGTTCAGTGGAACAAAGTATTGTCTCTGCAAGAGATTTTGGGTGAGGGCCGTTCTCCTCATTGATCCTTTTGGATTGCTTTCTTGTTCTCCCGTTTCTTTTGCGCCGAAGCACTTCCAGCTTCCGTGTTCATCACGGCATCCCACCATCGGAAAGAGCTGGAGTAATTTCCAATGAATTTTTCATGATGCACATCGTGATGGTCGGCGCCCGCCCAGAAAGGCAAGAAGTGATGCAAACTCCAGGGAAACTCATAACCAGAGTGGGCATCAATGGCCTGGAAAAGGCGACCAACAATCCAGAGGTACATGGTCACCACGTGTAAGTTCCTGGTCAGCGCGCAGAAGATGATCGGGATGCCAACGGTGCCGAACGCGAGGATCATAGTCTCGATCGGCGAGGCATATTCTGCGGCGAGTCCAAATGGCGCGCTGTATTGGTGATGAAGCTTGTGAATCATCTTGTACAGGCGAGGTGTGTGCAGGGCTCGGTGGAACCAGTAGTGCCATGTATCTTCAAGGACAAAGAACAGGGCAATTTGCCATGCCATGGTGTACCAAGGAGGGAAGGGAACGCTGGTCGACAAGCCGAAGTATTGAGCCACAGGGTGGAATAGCCAAATTTGTGGGAGTTCGACGGTGAAATGAGATAAGAGAACGAGCTTGGCGCAAGCCCATTGTTCGGCCAGAGTAGGCATCTTTTGCTGCAGACTGTTAGCACGAATATTCGCGAAGCCATGTGCAAGACACGTACACCTTGAATCTTATATCGGCGGAAGTATGGGATTTTGTCCATGACCACAAACGGCAGACAACGACCAAAGTAAACCACCTCGTGCATCATGAAGGACATGATTCCGGTAGCGAGAACGTCATTTTGCATGTAGGCGTACCATGCCGCCCAGGCTCTTTCGAAAATGTTTAAGTGGATGTTGTACTGCGAGATATCGTTAAAGTACTCGGCATAGGTAACGGGAGCAGCATAGGTGGAATTCCTAGGGGGCTCTGTTAATAAAACATTTGGCATTCACCGGGGGTGGTGCACATACATTTTGGCTCCGGAGGAAGGTCAAGGTCCTGAGCAACACCAATCCTAGGAGGTGTGGGTGAACTAAACGAGAGAAAGGATGGAAAGGAAGAAGTGAAAATGAACGCGGATGAATTGCAGTTCAATCTGGTGTCTCTACTTTCTCGTCAATTGGAGGTGGTTTCAGTGGGAGATTTTATTGGGTCGGGAATCGAGTGGCCTCACTCGGGCATCCGTATCCGATCGAATTGCGGTGGACTGACCAGTGGCGTGGATATCAAGCTTTGATTTTTCAGTCCCTGTTCCTGCAGCCGCAGATTCGCAGGAATCGGCCCCGTGATCTTGCCGAGTATCGCCGAAGTCAGGATATTTTCTCATACAACAAACATACCAAACATACCAAGAGATGAGGACGGACGATATCGTAAAGCCTATCCCAGGAATTGGTTCTGGCGCACTTATTCCGCAAAGCAAGATACGTCCCCCATGAAGCTAATAGCCAATCCCCGGAGGAAGAGCAGCGAGGCATCGAGTTCACTGTATCGATCAAATATACGATCTCACGTCTGTGGGCTCTGTGCTAATGTCACCCTGACGTCACGGAAAGGGCCTTGGGAAATGGTAATTCAATCAAGAATTCGCACTCCAAGCTGCGCGGATGAACATCTCAACTTGGTCTCCTATTCGGGACATTCTCGATGGCTTCTTGCGTTATGATACCTCTGGACCACATGTCTCTCAATACGTGCCGTCTTTGATTTAATCATCCTCAATTCTGGAAGACGGGACCTAAAAAGCAACCGTCCTTCAATGTCAGAGAATTCATCTGACGGCTCAGAAAAACTCTCGGTCAAGTATTTGATGTCGTCTCTGGGATCCTGATATTTTACACAACCTGTTCGAATGCAAACATGATTACTTTTACCCGGCTGAAACAAGTCGCCCTGCCTGAAAGTCCTTCATCCATGTTCCAACGCCTAGAACCCATCTTCCTAAAAACCTCGACCACGATGCTCTCTCACATTATTGAACTTTCTCTTCAAAGATGATAGAGAATGGCTTCGGATACGAAGTGTACTTGTCTACGGGTTCGAGAACATAATCCGGATTCTCTAGCGTCAACTAGATCATCGCCCTTGGTCAGCTCTTCTTTTCATCAAAAGGAAACTCCAATCTGTAAACTTACGTTGAATTCCAACAATAGTCTTGGAATGACTTTCTTCATCTCCAGTTCGGCGATGTGCCTTCCGAGACACACCCGTTTACCAGCTCCGAATCCCAGCACCGTCTTCTCCATCTGAAGACGCCTGGGTTCATCGGCTTCCAACCATCGATCTGGTCGGAACCTGCGTGCATCCTTCCCAAAGACCGAAACATCACGGTGAACGATGTCCGCAGGAACACCAACCACGGTACCGCCAGGGAACCATTGTCCTGCAATCTCTGCACCGCCTGCGGGGACCTCGCGTTCAAGAAGGATAGTGAAGAACTGGTACAGACGCATGGTTTCTTTAATCACGGCGCTAAGATACTTTAACTTGTCCGCCTCAGTATATCGAGGAGGATTGGAAAGGTGGCCGGCGGCCATGGCAGAATCCATTTCGTTCTTCAGCTTTTGGAGCGAGTCCGGGTTCCTGAGGAGGAAGTAGAGAATGGTCGTCATGGTGAATGCCGAGGTATCAAAGCCAGCAGAGATCGTCGACGAGATCATCCTGATTAGAACCTCCGGTCTCACATTCTCCTTATTTCTTTCCCCCCCCTGAATGTATTTTGTCAAAAGATCAGGCTGCAGGTTGAATTTCTCTTTTAGGTTCGGCTGCTGGTGCCTTTGGAATTCTTCAATGGCCATTGCTGTCCAGACAGGAGGCTTCGAGACACCCCTGTACCATGCAGGGCAAAGTGGGGACTTGAAAAGTATCCTCTCCATTAGAGGTATGGGTTGCCATCGACTCCAGTGCCTCAGACGTGGTTCAACTGAAATGGGCTGAGTCGATTTTTCGGCCCTCAAGTAGTCTGTTTCTTTGCTGAAGGCAACTTTCATCAGGAAATCGACTTGGAATTGCTGCATAGTGTTGAGAACGTCCACTGTGCCTCTTTTACGAATGGCCTGGACAAGCGTGTCGGCAGTATAGTCGACATCCGACTCGTAGTTCAGGAGGTTCTTGGTGGCAAAAGCACTTCCGACAGCACGTTTGAGCGCGGAGACTTCGTCTTCGTCTTGGATATCGATGACACTGCCCATTACCTTTCCATTTGAAAGAGCCCGGAGGCCTTGGTAGGAGTCAGCCTGTCGTCGGTCAGTGCTGTTCGTGGTTGAAAGGGGAAGGGTCATAAGGCCGAACCCCATACCTTTTTGAATTCCCCGTGCATCGAGTAGATGGTGGGAATTGCTGAGGGATCCGAAATGCTAACTGTGGTTGGACCAATTCGAACAAATGGTCCATACTTCTTGTGAAGACCCTCCAGGGTCTTTCGAAACTCTGCTCCATATTCTGTCTCGTATGCTCTCCACAAATTGGTGAACGATGCCCAAAACGGTCCTGGAATAGATGATAGTCTCATGTAGTTAGATACAAGTATTGCTGCCAGGGCAATGGCGACAGCCCATGACAACAACACTGACCAGTTCAACATTCTTCAGGTGTTTCTTATTTCTGTTAATTATGGCGTGGAGAGACCTTTTTGTCATTACTCATCAACAAGAGAGACCATGCAGCAGACATTTGCCGGCCGGGGTTTTGATTATATAGTCCAAGTGCATGCGACCAATGCAACACAGGATAAGGTGTCCCAAAGGGGGGAGGACTGTTCAGATCACATATTGATCAGGCGAAGGACGCCTTACATGGACTGGTGGGTGCGAATCTTACACTTCGTCATCGTTCCCTCAGAGTCTTACCTAAGAAATAATACCAAATCTGAGCCACTCACTGTCCGAATCCAGGCCATTCATGGGTCTTTGCCCTGAGCAGCAAGCAGTGAAATACTAGTTCTGGTTGAGACTGAAATCTGTCCACTGGTCTCAATGGGAATCACTCCTGTTTGTGGCCGATGGACAGAAAGGAGTGAGGTGATTAATCCACCTAAAGTAAAAAATTCTCTCAGTTATCGCGTCATGGAATCCATGGAACTCATAGAACCGCCTTTGAACAAGATACCCTTTGAAAAGATAACCACAACGTAAGGAGTCAGGTGGGCTGCTTTCAATGGGCGCAAGAAGTTACCAAGCTCACAGACAGAGGGTATGCTGCCGGATCAGACAGCCTCTCGAGTACCATATCTTGGAGAACTCTTGAGCACCCTTAGATAGGTACTTGCTTGTTACACCAAGCTTTCGCTTCAAAAGCAGAGGGTTCGGAATTGAACGAATCCTTCCCCACACCCTTCCAAACCCCCCCTTTTTTTCCACCTTCCTGAAGCCCCAGATCCTCAAGCGTCTTACTCATTCCGCTTGCCCAGTCAGATTTGGGACCCTCTATGACACTGTTGCCTAATTCAGCTCGAATGACGTTTGCGATGACTGTGCTATGTCGAGAGCGGGACACAAAATCCCAGGCCTGGAATGAATGCTCGTTCAATGGATATCGTTCTGTTAGCAGCATATTGGGCAAAGACAGCCGAAGCCCCCTGCACATGTTGAGTCCATTCTCTGCGCCTTTGCTTGACAGCCAAATACTTCGGATGACCTGGCTCCATCAGTGGTCCCGTGGCGCGTGTAAGCATCTGCAAGCCACGTCCATCGACCCATCGCTGTGGATTGTCCTTGGGAACTCCACTCTACATGACTTTGTCCGTCAGAGAATCAAACTTGATCGTTCGAACTGAAAGAGCTATTGCCGGTTTGAAGGAGGCTTAAGCAAGGCAGCTGTATGAAATCGAGTCAGATGAGACAACGGCGAATGGCGCTTTGAGTTTCATTTGTGGTTTCATAAAGCCGTTCTCTCCTCCCACCGGGCTTGCTTTCATCAAGCGGACTGTAACCGGAGAATCTCGTGACGTTAAATCGGTGTCATACTGACCTGTGGATGCATAGCGCGTCAACGGTTGCCTGGCCTTCGCGAGCAGGAGTTCATCATTTGTCTGACGGATGAGGAGAATCGTTGGAATGATTCACGTTGTCGACTATAGGGCTGGTTGAACGCGCATCCATCATCCATAACCGTACGAGCGGAAGAATGTTCTCCTTTGGGGGATTAATCCACACCATGCTCGAAACTCTTGAAAATCTGAACGAAGTGACACTGTCGCGATACCTGGTGACTGTGTCGGTTATGCATGGAGAAGAGTTTCTGAATGGCTCGACGATAACTCCTGTACTCCTTATATCAGAGAACCTTTAAGTGCCTCTACAAGTTTTGCGGGGCCAAACACCCCATCCCCAAGTACTTCCTCGTTTATATATATATCGGAAATCTATGTCCAAGTGCTATCCAAACGAGCTCTGGGCGTCACTTGCGCAGTCCGCATCTATGCCGTTCTAAGGTAGCCAACACAAGGGTTCCGAGAAGGTGTTGAAGACGTTGAAAGTACTAAACATGACATAATGTAGTTGTCATGCTGACGCGTTTAAGCATTAATAACCTCCAAAACCCACTGAAACGTCTCCTTCTCGGCGGTTACATTCGGACAGTGGCCCGCCGCGACGCTTATGACATGAACCATTCGACCACTCGCTTCCTCAATCATGGCTATCATCTCCCTCTGAAGCTCGGCAGGACCGGCCATGTCCTCCTCGCACAGCAGGTAAGATACTGGGATGTCCTTGTACCCAGCATGCGTCAATTCGTCACCAAAACTCCGTGCCGACTGCTTTGCAAAGCCTCTGACGAGAGCCTCGCCCTCTTCAGGAGGCAACTCTTGACAAATCATGGCAGCAGTCGCCGCCGGATCTTCCATTAGCATCCAGCCGTTGTCCTGACGAAACATGTTAGACAAGGTCGAGGTGTAATTGCCCAATCTCTCGGTACTTACATCAACGGACACAGCAGGCCTTTTGTCGTTGGGAAATCTACTCAGAAGAGATTCAGCGGAGCCCCCAACTGGCGGGACAAGGGCAGATATGTAGGCCAGGCGGGCGATCCCTCCGGGTTTCCCTTGCGCCTTTCTCTCCTCTTTGCTCAGCCCCTTCGTGCTTTGTGACATGGGGATACCAGCATACGAGTGGCCCATGAGGATCACATCTTTACTCTGGTCTGCGAGCTTCTTGGCCTCCTGTGCGATTACTGCTGCATCTTCGTACATGGAGGGTGCCGGCCCATCTCTACCTTCCCGACTGGACTGCCCGATCGTAGGCAGATGAATCCCCTTGATGTCATAGCCTGCTTTCGAGACCGCATCGAAAAGCGATTGGTACACTGGCAACAGAACATACGATCCTGGAATGAAAAGAATCGTGGGTTTCGACATGGTCAAAGCGACGATGACACTATTGTTAACAATATGGGACAACTCAGAGATGCTCAAACAGGTCACTAATTTTATTTTAATTCCCAGAGACAACGAAGGATGGCTGTGGTTCCACCAAACGCTTGAGCAAAAGCATCCCCTCCGGCCCCAGAGAGTCGAGGCGGAAAATGCTTGCCGGAAAATCCTGCGGGTCGACCACGGGCCGGACGATTTCCACTTCGGGATTGTTCCGCCGGATGTCCCGATTTCCGGTCGCGTTGTCCTATTTTGGTCTTCTGCTCAAGATGATCCAACCCGGTCCACCACATCCACGATTCAGGCCGAGCGCATCAAATGTACTCCTTCAGCTGCAATGCTTCAAAATCGTCGGAGGCTCGAGATCTGACGGGAAAACAGCAAAAGCATGTCCTTCCAACTGCGTCAAACATGAACGACAAGATCACAGAATTACTGCTAGGCGCCGCAGTCAAGTTCCCGGCGATCCCCCTGTTGGGCCACGTCTTGCCTTCTTTCTTGAGCTGGGTGGTCACTTGCAGTGCACTCGTCGTCCTGATTCTTTGGCTGTCTGACGGCACAGATGTCCCCTTTGTCCAACATCTACCGTCCTTCCTGGCCTTCCGATTATAGGAAATTTAGCCCAGGTGGGCACCGAGCAGCCACGACGATTAGCAGAGTTGTCAAAGAGGTATGGGCCCGTATTCCAGATCAGCGAGGTCAATGGCTCGCAGAGATCGCGTCGGACGATCATAATAAATGAACGACGGGCATGTAAGTCACAAGTGACTGTGATGCCCATGAACTTGGCTGCAGTGTCGCATGCATAATTCAGCATCTCTGAATGAAGAGCTGACGGCCTCCATGAGCCATGACGGTTGTAATCCCCCAAAACATTCATAGTGGACGGAAGTTGTCGGATGAAATCTGGGGCCCTCTAACCCCACTTACGGGGAGTCAAGGCCCCCCTCTAAGGCTCTTTACGAGCATCAAGGCTAATAACAGATGCTTGGCTGAGTAATTCTTAAACTGCCTCGTGGCACCTTTCAATTCCTCTGAAACCTCGTCAATTTCCTCAATTGTCTCCACGATCTCACAAGGATGGCATCGCCTTCAGCCATTTCTTGATTCGATCTGTCTCCTGCCCATTACTGCTAGGCCACCCTTTTGCATTGAGTGACCTGTGGCCCTCCCTTATCATTGCGACACGATGCAACGAGCCGGGAGACTAAAGCGCCCCCGAGCACTGCAAGCGTGTGAGGTCTGCCGGGCCAGAAAGAACCGCTGTAGCGAAGATCGACCGTGTAATTATTGCGTTGGTGAGTGCCCTGTATAAATATGACCCTCTGGACGAGTTCTACGTGGCTTATGACTTACTCAATATCGCACAAGAGCATGATTTGGAATGTACATACTCGCGCAGCCCCCGTGAGAAGAGACAAAGGCCACAGCAGGTACTCCCTCTTCAAGACCATGGTCCTGGGCTAATCATCTTTGTGGGAAAAGGCCGATTTCACAGTTCAAACAATATGCGCGCCATACTCAAGGGCCCATGACGGGCACCCTCGACTTCTGGCCGACCGATGTCAATCCGCCAGGCACCATCGAAGAGTGTCCAGTTCAACAACAGTCAAACTCCAACGCGGTTGGACCAACCCTGCGGCAGGGAGCAGCGGCATCTGCGCCATCATCCATGGATGAGAACAGCTGCACCTCGTCCGAAACCACGTCACGAAACCCTGCCTCGGGCGTGATGGATACCAATCTGCATACGAGCAACCTGGAGTTCTATGGTTCGGCCTCATCGGTCGCATTTCTCCGCCACGTGGAGACATTGTCGAATTATCAAGGCGCAAGTAGTACTGTGGCTGGACCACCGGAACGCGAGTTGGCTTCTCTCATACACAACACCGATTTCCAGCCGCACACGTCGCACAGTATGGCAGTGTCACCACGAGAGGCCGGCCCGAATCCTGACCGCTTCCACTTCCGCGTGGCCAGGCGATTCCTCGACGCTTACTTCTCCAACGTGCATTACATCCAGCCATTGTTAGAAGAAGAGGAGTTTCTTGCGCGCTGCGAGGATCTGTGGTTCAACAGACCAGGCAAACAGCCTTTGTCCTTTATTGCTCTTTATTATGCCACCTTGAGTTTGGGCAGCCTTTTGACCAAGTTCGAAACCCCCGAAATATCTGGGGCCGATCGGTTCACGTGGAGTCGCAACCTGTTTAACGCCGCACTTGCTATCACGACACGACTTGGCACCGTAACCGACGTGGAAATGGTCCAGTGTTTTTATATGATGGTGAGCTAGAATTCCGTTGGCGAAGGCGCCCGAGAGATCAGCACTGATAGCAGTGATCGCCTGAAGAGCAAAGTATGCCAGCACGAGCTTAATCCTCACGGTATGCCGAGCGTGACTCAGCCCCTCCCTTTGACATCGACATCGCTCACACGTCTCTTCAGTTGCATATCTCTATTCCGGCCAAGCGGCAAGAACCTCGTTGGCAATCGGGATCAATCGGAGCCCCATCAGTCCAGATATCACTGACCCGCGGGCGTCAAAGCCAGCATCAAAAACGTGGTGGTAAGATATCACACCTTTTTCCTCTTTTATGACCACATTTCTAACGCTGAGCAGGGCCGTGTACTGCCTTGACATGTATGGCGAGAGTCAAATTCATAATCAAACACAGAAACTGAGAACCGTACAGTCAGACCAGCTTTGCCTTAGGGAGACCCGACAGTCTCGGTCCAGATCAATATCACACCCAACATTTTCCCACGGCGGATCCCGGAGAGTCGACATCGAGCCCTCACCCTGATGTTCTGCAAATTGTTCCATGCATGGTCGGCCTGTCGCGCATTATGCGCAAGGTAGCCCTCGAGCTGTACACGCAGCCGTGCGGAATGGAATACAAACTCCCTCAAGCGAAAACACTCGACGACGAGTTGGAGCACTGGCTCGAACAAGTTCCCGCCCATCTTCGATCTGAGCCTCCAAGTGCCTCCGACCCTTCCCTTCTCAAACCGCGGCGTCTCGCCAGCTACATCAAGAAGCAGTCTGTGGTGCTACGACTCCGTAAGTGTTGAAAACCAACTCCACCTCGAGCCGGGTGGATTGTTGATGCCAAGTAATGCCCTAGGCTACCTCAATCTTCGCATGGTGATTCATGCGGTATTCATGACCGACACGAAGACGGACACGCAGTACGACATTGCGTGCCTTCAAAAATGCCAGTCTCGGTGTATCCAATCCGCGGAAGATGCGATCGATTTGATCTACTCGACATTTTGCTCCAGCGACTACTTCCAGACCTGGTATGTTTCCTCCGCCACCGCTACCGTCCAAATACTGGTCGAAAATGAAAAGGCTGACCATTTCGAACCCCTTGGCTAGGTGGTACAACTCGACGTATACTCTGTTTGCGGTCAGCGTCCTCCTCGCCGTGGTTTTTCGGCAGCTGGCGAGAACCCAGCAGGCACTCGAGAGCCTGTTTGCACACATTGACCGTGCGATCCTAATCCTCCAAGCCATGGATGACTGTTCAGTCGCCAGGAATGCGACCGCGATCATCAAGCGAACCCTCGCTCGAGCCAAAAAGGTGCCCCAGCCGGCATTGGGGGCACAACAGTCCTCATCATTCCAAGATGCAGACCTTCACGGCACGCTACGTCCTCCCGTTGATGCGAATCCTCGACCCCAACCTGAGGACGTCGACACACTGTTTCAGCCCCAAGTTATGGACGGTGATGATCTAGATTGGCTGGACGTATATCCTTTCGACGACAGCCAGCAGGCTTTGTTCTGGACAGAGTGGGCTCATGAGCTTGACACTCTTGGAACATAGTACGGAGTATTATGTGGGCTTCCTGGAAGCCTTGCGTTCCGCAGAAAAACCAGCAGCCGTTCGAAACCTCTGTCGAGATCTGACAGATTTGTCATCCCGGGGCATACCGCAGGCATCCCTTCATTCCTTGCTTTCCCTAGCAGAAATCCCCGAGGCCAGGGAAAGCACTATCGAAGAAGGACACTCAGGTCCGGTGTGGATTACGTGTTTGCCGCGGTTCAAATTCTTCGCGGCGCGATCCAACGCCGGGAACTCCGGCAATGTCACCTCATGACCCTTGATTTCCAGCCGGATGGATTCCCCGGCCTCGAAAATGATCCCGGAAGGCCACAATGGGATATCAAGACACACAATCTGACCTGGCTGGATCTTGTCCTCACTGTCATGAGGATGCCACGCCATCGCGGGGGCAAGCATCGCGACTTGTTCCTCAGAGAGGGTCGGGTCCGCGCGGAGCTCCCGGTGAGAAGCTCGAAGTCTACCGTTGGGGCCCAAGTATTTGAAGATATTCAGATTGGGAATGTCGTCGGCCTTAGTTCCTGCCGGGAGAGCCTCGAGGGGGATGTTGACTTGCATTAATGGCTGGCCCTCGGCGTCAAGTTTTCGACAAATCACGTAGACGTCCATGTCGTCCGCGTCGGCGCAGGACATGTACAACTTGACCTGGGAATAGCCGATGAGCTCCGTGTACGTGTTGAATTTGTGGACAAAGTGCGCGCCATCGTCGTCCCAAGAGTCGGATTGGTAACTGATCGAAGACGCCTCGCCGGGCGGAGCGCCGCTCTCGCTTATCGTTGCAGTTGCGCCATCCAGGAAAAATGTCCGATGCTCAACGTAGCTGGGTGGATAGACTGCTTCGGGTCTATTCACCACACAGTCGCGGTTGAAACCGAGCAGACTGTGCCGCACTTTGGGCGTCGACTCCCAGTCGTTGGCTTTCTCGTACAGGTAGCGATCGAAGAACTTCTGTAGGTCGTCGTTTGCCCATTTCTGGTACAGGTCATACCACTCCTGAGTGTGGTGGATCCGTAGCCTGTACTCAACTCGCAAGGTTAGCAGCCAGTATCACAGAAGAGACGGGCGGAGGGGGATTATTAGCAGACCATTTGTCTTTGGACGACGAGAACAAGAACCCTCTCAACGTGCCTTCGGTGTGCAGCATCGTCGAGAAGCTCGACAATGCGTAGATGGGCACGTCTATCTGAGCGAACTTTGCACTTTTGTCGTCCCAGTACTGATTCCACAGGGGATATTGACGGATCATAGCACCTGTGTCTTCTTGCCGGTTCTTCCCTGTAGGACATTGAAAGAGACGTCAGTGACTTGTGCGGGCTTCTCAACGGCAGGGCTTTGTCGCACCACAGTAACCACTGCCCCGATAGTCGACAAAGGCATAGTTCGGAATGCCACCTCGGCCGAGCAGTTCACGATAGTAGTCTGCGATGCCCTCCCAGGGAGCAATGGCCTTCAGATGAGGTGGTCGCTCCGCAGCGATAAACCTGCGAGGTCAATTAACTCCGGGGAAGATTAGAATTTTGGCCATCCACATACCACTGGGCGGCAGCGAGGTATGAGTTGCCGGCGAACGCAACGGCTCCATTGCACCACGGCTGGGAAGCAATGCATTCGACGGCATCGTATCCGTCTCGCCCCTCCTAGGTCGCAGGTCAATATGTGCCGAGCGCCAGCCAGGGTAGGATGTGCACCCCCCTCAGATCCGGGTAGACTCACCTGCGTTCCCAGCATGTACATGTCTCCGTCAGAATCAAAGACACCCCGCGAATCCACATTGACAATGGCGTAACCTCGGGAACACCATTCCGCCGGATCCAGGGCCTCAAACTTCTCCAGGTCACTAGTCCAGTCTCTTGGTATTCCAGCCCGCCAAGGGACTCTATCAAGGCTCTGGAAACCTGGAGCAGAAACGGATTCAGCGCGTCTCGCGGGTGAGTGCACTGTGAGAAGAGGGACGCACCATTCCCTTGTTTTCCATACGGACTCCATGCCAATATGGCCGGAACAGGTTGATTGTCCGACCGCACAGGTCGAAAAACGTCGGCCCAAATTATCGCGCCGTCACGCAGAGGGACACGAACATCTCTTTCAAAGATCAAGTCCTCGGTCAATGCGCGTCGTCCTTCTGCCTTCCGCCATCCTTTTGGGAGGACTTCTTTGCCTGGACCAAATTGCTTCCAACGATGACTGAAATCTCGGTTTGCGGGCTTGAAAAGTACCTCAATGCCGGCGACGTTGGTGGCCATATTGTCGTGTGTTGTGGTGGAGGACGAGAATTCGGAACTACCTTTGATCGGAGATCAGGTGCCGACCAGATCACAATTGGTCTAAATACTACTTCGTAAGACGAGAGATCTTTTACGGCATGCGCCGCCGGTCATTTTCTGCCGCCGGAACAACCGGCGGACGGATTCCTTGGATTTTAGGGGTTGCAGAGGGTTTGCCCTATGGGGCTCTATAACCGATAGACATGGAAAATTATTAATGCAATGTCCACTCCCCCAGGAATTTCGTCCGGAGCGACTCTGGACGATGTGCGGTTGACAAACCTCAGCCTCTGCAACAGCTACCTTACCAGCCAGAACGATTGGTCCAGATTCGAAGTCTTTCACCACCCAACTCGTTGCGAGGCATGTCGGACGTCCACAGCCATGCGGCCCAGCCGGCCACAGATATCGAAGCGAAGGCTCATGACAAGTATGAGCTCAAGGAAGTAGAGGAGGCCGACTTGACTGTCCCTGTCCAGAATGCTGGATCCGATAGAGAGGAGATGGAACCAGAGCTCCACGCCCGCACCTGGATCGCCCTGGCGGCACTTTTCCTGTTGAATTACACCCAAGTCGTGGCTCTCCAGGGCCCTTCTTCTGTTGTGAGTATCGGATATTGTCTGCCCTCGGTTTGCAGAGAACCCAATGCTGATTCCTCCCCAGCTGACGTACATCGGTACGGACCTCCACAACACCGAAACCCAAGCGTGGGTGGTTGTGGTCCTTTCACTTGTCCAAGGCGTCATCGGGCCCATCATTTCCACTGCATCCGACACTTTTCAAGCACGCAAGTTGTTGCTCGTCGGATCCAGCGTCATATCCTTCATCGGCGCATGCATCGCCCCGGGATCCAGCGATATCTATCGACTCATTGGTGCCAATGTCCTCATCGGTGTTGGCTTCGCATCGGTGCCCCTTGCTTATGCCGTTCCCAGCGAAATTGTTCCTCGGAGATGGCGTCCGTGTAAGCCGGGGCTTCTTTCCCAGGCAAGTCGACAAGAGAAGAATCTAACAAACGTCTTGTTTAGTGGCTCAAACCGGCGTCAATATCGCCGCCATCCTGGCGACGATCTCGGGCCCTTTCACGATTGGTGCGCTGACTAAACGCAACGCCCACACCGGGTGGCGGCAATTCTATGTATGCGAATATGTACCAGGCATTCAATGCCGGAGTGGGCTATTTGGCAATTTTGCTGACTCGTTTGTGAAAAAAGTGGTTTCAGGCGGCGCTTTGGGGCGCCACTACCATCGTCATCTTTGTGGGCTACCGGCCTCCCAAGCGACATGGCAATTTTGATCACCTGTCCTTCTGGGCCAAAATAGGCCATCTGGACCTCATCGGATGTGGGCTCCTCACGGCTGGATTGACCCTGTTCATCACCGGCGCCAGTCTGGGCGGGGGCCTGTACAGCTGGACCAACGCCCGCACTCTGTCAACCTTGATCATTGGAATTATCGCCCTCATCGCGTTCGGGATCTATGAGTGGAAGGGCACAGAGACGGGCATCCTACACCACGATCTGTTCCGGGGCGGTCGCAACAAGGGACGAACCTTCGCCATCTGCGTCGGTCTGCTCTTCCTGGAAGCCATCATGATTTTTGGCTTTGGCCTCTTCTATCCAATCCTGTGAGCAGCACCAACCAAACATGTCATTGCTTGATCACCAGACATCGCAAAACATGCTGACCACCGGATACAGGTCACAGATGCTCTTCACCGACGATCCCGTCCTGGTTGTCGCCCGCTCCCAGGCATGTTGGATCCCGGCCCTCTTCTCCACCGTCCTCTGGGGATTCATCAGCACCCACTTCCGAACCATTCGAGAGCCACTGTTCGTAGGCTTCGCGGTATTTACTGGCGGCTTGATTGGTCTCGCCACCATCCAGCCAGGCCAGTCCATCAGTGCCATCGCGTTCTCCTGTCTCATGGGCGTCGGGTTCGGCGCCCCCCTCATCCTCGTTGTCACCGGCGTCCAGCTCTCCACGCCGCACAAGTTGATCGCCACGGCCACCGCCTGCACCACCTCCTCCCGCGCCGTGGCCGGAGCTATCTTCTCGGCGATCAACGCTGCGGCATTCAACACCCGGTTGAAGAGTTACTTGCCTGAATATGTCGCGCGGGCTGCGTCGGCCGCGGGACTCCCCGTCGCGTCCCTCCCCGAGTTCATCGAGGCCCTGGGCACAGGTGATAGCGCGACGTTGGCAACAATTCCAGGCGTAACTCCGGCTGTCATTGCCCAGGGAGTGCGTGCCCTGCAGCAGGCTTTTGCCGACTCTGTTCGGATTGTCTTTATCATCGCGGCGCCCTTTGGAGTCGTCGCCTGCATTGGCTGTTTGTTCCTGGGCGATTTGCGGGAGACCATGAATTACCGTGTTGATGCTCCGATCGAGGACCTACATGCGTAAAAAGACCACCATACCACGAACAAATAGGTCGACAGAGTAAAATTCTGGCTAGCATTGACTTGATTCTCGACACTTCATCTTCATTCACACTTGCTGTTCTTGTGGTTTCTACCACCAATGTGACCCAAAAGTATGGAGACGTAGCTTACTCGCATGTATACAGGATCTCGGAGGCGTCTCAAAGTGGCCCTTATGCCCATCAAAGGGCATTCCATCTATAGCACATCACCCTTTTCTAGGAGCGGGCAAGGGGTGTTTCTAGCCCAACGTTCCGCAAATGAAAGAAAAGGGGTCCGCCGGGAGTCAACGTGATACATCACCCTTACCAAGACTCCCAAGCTCGTCTGGTAACGAGTTCATCTTCCGAGCCCGGGATCCGAGAGACAATGGGCAGTGGATAAGCGGAAAGGGGGCTTGAGGCCGGGAGGGCCAGGGTGCCACCTGTTATCATCTGAGGAGATTCCAGGCAAATCACCAGGTATTCGTCGTTAGCACTTTGATAACAGGGAATATAGGGAATACTACCCATATATAGTCTTGTTATCCATGCAATGTCGACTTGCACCTACTATCCTGCTCGATGGTACCCAAGATTTCGTGAACGATAGGTACCATCGAATCCTAAATTTCGAAAATCGCTTGTTACCCATCGTAAAGTCTCTCGGTTTTTTGAGTTCTAGCTTTATTAAATATATTTGTAGGCCCTCGTAAAGTAAAATTTATTTCGAATATTACTTGCAGGCACTCACGCTATGTGGCATTAAAGGTGATGGATGCCAAGAAAGTCCCCACCCCTTAACGAAATGAACGAATGGAGAAAACTCCTGCGGAAGGAACTTCTACCAAGACTGTGTGACATATGAGTTGTCAGTCCTGCCATTTCATTGGTGTCGTGGTAATAGCAATGACACCTAGTCTAAGGCCAAAGACCCAGAACAAAGCCTGAAAGGCCAAAAGACCGCCGGGTGAAGATTGCAAGCGTTCCCTACCTTGGGATGTTCTCATAAAATTCGGGGACCTCGCCTATTCACGAAGATTAAGTCTCACATCGGTTGTCTTGGGTTGGGGTTCCTAGCATCAAATCTCTTGTCTGGTACTGGATGGAGTCAGAGCGACGTTCTGTGGCTATATTTTTACGGTCGATGGCTGGTGTCTCATTCGTGGTCTTCGACCCATGGGAGTGAGCCTCGTGAGCCTCCCACGGGAGCTGGGGCTCATACTTTGTCACCTCCCGAATCTGGTTTGTTTACATCTTATTTGTCTAGACGCGATGACTTTTCTCTTCCTGGAAGACTATGCACATATCTCCGTTGATGGTTGAATCAGCGGCCAGCAGTGACGCACTGCACCGCCTCCCTTGCGGGGCTACACTATTGAGTCGATGATTGCTTTACTGGTTCGGCCGCTTTGACAGATTCTGTGTGGCCTTTTGGCCTCATACTGTCGTGGGTAGGAGACGCTGCCCCCGCAAAATCCAGCGAACATGGTGAGATCCTCAAAATGTAGTTAGTTCGTGACTGTAACTTCGAAAATTGGCCGTACTGCTTAACAGGTAAATCTATGACCCGCCACTCTTTGGGAAATGTACGAACGACTCTGTAGTAAGTGATGCCCAAGAAGCATTGCGGGATACTTAAGAGCCTTACCCCGTAAGTTGGCATAAAAAAGAGTCCATCCTTGCACTGTGTTCTGACTCCTCTCACACCAGTTTCGACACAACGTATTCTTTTAACAGGAGAAGAAACTGTTGCAGGAGTCATAGTGGCCACTAGAAACGGATCTTCCTCGTCATTCTTAAAATTGGCAACAGGGTCCGAAACCCTCCAGAGCCAATTCATCCGCCTCGAAAAGGGGTATGTCACGGACGGTTTGAATTACCCACTTTCATCATGCAGGCGTTGCTAATCAGCACCACAAGATCCAGCAGCAATGCCTCACACGAACTTTGAGGCACAGAAGACAGATAGGAACCGGAATGTTCGTGAAAAGAGCCATATGATGAAAAGTGTTCGATAGATGAGATCTAAGTGCTTTCACAGGATCCGAGAGAAGGATTGAAAGGAGGCCATGGTCGAGATCTTTCCACTTGCGTCAAGTGTCTTATCTGTTGTTTGTTTTGCGGTTATGGCGACGACTAGCTCTCCATGAGTCTCGGTTCGCTGCGCGTGTGATTTGAGGTGGATAGCTATTGCTAGCTGCTAGTGGACAACAGACAGTTCATCTCTGGAGGATATGGGAGAAGGCCAGTCGTTTCTCAGCTTGCGATCCGTGACCAATCCGTACCACCCCAGTCTGCTCTCGGGCTCTGAGCTAATCTCTCCACCCCCATCGCGGTGCAATCCACCTGACAAAGTAGACCAGCGCAATCAGAACAGGAACTTCAATTAAGGGACCCACCGTCGTAGCCACGGCGACCGCAATCGCCAGTTCAAAATTATTGCTGGCCGCTGTGAAGCTCTGCGTGGCCGCTAACCTGTATCCGAATCCCAATTGTTCCGTGATCCACAGGGTGAGGAAAAAGACGACCACAAAATAGATGATCAGTGGTGCGGCGACGCGGACAACCGAGACGATTTGATAGACAACCTGCTTACCCTGGGATGCAAACATCACCAGGATAGTGTGAAGGAGTCCGATGAGCGACCAAGATGCGATCCACTTGATGAATTTCTGATCGTACCACTTGTCGTTGATGGCGCGGAGCGCAAATCGAGTTGCGATCGCGGCACCCAGAGGTATCCCAAGAAAACCCCCAACACTACGCGCAACGACCGTATACGAGGCTGACCTCCTTGCTCCTTGGCTGATGACGTTGACTAAGAGGACTGCGAGAGGCGCACAAAGCACCATTTGAAGTATGGAATTCACGGCGACCAATATGGCACAGTATTCCTCATCGCCACCAGCCAGACCGGTCCAGATCAAGACCTCGAAGAAGGAGAGTCGGTGTATCATCTTTCAGATCGTCGCAGTCGTTCACCAACCATAGCGATACAGCGTGCCAGCCCAACAAATATGAACCCATTTCTTAATCCCAGTTCGTCTGGCAGGAAAGCCCAAGCCAGCCCAAGCTGTGACTCACACAGTTTGTTTTGCTAGGCACGCGTGATTTAGCATTAGAAGAGGGGCAACAATCCAATTGGTAAAACCACTGAAAGCCAATTATATCCAAATCTAGTGATGCGCAAACACCTTATGTAACGATTCATACTTTATCTTGCACAAGATAGGATACATCATCACTAACAGGCCAATAGCTGGATGCTGGGTCAGGTTCGCTCGCCCTACGGAAGGTTGTTCTGTCTTGCTCACCTATGGGAACAGAGACATCAACGAATTTTCCCCGCTGCGACGCTGGTCCGACACCGACAACAAAGTTCCCTAGGAGAATGCCGACGACAATGGCAAGCAAGATCCAGAGAGCGAGAAGGCGCTCGAGCAAACCGAGCCCAGCGTAGACAGATTCTTGGCCTCGACCGGCGCATATGTACATCCCTTTTCTTCGTTTGCTCGCATCTGATCGTGGCCAGTCCGTGAGGATCTGCGCGGCGGTTTTGGTTCATGGCTCTCTGGAGTATTCATGAGGATGTCTGAGAAAGACTGCGAACACTCTACAACGAGTGGGAAGAGAGCAAGTGGAAAAAGTGTGGTCGTAATTGGAATGATTGAATAGATGGGAAGTGGGCCAAATCCATGCAAAGTTCTGAATGCTGGAGGGATAATAAGTGTCGAGGGACGCAGAGGCCGGCTTTTTGATTTGCCTTCGAGCTGCGGCTGATTTAGGATCCAGCATCCTTTGTAAAGTGTCTCCAGCACGACGATGTCGTCACCAAAGCTTACCCTTGCAGACCAATGACAAGCTCTCAGTGACAAAGCGCACGGATTATCGATGAGTGGAATAGTATAGAGCTTTCTCGTCACTTCCTTCGTCCTCCACAGCGAACTAATTCGCCCACGTTTCCTTGCCCTATTCCAAGTGCTTGTCGATGCTCCTCTTTCCTAAGTATCTGAAGAGTTCTTTGTTATCCCGCAGAACCCCTGCTTGAGGCATGTCTATCATCATTTCCTAGTATCACGACGAGATCGACACCGTGCCTGCGGCCCCAGCTGTATCCTGTATCACAAACACAATCGGCCGTCTGCTCTCCGGATCTTCAGTCTCGTAGGAGATGGGGCGAGTGTGAGTTAATGTAACCAGAGCCTTCCGAATCATGGATACACGGTGACTCAATTCGCTTTGGATCAAATGGATTCGAGTGCCAAGTTTCCACGATTTTCGAGCGATAACGCCCCAGACATACCAGTTCTCTAGAAGCCAACGGCTAAACAAGCTGTCCATGACACACTGTTAGGGATGGGAAAGGCAGCCAAGAGCTCCTGTCTCAACGTCTCGACCGAAGAGGGGCAGACATCTGTTTCGCCGGAGAATTTCAGTGCTCTAGATTCCTAGAGTGACTCCCTGTCACCAAATTTAACGATCCGAGTGATGGTGAACGCTGGAGGATGCCAATGTGGGTTCATGGCCAACGTTTAGCAGGCAGATTACAGATTCCTTCGCCCACAACTGGGTGGAAAAATGCAATCGGCATCTGGCCAGGCTCTTCTCTCCTGAAAAATCCCACTCCAACCTAGTCAGGCTGGGCTATCACCGCACCCATCCGAGTTACTCGGCTACCACACCACGGCCGCCGCTATTCTGTTCATGGTCCTAAACCTGCTTCCGTGACTGAGAAGTGTTCTCCGTACTTCGTATGGGTAGCAGACATACCTTCCGTAGCTCATGGCCATCATTCCTCAGAGATGTCGAAGACAATATGCAGACAATGAAATTAGGCTTCATCAGAATGAGATGCTGTCTTTGTCTTATGAATAACTTGGACGCATCTGGTCATCATCCTAAAGATTCGTCAACGATTCATGATGTGCTGAAACCAGGAGCCGCCTACTGATACCTTAAGACTCGTAAATATATTACCAAAGTGCTGTGGCCTATTGGGTGTAAAGTTGCCTTCATAACCCTCCGATGTCGAGGAAGTCTCAACAGTCTGAAGACCGGTGGTCGGTGGCTCGTCCGGTGAAAAGACGATTTGGAGCGGCACCTCGAGAATGAATTTATCAATCCTTATCCCATTAATGCGGATGCGAACGATGAGGCTGTGCTGCCTCGAAGCCAACGCAGAACAGAATGTGGGCAATAGATCACCGGGAACCGTGAACAGGAGATTTAGAGAGCTCCGCCATATCCCTGAGTAGTCACGGTCGTCGTCGGATGGTGGCTGAGATGTGCTTAAGGTATGTAAGGATTTTGATCCTGTGCAGGGAGAGAGTGGGCCTGTCCACGAATTGGCGGAGTGATTCTGTTCTCCGAGACTCATGACCTGGTCTTGAAGACAAATCGGACTGTCGACGGTGAGCAATTTTTGGCAGGGAAACCTCGCGAATGGCCGAGTTGAATAGAATGTTTTTATGTGCAGCCCTATTAAAGTCTTGAACCGAATTTTGGGCAAGTACTGAACAAAGTTCTGGAGAGCATGACCTGTGGTGGAACCTGGATTCGGTCCTTCAATTCTTATATGGAGGGCGAGAGTCGTGCTGCCCATCAACGTTCCTCGCTGCAAGATCACAGCCGGGGGCTCCATCGTTGACAGAGTCATTTGGTATGTGTCGCGGTCAAATACGGAGAGGTGCCACGTGTGAGCCTGTGACTCGACAAACTCTCCTGGGAAGTCTGATGTTTCGAGAGGAGGCTGTATTTCGGTCGGAGTGTGTATGAGGATCTCCCTTTCGTCCTTCAGCGACACCATTCTCGAGCCATCCATCGTTCTAGCAGTTCCATTAACGACCAAGGAATAACTAATGTTTGGTTGGGCGTAGAAGTCGTCGTCGTCACTCAGGGTCTGCCCCACTCTGAACGATGGAGGCAGGCTCAAGCACTGCTGTGGCACCCCTGAGCCTTTCGTCAGAGCCAAGCGTGAAATTGTAAAAGAGAAATGTGCTGAATAGACAATGATGCCATTGTCGCGATCAATTGACCTCTCAAAATCCTTCATCTCGTAATGCTGTGACAGAAACTGAAAGGTTTCAGCTTCCAAATTCCCGGAAGAGGCTCTTATATTACCTTGTACTTGGCCATGCCAACGTTGAATCTGTTGAATTCAACATTGTTGAGCTTTCGGGTGCAAACTTTCGATATGCCTAGTTATTCAAACAAACCCGTTAGTGGTGCAAGTGAACAGGAAGTCAAAACGACTGACCTTCAAGGCAGATTCGTATCTTCTCAATTCCCAGATCGACCTTGCTCTTGATGCTCATATTGCCACTTAGCTCTTGAAGAGGGAGCCAGAATTCCTGAATGGCCAGTGAATCTGTATAGTTCGACCGGTGTTCTTGCTGCTTTCGAGTGATATCTCGACGACGACCTCGTCACTCACACGGTCTTTGCCCATGGCGATCTTGGCAGCCGGCGTCGGGGGTCATATATGTTGAGCAGTATGAGTGACTGACAAAAAGAGCTGGCCATATTTGACTTCCTTGCTCGTAGTTATTGTGTGACCAGAACTGTGAGTCTTTCACCGGGCCTCGAATAGAGGGATGATTTAGGACCTAGTGTATAGGTGATGAACGGTTTAGCACTTGAGTGCCTGTCATGCAGGGAGGATGTCGTCGCCAAAGCTGTTGAGCAACTACACACCAAGCTCTAATTACAAGAAAGGCTCGATGCTCTCGCCATCTTTCTACCCGCCCATGTTTGCTTGCCCCTTACATAAGCCATGCACGTAGCGCCCCGCTACACTAGTAATGAGTTTCTCGATAGTAGGTGAGTGGAATTGTATTGGTAGCTAACTAAGTGGGGCGTGCCGAAGGCCGCTTTTATTCCCAGTTACTAGCGCCTTGGCATATTTCACACCCTGGATACCGCAGCACGCCAAAATTCATCATACAAGAACTTAACAACGTCTCTCGTCAATCAGACACACTGATAAGGGGTCTCTAGTATTCCTTTTCAGTAGAATCTTGCATCGAGAAGCTTCTAGAGCGCTCGTTGCTAGTTGCAGCTCTTTTCGGCTGTTTTTGGCCCCCAAATTGACGGCAGTGGCCGGGTTTCTGGGGTTAAAGCTGGTTGCGAGAGCTGAAATGCTCATACAAGAAACAACGTATGATTTTACTTTTCATTATCAATTGAGTGCTCTGGTGGAACACAGTTGCATGTTGAATTTTGGTATAGATTGGTACTAGTCCACTAGCTTGTGATTTACGTTATATTCTAATCTTTCCCATTCTTCCAATAGATATTGCTGAACCTCGGCATCTGTCTTCGGAAATCGCTTTCCAATGCGATATTTAAGAAGACGCCAAACACTTTCAATAGGGTTGACAATCTGGTGAATGAGCAGGCCAAACCATTCGAATAACACCATGATACTGTGGTATCAGGGTAATTTTCGTTAGTACGTTTTTGTGTCTTGGCGTGACTAGGGTTCGCGTGCGCGGGTGCGCTGTGCGAGATGTGTATCTCCGGTACGCCTTTTTCCATTCCTCTAAGGATGTATTACCAAATGGCGGCTCTATCGACACTGAACGAGCTGCTACCGGCTTTAGAGGACCTTATTGCTTTTACTTCACGACCTCCATCACCTCCACGAACTCCACCGCCGAAGGAGAAAAAGAAACTCGGCCCACGACTCACTCGCGATATCCAACGCGATATCATACTACTACGTGAGCTTAACGACTATGAGAGCGATGACGTCGAATATACATATGAGTGAATTGCGAGGTTACTCTCACACCGTCACGGACGGGAGGTTACACAGTGTGCCGTACAATATACGGTAAATAAGCATAAGGCGGCCTATTTGTGCGAGCGTTGTCCGGTGGATAGCGAGGTACCTCAAATCCCTAGTAAAATGGGAGATTTTCAGGTACCTTTCCATTTGTCGACCCGACCTTCAACGGATTAATCATTTTCCGGGATCACGTGCTCCCCCGGGCCTATATGGCGGGGAGCACCCTACTCGATAGATATCGATATCCTCGAGATGATCCACGCATCGGATCCAGTCTGTGGACCACCTCAGACAAGCTCTACTAGTCACACTCGAGATGCTTCGTAACCGAGCGTGAACGGACAAGCCTTGACGTCGAGATAATCCACTGATTGGATCCGATGGGCTGTGGTATTTCAATCAGGCCACGAATTTCATCAGTCCAGTCAATCAGACAAGCAACTCGACATCAGTCAATCAGGAAGGCTGGCGATTATGTCAGTTAATTGACTGTTGGCCACGCAGCTTCTCACAGGATAACATCCAAAGCTTATGCCCACATTACCTTGAACTTCTGATTGAACTCGTCTTGAAGCATGGTGAATGCCTTCAAAATCATCGACAACTCACCATCTCCGAGCTCCAGCCCCCCTCCGTTATCTTCGACCTCCCTTAGCAGCTTCATACCTTTCCCAAAATGCTTCTTCTCCGGTTTGGCTGCCTTGAGCGCCTCACCCATGGTTTCTGGAATACCAATATCATTTTCGACCATATCGTCGCTTATTTCGTCATCCCAGCTGTCAGCCGGCTTCTTCCGGAGAGCAGAAGGTGGTTTTGGAGAAGTTGAGTCGTCCTTTGTCTTCTCGTGAACAGATAGTATCGAAGGACTTATCGTACATTCGTTACCTAACTCGACTTCCAGGACTCTCTCATCGAGTTCTAATTCTCGCGTGTCGCCGGAGCCCATGACATCTAACATCTCGGTTCCGGTGGTCAGGGAGAGCTTGAGAAAATTCTCTAAACTAGTCACGATGGTCGCGAGAACAAGAGAGAAGTCGTTGAGTACAAACCAGATGTCCCCTCTGCGGATACCATTCTCCTTTTCGAGGGCAAGAACGCTGCCATGCTTGAAGAAATCGTAGAGATAAGCGTTTAAGAGTGTCGTGCCATCGCCTGGGTAGGTCCCCACGTAGGGAACCACAGCCTCCTCTAGCCAAACACCGCTGCGAACCATCTTGCAAAGGTCGGATACACTCTCCCACTCGTCTCGATGGCCTGAAAGGGCAACGAAAGCGGAATTAATGCGCACGGGAGGGAGAGCAGATACCAACAGCCCAATCTCCTTTAATGACTTGTCTCCGCCACATTTCATCCCGGTGAGTGGTAGGTTATGGTCGGCTTCTTTGACGTGTTGATCAATGAATGTTGAGACATAGGCAGCGTATATATCTAACGTTCGATCGTTGTGGGCCTGCATTATGCTGGTTGCTGCTTTTGGTAGAGGGGGGAGAATGACGACCGATGACGACCACCGCATCGCCGCGCGGTGAGACTCCAAAACAGACTGTCTGAGATACTGGCGTCCAAAGAGGTGCGACATGACGAGCATCAGTGTGAGCAGAACTTGTTTAGGCCGGAAATGGATGTCCGCGCAGAGCTTGCTGAAGTACCCGCTTTTGAGTAACGCGTGAAATGCAAAGCCTGCATTTCCAGTGTAATATAGGTGAGACACGCAGCCGGCGAAATTCAAAGGGGCACCCGAAGCATCCAACAGATGGTTACGGCGAAGATATTCGATCGAGAATCGCAGATGATGCAAGACAGTATGTTTCGATTCGGGGCCACCTAGGTAGATGCGCGGACAGGAAAGGATTGAGTTGATCGCCTTGACGGCATAGGCCGCATGTTTGGATTCGTGCAGCAAGATGAAAAGCCGCAAAACTAGGCTAGTTGTGATTGGAAAGTGTCCGTTGAGATCCGGGAGCCTTGAGCTGAGTAGACGGCAGACCTTTGAATATGGTACTCCCTGGAAGACTACATTTCCCAGCACGTCGAACCCTCGACGCCCGGCTCGACCGGCTGCCTGGCGAAAATTGAGAGCTGTGAGGAATATCGAGTCTCCTGAGAAGACGACAGTCTTACAGGGCATGTTGATACCTAACGCCAGTGTGCCGGTGGCTATCACCACGCGCAAATATCCCTTCCGGAATAGAATCTCGCACACCTGACGATATTTGCGGTTTAGACCTGCATGGTGAACACCGATGCCACGCTTCAAGGCATCGATCAGCCAATCAGGTACAAGCCGTACCTTGAGGTCATCAGCGTACTGCTGCAGTTCCGACGGCGTGAGCTTCTGTGTATCCGCCAGATGAAATCCGTTGACTGGATCGTCTGGGTTGAAAGACTCGTAAGGACTTGACTCTGCTGACCCTGCATCCCGCATCCGCTCAATCCGCGTTGCTCCTTCGTCGTCGGCCATACCTCTCTTCGTCTTCTTCGGTGCCTTCTTTTTGGCGTGTCTGGCCTGACTCTGTTTCCAGTCTTCCCACTTGCTGACCTGAGTTTTCCAAGCTTGGCTAGACTCTTTCCAGCGAGCTTCGGCTCCTTGAAACTCACTGATGAGACACCGACACATAAGCTCACACGAACTTCGGTCATAGTTGAAGAATAGCGCTGGCAGAGCTCCTTGGTCGTGTAGCGAACAGACAAGTGGCAGGGTGGTGTTGAGGCAATTTGCATCCTCAACCGAACAAGGGGACTCACTTTCCTTGAGTTTTCCAGAAGATATCTGAAGCTCCGGCCGTGATGCGCTCCTCAAGGCATCCTCTAGTTCTCTCAACACCATTTCAAAAGGTGACTGGTGGCTCTCCATCCAGGTCTTCAGAAGTGCTTTCAGCTTCGCTTCCCACTCGATGACATCCGCTCTACGGACGATTCGCGGGAGACAATTTAAAGGGTCCAACAACTCGTCAACGGGAAAGTCCTTTGTCTGGTGCTTTTTCATAGCATTCCACAGCATCCAGCAATCTCGTGGTTCGAGACTGAGATCATCGGGCATCCCCCTTGACCGGTCGACTAAACTAGTAACGGGATGCATGAAAGTTATTCCCACAGCGTTATCAAGTCCAACTGAAGGCAGTTGCGGACGGACCGAGAAACCATTAAAGAGGAAATTTTGTGGTGGATTGTAGACGTACTTCCGTAGATCCGAGTAGCGGTGCCGATGTTCAATCATCTCAAGATGGATGCCGTTGGTCTCCTGAGTCTGGCTGAGCCAAGCGCTGAACTTGCGTGGATTTCCAACTGTAGCTGACAGTGCAATGATAGGACAAGGCGTGAGAAGAAGTAACTGTTCCCATACAACCCCATCCTCCGCTTGGCCAATGCAGTGAATCTCGTCAAAGATGATGCGCTTGACTCGAGATGACCAAGCGCTCGCATTTCCTGGGGCAAGAAGCATGATCTGGAGCATGTGAGGAACGGTGACCAAGACCTGACACCCGGTCGGGTTGTTGATACGATAATCACGGGTGTGGACAGCCCAGACTGACTTTCCACCATGCTTAAAAGATTTGGAGAATCGAGCCTGTACTTCCGCGGCAATCTGATTGACAAGTGCTTTGGTGGGGGCAACGTAGACTAATACCCCGTTGTCATCTTCTTCGAGTACTTGTTTCATGGCGTAAAACCTATAATTCAGATGTCAACACTAATACTTTAAGCATGTGGAATAATATATGCGAGGAAAAAAGGACGAGTTACTGCTGAGTTTGACGGTAAAGTGAAGCAGAAAAGGGTGATAACTTACGAAATAAAAGTCTTTCCAGCACTGGTTGGAGCAACCACAAAGACACTATTCTTCGCATCGATCTGGTCCAAGACGTCTCGTTGCCATTTATCTGGCTCAAAATCGGGAACCCGAGGATCTGGCGCTGAGTCCATATTTCGATCAAAGAACGGCCCAGCATGGATAAGCTGGAATTCCAGGGGCGATAGTTGAATATCCAGACTTTCTTTCCTGGATCTGAAGTCGGCGAACTGGAGGGAAAGGCTCCGCCGTCCTTGGACTGGGAGTGGTTCCATGGCGGGTAAGCGAAGGGCTGAGACAGTACTGGCGACACAAGTTGCTATTTCCGCAGTGATGCCTTGGTTCAGATTTGCAATTTGAAGGATCAAGTTCCAAATGAGCACGGCAATTGGCATTGCATGGGCTCGCTCGTCGGTGGCACATTTCGTTATCCATATCTCAACCAAAATGCTGAGCATGTATGTCAACGCCTCGGCTTCCAATGTTGTTCGTTTATTCTTCGCCAGACTATCCAAATAGTTCTTGACCATTAGAAAGCGGGATGCGAGGTTTGGCTCTCTATCAAACCCAGCTCTCTTGGCAGTCCATGCTTCAATCTGCTTAGTGATATTCTTATTCTGCCTTTCTAGGGTTGCTGCAGCAGCTAGATCTTTGACGTTGGGTTTGAAACCATGTTTCATTCCACCATGGGCAGGGCCTTTCTTAGGCTTGAACTTACTGGAGGCATCCTCTATCTCTGCTGAACCCGCTTTTGACTTCTGCGCCCGACCTTTGGATGGAGCCACAACAACAGTTTCGGGCTCTAAAACACCTCCAATAGCGTTGGTCAAGCTAGCAGCGTAATCCCTCATCTCGGCCATGAATAGCTGATTACGTCGATGAGTACGTGCTTTTTGCCGTTCTGTCATTGTTAGGGCAACTTTCTGGTCGATAGGGCGCTTGTGGTTGTGCCAGTGGCTACGTTCTTGAAAGATTCGTGACGTGGTCTGCTCGGTAGCGGATTCATCTATGACAAGATGGACGGGAGCTAGGTGAGCATTGAACACCGGATTACTGAACGGAAGTACAGCTCCAGAAACCTCGTATCCATTTCTTGGTTTCGCCAACTCCTTGTCTCGGTTTGTATGGATTGTTTCATTGAAACCAGGGCCTTGCATTGTCCTGGCCAGCTTAGTCAGGGTTCTCTGGGTTGTCGGCTCAAACCGCAGGTTGATGCCACATGTGTCATCCAACGAGGATGCAAGAGCCTCAAACCGTAAGAGCAGTGACGGTGCGAAAGCGTGTTGAACGCCAGGCTCCTGAAGCCGGGACACAATGTTGAGAAACAGTCTTCCATCAAGCAGATCGGCTAAATCACAACGTAGCTTTGGGCGGAGAAGACTCGATCGCCAGGGATCTGACACGAGAACGTGGCGGGCTGTGTCGATAAAATCTTTCAGGAACTTCGTGCTCCTGGGATGATTTATGGAGCCAACCGCTCGATCAGGCAGACGACATTCCTCTAAAGCAATGACATGCAAGAGCATCGCACGAGCTTCCAGCAGATGAGTGATGCCAATAGTATCAGATCTAAACATGTGGCTTAAAGTCATCACTACCAGCAAGACCCGTTGTGTTAGAGCAGGCACTGGTGTGCCATTCGGGGTTGTCAGCAATTCTGTTAGGACTTCTGCTTGAGACACGAGGGAATTCGTGTTGTTTAAATTTGAGTTTTGCTGTCTGCTGAGGGCCGTACCCTTCTTTCCGACACCATTGAGGTTCTTTTTCTTTTCGGCGGTATCGCAAGCGGTTTCTTCCAGGATTTGAGGCTCAGCTTGATGTTCAGACCGGGATCCGGTCCAAGAGTCGCCAGGCACTTGTCGTGTAGTGCTTTGAATTTGTGGCAGTTGTTGCGCTTTCTTTCTGGAGCCTTCCACAATCATTGCCATGACCTGTAGCAGCCATTGTTAGACTGTTCTCGATCGCCTCCATTATCCTGCTGGTAAACGAAGAGAGCTGCAGCTCACCTTTGTATCGCGGCATTCCACGCTGGTGATGAGAGCAATATTGTAGCCGCGACAGATGAACCAGTGGATCATTGACCGCAGGGTTACTTTCCGTAGATATTCAAGGCGGAGCGCTGTCAAGTTCTCTTCATTAGATATTTCCTCACTGTGTTCAGAGAGGCTGGTTCTATTAAGGCTAGTCTGCGAAGCACCGTCGGGATCTTCCGCGTTGCCATCGCCGTCTTTTCGAGAGCTTCCATATTTGCCTGCAGTGTCGGATCGTGGAAAAGACCCGTCATGGCACATAAAGAAATAAGCTCCTCTCGATGTTAAATACTTCGCGAAGTCAGTAGACCGATAGGTATCAAAGGCTTTGACTTCTATGGATGGAACAGTGAGGGTAAGATTGTAGCTGAGGTGTTGAATGATGGCTTCTCGAGCAAGGAGATACCTAGAATGAAGTTCAACTGGGGTATTCTGCGGAATGCACATGTCCGCCTGCTTGGAGAAGAAAACTACATGGAAGTTACACTTCCGTTGGAGGAGAGCGCGAAGGAAATTCTCCACGATGTAGGTCGCATGGAGTTGTTGAAAGCCAGGCGAGAAGTCCAGCTTTTCGTCCGAGAAGGAATGAAGAAGCAAGGAGTCTCCCTCGATGATGAAAAGTTCGTCACCCGCGTAGTCGCCGATGAGGTCCACAGTACGAGAGTACAGACTGTCATACCTATGGATAGTCTAGCTGAGAAACTAACAGTAGATAGAAATTTGTTTGGCAGAGGACTTACCACTCCAGCGGGTCTCGAGAGCGGGCCATATTGGAGACGCCCGGACGCTGCACCTTATAAAATAGCTAGGGCAGTCTTAGAGCTATCGTCAACATTTATTGAGAGGTGACCGGAACCATGAGAGTACGACAAGAAGTGGCGGGGGGTGAGGGTCCTCTGAGGTACAAAACCCCCTCTTGCCAGCGTGGTAATGGTTCGACACGTGGCGGGATCTTCGAGGTTGCGCAATTACGCCTGGTGGCACCACATTCTCGAATGCCATTGGACAGTCTCTCGTGAGAAGCATCCAGAAGGGAGGGGAGCTTGGGCCCCGAAAGCGATGGTATAAACAGCAGGGCGTGAGGGAGAATGTAGTCCGATCAGACTCGAGCTGAGCACGTTTAACTACTGTATCTCTCTGACGAAGATAGACACCTACCCTACTGATGTGCAACTGTAACATAAAGCTTCTGAAAATTCCGCAGTTTTGCCAAGCCACAGTCCTGACTTTCGCATCCTTATTAACAGACCAGGCGAAGCCACCGTCGTTGCCTCGCCGATTCATTGAGCGAGCAAATCTCCCAATATTAGCTTTGACTGACGCCCAACATGGTTATCTCTCGGCTGAAGAGCCCTAAAGCGCTCACTCTATCGGTGCATATGAGCTCGAGCGCATGTCCTGAAGACAGGATCTAAACGAGACAACAAGTCATCTTGATGGTGAGGTTCACTTGTCTAAAACAGCATTGTCGTCGATATCCGCTAAAAAGCCGATGAAGATGAACCTTCTCACCCGTTTTCACGCAAGGAAACTTCCTACCTTAGCTTGTGCCCCATCGAAGGTATAGGCGCAGTGGTTAAGGATGGCGATGATCACCCGCCGTCTATGGGTCAGTGTGAAGAGACAAACTGCAACAATGTGCAGCCAGAGATCAAATCAAACTTAATCTACAATAAGGCGGCTTGCGTGGTCATACTTGCATAAGATGTCTCAGATTGGACGACTTTGTTTTATTTTCGAAAGCTATCATCCCACCTCAGTGGAGCGATGGCAGTTCTGCGAAAGACGACTCCCCCAGCAGTATCGAAAATCGCAGCAGATGATTATATCCTGCTCTTGCCAATCCACATAATCCCACAGCGCCAACTCCGCGCAAGAAGTCGATACCTCACGATATCCCATGCTTCCTACGGAGCAGCTTCTCCATGAAGATGCCCCGATCCTTCCTATTTTCAACGCTCTGACAAAAGGTGTTGTCAATCAAAGACCAATCATCTTCTGTGTCCTCGCAACATCTCGAACAACAAAACCACGACCAGGGCTCTGACGTACTCGACGAAATCTGGGCTCAAGCTACAATCCGACAAAGGCACCGCCAAGGATCGCGAGCAGTGGCACCGCGAGCTCCTGGCACAGGAAGAAGAGGTATAGCACAAGCTCAATATGAAGATCACCGCAGAACTTAAGGCAAGGAAAAAGGCTGAAGAAGACTCTAACGCAGGGGCGCGTCGGTTACTTTACGAGGTACCGCTTAGGCGTGAGCTGGAATAGCGCGGACAGATGGAGATTGCAAAGAGGATAGAGGAGAAAACAACAGGCTGTACAGGCCAACACGAGATTCAACCTCTTGCTGCAAAGAATATTCGACGCAATGATGGTCCGGAGGCGGAGCTGCTTTCCTCCAGCTGGGTGTTACGTGTGTCACACCGGGTGGACGTCACGTGGGTTGAGGCCGCGGAGCAGGGATACAAAGCGTATCAATGTATCCAATGGTGGGGGTGTGATAATGAACGAAGTTGACTACATAGCGCCCGAGGCCCAACGTCCCCGGTTATATAGACGAGGGTAAATTCCCAAAGAGGTAATGGATTCTGGACTGTTGGATTACTGGACTGCTCCCAGTCCCTAGTCCAATAGTCCAGTAGTCCAAGTATTCCCCTTCCTGGATCGTCACGTGTCCTCGTCAATCTTTCCTGGTTTGTGGCCCTCCTTTCCTCCTGTGAGGTCTGCATGTGCTCTTTCTTCGCTCAAGTAGCAAGTTCTTCGCCAGCTCTGCGTGGCCCCCACGTCACGTCGGCCAATTGGGAGTGGCCGCTAACTCATCCCTGGGAGGCCCCATTTTAGGTGAGTCACGAGTGAGCCAGGGGAGAGCCAGGGTGTGCGAGGGTGTAACAGGGGTGAGTTAGAGCGGCGACGCTCACCCGCTAGAACGGGAAGGGCAATCGAGGTTCTAAGAACCTGGGACGTAGTTAACGAGATATACGAAGACCTAGGTAGAGCAGATACGTTGGAAACCAGCGTGAGCGTGGAATATGTCAGTCGCGTCCTCGCAAGAACTCTAGCCTTTACCTCCCAAAATCAATATTCACCATGCCCAGGACCCATGCCCTCCTCTTACTCCCGCCCACGCCGCTAATCTCCTGCCTACTGAGCAGGAAATCCGGGTACATCGAATCACCATCAGCCAAACCGAAATATACTACCAAGACAACTTTTTGGTCCTCGCTGCCTGCCCAATTTCCGGTTTTCGTAGTCGAATTTTCGTCGAAGAAATTCGAGCTGAGATCGAGTGGTTAACGGTCCATACAGATGAGCTTCAAACGCGGAGATGGACGGAGGTCATGTCTCCGAGCCAAGCAGCTAATTTGCATTTTCTCGGAATGATCTAGCTAAACTAGTACCGTGTGGGGAACTTCGCGCTACCCCAGTGTTTTTCGACCTTCGCCTCAGCATCCCACAGCCATTGGCGCACATGCTCTCGCTGCTGGGGATATCTTGGCCGGCGATGAGGACCTGGGTCCGTGTCCTGTCTCTGTTCGATGAAAATGTCGTGTTATAAACACGAGCAGTCATGATCAATCTTTCGGAGGCATCATCGAACTTTCAAACTCCTTCTACTCGATACAATTTTACTGCAATATTATAGGTTCCGTCACCTGATCATGAAAGACGGGAATAAGTCGGTACAACCAACGCATCTGGAGGACCTGGGCGACGACATGACTGAGAGCAAGGTCAGAGGACACGGCGAAGATCAGAACAGCTTTTCGCCCAAGGAGATTGGGCACATTCGACGCAGGATTGACTACCGCCTTGTTCCGGCACTGGGTATGCTGTTTGCCATTTCCCTCATGGATCGGAGCAATATTTCAGCTGCGGCAATTGCTGGAATGCGGGTGGACTTAGATCTGTTGAGCGGCTATCGATATAGCTTGATCACTCTTTCTTTCTTCATCACCTATGTTATCGTTCAAGCTCCTATGACTATTGTCTGCCATAAAGCTGGGCCTCGCTTTTCCTTCCAGGAGTCTGCGTACTATGGGGAGGAGTAGGCCTTGACATGGGCCGGGTCGGGCTGGGTTTTCACCCCGTTGGCCCGCCCGAACGGGTTTTCGGGTCAACCAAGGCCTGACCCAAACCCGACCCAGAAAACCCGTTCATTTGGGCCGGGTTGGGTCGGGTCAACCCAAATTATAATTGTTTATAGACTTTTTCCTTGTAGATGCGAAGAGCCCTATGTATAAATTAGCTAAGTACAGTAACATATGGTATTAACCAAGCAATTTTCAAATCATTGAATTGAAGGGAATGCTCATAAAAGCAGTAATCATTGTAATAGTTAACTTAGTTGGAATAATATATACTACGAGAAAGTCTTTGGCATAGTTCATGTAATAATTATTGTAATAGTTACTTGTATTGGATTACGCGCATTATGTCATCCTGTATTTAATTAAACTTTGGGCGACCCAACGGGTTTTGGGCGGGTTGGACCCCTTTACCGGCCCAACCCTACAGGGTTTTGGGTCAAAAGAACAATAGCCCAAAACCCGCCGGGTCAACCCGGCCCATGTCAAGGCCTAAATGGTCTGATTCTGTCTCTTGGAGGCCTCCCCGCGAGCCACCATAGACAAGGGCTTATATTAATTACCGACCTTCGGGTCATTAATCTTTCCCAAATTTCTCTTGCCCTTTCCTGGGCTCGCTCGTGTTCCCAGCGATCTCTCTCACGTTCTCTCACCCTCTCCCAGTGTTCTCCAGTGTCGCAATAATCGAATCGGGCCTAGTCAATCGCATCATCGGTAATCCGAAATCCGGGCTGATCGGATTGCAATCAGATTGCTTAACCGGAAATCCTGATTGGCTAGATTGAATCGAGATTGCTCATCGTGATTGCAGTTCAATCCCCGCAGACCAAATAATTCTTCATCAAGGCGGGAAGACTTATCTACGTGGTGATTGAGTGTCAGTTTCAAGAGGAAAGAAGAAAGGGTGGTTTTGGAGGTGTGATCAGTAAGGGCTTGGGTGGTCTACAGACTGGATCCGATGGCGGTGGTCTTTCATCGGATCCAATCCATGGATCATCTCGATATCGAAGCTCCTCCGTTAACGCCCCGTTACGAGCCATCTCGAGTGTGATCAGTAAGAGCTCGTCTTAGGTGGTCCACAGATTGGATCCGATGAAATACCACGACCCATCGGATCCAATCCATGGACCACGTCGACATCGAGGCTCGTCCGTTGTTAGGGTGGGGACGTACGAGGGAACGAGAGTGGAGATTCGACAATGATATTACTATCCAATACACTATAAAGTACAAGACGAGAGACAAAGAGCATGAAAGCAGTGCAAATCTATCCCAGATACTTATAGCCAGCGGTACAGTCATGCCGCAAGGTTACCACGCAGGCACACGAGGCTATTCGACAGCCACAGTGGGCCTGCCAAGACCGTTCGAGGGGGCTTCCAGGTTGTGCCATGACATCCGTTAACGCTCGGTTACGAACCATCTCGAGTGTGACTAGTAGAGCTTGTCTGAGGTGGTCCACAGACTGGATCCGATGCGTGGATCATCTCGATATCGAGGATATCGATATCCATCGAGTAGGGTTCCCCCCCGCTACATGGTCCACGGATTGGATCCGATGACGATGATCCCGGAAAATATTTAATCCGAGAGGGGGGAACCGATTTGATCCGTTAGGGGTGGTCCACTAATGCTCCGCGTTAGATGTGGCGCAGTTGCGTAATGCGACGCCAAGAGCGACGGTCCGGAGACGTCTCGCATTTTATCAGGCTTCAAACCACGTGACTGTATCATTGTGTAAAGTGGGTCTTCAGCCTGCTGGTGCCTTCTCGTGCCTGCGTGTGCCTATTTCGACGACTCATTGGACAAGTACATAGAGAACCTAGATATCTCAATACATCCAAGCACCAGCAGCTGGAAGGCACTACACTGTTGCGATAACCTCACGCTGTATCTATCTACTAACTGCTAAGGTGCGTTCATTGTTCATTACAACCACTCTGATCTGAATGCCACCAACTGCCTAGCTGACCAAGCCGCCTCTCCGGATGGCGTTGTCCATTGTATGCCTTCCCAAAGATGCAACCACGTCGACTGCCAACGAGACGGTCATTTCTCTCAATGCAAAGATATCTGGCACGCTATCATTCGGCGGGTTTGCTAATGCAACCTGCCTTTAGGATTGTAACTGTCCACGAACTCGACGACGACGCGGTTACGACACTTTGGCACGCCCAACGTCCAAGTTCTTATTCAACGATTTCTTCCCCTAGCTCTTCTTCAATACTCGTGTCTATAAGCCTTGGCTAAAGATGCTAATATTAAATCTGGACTTAATAAATGCCTCATCCCAAGGCTGGGTGTCTCATGTTAAAAAGCTACTCGACAAAGGTGCGGATGTGAATGCTCGAGGTGGATATTTCGGTACTGTTCTACAAGCAGCTGCATATGGGGGAAAGCGTAAGATTGTGACGATCTTACTCGACAGGGGTGCGGATGTAAATGCTCAAGGTGGAGAGTACGGCAATGCTCTACAGGCAGCTGCATCTTGGGGACGTCGAGAGATTGTGACGATCTTGCTCAACAGGGGTGCGGATGTGAATGCCCAAGGTGGATATTTCGGCAATGCTCTACAAGCAGCTG